CTTGGCTCCATAGCCACCTCCTCCTGGTGTCATGATGCGCATTCGATCACCGGCTTTGACATTACACTGGTTCTTGCCTCCAATATTCACCACCAGTCCACTGTTTTGGATCCACAGGTTCAATCCACGCGCTCCGTCTTCACCACCAGCCATCCCATACGGACGGAAGACTCTGCGCTCTGAGAGAATACCTACATGCATATCAATTTGGAACTCCAGCTCGCGGGCAACACCATCACCGCCTCGATAGGCTCCCCTTCCACCAGTGCCTGGGCGTAAGCTGTATTCACGGAGCAGGACAGGATATCGCCTCTCCAGAATCTCAGCATCAGTAATCCGTGTGTTCGTCATGTGGCAATGGACACCATCTTCGCCCTGCCATGAGGGTCCTGCTCCACTACCTCCAGCAATAGTCTCATAGTATCCGAAGCCATTATCTGCAGAAAGTCCAAAAGTGAAGTTTGCCATGCAGCCGTTACTTGCAGCGCAGACCTCGAGCGCCTTGAATATCACGTCGACGATTCGTTGACACGTCAGGCCATTACCGGCCGCACATGCTGCCTCTGGTGATGGTGAGAGAAGCGACTTCTCGGGAATCCTCAAATCAATAGGAAGGATGCAGCCTTGGTTGAGTGGAATTTCTGATGCAACAAGACAGCGCAATGAGTAAATAGTTGCCGAATTGGTGACTGCCGGGGGTGCATTCCAGTTTCCTGTACCTAGTGCGTTAGTTATTCGTTATTCACAATAAACTGAGCAAGCTTCTACTTACCATATGCTTGTGGACTTGTGCCGTCGAAGTCAAATACCGCACCTCCTGTTTTGGCGTCGATATCAATCTTCAATTTTATAACCGATCCATCGTCCATAAAGTCTTCTGCTTCAAATACATGACGGCCCTTGGTGATACAAATGGATTTGAGAGTTTCCCGAACTGCGTTCTCGGATGCCTTTTGCACGGCACACATATACAGCTGTTCCTGACGATTAGCGCGAGTGGAGTTGTGGTTGGCTCGGAGACATACCATGACCGTTTGCAATGTGTACTCTGCAATGAGTGTGTTAACCAAGTTAATACCATGATGATTTGCTGCCGCTTGAGCCTTGATATCGGTTAAATTATCCTCGATGCACCGTGCGCCTTCGCAGTTAGGATAACGTTTAGGTGCGTGTAGCAATGCCTCCACGACGGCATCCTCCTGGAAGACACCACCTTCCACCATCTTTATCGCATCAATTACAGCACCTTCCTCCCACAGCTCGCGGGACGTAGCAGGCATAGACCCAGGAACAATGCCACCTATATCTGCATGGTGACCTCGTGAAGCTGTCCAGAACAGGATTTCCTCTCCTCTTCCGTCGAAGATGGGTGTGATCACAGTGAGATCTGGCAGATGAGTGCCACCGGCATTGGGAGAGTTTGTTAAGAACACATCGCCTTGTTTGATGTCATTTTTCCAGTGTTGTATTTGCCATCTCACTGCAAACCCCATGCTTCCAAGCATTGCAGGTACATGGGGAGCATTTGCCACCAGGCCGCCATCCGCTGAGAAAATGGCACAGCTAAAGTCGAGTCGTTCCTTTATATTCGTGCTCACACTTGTCTTTTGCAGGGCCCGTCCCATCTGCTCGGCAATTCCCATAAAGCGATTGGCAAAAACAGACAGGCGAATCGGGTCCACTGTGACATGGCTGACTTGGGTGACCGATGATTGTAGATCAATAACTAGCATAGAGGAGAGCAATTTGACCTCCGAACCAGGTGAGATCACGATTGTTTGAGTCTTATCAATTACAACAGCCGGTCCATTGAAGCTATCTCCAGGGTGCATCTCTGGGAGAGAATAAAGCGGCACGTCGACCATGCCCACATCCGGGAAGCTGACTCGCGTGCTTCCAATGGGCTTCACACCGGGCCGAAATTGAAGACTATCCAGCTCCGTTAGGCCACCAGTCACATCATGGCCTGATTTCGCCGTGGTGCGAACACGTAGGTCATCGATCAAGATACTTCTTTTGGTTGGTGTAAAACCAAACTCTCGCTGGTGGTGGGCGACAAAAGCACCCTTGAAATCCCAAGACTCCTCTGTCTTTTCAATCATGAGGGAGGTGTCGCTTCCCTCATACCGAAGATTCAGGAAATATGCGGAGATTGTTTCGGTGCAAGACGCATCCATCTCTTGGATAGATTTAACCGTGCTCTGACGCAATTCTTCAAATATGGGCTTCACAATATCAATACTTTCATTGGAGAGCTTTTGCGCAAAGGGCATGCGAGCTTCTTGGACAGTATCGGCTAGTGCCATTCCATAGGCCGACAAAATTGCCGAGTACTTGTGGATTAGTACACGTGTAATTCCCAACTTCTTTGCAATTTCACAGGCATGCTGACCACCAGCTCCTCCAAAGCATGCCAGGTTGTGCTCAGAAGTTCGATACCCTCGAGCTTCGGTAATAGCTCGTATTGGTCGACACATGGATTCATTTGCAATGGTCACGAATCCCTGGGCAACGTCTTCAACTGACATTTGAGTTCCCTGGTCATGGTTGATCTCGTCGCGAAGTATCTTCATCTTTTCGTAGCTAGCCTTGTAATCCAGAGGCTGATCTTGGTGTTGCCCAAAAATAGAGGGGAAGAATTTTGGAATAATGCGACCCAGGATGAGGTTAGCATCAGTGACGGTCAATGGTCCACCTTTTCGGTAACAAGCTGGACCAGGATGCGAGCCTGCACTATCAGGGCCAACGGTGAGAATCCCCTTGCGCCAGGAAAGGATGCTTCCTCCACCAGCTGCCACGGTATTAATGTCCAGCTGTGGAACCTGAATTGGGACACCTGCCGTCACCGTCTCAAAAACATGTTCAAGTGAGCCCGCATATCGAGATACATCAGTAGATGTCCCACCCATGTCAAATCCAATGACTGGAATAGGATCCCCTGGCACGAAGCAGGTCTTAGAATACCCAACCACACCTCCTGCAGGACCAGATAACAATGCATGGAGACCAGATAGCTTGGATGGGTGGACCAAGCCCCCGTCAGACTGCATGATACGCCAATTCACAGAGGTAAGACTTTCTTCTGTGACGCCAGATACAAACCCTTCGAGATACTCCCTGATCTGAGGAGTAAGATACGCGTCAGTCACAGCCGAACTGGCACGAGGGAGCATCCGAACCGCAGGGGAGATGCAACTTGACACTGATATTTGCGTAAACCCAATCTTCTCCGCCATAATGGAGATTGCTACCTCATGGTCTGGAAATGTGTATGAATGAAGAAGACAGATAGCAACACTGCGAAAACCCTCATCGTAGGTTTGCTGCAATGACTTCACAACAGCTGGAAGGTCAAGTTTCTGAAGAACGCGCACTTTCTCTCCAGAGATACCAGTTATAATGCTGGTCTCGGTATTATCATGTAATGATCCATTTGTATGGAGAACGTCATCATTAGAACCTCGTTGATATGAGGTCGACTCAGCCAATGTGACGCGTTCATCAACTTCAACAACTTTGGTGTACAGAAGGCCTGGTCTTTGCACGTTCAAGGCGAACATGCTCGGGCGGGACTGGTTTCCAATTTTCAACAGGTCCTACTTATTGTCAATTGATTTTTTTTTCTGGTGATCTGAATTTGGCGTAACTGACCTTGAATCCTTTGGTGATGAACAATGCAGTTCGGGCTCCCTGCCTCTCCAGCAAAGCATTCGTTGCCACAGTTGTACCCATGCGGAGTGAATCTAATTGAATAAGTATCTACAATTTACTGGAACCATTTGATGAACTCACCAATATTGTTCAGATCTAAAGGGGCTCCCTTTTCTAATGACCTTCCCTCGAATTCTTCCAGAATGCGCCTAATTGCTTCGTTGGCGGCATCGCTGTAGTTCTTGGGATCTGAGGATAACAACTTGAAAATCTTCTCACTTCCATCCGGGTAAAATGCAATCACATCGGTGAATGTACCTCCGCGATCTGAAATATCCATTGTTAGTCGATCTTTGAAGCCGATTCTTTGCCCGAAACACTCACCAATAGCCACTCTGATGCCATTTCTGGCCAATTCGGATTTCAGGTTCATCTTGACTTGAATTTATTGTCATGGTATTTCTTCTATCAGCACAACCCAAGCCACGGCCTTAATATATACGATCTCCAGGGCTGGTCATAAAGGTAAAAGGCCCTTGGCTGTTACGGGGCTTCGGAGTTGATGTCCGAACCTTATCAACTCTCGGGTAAGGACCGAAGTAGTGAGGGGTTCGGAAACTAAAAGCCACGGACCAAACAAAACCTAGAAATTGGACAAGGAAAAGCCCTTGCTAGAATCTTCTCAATCCTCCGGTGAAAAGCGGAGTAGTGAGGGGCTTGAAAACTGAAAGTCACAACAAAACTTCAAAAATTGGCCAAAAGAAAGCTGTCGCTGGAACATTGGAACTGCTCGTCGAGCAACCCTGGTTCATCTATTTTACCAAGGCTGGGGAATACTGCCATTTCAAACCGACCAGCTCAATGGATAGTTTCTGCCTAAGCGATGATGGTTTCTGACGCTTTCCAGTAGTTGCCTTTACCCCTTTTTTTCTTCTTTTTTGTAGCTGTATCTCCAAATCGCGGTCCGGGAGAAGGTTTTTTGGATGTTTTTTTCATAGTAAATAGTTCCGACTCTTCTATCAAAAAGGGGACTCGAAGGACTCATGAACATTATTGCGTATATCCATTTTGAATCCGTACCCCCTGAACCAGAATCGTTTATACCAATTACTTCCAGATAATCTCGACAAAAAGTTATACTAGTAACGGTGCATCTAATCAAACCCCTAAACATCGCTTGGTTAATTTGTCTATGCCATTGCCTTGTTTTACGAGGTAGAATAGGCCCCTGGAAGATTGCTGAGAAGTAAAGATCCATGACATGAGTCAAAATTGGCAAGTCAAATTATGAAGCATAATCACATGTAGAATATCCCTTGCAGTGGCTAGGCTCGATGAACATATCCCTACTACATCGAATTCTCCTTCACTGAAAGATTCTGCTCTTTTAGATCCTCCTCCCGTCCTTCAATAACGGCCAATTGCCTCTGGGACTCCCTAAATCGCCTCATTTGCTGTACCGCAAAGCCCTTCTCGCCAAATAGGTCATCCATATTCTCCAACGGGATACCCTTGGTTTCTGGTAGAAAAAGGTACACATAAATGCCTCCTAGCACTGTCATTGATCCGAAGAAAAGAAATGTCCCATAGGTTATGCTTGCGAACATATATGTCACGGCATATGAGGTGTAAAATTCGCCCAGCCAGTGCGAGCAAGTTGTGAGGACGAGACAGAAAGAGCGAATTCGAGTGGGAAAGATCTCCGAGGCGACGATCCAAGGAATATTCCAACCAACAGACTGAGGTGAGTTAGTTTATGGATAATCCAGTAACAAAAAAATGGGGTACAAACATAACCGGCTCCAAATATGTAGATAAACGCAACGGCGGAGTAGCTAGCAGAGCTGGGTTCTTGTGACGAGTGGAAAGAATCGGTGATTGCCGAGAAGGCTGCAACATAATACATAGAAAAGGCACACATTATCGAGCCCACAAAAAGAAGAGGGCGGCGTCCGAAGCGGTCGACAAGGAACAGAAAGGTGACGGTAGCTGCCACACCTTTCACAATTCCGTAGATCCCAGTAGACAGAAGTTTGACGGACTAATATCTTCAGATCAGTATATGAGCAAAACGCGGGGAAATACGAATTCAACTACCGTTCCGTGGAAACCAAGAGTGGCAAAGAAAGAGACTGAGAAGTTATTCATAGCGTTGATTCCCGTGCTGTTCTGGAAAATCATCAATAAGCATCCATGGATAACCCGGGGGGAGTATCCTTGGGCTAAAGGTTTCTTTCAGAATAGCCCGGAAACTTTCTTCTGGAGCCAGATCTGCCTCATGCTCCACTTGTCTCTGATAATCTTCAAGTTCGTTAGCCACATATGGGTGCTCCGCAGGCAATTGACGCAGCCAAGTTAGTGCTTTCACGGCCTCCACGTTTCGGTGTTTGGAGAATAGCCAACGGGGACTTTCGGAGAGCAAGAACAGTCCAGCAGCCATGAGACCAGATGGAATAAACTGAAAGGCGATGGGAATAAACCATTGCTTGTCTCCAATTGGGTCAATCTACGGGCAAGTTGTGGTAGATTAGTTTGTGACGACAATCTTAGTAGGGGAAGATGTAATACTAACTGTCTGCTGGACCCCGTAGTTTATCCAGAACCCAGTGATTGTGCCGACTTGAGTGCCGATCTCGAACTGTTATTTCGATTTATTAGCAATAGGAAAATACTAGTATGTTGCCTGAAGGGGGAAGCCGTACGCATCCAACTATGCCTCCCCGAGCACAAGCAGGGGCGCACTCTGAAAGATACTGAGGCACTGCAAATGTGGTGGCTCCAACACCCAAGCCGCTGATGATACGCCCGACATAGAACAATGGAATGTTTCCCGGAGAGGCCATGCATAGTATGACTCCAATGTTGAAAATGATAGACCCCCAGAGGAGGGCAAATCTCCGACCGAACTTTTCATTCACGATGTAAGCCACCATGACGCCGAAGAATGCGCCTCCTTGAACTGAAGATATTATGAGTGACTGTAAACACAGATTGGGTGGTTCACCTACAACTATTCACCATGTGAGCTTGGATAGCCGAGGAGTCCTGGCCGTCAAGATTAAATCTAGTAATAAAAGAAGGGAGAGAGAAGACGCCCACGATGAATGCTAAATCATAGCCAAAAATGATCGAGCCACAACTGGCCACCAGAATGACCAAGAGCAGCTTGCTGTTGAATACCTCGCGAGGCGTTGTTTTGTCGCCGGCATTGAAGGCAAACCCCATTTTGGGTGGATATTTTGACTGATAAACTCTCACTGGGGTTAATACAAGAAACCCATGAAGGCTCAAGGACTTTAAGTACAACGCTATCTGGGGTAACATGCGAGATAACGAACTCGACTAAAGAAAGAGATGGCTGAGCGATGTGGATATCTTCTACTGTTTTGATTCGATGACGCTACTGATAATAACTAAAAAATCCTGGGGTAAACTCTATCTCCACTCTTGCATGGCGATAACCTTCGGATGACCCGGGGGTCAGCTCCGAGCAGTATCTTCGAAGGTCAGTAGATACTCCAGCCCTGGAGGCTATCTTGTTCTCGAGTTTTATCAAAGAATACTATAGGACCTTTTCCTGCTAATAAACAGTGAGGATTCTATTGATAGTAAAGTCAATATGCCAAGTATAATGAATTTCGATTAGCAGCGAACTGCGTAAATAATGGGTAGCAACTTCATGAACAGCACGTTATATCAACTTCAACAGTCTCGATTCTGAAATTGATTGAATTTGTAGAGGCTTGAAAATTGTGTTGAGAATGAAAGAGAATACTAGCCTCATTTAATTCGGTATGGAGGCGAATGTAGCCCGGCTCAGTTAGCGTCGGAGTTGACCTCCGAGACTCGCGGCAGCCTAGTCCGACACCTTTATCTTCCCCAAAGACCCCGCTCCTTTGAGTCGGAGTTCCTCACCGGAGTCGAGAATTATGGCCTCCACATCTTCGGCTTCGCATTATGCAACCCCAAAGGCTGCTCGGGCTTCTCGGGGCAAAGAGCTGGCCAAAGTGGCGTTAGTCCATTAACTAATGCGCAAGTGGCATCAGGCTAACATGTGTCCAGATGCTGTACATGTCGTCAAAAGAAGGTTCGCTGCTCAGGGAATACACCATGCACCTATTGCAGCAAGCGTGGCCTGGATTGTGAAATACCTGAACTAGGCCAGCGACGAGTCTACTCAATTCTGTAAAGCTCTGTTTTCCCCTCCGTAAATTTATCAGTTCTAACCCTTAGATTTCAAAGACAAATCCAGAAGCTTCGTGAGAGACTATCACAGTATGAAGCTAATGCCCTATTTACAGATTCTGGTTTGTCTATGGGAACCTTAATCTTGTCACCCAGCTAACGAATGCCCAGGGAATGCAGCCAATATTCAATCACCACCTAATGTCAACAATCTTTCCACCGCTATAACTAATAGTGACTCGCCGTCACATGTCTCACCCCCGGCTGCTATTCAAGATGAAGCTACACAACTGTCTCCAGAATCAGGTAGGTGTATCCCGACCGACATACTGATTTCCCAAGCTAATTGAATAAATCAAGCCATTCAACCTGAATCTTGTTTAACATCTAGTCACATATTCGGTTCCCGAATACAGACCTTGTTACATGATTCACAATCCAGACATCATAATAGGAACTCAAACACAACCAAGAATCCCACTCCTTCAGGATCCGACGTGCCTAATATTCCCACAGAGAGCCAATCTCGGCTACTTCTAGAGGTTGTCATTTTTTATATCGGAGAAACGCAGCATCACTTTGACATTCGCGAGTTCTCCGATCGCCTTGATTTGTTCTATGCCAGCCCGCACGACGCGGCGCAGCAGCAGAAAACACCATGGTTTCTCGAGATGCTACTTGTTCTCGCTATCGGGAAGTTATTTTCTGGCGATTTTGACGATCATAACGAGATACCAGGAACCAAACTATTTAGCTATGCATACAAGAATCTTCCCACCTTGGGTGAACTTTATACACATGGCGTGTTGGGCGTGGAGATTCTTGCTCTGGTCGCAGTATACCTGCAGAATCTCAATCGAAAGGATGAGGCCTATCTACACGTATGTGCTCTAACATTTTGTAATTCCTGATAATTAATCCGTCTCCAGATAAGCACTGCTTTGCGGCTTGCAATCTCCCTAGGTTTACATCGCCGTTCCGGCACCAAGCAATTTGTGCATTCTCAAAAGGTCCATTTGAATCGACTTTGGTGGACAATCTATATGCAAGAACGGTACGTTCTTCCCAGATTATACTTTATTTGTGAGAAACTGAGAGGTTCGCGTTTCTCAGCCGCTCAGCTGCTGCTACCGGAAACCCGTTCAGCATAGATGACGATGCAATTGAACTGGACATGCCGACAGAGTGTGTAGGCTACCCGACGGCTGGTCCATTAAGAACCAACTGCAAGGTCTCGAAGGTCTTGGGCCGAATTATTTCAGGTAAGGCTTACTCCGATGTTTACAAATAATAGGCTGGCTAAGCAGTTTGAAAGTCATATACGGCCCTCGTCACCTCGTCGAAGATACATTTGTTCCAAATGTCCGAGAAATCGTCAAATCAATATTTGACATTGCTCAAGAGATTCCGCCGGTGACAGCGGCGAACTACCCTGGTTTGAGTCCAGATTCGTCAATGAGGGCTTCAGCATACCTTCATCTTATGTTGTATCAAGTACATGTCATCGGCAATCTCTATACAAACAACTCCAGCTAACACGTTTGGACAGGCCCTCATTCTTACGACTCGTCCAATAATGCTGCATGTAGCAAAACAGATCTTAAGCGGCGAACCCATAGAAAGCGCTGAACTTCATGCTTCCCCGCTAGGTCGGCTCTCTCGCAGTTGCTCAGAGGCAGCTCTGCGACTATTGGATGTGATCGTGGCGCTAAGAAAAAAAAGACATGCTGAGTCGGTTTTGTCTTTCTTGACGGGGGTTTCACTTGGGCCATGTTTACTAACAAAAAGCGTAGTAATATTCGGGTTTTTCGACTTCGACGCAGTCTTCAGCGCCGCCTTCGTGATGATCCTCTCAGCAATCATCGACTCTATCGCCACATCCGATGGATGTCGAAGGCATACTATTCAACCACCGGGTCTCCGGGACGCAATAGAGACAATGCAGTACCTCGCCGATCGGGGCAATGGCTTCGCCAAACGCGGATACGAGGACGCCAGGCAGACGTGGGTTCACTTATCCGCCTTTCTTCAACGAAACCCACAGGACGCCAGAGATTCTGAAGCGGAATTACCGTCGGAGGCAAATTCTGGATCTTCAGGCACGACCTTAGACACTCCAAGCGCGACGAGAAATATGTCCTCTACTGCGGTCAATGCTTCTGACTCGTACTTGCGGGCACCTCCAGCTGATGATCCTACTTTCGACTCCACCGTGGGTGGCGTCAGTGAACCGCTACTCCTGGACACGGAATTATTGGATGATTTTGCACATTTCTGGAGCGGGGCAATAGACCATCAATCGGGGACCAATCTTCCTGATGCGACTGGATATGGACCTTGGTCGACTGATGAGCTACACCAGTGTTTGTATCCTCTGTATAGTAATCCGAATTTAGATCTCACGGGGGGCGACAGAGAGGATTTCATCGAGTTTCGAAGAAGTGTGTTAGATTTTTGATGGCCTAGTTACTTATTATTGTAAGCCAGAGGAATTATTGATTGTTATGTTACTGCTGAGGGGGTACAAGTCTCAGATTTTGGTCAAATGAACGCTTCAACTGGGATATCATGTAGCAGTTTTCGGCGTGCGAGCTACCTTCACTTAGAATTGTGATGTAACATCGACGTCTTGAAGTTAGGGTTGTTTTCCTTTGGCTTCAAGCGCTCATTTTTTGGTTTGTATTTCGATGTATATTTTTGGACCGTGACATAGCCGGGCTTGCTGCAGCTCAAGTTCAATATGCCAGCTTATGGCTATTTAGTAGGGATTAGCTCTACCCGGGGCCCTACTACTTAGGGTGCTCGGGGTAGACAATCAGGCAGTTGGGCATATTGTATATTATCCGTCTCTCTTCTCTATTGTCTGATTATAATTGCTTCAAAGGGTTACATAAAAAGAAAAGAACATCTTCCAGGGTGTTATACTAAGCTAGCTTGTAAGCCTCATCCTCATTGAGTTTTTACTACCTACTAGATAGTAACAATATATAAATTCTAGAGATATCCAGGCTGTTAATCACGCCATGGCCCACAATTATGCCACCAGGCCAACTTGAAAAGGTCTAGGTATTACTAGTAACCCTGGAAGATTCGGCCTCGGATTGATAAAGTCAAATTCCGATTTTACTTATACATTGTTTTAAGCTATTCTAGATAACCATATGGATAGGTTGTCCGGCAATAAAGGAAATTTGTTTCATGTCTGATTTCTTTGCTAAATACATAAGCTCCTTTGAGTTGGTTCCAGATAGTTTGTATCTCGAGTTGGGATATGATCGGTCTGTTCTGAAAATATTTTACATTAGCCAGCAATAAGATACATACCGACTCTCTTCTAACGCAATTTTTACTTTCATTTTCACCTTTTTTTCTTTTTGATGATAATCTCAGGGTTAACACCGTGTGGTGGCTTCCATTCTTTGAAACACGGCGCTAGGCCAGGAACACGCACTGGTGACCAATCAAATTCCATGTAACCCTCTTCTAGTGGCCGGGAAATTTTGCCGGAATTTGTGCGCATACCATCCGCCCGCCTTCCTGAAAATAGAGTTAATTACATTCTGGCAGGCATTTTAATAGTAACCTTGTAATAACAATAACAACAACAACAACACTTTAAGACACGAGACAGCCAAGGAATGGCCGTGAACATGCTATATAGGCATCTCCGCTAAGATGGCAGCGCATATTGTTTTTCATAACGACGACTAGTACGACCGGCTTAAATTGGTATTCGTTCCTACCAGACTTTCTATTATTTGAAGCAAACGCCCTTGTAAAGATGCGTTTCGCTCTTCTTACCCTTTCGTGCTGTGCTTTGTCACCGCCCTCTCTGGAAAGGATGCTCTAGAAAAGTGGGGTGGACCGAGGGTGGACATAAGATTTCCCACGGAGGTAACAATATCGGTAATGGGGATGGTGGTGGGATTACTCTTAATACTGGGGGTGGCAGTATTGGAGACATCGGGGTTGGGGTTGGGGGAGGAGGAGGTTGCGACCCAGCCGCTTGTAACTCCAAGGTATGATTCGTCTGTATACAAAGAGGTTGATAATAATATGCTGATTTATTTAAGTGTCGGAAACTCGGTGACCAATCGGGCTACTGTCACAGTGACAATGATAATGGATCCCCTAATGTACTTGGACTTATTCTTGGGCAAACTGCGTCGTGAGTATCTTAATCGTCTTAGCATTGCAGAGCTTTCTGAAAGCTGAAACGAAATAGAAGCTGCGTCTGTGTACCAAAAAATTGTGACACTGCTTCTTCGTGCAACGGCCAATGTGTAAGTCGCCCACAGAGTGTATATTATGTGACACGACTAATTTGTGCTTGATAGTGTGCGTCCGGCCTGAGTTGTTGTAATGGTGCTTGCACCAACTTCCAGATCAGTAATAGTAACTGCGGCTCTTGTGGGAACAATGTGAGTTAGGTCTAATCTTCATACTCCGAGGAGGTTTGGTATAATATTCACCTGGGCATTCGAGCACCACGCTAATATATTTAATTCTCACACGACTATAGTGTGCTCCTGGATTATTCACTTGCTCATCAGGCGCCTGTATATGCACAACCTTTGAGGGATTCCAGGACCAGACCACATTCGCTGTGGGAGGCGGCCCAATAGGTATTATAGTGGTCGACTTTAATGGAGATAATCATCTCGATATCGCTACCACAAATACCGCTGATAATACAGTGCGTATTATGTTCGGGACTGGATCGGGGAACTTCCAGCCGCAGGTTATGTTCTCTGTCGGAGCTTCTCCCTGGGATATTGCTGTAGGTGACTTTAACGGAGATAATCATCTCGATATTGTGACTGCAAATCTCAATGGCGACACAGTCAGCGTCTTACTTGCAGATGGATTAGGGGGGCTTCCTGCCGCAGACGATGTTTAGTGCAGGGTCAAGCCCATACTCAGTTGCAGTAGGTGATTTCAACGAAGATGGCCATCTTGATATCGTGACTGTGTCTCAAGATCACGATACAGTAGTCGTCTTGTTCGGGAATGGATTAGGGAGCTTCCAGCCACAGACCGAATTCTCAGCCGGGGCTGATCCGCTTGGTGTTGCAGTTGGCGACTTCAACGAGGATAGCCATCTTGATATCGTGGTTACAAACGGCAACGATAATTCAGTAAGCCTCTTGCTTGGAAATGGACTGGGGGGGCTTCCAGCCACAGATTGCATTTACTGTAGGGGTCGGCCCGATTGATATTGCAGTAGGTGATTTTAACGGAGATGGCCATCTCGATGCTGTAGCTGTTAATAGCGTCAGCAATTCAGTGAGCGTCTTACTTGGAAATGGCTTAGGGAGTTTCCTGCCACAGGCGGCATTCCTCGTGGGGTCCAATCCAAGTCGTGTTGCAGTGGGCGACTTCAATAGAGATGGCCACCCCGATATCGTGGCTACATCTTCCAGCACAAACTCAGTGAGCGTGTTGATTGGAAATGGATTGGGGAGCTTCCAGTCGCAGGCCATATCTCCCGTGGGTACTTCTCCGATTGGTGTTGCAGTGGGCGATTTCAACGAAGATAGCTACCTCGATATCGTGACTGCGAATAGCGACGCCAGCTCACTGAGCATCTTATTTGGAAAGCCTTGCGATACTTAAAATTACCCTGGGGATCGAGGATCGAGGATCAAGGACCGAGCATATGCAAAGATATCTTATACCCTCTGCGACATACTGGAAGCTTTCACGTGCAAGTCTTGGACCCTTGTCGGGACTTCGGACTCGGTTCGAGAATTATGATTAGAACTTGCTTTGGGGCTTGCTTTGGGAAATCTGTATCTATGGTCTATGAAATCTTCGGAGCTCGGGGCGGATTTCCAACTCCTCAGCTCAATATCACTGAATTCCTCAAAGCGGTCAACTAGTACTAGATCTTAGAGACTGTCGGTATCCCCCAATCCTTTAGAAATAATACATGGCAGTGCCCATCTTTCAGTGCTTGCCAAGCTTCGACGTTTTTCTTAGCAAGCATGTAATATCCCGACACAAGCGCCGATAAATAGTATAGCCCTCCAGGTCACTGGACTTACCCCGGCCAACCACCACACCGCTAGCATTAGCATTAGCATTGACATTGGCATTGGCGTTGGCGTTGGCGTTGAGCTACTGCCTACTACTATCTATCCCCTAATCCTCTCCGTAAAAACACCCTTAAACCTCCCAAAGTAAAAGTAAATGAAAAACGGGGAATGTTTTCTTATTCGGAATTTGATGGGTTTTCAATGGGCGTTGTGTCTGAGTTAACTTTTGGCGAGGGTTTCTGAAGGATTTCAAGGAGTCTGCAGAATGGGGTTTCTACTATCGTAGTGTCTCTTCGTTCGGCTGGGTGCTTGATTCGGTCTTTGTTTTAGATGAAGCTATAGGTTAGCCGTACTCTGACCTTGATCACATTGCTTGTTCTTTTCGCCTCGTGATGGTTTTGCGCTCATTAAAATGTTTGAGACCCTGCAGCCGGCTGCATATACTGTTTCTTTCGTTTTCTGGGCGCTGTCAACTTTGACTACCTGCTTCCGCATCTTTTCGCGAGAATGGATTATACAGGCTTTTGGAAGGATGACTGGTGGATGGGTTGTCGTGAAATTGGCGATGTGAGGAATTCTAAATCTAATCTAATCGGGTTATAGGCTTGCAACACCGCACAACAAGCATTGTTTTCAGCGTTCCTCCATTATGGGGGTGGAACGTATGATTCCAGTGCAGTCGTTTCTCTGACCTGGTATGGGCTCTAATCCAATTCAATAGTCACCTCTCCTCTATGTCTGATCCCACAAGTCTATTGGTTCTTGCCAAGGTATGTTCGAACAATCCCGTTGCGATATGCCTCTTCAGAAAATCTCGATTGAATCTGACTCTGCCTCGCCACGTGCAGCTTCTCTTTGCCGAAGAAATCGTATACATCTGGATGCAATTCGCCATCAAAACGGGACTCTTGCTCTTCTATCTCCGGCTCACAAACATGACATCCTTCGTTTCTGGGGTATACGCGACAATGGGACTAAATATCCTAATCACCCTCACCCTTTGGTTACTTTATTGTCTCCAAGGCATGCCCTTGGCCGCCTTCTGGAACGCAGCGGCATACCCAGATGCGAAGTGTCTGCCAGCATCAGTAACATACTACATTCCCGTCGCACTGGTAAGTCCATTTGAGGAAAATTCGAATGTGGGAAAAGAAAAAGAAACATGACTAATCTGTTGAGACTTAGTGCATCCTAATGGACTTCATTGTCCTCACCCTCTCCATCCGGCCCCTCTGGAAGATCTAAGCAACTGTAATGGCCGACTGGGTATCATCGCCACCATCACCGTCGGTGGCATCGCGGTAGTGGTCTCTTGCCTGCGTGTCATCATTCTTCACCGATTCGCAGTCGACCCCGACTTCACTTTTATCCTCGGCGGAATGGTCATCATCTCGACCGTCGAGTTGAACGTTGCTATCATGGCCTCGAACGTCCCGTCTCTCAAGGAAGTCTGGCTTAGGCATGTCAGCGGCTCCTTGAAAGGAACAGAGCATACAAGCTCCGCTCACGTGTCTTCGCTTGGGATTGGAAAGCGCGCACAGGAGAGAGGAACGAGCTGGAGGTAGATTCGTCGTCAACGAATAATCTGGTTGCAGCGCCTAGGAGCGATGAATGGGTGGTTCATAAAGAAACTCATTACTTCGCAAAACATTCATAGCCTTGCAATAGACTGGTTTTATTTAGGTATGTCAAAGGATTGAGACTTTGATAGAGCCACTGCAACTAGTCCGAAATAGGCATTTGTGCCTTAATAATATGGCACAACATGCCAAATCCAAATTGTGTCGGCGGCAAGAAAGACGTATAAATATTCAGTAGGGGTGTGGTTGTATTATCCACCTCGTCTATTGTCACATCCAGTCTCCGATTTATGCTATGATGAATGGTGATGGTTCAAGCTGGTGATTATGTACTCCGTGGACTGCTTGTGGTATTTCCGCCCGCTTCCAAGCTTCCCGCCCCAATAAACTTCAACCCTTCAAAGCCGAGCTCGTCACTAACAATGCAGCAATAGCATGATCATGTCTATCCAAGAGGGGTCTACAATACTCTTCTCAAATGACTCCCAAACAATCTTCGTTCTCGACACCCCGCATTCAATCGCCCAGGCGCAAACTCTGGGCTTCCATCAACTACCACCCCACGCACCATCAAACGGGTCGACAGGGCCTGCGGCAGGAGAAGAAGTTAAGCATGCAAGAAAAACATATCTTCTTTCAACAACGCCGCTCGAAGCTCCATATCCATCGACAACAGAGCCTAAAACAGATTCTGCGCGAGCAAAGGTTCTAGCTCGGATTCCAGAGAGCGAGCGTGTCTTCCATGCAGCTATTTCGCCTCTTGTGCAGCATGCTTTGGGGTTCATTAGGGAGCAGTTTGAATCTTCTGGAAGCCTCTGGTGTCTTCCTCGACACATTGATGAGAAGATTTCTCATGTCTGTGTAAAGACGGACTCTGAAATACGTGATTCTGCCTCGGCATCAACTTCAAAGAAAAGGCCACGGACGGACTCGGTGTACCAAGAAGATCTCGCGCGTCCGAGCAAGGCTTGCGATGCCTCATCGTTAGATGGACCCGGACTAGGGCTGGAAGCTCCATTGATACTATCTTCTACTTCTCCCAATCTATTTTCCTCAATCTCAGAATTGGACACCATCGTGAAGAATCCATCATGCGAGCCTGCGACTCTATCAATCTCGCCACGAGATGAGACTATTCCGACCGAATATACCATCCCACCAAGGTCAACATTCATCCTCTGCGATCTTCCCTTATCGACACTGACAGAGTATGAACGACCGCTGGGAATCATTCCCGGCATGCCGGAAGATCAAAAGTTCAATCTACTCCTTTTCGACCCGCCCTGGCCAAACAAATCTGTTCGACGAAGTCGACATTATCAAACACACCCGTACGCGGAGATGGATCTTCTCACGCAGCGCCTGGCGGATATACTCCACGCCCATGCATATAAAGCAACATCGACCCCGACGATCTCACAAGAACCCAGCACGACACAATTCCAAAACCAAGACTCTATCGCTGCAATATGGATCACGAATGCCGAAAGGGCACGACGCGCAGCTTATACCATCCTCTGTACCTCTGGCTTCCACGTCTGTGAAGAATGGATATGGATTAAAGTGACTACTACCGGCGAACCAATTTGCCCAGTCAATGCACTGTGGCGAAAACCCTATGAGATTCTTGTCATTGGATGCAGAGATCATAATGTGACCAACCAATCTTGCTCCTCCTTCCATTCATCCTCCTCTGCATTGAATAATATGCAGGCGCAGGCGGACGGAGGAGGGCCTTTCGGAACTAATTCGGAACCCGATTTCCCGACCCTGCCTCCGACTGGCAAAAATATTACGAGACGGGTAATTGCAGCCGTGCCGGATATTCACTCCCGCAAACCGAATCTGCGAGAACTTTTCGAACGAATTTTCTTCCAGGGTGTGGTCTCTTCTCCGTCTTCTCAGGGTCAGGACCAGGATCAGGCCCGGGCCCAGCCGTACACTGCGCTAGAGGTTTTTGCGCGTAATTTGACGGCGGGTTGGTGGGCCTGTGGGAATGAGGTGCTTAAATTCAATGACAGGAAATGTTGGGTTGATGAATAAATTGGTGAATAATTTCGCTTGGACGACAGTGCCACGTCAATCAACTGAGGCAAGGGGGAGAGGTCAATCCCTGCCCGATCATAATTGTACCAACAGGGAAATCCTAGAGTTGAGCTCGTGCAGTCGGGGAGTTCCCCACAGACCAAGGTAGATCTTATCTATCAGAATAACTGTCATTGGACCCTTAAACGGGTTTGAATGGGGCCCGATCCAATAATGAAGCACGTCAATAAGCGCGGAAACTGGCCGCGGCTGAGTCACGGCCGCTTGTTCAGCAATTGCGGTGACAGTCCTTCGCTTCTATGGAGTACACAGATAAAAGGTGGTTTCAAAATTTATTTGCCATCTTTAATTCAATCCAATCCTATTCCCATCTGATCTGATCTGAAATTATTCGCAAAGATCTAGTAGGGCGGCTAAATTTCGGCCCATAGCCAGTCGGATCGGCTGTTTTCAGCTTGATAAACTCGGCTTTTCCGTGGTCGGCCTTTTTTTTGGGCTTGCGTGGCTGTTCCCCTGTTTGTTTTCTTCCTTTTTCTTCTCTTCTACTTTTTTTTGGCTTTTCAGCGACCAGTCACGATCTCAGTTTGAGTCGCTTCCTCATTCACCCCCCTCCCCTCCTTCATCATGGCGTCGGCCGCGCCAATCGATCAATCCGACCAGGAGAAAGGCCCGAGAGTGGCTCTCGCAGAGAAACCCGCCACTATGCGCCCGGCATGCTTCAGCTCGACCCTACAAGAATGCCTGTTCGTTTTAACGGCGACAATGGCTATTGGCCAGCAATCCTTTTTCCAGGGATGTATTGTCGGTGTGACAGCATCAATCGGCGCAGATCTGAACATGAACTCGGCGGAGATTACTTGGATCAATGCCGGTGCATCGTAAGTACTTTCCGAACTATATCCATTGTTCAAGCCTTTTTTTTAGAAAAAAAAATAAAAATAAAAACATTCCAATGCTAACTAGATCACCTCCATTTAGTCTCAGCAGCGGGGCCTTCTTACTCACCTTCGGTAAACTAGCCGACATGTTTGGGCGCAAATCACTCTTCATCATCGGTATGGCGGGATTTACCCTCGCCTTACTAGTCGCAGGCTTCGCTACGAACGCAATCTACATGGACGTTTTCTCCGGAATCCTAGGCCTATTTGCCGCAGCCGTTGTCCCACCCGCCGTCGGGGCTTTAGGCGCAGTCTATGAAAAACCCTCCAAACGAAAGAATCGCGCCTTTGCTTGCTTCTCCGCGGGTAACCCGCTCGGTTTTGTTGGCGGCATGATTATCTCTGGCGTCGCGTCGCATGAGTATAATTGGCGTGCGTCGTTTTGGGCTCTAGCCGTCGTTTATGCTATCTTTACCGCGTTGACGATCTGGACTGTGCCGCCGGATGCCTTTGCTCGAACGCCTCTAACTATGAAGGAATTTCGTCGGTTTGATTTGCTGGGTACGGCGCTTATTATCGTTGGATTTGCTTTCTTTTCCAGCTCGCTTTCGTAAGTTGCTCTACCCCTTGTTCACTTCAGGTACTTTGGATTGCCTTCTAATTTATATCAGATTGGCCGGTGATGCTCCCGATGGCTGGCGAACGGGCTATGTCCTTGCCCTTTTTATCGTCGGTATTGTTCTTCTCGTCGCGTTTATTTACTGGCAATCAGTGGCAAAGAACCCATTGATGCCGCTATGGGTGTGGAAAGATCGCAATTTCTCAATTGTATGTTTTGAGGCCTAAGTCTTCTTCTAACCTAGACACAACTGATTTACCTTCTTATAGCTTATGGCAACTTTCTGTCTCGGCTTCATGGGCTTCGCGGCGGTCACTTTCTTCCTATCACTCTATCTGCAAGAAGTCAAACATCTCACCGCACTCGATATTACGGTGCGCCTGCTGCCTATGGTAGTCAGCGGTGTCCTGGTCAATGTGGTCTGCGGCTTGATCCTGCACCGGGTCAGCAATAAGCTTTTGACAGGCATCGGCGCACTGGCGTACACGGCTTCCTTCCTGATTTTGAGCTTCATGAAGGAAGACGCTATCTACTGGGCATATATCTTCCCGGCACTGATACTTGTGGTGGTGGGCGCTGATATCCAGTTCAACGTCACTAACGTGAGTGCCCCCCAGGGCGAATTGGATCCGCTTCCGCAATTGTATTTCTTGCTCTGAATGCTAACCTCAATAGATGTACGTCATGTCTTCGCTACCACCATCACAACAATCCATTGCCGGCGGTATCTTCAACACCGTCAGCAAATTGTGCAATAACCTAGGCCTTGGCCTAGCGACTTCGGTGAATAGTGCCGTCGCCCATCAAATGACCGCATCTACCCCGGCTATTCGCCCCTATCTAGCGACGTACTGGTTTGCTGCAGCTGGCGCGGGTATCTCGCTTTTCATGGTCCCCTTTCTGACTATCGGTACTCAAGGCGGAGATATTCCTGAGGAGCAGGATCAACAAGGAACAAGAGATGGGGTGGATTACAGTGAAAAAAGTACTAGTATTAATCCCTCAGTTGTTGAGGATCCTGTGATATCTCCGGATTCGCCGAGGGAGGTTGGCAAGGAGTGAATTTTCCAACGAATAACCTACATAATAGAATGCAAACAAAAGCCTTTGAATTCAGTGCAGCGGATTCTTCGTTTCGGTTTTTTTTCTTGGTTTTCTTCTTCTTTTTAATGAACGAACGAAGCAATAAAAATATTGTGATACCCATCTATTTCACAATCTATGTCATGTTTCCAAATCACGACGAATTTCGGTCCAATTTAAACAATCAGTGTATTTGGGGGTATCTATGGCCAGAAGAAACAGTACTGAGTCCCTAAGGTCCCTTCTTCTGTCTCTTCGTTAGTTCTTCTGTCTCCCTGTGCCAATCCGTAGTGCAGCCCTTGTCATCGCTCGTGCGGTCACAGCAGTCGTAGATGAAATTTTTGGGATACGCGGCTCGATTGTCCTCGGTGTCCATAGGTCCGTGAGTGAATTCATCGTGATCAGCAAACGAATCCTCATCCACTTCGGCTTCGCCTAAATATCAGGTTAATCATGATAATCCAAAGCATAGATCCGAATTAAATAGGCAAAGCAAAGCTAGGTGATTGCTGTTATTCTTGAGTACGTACTCCAATGATATTGACAACTCTTCCTAGTGTTCGCCACGACATCAAACTCCCCCTCGCAATTTATGCAAACAGCATAGCGCGGTCGAGACCTTTTAGCCCCTGTCTTTTGTAGGTTTGGAACAGGGTGAGACTTAGGGGGTTTTTCCTCGTCGCCATCGTCGCTGGTTTCGCTAGGGCTGGGCGAGCGGTCGGGCGAGCGAGGTGTGCTTGGCCGAGGAACGTCCTCCTCATTCACGAGAAGGTTTCCCCTGTAAAACTCTCTGGCGGCATCGTTTTTCTGGCACAGAATTCTAGTCAATTGTACTAGTTTTGGCCATGATAAGCGGCCGATTGCGTTGCTAAGTCGGATCGCGTCCTCGTCGACGCCGGTGGGGTCTGCCATTACTTATGCGAAGATTGAAATTTTTGAAGAAGTACAAATAGATTTTGCAAGGAGGTTATAACAGTAATTGACTTGATTTGATGATTTGGATGAAATATGGAAATTATGGATTTTGAGATCTATCAACTTTTTTTCTCGCGACTCGCGACGCGACGCGACGCGTTGACAGTACTTTACATACAGATATACGAGTACTGTAAAACCTCGATATAACGATATAATTCGTTATATCGAGGTTTTCGTTGGCGGGCCGTCAATTGGGTCAGTATGTGACTGCTAGCGAGGCTTAACAGTATGACCTCAGAGCAGTTACAGTTAGAGCTTCCCCACAGTAACAACAAGCACACACATTCAATTAAATTGCACGGATTAAGCAGTCGGTTTATAAATTATCCTTGGCCCCCGCTGAGATTTGAGCCAGGATTAAACACGCTTTCAGTGTCAGAATAGTAAGGCTTGCCGCGAGGCCACAATTCGTGACGCACCGGAATCCCCCCCATACTGAATCAGTCGCCGTTTTGCGGCTTCGGGGTCTGTTGGTTCGTGCCAGTCCTTGATACAGGGCTCTTCCTCGCCATTGCGTTTGCAGCATTCGTAAATATAGCCATCTGGATACTCCTCCCGCATTTCGTCCGTATCGATTATTCCGTGACAGTCTTCGTCGTGATCAGCAAAGAAATCCTCATCCGGTTTAGAATTGCCTGTAATAAATATTAGTGTCGTGGCTCAAGCCATACAGATTAATCGTCATGGGGCATACCAGGATGGTATGTACAGCTTTCCGACGTGTTTTCAGCAACGTCGAATTCTTTTTCGCAATTGACGCAGACGGCAAAGCGCGGTCTGGTTCTTTTCAGACTCCCAGGCTTGAAGGCAGGTTCACTTGCGACCGAGTCCCCATCGCCCTCGTCATCCTCGTTATCTTCATCTTCATATTCATCGTTCTCATCCTCGTCTCTGTGAGCTTCGCGGGAACCGGGTACGGGACCGGCTAAGTGACCAAATGGGCGGCGATACTCTGGCTCAGGAAGTTGTGGACCAGGAACTTTATCTTCTTCCACGAAAAGACGGGATCTAAAAAATGTTCTCGCAGATGGATTTGTGTCGCAAAGGTTTTTGCACAGCTGTGCCAGCCTTTCAGCTGATAGCCGGGTGATTGCATCTTGTAGACGCTCCGAGTCATCGATGACCGGGTCTGCCATTTTGGGCGTGGTTGCAGAGACGCAGAATTTCGCGAGCAGAAGGATTGAGGGTGGCCAGTTCAAGTTCAAGCTGGCAATTCGCTCGGATAAGAGGTCGAAATTGATGGAGGTGAGGGTTTGAGACGTATCGAGGTCGTCTTTCTTCCCGCGATGTGACGTGACGCGTTTGCCAATTTGGTTGGCCTAATTTCTACGCAGTGTCTTGAGACATGTGGAGCTTCTCCACAGTAGTAGTGGAAATATATTAATTATATGAAGATAATACAGCTATAGAGTTGGCACTAGAAACACTAAATTGCTCTAAATAACTGAATGCCGAGCGTCCAATGGATTTAAATGTGATTGATAATGCTCGTTTCCAGCCAGACCTATCCGAGTCCGCCAGGGCTCAAGTTCAAGTTGGAGAGATATATGTTCAAATGTATATATATATATTGCCCGCAGGTGGTATTAATAGTTTCATAGACTTCAATGGGTTTTCAAGTTGATAGGCCCGAGTCGTTAAGAACGAAAAAAGCATACACGCTAAGGTATGGGTATGGTATCTAAAAGTTTTATCCTCAAGATTTGAAGTATTAGCGGTTCTCATATTTCCTCAAGTTGTCCGAGTCCAACTCCGGCATCTCTGTGTCTGCAGGCAGCTCCACGAACCGTTGTGGAGCAGTCTGTGAATATCCTGTCGGCATCTCGATTGGCGGGGGAACCTGGTTCTTCGCCCGTCGGCGTCGTATCAAGAAGAGCGCTAGGAGTGCTATCAAAAGAATTGCTCCCGCTGCGACTCCGACGCCAACACCTGCTTTGGCACCCGTTGAGAGTCCCGACGAGCCCGATGATCCTGATGAGCCCGACGAGCCTGACGAGCCCGGCGGGTCTGGGGTGGTCGGGGATATAGCAGCCGCGCTGGTTGTGGCGGCGGCTGTGGCGCCGGTGGTGGTAGTGGCGGTATTCGATGCAGGAGTGCTGGAATCGGTCGACTGCCATCTGATATAGACGCCATATGCGTTGACGTGTTCATCGAGGCTCAAAGCAGTACTTGAGCTCGATGTAGCGTCGCCTTCGGTCCAGGTGTATGTGAATTCGGTGGTGACATCGGGACCTGGGCTCCATAGGCAGTCTATCGACTCAGAGACGGTTGATGACTTTGCCGGTCGGGTCACATATGTGTGGCCGTCGAGTCTGGAAATTCCGGGTGCGTAAGTTTCAATGTGGCATGGAGGGGGTCTTTGGCCCGCGAAGAGGACTTAGACCTACGTTGGACAGCATGTTGCCGCGGTTTCGGTAATTGTTCCATCAATCACTGTGCCACTGGCAGCAATCCCATAGCCCGAGGGGCATATCCCAGGGGAATAATAACTCGTTTTTGCCCAGCCGGATGGAAGGCATTCAGCGTGGCTTATGGGTCCCAGGTTCATCCATGTCTTTCCGCTGGTACTGCCGAGCCACAAATCACTGACGCATGAATCCGGAGGCGTAAAGGTCGTTGTCAAGGGAATATGCCCTGTCTCGGTTACACTTGTGGACACTATCGTTGTGCTCATGGTGGAAGCGGTCTTGGCGTCGCTTGCGATCGCAACAACAAACGCACTCCGCGGGATTGAAGGAAGAATAAGGGATGTGAAAAGTGAACAGTCTGAGTGGATCGAGATTGAGTCTCTGGTTGAGAGAAATGGCCCCGTCCTGGGGCCGTCCTGGGGCCGTCCTGGGGCCATTCCTGGCAGCAGCAGACACTTATCGCTCCTCATGATGATCCCGCCTAACCTCCTTAATTAGGTCTTAGTGTATTGTATGGCCTAGTATTTTCCCTCCAAAATTTGATTGATCCCTTCATAAATTACAACAATATCTCTGTTTCGTAATTACGGCTAAAATAAAAGTGGAGGCACGAAAGGGAGATCTACAGGTTTGTATTCTGCTTGAAGGAGCCCTAGAGCACTAGCACAGTCATTATCGCCCCCACGTTTCATCAATGGCTTGTAAAGGCAGAGATCTTCCGTACCTGCGCCTCTTTTCCTGGAAATAAGTGCGAGTTTGGTTTCTATGAGGCTCTGCCACATGCGTCATTCAAGTCTCCTTACTCACTAAGACTGGCAGGTACTAGTACTATCACAGTCAATATCATTTGTTTAAGCATATCCGGACTTCAACTTGAACCTCTAACCCTATTCCAGAATGGCCCAATCGAGATATCAAATGCGTAGATGCTTGAGGCCAATAACCCTTCCAACTTGACGTTCAAGTTGCTACTAGCATATACTAACTAGTACGTACACCAATATAATATAACCCTAATCCAATGGCAGTAAACCCCGTTCAGCGACCCAAGTTCAGTGACTCGCCTGGTAGCAACCCCCCTGCTCAAGAATCACAGGTACTCGATTCGACAGTGGAAAAAGGTAGTTCGACCCCTTGTCAAACAGAAATCTTGAGATATAGACTCCAGGGCTGCCTGTGCTAAGCGTACCCTTAGGGTCTCAATTCGCCAGTAGATAACTCTACCATTCGCTATACGCCTCATGAAAGCTTCAAAATTAGACCCCTGGTGCCGGTCCGTCGTACGGGGCTCTTCATTACCATGGCGATTGCAGCATGGGTGGATAAATGCTTCCGGGTAAGCTTTCATTTTTTCCTCTTCCCCAGTGTCTCCGCCGGAGCCTTCGGCGAATAAATCAAGTTCCTCATCCTCGTGAGATTCTTGTGAAAATTCAATTTAGTTAGTAGCCCCAATATATACTACCACATGTTGGCTGGAAATAGCTAAGGTTAGAAGTTTTTGTACATACCTGGGTGATAGGAACAGCTATTCGGAGAATTTTCGGTAACATCAAATTTCTTCTCGCAGTTTACGCAGAGATCATAATTTGCTTGTTTCCTTTTGAGATTGACAGACTTTGCGGAAGATGTAATCTCTCTTTCGCTCTCATTGTTGCCTGTACTAGAAGCTCCAGCGCGGGCTGCCCCTGAGTTGGGAACCTCGGACTCGCTCACGAAGAGGGAATCACTAAAGAGCTCTCTGGCAGCTGGACATTTTTCACAAATAGATTTGGTGATGGAGACCAATTTCTCTGGCGATAATCGGTCAATTACAGCGTTGAGTTGAAACGCATCCTAGACGGAGTCTGTCATTACGGATGGGAGGGGAAAAGAACAACTTGAAAAAGTACTATCAGCCAGGCTGCTGGGAGGAACAATTGAAGCAGGATAGTGTTTGACAACTTGGATCGAGGCCTGGAGTTTTTCTGGCTTTTTTGGAGGGGGTTGTGCTCTATCATCTTGTTCCAAGGTTTGTTTCGGGACTTTGCTTTCGCGACACGCTAGCGGGACTTGGAGCGACGCGTATTGGAGAACTCGTTGGGAAAAAGCAACCTGACGTATTAGATTGAATTAGTGACAGGCTATCAAAAAATAGACGAAGATCCCTGGAAATAATGAAAATTTTCGGTATCGTACAATGATTTACTACCCGAGCAAATTGCTAAGTTGACGCTCAAATTTCCTATATTTATATCTTGCACTTCGCACCCCAGGGCTCGTACTATTAAAATCGAGTTTAAACTTGAACTTGAATAGATCAAGACGGCCAGTAGTACAAGAATTGTTTCTCGAACTTGAACTAGTACGTGATGTATGAATGATATCGGTAGTACTATGCAAGAGTAGCCGGCGATATACTACCTCAAACCTTGGAAGAACCTTATAGCTTCGGCGAAATTTCCGGGCAATAAGCCACTGGCAATAGGACGGGAACTTGAAGTATTATGATCCGTACCACCAATGATTGTGATTCTGGCCAGGGAAAAGACCTTGATAATATTCCAATATGGTCTTAGCTGCAGTGTCGACTTGTGTACTAGTTTTGACCAGGCTGCCACCATCTAATCAAACAACGGGCCCAGACTAACAAGACTAAACCGCAAATCAGGATTGCCCCCATCAGCCTCAGTCTTCAAAAATCGACGCACTCCCAAAGCCAGCGCAGCCTCACTCAACGCATCCTCATCCTCCGTCAGCTTCCCCCTCGCAAGTGGGCCCCTCCGCCTCCCATCCAACTCCCACAAAGTTCCATCATCCCCCCCTCACAAACGCAACAAAATGCAAATCAACACTATCCTCCGCCTCCGGCGCCGCAGTATCCCCCAGCTTAGCCGCATCCGCATGGGCACTTTCCAGCGCCTTGCTGTCGTAAAGAAGATCCGCACGCTTGGCCGGTGCCAGATTCTGCGCGTCACGGAGGAGCTGATCTAGGTCCGAACCGGGGGTGATGTGCTTTTTGCTCTCGCCGTTGGAAACGGCGTGTAAGAGGCCTATCAGGCCACAGGCGTTGCGGATAGTTTGCTTGAACCATGTTACTGGTTCTGCGGGGCCGGAACCCGTGTATTCGGGGAGGGAGCTGTCTTCTGCTGTGCGGGATCGCTCGTAGGTGGCTGAGACGGGGAAGACGAGGAGGAGGGCGTGGGAGGGGCGGGGCACGAAGGCTAGGAGGTCTGGTTCGTCGATGGAGAAGACGTCTGTGAATCCGATTGTTTGGGGGAGGCCGAGTTGGTGGACTAGATGGGACATCACTTCTGGGTTGTTTTCTGGGATGGGGTCAGTTTCGGTGTTGTGAGGGGTTCGGTTGTGAGAGGGTGGTACCGAGGGGCACGAAGGCCTTTTGGGTGGTTGGGACATCTGGGTTGTCGGTCATTTTGGATGGTTTTATTTGGAGATATGTAGATGTGGTGAGTGGATGGTGACGGGGAAGAATGAAAGAGTTGAAGAGGTCAAGTTGGAGCTGGCGGGGAGTTTTGGTGGCTGCGGGGTTGTAATCTTATCGCGCTTCTCCACACGAGCAACAAAGCCCCCCCTGGCCGGGTTGAATACATGGATACACTACATCAACATAAATATCTAGAAGGTTGTCACTGATTGGAACATCTCATTCATGTATACAGAGAAATTTTCATCGTAGTATCGTCAATGTATTATTTTGGTCGTGGCCTTTATTGCGCCTTAGATGGCTGCGCGCCCTGCTTTAACGGGGCAAAAATGTCTGTCCATAGCTCACTCGCCTCACCTAGATAATAGGTCAAGTCGACATCTGCCATGCTCGTATTCTCATCCCCGGACATTGTTTCGAGCTGGGAGATGAGATTCTCCAACCCAAAGGCCTTCCCAGTGGACTGTGTGGCGCCGGCTTCGAGCATGACATTGACAACATGGATGTGGAAGTGGTAATAAGTGGGTTGATCTGACACAGATAATCAGCTTTTGGCCCTTTAGAGAGAAGAAAGGGAAGATAAAAAGTCCACTTACAATGCACGTAGAGCTTAAGTTGATCCTGCTCCAAACCCGGGTAGATCGATACCGTAGCCTCTAGAACTCGCTGTCGCAGATACCGCAGCCAAGGAATATGGCTCTTTTTAAGATCACGCAAGCTCCAAATATCCCGTCGGTCTACCAACGCGAGGAGATGAAGCGAGCTCAGGGTCTTCCGATCCCAATTGAGATCTGGCAGCATGAGGAATGAATCCTCCGACCCGTGTCCGGGGTCTCGCATAATAACATCTTCCTGCTCAGTTCGACCTTCCAAGATATTGAACACCCAGTTCAGTCGCCCCTCCTCACGCTTGGCCTGCATAAAGGGTCGGACGTGCTGCTTGTAGATATCTGGCGTCTCGGTAACCATGCGGACTTGTTGGTCCGAGTATTTTTTGATGTGCTGTGCCGTGCACGGCCAGATCAGGTTGACCTTCAAATCTTGCTGTGTCTCTTCTGATGTCTGGCTCTTGCCATTGGAGGAGGCGAGGTACCATCGGTAGATGTCATTGTCACCTAGGTTTTTGACTCGAGTAATGGCGGCGTGGAATGCATGGAGGACTTCGAGAGATTCTGTGGCGAAGGCGGCACGTTCGGCTATGAGGATTCCCTGCTCACCGTCGATTGATCCTAACACAGTAATGCGTCGGCCTTGTTGGTCTGTACTTTGGGCTTTAGCTGATTGTCTAAACGCGGGGGGGGAGTAGGCAATGCGTGGGGTACCTTGTTTGAGCAGTTTTCCAACTTGAAATTTGGCGATGAGGCCTTCAGCGGCAGCCTTGGAGCCATTGCGAGCTTCAGCCATCTGAGGCCAGTCGATTATCGCGAAGATGTGGGGAATTGACAGGGCTTGTGAAGAAGAAAGACGCGGAGAGTTGAAAATCGCTAGTTCGGCTTACCGCGCCAACTGGCGAGTTACGTAAGCAATGGAGGTCGAGCTCGGGCAGTTCGGCCGTCTTTGTCTACGCGATCCTTCGACCCTTCGACCCGTTCCACCATGATTGTGATATATTGATGCTCAGCTCGAGCTGACTTTCACATTCACTCGCGCCACAACCCTCAACCATACGAGCCCTCTCGTGGAGACCTTCATCCCCCGCCCCCACCTTCTCCCTGAAGCTCTTCAGATCTCCCCGCCAACCCGAAACCGAATTCTTTCAGCGCCTTCAGCCAGTCCTCGAACCCTCCTACGCGATTTGCCATTCGAAAAACAGTCTTCTTTACGAAACCCCAGCATCCCTCACCCTCTCTGCCGTAAAAATGAGTCATTCTGTCCCCAACCTCGACGAAATTGGCATGAAAGCCGAACCGGAGCTAGCAGACTCCTTTCGTCGCGAAGTCGCCCAACTTCTCGGACGCAATAATCTTAATTTTCCCGGTGCGCAGCCTGTCAGCTTCTCAGCCAAACACTTAGACGAGCTTCAAAAAGAAGACTACTATGTCTGCGAGAAGACGGACGGTATCCGATGCTTGATGTACTTTGCGCGCGGAGACCCCGAGGCCAAGCCCGAGATTCACTATTTGATTGATCGCAAGAACGAGTATCGCTTCGTCGATGGCCTACACTTCCCCATGCCGGGGGATGATACGTTCCAGTCTTTCCATGTCGACACCTTGGTAGACGGTGAGCTGGTCAAGGATACCTACGAGGATGGAACCCAACAACTCAAGTTTCTGGTCTTCGACTGCCTGGTACTGGATGGACAAAGTCTCATGCATCGCACCTTGGATAAGCGACTCGCATATTTCAAGGAAAGGGTTCTCAAGCCGTACAACAAGATGTTCGAAACATTCCCCGAAGAAAAGCAGCATCGCCCGTTCGCCGTGGAGGATAAAGAAACCCAGTTCAGTTACGGTATTGAGATGATGTTTCGGGATATTCTGCCTAAAGTAAGGCGTATTCACGGGAATGATGGTCTCATCTTCACCTGCCGCAGCACCCCTTATCGTATTGGGACAGACGAGCACATTCTTAAGTGGAAGCCGCCGTCTGAGAACACTGTCGATTTTCGCATGCGTCTCGAATTCCCCGTCCTTGAGCCAGACACAGACGATGAAGCGGACGGTGTCTTCGAACCCTACCCTGATTACGACGCTATTCCCATCTGCCATCTCTTCGTCATGTTGAACGCCGGCGAGTATCGACACTTCGGCGAATTGTTCGTCACCCCAACAGAATGGGAAGACCTCAAAGCCATGGGTATCCCACTGGATGACTCAATTGTGGAGTGTTTCAAGGATTCCGACTCTCATTGGCGCTTCCATCGTCTTCGCGACGATAAAATGGATGCCAATCACGTCTCGACTGTGGAGAAGGTCCTTGAAAGTATCGAGGACCGCATTACGGAGGATGATCTTATTCGCATCGCTCCGAATATCAAGACTGCATGGAAGAAGCGCCAGGCGGGTGGTTCTTCGGCTCAGGGCCGTGGCGCGCCCCCCACCGTAAATGGCAACGGCGTGAAGCGGAAATTCGAGGAGTGACCCGCCAAATCACTGCTCTCTGCTTCATTGCTTCTTCTTTTATCACATATGCAAGGTGTCCGGTGTTAAGTTTTTTTTTTTTGCGTCATCCTGCGATCCAATTCGCAGGTTTCCTTGTTGCCTACAATACTTGTGCATGGTGGAATGGATCGGATTGAATGTGGAAGCAGCCTTTCGGTGCAACATGGTGTTCAGGATTTGTTTCTGATTTTTACGTCCCGACTAGTTCCGAAAGATGAAATATACATGTACTATTTTACCTCCTAGACAAAGAGTGAAACAGGTTAACTTCCAGGGCTCGGCTTTTAGACCAGTTCTCACGGCGCTCTCCACGGGTTCTGCGGCGTTAATAGTTGGTGGCTGCGCCTGCTCCACCACTACCTCTAGCCAAAATCGTAAATAAACACACCCTTTCCATAAAGTAGAAAAGTGCTCTCTTTCATGTATAAGCCCCACGACAGACATAAATGAAGCCAATGGTTCAATGCCACAGGTACGCTAAAAAGCACGCTAAAATGTACGAGCCTACGAGGCTGCGCCTTTCCGCCCCTATAATGTAGGCTTACGTAGGCAACACCAATTTACAGTACTCAGTAACAGAAGGATTCCGCTAGATAGCGCTAAACTGTACGAGTATGCAGCGGGTGTACGGGCGGAAGTTGGAGGCTTGTAGTAAGTCTGATGAGATGAATTTAGAAACGAACGGGTCTAGTTGGAATAATATAAAGACTTGATCTATGCACAGTTCATGGTACCTATCCTCGCAACCAAATCACCGTCTTCAATCACAATGGGATTTCATCACTATCTCCTCGTCAGCACTGCTGGTCTGCTGGCTTCTGTCAATGCCACCAGCGTTCCCAGCTCTGATCAAGGCTCGTCTGGCTCAACATCATCCTTGATCGCCACTCAATTCGGTACAGTATTCGACACATCTATGGTGATTGGAAATCAGACATTCCAGATGCTGGTCGATACTGGTAGCAGCGACACTTATGCTATGCGAGATGGTTTTAATTGCATCAATGCAACGAGTAACCTGGTCATCCCCGAGGCAGATTGTCTTTATAAAAACAAAACCTACCATAATTCTCGAACTCATCGCCACATCCCTGGTCAAATGTTCGGCATCCAGTACGGAGCTGGACTTGCGAGTGGAGAAATGGCATACGAGGACATCACTCTCAGCGGCATCACCGTCAAAGGCCAGAAAATTGGCATTGCCAACGTTTCCAACCCGATGGGCGACGGGGTGAACAGTGGTCTTCTTGGTCTGGCATATCCCTCACTTACTTCGGCACACCCGGCAAACCACTCTTCCAATGAGACCTACTGGTTCGACAGGCTTCCATATAGTCCACTTTTGTACACAATGCATGAAAAGGGCCTCATCAATCCCTATTTCAGCCTTGCACTGGCACATACTCCCCAAAACGCATCTACTGCCTTCGGCGGATACCTGACCATCGGTGGCCTCCCACCTGTCAAGCACAGCCCCGAATTTACTACCGTTCCTGTGGAAATCCTGAAGGACATTCCCAAGAGCTTCACCTCTGGGAAAAGCGCTAAATCCTACTGGGCAACTACAATCAGTGAAGTGAAATACGGTTCTTCCACCGCAGACCTGACCACAAACTCGACTTCTTTCCAAGTATTCATCGACTCCGGCAACGACATTCAGTTTCTACCGTCCGCAGTAGTGGAACCCATCAACGCCCTGTTTGATCCGCCCGCGAAGTACAACTCGGATTTTGGGGCTTATGTCGTCGATTGCTCTGCGAAGGCTCCGGAGTTTGGACTGACACTGGGCAATCAGACATTCTTCCACAGTGGCGAAGATCTAATCTATCAGACCGGCGAGGGCTTTTGCATCACTAGTATCGCCTCGTCAGAGAGCGTTTCGCTTGCGGAGGGGATAACACTGAATATCATTGGGGTGCCCTTCCTCAAGAACGTCGTTGCTGTGCATGACTTCGGAAAGAATGAAATGAGGTTTGCGAAATTGTTAGATTCTAACTCTACCACCTCGGGGAGTGCTCCGGCTGGAACCGAAACGCCTTCCTTTTCTCTGGGCTTGAAATCTGTCAACGGGGTTTCTTGGGTGCAAATTGCAATGGCTTCGGTTGCAGCTCTATTTGTTATCTTTTAATCGTTCGTGATTTATGTTTGCGAGATTGTTTGCGGGTAATTGGCGGGATAGACTAAATTTTAGACAGTCATTTTGTTTTTAATGCATCGTTTTATATCCTTATTTCAATCAACTTCATCCTCAATGCTAAGAGCACAGAAAACCTCATCTAGCCCACAATTGGTATCGATAACGTCAGAGCCAACATCTTCTAATCGCATGTCCGCCTCCTCCTCGCTATGGAGAGAGTTCTTTTCAGAAAGAACAGATTGAACTACCAAGAATGCTTTTCGTGAATCCCAGAGTCCATCTCGAGCAGAATAGAGAGAGCTATTCATCATGAATAGGGCCTTTTCCAAGAGGTTCCTGTCTGTTGTTTTGAAGCAAACGAAGTAAAGCATAGCTACTACATTTGTTGAGACAGTGAATGCCCGATGCTCGGACTTGGAGCCATTTGACGATTCGAAGTCGGAAAAAAGAAACGAAATTTGCTCCAAAGCAAACTCAAATTTGCAATAGGCTTCCATTGGTGTTTTTGTATCTTCCTCGGTCAAAATTATGTTCTCAAGCAACACGCCGTGGAAAATGAGTGCTTGGCAGTGCAATAACATAATCCGTTCGCGATCTTGGCTATTCATCGTCTGTCCATTATTTTGAAGTCGGAATCGCTCAATTGCAACCTCGAATAGCTGGAGTTGTCTTTCGAGCTGTAGTCTCTCTTGGGCGATCTCAATTGGTAATTCTTGCAGATTGACTCCTTTGTGAGCCACTGTCGACATGAGATGGTTTGTCTTCCAATTTTGCAGTATGACAAGTGCCTGCTCTATATCAAAGATACCGGAGAATCCCTCTGGGACCACATCAGACAAGCCAGAGATATGATCCTGCGAGGCAAGTTTGAGGACAGGCAGTCTTTCCCATAGGAAAATGCTGGCATGGACATCAAGATGACAGAATATGATCTTTAGCTGAGGATAGATGGGATCCATCTTTGCAAGTAAGTATGGATCATCTACCCAATAGTTTTTCAGAAGCTCCAATCCGCGATCTAGATGCCATATCGCCTGTTTCGTGTTTCCGACGAGACATTCGAACACGTAAAAGATCAAACTGCAGACAAGCGCAGCCTCGGGCGAAGCACCCGGTGTGAGAAGATATGTCGAAAGTTGCTTATGAGATTTGGCCATAAGTTGAATGGTTTTCGGAGAATTTCCCAGCTGATTCGATCCGACTTTCAGATACTCGCGGTATAGCGAGCTTAGCGCGACGAGGGAATTTCGAATCACAGGCTGGTGCTGACTTCGCTGCAGAATAAGTTGGGTCCAAAGTGTTGAGTCGGAAAAACGCGAGAGGCACTGAGCTGCTTCACAGCAATAGAAATGGAGGAGCTCGCGATCTGTCCGACTGCCGGGAATCTTGAACGGAATGTTGTATATTTGGATATTGCTTTCAAGTTTCGGCCGAACTTCGGCGGAATATCCTGTACAGTCCCAGCCTGCTGAGATACAGCGCTTACATTTCGGTCGCTGCTCGTCGCATTTGACTCGGCGCATCCTAGACTAGTCAGATGACTGATCGCTTCCACCATCCATTCCGTCGCGCTAAACACTCACTTGCAGATGCTACATCCCGTCCGGACCTTGGGGGTACTTCGGCGTGGCTTTACAACTTGACCCGGCATTTCCGATCGAGTCTTTGTGCAGCTCTAGATTTTTTCCGCCAGGGGAATTGTTTCGAGGAAGACTTCTTTGTTGGCCAAGAGGAATGAGAAAGGGGGACCAAGGCTGTAGGATTTAGGACTATCGTAAGCTGCCGCTTAGTTACCATGCAGGGTGGGGGCTGAATGTCCTAGCTGAGCCACATCATGTACACGACTCAAGTGACTTGTCTTCTGAGGATTATCAGAGTCCTTTTCGCTCTTCCCTACGCTGTTTTACATATCTATCTATAGCAATCAAACTGGACTCGCCTACATTAGACTGTGTACATATGTGGTAATTTCTGTCGGAACTCATCTGAAAGAATGCCCAGGTGGACGAATAAATTGGATGGGGGAGGAACCAATTACTGAATCCAGCCTTCGTCAGAAGTATGGTACCCCGTAGTTTGAAAGAAGACATCATTTAAGCAGGTAGAGGACTCGCTCGGTGTCAGAACAGCTAAGATGTATCTGAAGAAAAAGCTTGTGCGGAGAGACGAATTCTTACGCCTGTTTAATAAATTCAGCAACTCAAAATCCAACTTGCCGTAACGTGGAAAGACGAATCAGGATTCTGGGTATCCCTCCTCCCGTGAATTACAAGCCCCATGATAAAGTCAAAAAAAAGAGAAAAAACATGTCGATGGTACAAGATGCAAGGGGTTTAGAGAAATGTCACTTTGAGAAGAAGGCTAAGTGAAAGCTCAAAGGTCGCTACTTCGGTGTCCAATTATTCTTTCATTCTTTGAGACTAAACTCATTCTTTCATATTATATGCTTCCGAGGATAGATACATCCTAAAGTCGGAGCGTTCGTCGAGTTTTCAAATTCTTTGTCTGAACATTCTATAAATCGAAAGGGATCATACCTGGGTAGTTTGTCTACCCTCATAGTTCCAAGTTGTGGATTTATTTTCTCGTCTGTCAAAAGGGAAGCTTCTTCTGAGCCTCAAGTTGAAAGTGAGGATTTATACAATAATCAGCACCGCCTGTTACGTTCACTGTCAGTGGCCGAAAATTCCCCTTTGAGATAGACTTCCACAGACGATACATTTTCAATATGCCACCTCGCAAGTCCAAGAAAGGCAAGCAGCCTGCTACTCCCAGTAGTGGAAGGGTTGAGAAGTCGCAAAAGTCCAAGACTCAGAAGAAGACAAAGTTGAGCGATATCGCGCAAGAGGTTCAGGCTGCAGGAGAGAGCATAAAGGGTGGATTGACAAAATTCAAGACTAGTCCATCCTCTCAGTCTGTCTCTAGCGCAGAAAATAGAGATAAGGCCCTTGATCTTGACACGTCTTATGTTGGAAAGGTCAAAATTCCAAAAAAGGCCCCAAAGCCCCCACGTCACCGTAGATGGAAACACAAGGGAAAGGAGTCTTTAGAGAACCCGGCAGAACTTCCCGATGATTGGACTGACAGTGAGCCCGATTTAAGTGATGAGTATGTGATGTCTTCAGATATTCTAATGGTAAACAAGCTTGCTAACTGATATAGTGATTATGATGCTCAGATTGCGCGCTGTCAGGAGAGAATCAAGGACAATATCATGGTCTCGCGGTTTGAAGCAAGGCTGGAAGCTTTGGAGGTGGATAAAGCTGAGAAGGAGTAGGTTCTATCCACATGATTATTTATTGATCGGGCGCTAATTTTTAATTAGATTTTGGGTTGACTCGGAGCCTTACGGGCTTAGCTGGCCCGTTATCCAACGCCTAAATTCCCTCAAGCAGATGGAACAAGACCTGACCAAGAACGACCAGTATAAACAGCTGGAAACCGTGCGAGCTATCATGCGGGCATATCGATATAAGTATCTTCAGTGGAATCATGGCTTGGTCACGTACTGGGTCAAAGATCGTCAGCTTTGCCAGCCGCGTCCATTCAGGTGGGATGAGATGGACCAGGTGAAGGGAAATAATGCAAAAGGAGAGAGTTTCTGGGTTGAGGGGGCAAGTTAAATCAACTACATAGGACAGGGAGTATTGATGATCTAATATTGGGTATTCAGGGAACCGAAACCGGGTCCAGAACCTCTGGCAGTTAAGATGTCGTTGCCCCCAGATTCCGTGAATATGCACTATGTACGTGTTGTGGCACCCACCGAAGTCAAAAACTCCTGCTAAATCATCATGTCATATAGAAAAAATTCACATTGCGATTACCGTCACCCGACGGTGGCACTCAGATCACTAGCACTCTCAATATGATGGAAGATAGTGGTGCCTCGATTGCCACACTTTATGAAGATGATGTCAAGAATATGATGTATCCCCGGCCTCATTATGTGCCTGTGGAGATGGTAATTGGAAGAAGTATCGTGACAACCTCAAATGGACAAATAAACCAACCATTGATCAAGGTTGAAATCTGCTTGCCTCATGAGGGCGAAGTTTTAATACCTTGGACCCCCATACAGGTCTTGTTGATGCAAGGCAGACTCAGTTCAAAAACTGCCGACCGGCTCTTGGGCCCGGTTCTGCGGCGTATGGCATACACTGCCACCGCCCCAGATAATAGAGATCGAATTTTCATTGCCAACAATCGGAAGGATTTGTTAGATTTGCTCCCAGAAGCAGATATATCCAAGGCATATGTGCCGGAAATACCTGTAGATTATGCTCAAGAGCCAGGTCATCCAGTTTTCTACTGAACGGCTGGGGAAGTATTTCGATGTCTTTATAGAGTACGAGTATGATTGAAGACGATTTCGGTCGGAGGCGGTGCGAGTTTCTAGTTTCAAGTACCGGTACTATGGTTGCGCAATTTGATAATTGGATTTACTTCAATTTAATCCAAGTCTTCCTTTTTTTGTTCTATTTTTGCGCTGTACTTACGATCGACCTAACGGAGTAGATATTGTACAATCTTCAAATCCTCCACTTTTCCGTGCGATTCCAATATGTACAAAGCTATAAAATCCCGGCTGAGAAAATGTTTCTGCGATAGAGTCATGGAAGACTAAGTTGTCCTTTAGAGTCGCCTATATCGGCGCCGCACAACCCGTCCTTATCATACGGCATTAATAATATGGGGGCGGATTATTGTTGGGAATTGACCAGACTTTCACATGCAAATTCCCCTCTCGCAAGGTGGGGCAGGTTCCACGGGGAATAAATTATGGAGCAAGCGAATTATGGAGCATCGTGGAACATCATGGAGAAAGCTGTCAATGGGATGGGACTGGCATTCCTGTTCTGGGAGAGACTGCCAAGGAATAGTCATCACCATGACATATAGGCAACCACAGAATGCGCACGAACCTGGTTCTAACCATGCATGAGGCGTTGTGATCGCTGCGGGATGGCCTGAATTCATCTCATGCCGCTTGGCCAGATGAAAGCGCTCGGGTGCTTACAGTGGTTCGGATAGGACGATTAACTCTAGACAGTCCCTTAGACCCCAGAGGTGCCACTGAACTGTTTCTCGCTAGACAACTTCGAGTTTAGTGGGAATGTTTAGTCTCCATCCTTGCTTGCTTTTTGCTGTTTGCTCTCAACAGAATTAAGATGTAATGGCGGATGAAGCGGTAGTCTCGTTCCTGCGGCCGATTTTTCCTGCGTTTATATTTTTGCGCCTTGGACATCACTTAGCCCTATAACCAGCTCCGAAGAAAAACAATACTTCAGTATCACCACATTCGACATTCAAACTGCAAGATATTTTTCACCCCGCACTCCGATTGCCCCTCGCTTCATCCGAGCTGAATTACAAAGATGACGATCCTCGACATCGACAAGGACCTCCCAACTCTGTTCCAGCAGCAGGCGCACGCGACTCCAGACGCGATTGCGCTAGAGGATCACACCACAAAATATACATATGGCGAGCTCAACAAGGAGGTTGAGTCGCTGGCAAATCGTCTCCGACTCTACGGAGTGAGCCGAGACACGCTGGTAGGCGTATTGCTACCACGAAGTGCCAATTATGTGATCGCCTGTCTGGCTGCCCTTCGTGCTGGAGGTGCATTTCTGGTCCTCGAACTCGCATATCCGCCCGGTCTGCTGGCTGATGTGATTGACGATGCAAAGCCCGCTGTGGTCATCACTGACCGGGCCGAGGCCCCCAAAATTAAGGCCCAATGCCCGCTGATTGCTCTCGATGAACCAATATCTGAGCTGAACGGACATGCTAAAGAAGCTGCTCCTTTCCCTGCTCAGAATGATCTTGACCGACTGGCTTTCGTTTCTTACTCTTCTGGAACTACCGGCAAGCCCAAGGGAATTGCAAACCCCCAGCGTGCTCCTGTTCTCTCTTATAATTTGAGATTTGCTGTGCAGGACCTGCAGCCCGGCGATCGAGTTGCCTGCAATGTTTTCTTTATTTGGGAAATGCTTCGCCCGCTACTACGAGGTGCCACAGTTGTTGCTGTGCCCGACGATGTCAGTTATGACCCAGCTGCGCTGGTCGACTTACTTGCGTCGAAGAAGATTACCGAAACACTCATGACCCCGACTCTTTTGGCGACTGTTCTCTCACGTTATCCCCACATTGCCACTCGTCTGCCTGATTTACGAACTCTCTGGCTGAATGGCGAGGTTGTTTCGACCGATCTGGCCCGCCGATCAATCAAAGCTCTCCCCAATACCCGCCTGCTCAACTGCTATAGTGCTTGTGAAACACACGAAATCGCCTGTGGAGATATTCGCGATATCATCGATCCCGAGTCCATCTATTGCCCCGTTGGCCCTCCGCTGGACCCTGCTCATACTTATATTGTCGACGAAAACGGTGAAGACGTCGGCGTGGGAACTGCAGGTGAACTCCTCGTCGGAGGCGACCTGTTGGCTCGGGAATACCTCAATCTCCCCGAGACAACAGCGAAAGCCTTCACCCCTAATACGTTCGATTCCACCCCGGGCGCTCGCATGTATAGGACTGGTGATCTGGCACGCCTGCTACCATCTGGTCTCCTGGAAATCACCGGTCGCGTTGGTGCTATGATCAAGCTTCGCGGATATTCCGTCGTCCCGGCAAAGGTCGAGAGCGATATTTGCCAATATATGGCTGTGAGTCACTGTGCAGTCACTGCCCATGGCGAAGGTCTCGAGAAGCAATTGGTTGCATACATCGTTCCCGACGAAGCTTCCGAAGATCGCCCGGCAGTCGAAATCAACGAGTCTGGCCACAGCCCAGCTGCTCGTCGCATTCTTGAGCCTTATCTCGCCCATTACATGATCCCCGCCCTGTGGGTTGAATTGAAGGACCTTCCAACCAATGGTGTTTCTGGCAAGGTTGATCTGAAGAGCCTTCCCCCTCCTCGCAGTTCCAGTCCTAGCGGCAGCGAGAAGACGCTGGACAAGGACCCGATTAGTATCGGAGATATCGCAGCCATCTGGGCAAATGTTCTGAAGACCTCGAAGTCGCTTCTTAAGCCAGAGGACAACTTCTTTGACCTTGGTGGTCACTCTTTGTCGCTGGCCGACCTGTCATCTCGACTCACTAGACACTTTGGCTTCCGCGTGCCCATTCCTCGTCTCGCCGAAGATACCACTCTCGCTGCCCATCTAGAGACCGTGCGTGCTGTCAGAGATGGACATACTGCACAGGTTCAAGCGGAGCTCCCAGCTTTCCTGCTCGCTGATTCTACCCTGGACGACGACATCAAGCCTGTTGAAAACACAAAGATCAAGTCTATTGCATCGGCCGATACCGTTCTGCTGACTGGTGTTACTGGCTTCTTGGGAGCGTTCCTTTTGAATGATCTGCTGGAGAACACATCAGCTAAGATTATTTGTCTTGTGCGATTCACTGATCCCGAAGATGACGACCAGGCTGGCGGTGTTGCCCGAATCCGACGCAACCTTCTTGATTTGGGGCTTTGGAAAGATACTATCATGGAACGTGTCGAGGTTCTTCCTGGAAATCTTTCTCGACCCCAGTTTGGTCTCTCGCCAGAGGCGTATGAGGATGTTGTTGGCCGAATCCAAGTCATCGTGCATGCGGCTGCCACTGTCAACCTTGTCTATCCCTACGCTGCTCTCCGGGCTGCCAACGTCGGTGGAACTCGAGAGGTTCTTCGTCTGGCTTCCAAGGCTGGCGCGACCGTACAGTATGTTTCGACAAATGGTGTTCTACCCCCGTCTGAGGAGAATGGTTGGCCCGAGAGCACCATGCTGGATGTCGCGGATGTTCCCACCAAGCTGCTCGATGGATACGGTCAAACCAAGTGGGTTGCTGAACAGTTGGTCCTGAAGGCTGGTCAGCGAGGACTTCCTGTGAAGATCCACCGATGCGGTACTATCAGCGGTCACAGTCTGACCGGCTCTGCCAACGCTTGGGATCTTTTGACTGCTCTCCTCGTCGAGTCTATCCGACTGGGATTTGCCCCTAACGTCGAGGGATGGCGCGCCGAGATGACCCCTGTTGATTTCGTTAGCAAGTCCATCATTCACCTTGCGACTCAAACCGACTCTGTGGTGGACCAAACGGTCTTCCACCTGGGTGATCCCCGTCCAGTCAACACCGCCTCCGTCTTTGAAAACTTGAAGGAGCTTGGATACCCCACCGAGTCGCTTCCGTGGGACGAGTGGGTGGCTCTATGGTTCGAGAAGCGCGGATCAGCCAAGGGTGGTGATGGTTCTTTTACTGTCGACATTCTTCGCAGTGGTATGCCGACTGTCGAGTTCTTGCGCGGCATTGTCGTGCTCGATAATGCTTTGACCAGACCTTTCCGTGAGGTTGTTGAACGCCCCAAGGTGGATAGTATTCTTCTGGAAACGTATGCTCGCCACTGGTTTGCTCGTGGCTGGCTTCCTCGGCCTCCTTCTCGTCGGAATGCCCTTGGTCGCTCGGTGCAAGTCTCTACCAAGGGCCCCCTGAGTGGTAAGGTGGCTGTGGTGACTGGAGCCTCTTCGGGTATCGGCGCAGCGGTTGCGTCTGCGCTGGCCAAACAGGGCGCAGCAGTGGCTATTGGCGCCCGTCGTCTCGATGCGCTGGAGTCCGTGAAGGCCAAGGTCGAAGCACATGGTGTCAAATGTATCGCCCGATCAACAGATGTCACCAACAAGTCGCAGACTGAAGCTCTTGTCCAAGCGGCTACAGAAGAGCTAGGCGAGGTCGACATCCTTGTCGCATGCGCTGGTGTTATGTACTTCACGATGATGGCCAACACCCAGACTGATGAATGGGAGCGAACCGTCGACGTCAACTGCAAGGGTCTGCTCAACGCCATTGCTACTACTGTTCCAGGAATGCTGTCGCGCGGTCGCGGTCACGTCGTTGCTATCTCCTCCGATGCCGGACGTAAGGTCTTCCCTGGTCTGGGTGTTTACTCCGCCAGTAAGTTCTTCGTCGAGGCTACCCTCCAAGCTCTTCGTCTGGAGACTGCCGGTCAAGGCCTTCGTGTCACAAGTATTCAGCCCGGAAACACTTCCACCCCGTTGCTGAACATGTCCACCGATTCCGAAGCCGTGAAGAAGTTCGGCGAGCCGTCTGGTGCGAAGATTTTGGAACCTTCTGATATCGCCAACTCGATCATTCATGCTCTGTGCCAGCCGGAGTATGTCTCTGTCAACGAGATGTTGGTTGAGCCTCGCGATGAGCCTATTTGAGAATTTTGCTACATTACCTTAGATCTATATACCTTGTTCTGCTCGAGTCTTAAGTAAATTTAATCTTTGCGTTCTATCATTACAAAATCTCAAGTTGTTCCTCATAGACTTATACTGTGCCGAATACAGCACTAGCTAGGCCGGGAGGTAGTTCGCACTGTCCGGGCGTGCTAAAAAACTGCTTGACCTTAACTGTTTTCGCTCGAGCCCCGGTGCTCATCATCGCCTACAATCTGCGAGTATCTCGCGATAGAACGGACGACCTATTAAGAATTAGTCATATAATACCAGCAGCAGGATTTCAAGTTCAGAGCCCTTACCTTTGTTAAGACGAAGCAACTCATTCTCGTACGGGCCCAGTTCCTCCTCCATTAAAAGTGTGTCTGGAGGCGCATCTTCTTTCTGTCCGTCATACATCCATCCCCAGCCCGACTCTTCTTTTTCATCTATCACTTCATCGACTTCGCCATAAGAATTGACAGTTTGTCTAGTTGATCGAACGACGTAGCGAATCCGGCGGAGCGACCACGGTCCCTTTTTAAGAAGCGCGCGACATTTGTATGGCCCCATGTCATCATATCCGAGCCCTTCCAACGAGAGACGAATGCGAACACTTCGATGGATTTTCTCATTTGTATCTCTCAGGAAGTACGGTGTCGCTTGTCCCGTATCGCGAGCGACGACATGATACATCCCAGGTGTGCGGGTCAATTTCCCTGCCAGACGGTATAATCCCGTTTCCGGCTGAACAATCTCGCCCAATGCCCAGGGACGAACTGGTCGGTGTTCGTCGTAAATTGAGGCGGACGCCCACTGTGTCACTCTCTTTCGTTCTGGGGAATCAGGTCGAGGCTTCGACTGTTGGCCACAATTGTAATAATAACGAACGCTCTCCTCAAATATCCGATCTATTGTATTTGACTCGAAGGCAACACCAATAGATGCGAGTTGGTCCATCATCCAGGCCATAGTGATATTTGCCATTTCTTGATCGGGAAGACCTCCACCGACATTGGAATGCGCTCCAGGGAACCAGACTTGTCGAAGGTCGGTACGGGATTTGGGCGGTCTTTCCCAGACTGCTGGAGAGAAGGAGGCGCGATCTTCATCAAGGGCGAGCGCCTGGAAGGCATATTCAATGTCGTTGGAGAGTGATGTGTCGTAGAATTTGCATGTAAGAGCTTGTCAGTGTTATTTGCGCTTGGTTAGAATAACAGGCCACTTATTCTTTTGTTGAGCGGGGTATATCAAGCTTGCTGGTGAGACTTATTTCAGGGATACCTATTTCATTCAAGTGAGAAGGCGGTTTCTGATCGATGGAAAGGTGCGCATACCTAGACTTCCTACCGTATCCCACACCGCAACGCAGCGGATTTTGATGCGATATCCATCTGGGTCATTAAGTCGTGTGAAGCCGCCCTTTGAAGACTATTAGTATAGTAAAGTTGATCTGAAGAGTTGGGCCTAAATACCTCTTCAAGGCGTTGTCGATATTCTTTACCTCTGTCAGGCGACTTTGGCTTGTTAGGAAATGGAACTGTGGGAAATTTGTCCTTATAATGGGTATTTCGCATGTTCTGAACATCCTTGAAGATCGGATAAAACACTTCCATTCCTTTGGAGTTGAGAAGACCGATCTCGGATATCATGCTCTGCTGTGATATTAGCTCAAATTCCGCTCTCATTGAGACGATCTACTTACTGCTACGGCACGCGCCGTAAAAGCACCGCGGGAAAATCCCATCAAGATGATCTCATCTCCAGGCTCATAATTTGCAGCGACAAAACTGTAAGCCTCTCGCATGTTCTAGGGATTTTGATTAGAGCCATTCAACCGTGGTAAAGAGTTAACACCACCGACTTCAGAAACCCCGGCTCCAAACACTCCACCGGCTATACTATCAGCGATTCCACCAGTACTACCAACACCGGGTTGATAGTACGAGATTTGACACGTTCCATCCCGGTCGCGGTTTCTGAGTGAGCGGTAAACACGAGTCACGTTCGATGGAACCTGGAGCGTCGCGTTTGGCTGGTCAAGGGTGGGCCGGTTGTAGCCTTTGTCACTATTCACCCAAGTTCCATCCAGACAGAGAATGATACGTTTCCATGGCACAGGCATCGTGCACGATGGCCCGGCAGCAGATCATAGAAAGGGCCAACTTGAACTTGATGTCAGCCCCACGTTGAAAGCAAACAGGCTCTGGAGAAAGATGAGTGGGTCGTAATTGAATGACCTAAGCGGGTACGTAAATATAAACGACGATTCGCTCGCTGGGACTCCGAGACTAGTTCGTACTAGTACATACAGACCAGGGCCCAGTTCCAAAGCGGCACAAGTTCATGCATGCTTCACAGCCGGCTTACGGTTCACGTGTCTATGCCCTGGCTGACGAGGCGCGCCAATCAGCAAGCATCAGTATAGACCGTATATGCATGTGAGATACATTTAAGGCCCAGCCTTCCAATCCAATCCGGAGTCCTTCAAATTGGCTTCGAAAGTTTCAAAGAAGTGGAAGAGTTCATGATAGAAGTCATTTTGTTGGTTCGACTGCTTTTCTCAAGAGACACCAAAGAACTATCGCGTAACTCTGAATGTTTATGGGGCTACCTTGGTCACTCCATCTAGAAAAACGCTCGCACAAACGCTCCAGTACTAAACAGTCAATAACCCCGAGAAAATAAAGCCAGTATCGATCGCTTCTTACGAGTACCTGCGATATTCAATGGAGTCTGTCTTTGCATGTTTTCCTGCCATGGGCTCAGGCTAAGACCAATAAATATTTCAGTCAATCTAGCATCGTCACCATCCAGAACCCCGTTGTGCAGATTCTCCGGGTACTTTACCAGGCGCAACGGGGACGACAACATAGTCATCCGATTTGTCGCTGGTATATATGCCGTGGCGACTTCAGCAAGGAACTTTCAGTGATTCTTTATGTGGATAATTCCGGAATTGGCGTAAGCTGACACTTTCTCGCGATATGAGTCAACTCAAAGAGACTCAGTTTGCCCATCGTGGGTGCGGAGTAACACGTCATGGTGTTGTGGGGGCCAGAAACAAAACAAATAGGCATTGCCAGCACTAAGACACAACATGGTACCTCACATTTGTGCGGATAGTGATCATATTTAGATCTAGCTAGCGGTGTTGTGGTTTGACCATCGGAACGTGGAGCGAAGAAGCCATGGATGGAAGATCCATGGAAGGAAGGGAGCCTACTAGGCACCAAGGCATCAAGGCATTCGGATATCAAGGCACTAAGGCACTAAGGCGTCCAACCCTGGATTTGTTAACTAGTGTATAACTACTCCATAGTTGTTAGTATACAAACCATAATTTCTAAGCAACCTCAAATATGTATGACACCCTGACGTAAAGCAACCCCCAAACCAGCTTCTCAAATAGCTCCAACTCGGCAAATGTCCGGATGGCAGAAAGGAGTAACTTGAAATTTACTCGACTCGAGCGCAACACGCAATCGGCGCATGGATGTCGTGATCCTCGGTCCACCAAACACCTTCAAATCAACAAATTCACCCCTCGAATAACTCCGTTTGCTTTCCTCCCATAGGCTCTAATTGCTGCAGAAACTCTGTTTGAATTTCGATATAACGTGTTCTGTCCTAAATAGTATCTGTCAACGCAAATCCCCGAGCGGTAGTACTCGCCCAGTCCCCGCAAGATATTACTTACCACAGATGAAATAGACTCGCCCCTCTCCACTGCAAGTTTTCTGTCCCCTGGGACCTAGTGTGGGGTCCATGGCGTGCATTGCTGCGGCTTGTCTTCTCCACATAGTCTCTTCTTAAATGGATAGAAAAGTGGGAAGGGATGTGGATTGGGGCCACATGGCTGATGGTTATAAGGACTTGTCCTGATCCAGTTGTAGTCGACGTCGTGTCCCAGCAGAATTTTTGACGACCGGCCATAGTTAGGAAAATCAGCGATCCGGTAGCATTTTTCCTTCTTTTTGAAAACAAAAGTTGCCAATCCGAAGTGAAAACCACGGCCTGTCTATATGGCTGAATTGGAGAAGAATGTCGGGGCGGCTACCACCTCGCCGCCCATCTCGTCGATAGCCTCTGAGGATCATGATAAAAATTATGCCTTTTATCGTCAGAATCGCGGACTTGATTATACGCCTGAAGAAGAGAAGAGAACCCTTAGGAAGATTGATTTGCAGTTGATTCCGCTCTTATTTGTGATTTATATGATTCAGGTGAGTTCTATTGATGCCTTGCCCTGTATTGCTAGACTGGTTGTGTCGACGTGACTTCTCCTAGTACCTGGATAAAAACAGCATCAACTTTGCTTCTGTATATGGATTGAAACAAGGGACCGGCCTGACGGGGCAAGACTATTCGTGGTTAAGTACGTTGCATTCTACCCGTTTTGTTCAGCATCTCCTCGCATATTGTGCTAACTACTAACTTACTAGGTTCTATTTTCTACTTTGGCTATCTCATCGCCCAATGGCCTGCTGGTCTGGCCCTACAAAAACTTCCGGTCGGGAAGTTCCTCGGATACACAACACTAGGTATAAATTCGAAACCTCGAGCTCCATCACATGTGCCAGATACTGATTGCTATATCTTTCGTCTACCAGTATGGGGTGGTCTCCTCATGACAACGCCCGCCTGTTATAATTTCGCCGGAATCGCAGTGAATCGATTCTTACTCGGCTTCGTCGAAGCTGTTGTGAATCCAGGCTTCGTTCTGTTGATGAGTATGTGGTATACTGCCGAGGAGCAGCCTCTTAGGTTGGAGGCTTACTACTGCACCAATGGTATCGCGACAATGTTTGGAGGGTGAGCTCCTCTTATTTCTCATCTAGACAAGATATCTGTGCTAATAAGGGATAGATTGATTGGCTACGCTGTTGGTCACATTACCGCCGGTCTTCCGAAGTGGATGTACGTCTTTCTCATCTTCGGCGCCTTCTCACTTGTCACGGGTGTCTTTGCACTATGGCTCCTCCCGGACCTGCCATCCACAGCCAAATTTCTTACCGAGAAGGAGAGGGCTATTGCTGTTGAGCGTGTAGCAATCAATCGCCAGGGAGTGAAGAATCAACAATTCAAATGGTATCAGGTCTGGCAAGCAGCAAGAGACCCCAAGACTTGGCTCTTGTTTATTATGGCTATCGGGGCACAAGTGCCAAACTCGGCTTTGACAAGTGTATGTTTCTATTCCTTCCATTATTCATAACGACTACGACCCTAGGATTCTCAGAGCAGATACTCTAACAAAACTTACAGTTTACATCCATCATCGTCGGCTCCTTCGGTTTTGATACACTGGGCACCCAATATCTTCAGATCCCAGGTGGTGCGGTCCAATTCTTGACCTTGCTTTTCGGAGGCTATATTGCGACCAAATTCAACGGGAAATTCCACTCGCGAAACGCCTGTATGATCGTTGCCAATTTGACCTGCATTCTCGGCGCGGGTTTATTGGTCGGTTTACCCGACTCGAATAAATGGGGCCGTCTCGTTGCGCTTTGGTTATGTTATTTTCAGGGTCTGGGCTTCAGTATGAGCTTGACCATTGTCAGCTCTAATATTGCTGGATACACCAAGAAACAGGTTACCGGCGCTTTGCTTTTTACTGGATACTGCGTTGGTAATATCATCGGGCCACAGACATTTAAGGACAGTGAGGCCCCTGGGTACCACAGTGCCTATATTGCGTGAGTGGTTCATTATTTACCTGGTGAGATTTGGTTCCAAGGTTTACTAATTCCGGAGCAGTATGCTTGTCGGTTATATTGTCAAACTGACCGCGATTATTGCTCTGTACTTGTATATGTATCTTGAGAATAAGAAGCGGGACCGTGAGGCGGTTGATAATTTTGAATCTGACGCGGATGGAGTTGAAAATGGAATGCTGGTAAGTCTTTCGCTCGGAGACTTGATCACAACGATAGCCGGCTGACTTTCCCATTATAGGATCAAACGGAGATTGATAACAAGGAATTCCGATACGTGTTATAACATCAAGATGTTTGCGCCCACTTCACAAATAAACTAGTATATTGCCGTTGTTAATATTAGAAGAATGCATAGCATTGAATTGGTTTTTCTACAATCTCAATATCTGAATTATGCCCAGGTGGTACAACAATCAGGTCGGATTTCGGACTTTGAATGCCCAATACGGATCTCAACAGAGGACCTTCTGAATGACCTCGGGAGAGTTTGAAAAGAAGCGAACGGAGCCGAAATCTAGCTCTGCGAGCCAAGTCCATCACTAACCGAATATTTCGGGGTCAGGAGCTTTCAATTATAGCTTGAGCAATCTTCTCGGCAAGCATATCTGGCGATTGTTAGAGTTACCACTATATCCAAATCCAAAAGGGGGGATGGGGGGGGGGGGGACCTTACAAACTGTAGACTGGGGATGGCCGGGAGGTAGGAATGGGAAGGCGCTAGCATCAACAACTCGCAAGCCCTCGACTCCATACACACGAGCCTGCGAATCGACCACAGCCATTTCGTCACCGGAGGTTCCCATTTTGCAAGTGCAGCCGGCATGCCACAGGGTCATCATATTATCCTTGATAAATTCGAGAATTCTCTCATCTGACTGGACATCTTCGCCTGGATAATATTCCTTGCCAATAACTACTGGGGCCATTGCATCACTCCGGAAAGCTTCCCGGATCCGCTTAAATATAGCAATGGCAACTTCTTGGTCGGCAGTATCACCAAGCCAGTTGGGATTAATTATGGGCAAATCCGATGTATCGCTTGACCTCAATGTCACGTTGCCTCTGGAAAGCGGTGCGACCAGTACTCCGAGCATCGAGGCGTACTGATATCCATCCTTGGGCTGATCTTGCAAAAGGTTGGAAATGTTACCCATATATCCGGCCCCAGAAATGTACTATAAAAGCGTTAGCGAATCTTTCATTGACTTGGCCTTTCGTCTCTCATTTCTTACCTCGGCCTCGGGCCAGTCATTGGAGAATTGTGATAATGCACTCTGGGTTGCCTTGGAAAACGTCGACCGTAGCGATTGAGGAATCTTCTCCCATGCCAGGTAGTCGGATACTGGATTGGTGATGGGGCCGGTCTTCATCAGGATGCCACTCATAACTTTGCCCGCCGCATAGAGGAGGTTGTTCGCGAACTCGGTCAGGGTGGAGACCTGGACTCGATACGAAGGGGCGAAAAACGGGTGATCCCAGAGATTCTGACCAACTCCGGGTAATTCAGCAACGATTTCAATTTCGTGCTCATTCAGGATATCGGCCGGTCCAACGCCGGAGACCATGAGAAGTTGAGGTGACTGGAAAGCACCCGCGGAGAGGATAACCTCCTTTGACGCCGAAAGAGTAACAGTGTTTCCCAGTAATCCCTTGACCTGAACGCCAGTTGCTTTCTTATTCTTATTGAACACGACCTTCTTCGCGAGAGTATTTGTGTAAGTTGTTAGACTAGATGGGGTGATCTTTGAGAGGAAGGATTCCTCGGAGCTGCTGCGTATTTCGCTTGCAGGGTCGATTGTCGAAGAGCAATATTGCCCTCCCATCAATGAGCCTTGGTTGAAGTCATCGACCTCTTTGATCCCAATGGCTTGCATGCCCAGGTTCATCCAGGATGAGAATGGCTGAGCATAGTTGGCATAGGAAACTTCCAAGGGCCCACCGTTTATGTTAAATGCGTCGGCATTGTACTTGGCAGTCGCATTGGAAGCTCGAAGTTTATCATTCGGTGGGGTGAAGTGGACACTCTTCTTATAGTATGGAAGGGTCTCATCGAAGGTATAGCTGGTATCATTGACTGCATCGGCCCATTGCTGCATAGATTCGACGGTTGGGCTACATAAGACCGTGGTCAGGATTGAACAGAATGAAGATAGTTGATGAGAGGACGTACCGTTGATAGATCATGAAATTGAGGGCAGATCTTGAAGTTGTCAGTATTGATCCAATTCAAAATCGCGGTTATTTTGAGACCCACGATCCCCCAAGGCATTTTCCTCGTGCATAGTGAATGGAGCGCCCATTAGCGCCCGGCTGATCTTTCGTAACGAATCCCCAATCCACAGCAAAGGATGTATCAGGATCCGATCCGACCGGAAGCACATCAGCCGCAGGAACCGCTGCTAAAGACTGTACCTCGTAATGACCTCCAGCTTCCACCAGTGCGACCTTGAACGAATTTTGCGCCAGTCGCGTCGCGATTGCATTTCCGCCTGTACCACCACCAACAACCACGTAATCGAATGTACCGTCCGCAAGGGGACTCAACTGAGAGGATCGTCGCTGGGACGCGTCGGCGTTCTCACCGCTCGCCTGGAGCGCGAGATAAATAAGGAGTGGATGGAATAGCATCTTGACGACAGCTATCCGATAAACGAATGTCGAACGATCTATTCCATCATCATCATTGTAGTTAGCATAGTGTATAGTCGTGAGTAGACTGGGCCAATCGATCGCGGGTCGTACCAAGGAAAGATGGGGCAATTGGGCCCGTGTACACGGCTAAGCGAACCTTAGGAATCGAGTTTCAAAAGAACGACTGATCGATCTATCTGGGCTATCTGACTCTTTAAGGATTCACGCAAATTGCATTCCTCGGCCCCCAATGCAGGGGCTTCTTTTGCGGAAGGACCACAATCAATATTCTGGCAGCCTCGAAATGTGTCTCTCAATTTTAGGACAAGCAAATATAATAATCATGCATGACTGGGCCCACTTTGGATAACTACAGCGGCGATCTTACGGGTACAGAAACCGGCCATTGGCCTGTGGGGTTAGGGGGGGTTCCTGTCTATCCGTACCTGGCATCCAAAATATAGCAAAGTCCGATTTTCAAGTGATTTAAAAAATCCCTGTGCCTTATTTAGTTTAACGATTTGACTCATGACAGTGGATGATGTGCTAATCAGACTGCGCAGGCGTTATGAGCCGGGACTTGTTTCTGAGTTACTTTTGAAACTGTTCATGGGTGGGACTCGCGTGTGCGAGATTGCTTCACTCATTAATTAGTTTAAGATCCGTCGTTTCATGTACATAATAGCCGATGCTATTGTTCGCCGCTTGGACTTTGAAAAAAACTAGAATCTCTAAAATCCGACCGACAACTAAAAGATGAAGAATTACCCCACTACTGCTGCCATGTATAGGGGAATAAAATGATTCCCAATTACTAGGAATGGTAGGTAAAGAGTGGTGATATTCACATATGTGGTGCAATCGAGTGTTATCTAGCTGATGTTCCCTGACGGGCAGCTCGGTTCATCTTCTAGTTCAAGCGCAGCCGGACTCGTTGCTGCTCGCTTCCAAGGGAGTAGAAAGTCCGACACGATCAATCGTCTGGGTGTAGACGACTCCGCCGTTCTCTCGGTCTTCGTGGACAACCAGATCCTTGCGCTTTGTGTCTACGAGGAGGCGAACCAGATCAGGTCGCATGTAATGACCGCCCTATCCCCAACTAGTCAGCTTTCGACCTCATCTGGAGAATATCTTGAGAACTTACGAAATCGGCCAGAGACTTTGTCAGGTGAATCTCATCGAGATCAATCTAGAAAAATGAATGTTAGCTTTAGGTTATACCGAATATTGGAGACCACTCAGGCTGACTTACATCAACATAGAGAAGACCCTGGAAGTCCTTCGACGGGTGCGGTACAAGGTTCTGTCCATCGGGGCCGAAAATACGCCCATTTCCGTTATAAATGTTGGGATCCTCCAGTTCCTTGCCAGGAGGGGTGTTGACCTTGATTCCCTCAGCGGTGATAGTCTGCCAAGGAGCGAGGGTGAAGGAACCGGTCTCGATCGCATACGCGGGCGTAACGAGCTGGGCCGTCTTTCGTCAGTCATCAGATCAAATGCTCACGTTGGCAAGCACATTTGGGGCTCTTACATCCGCATTTGCCTCCGCAACGTTGGTGTACGGGTCAGGGTACTTGAGGGTCTCCTTTCCTGGGTACAAAGGCCAGGCTGCGATGTGGACCTGCTCTCCAAGAGATGCAGCGTACGCCTTCATGAATGGGTTCATGTTCTCCCAACAGTTCAAGTGTCCCACGCGGCCGATTTCAGTGTCCATGACCGATTCCGTGGTGTCACCCGTTCCATCGCCAAACACAAGACGCTCGACGTGAGTAGCGCGGATCTTGCGTCGATGATTGATGACCTCTCCAGCCGGGTTGATCATAATCTGGGTGGTATACAGACTGGCAAGATCGACCTCGGAGTAGCCAAGGGAGACGTAGATCTTGTTGGCGCGCGCAGCTTCGCGAATGCGGCGCATTTCATCGGAGTTGGAAGGGAGACTGTTCTCTCGGTACTTCTTGAGCAGTGGAAGACTCTCCTGGTAGTTAACCTTCCAGGCCCAGTATGGGTAGCCGGGAATCCCTGAATGATTTTATCAGTGATTCATCCTGTATTTTAGCTCGCGTGCACTTACATAGCTCCGGGAAGGCGATCAGCTTGCAGCCGGCCTTTCCTGCTTCATCGATCCAGTGGATTGTTCGTCGAACGGATTCCTCTAGGTCAAACCAGCCCGGCTCGGCGTTGACTGCTGCGGCCTTGTACTTCTTGAGAACGGGAGTCATGGTGAAGGTAGAGGTTGGTAAAGGTGTAGTCTGAGGTAGATTGAATAGATGAAAGTCGAATGATGGTTTTTCCCTTCGGACGACGAAGGGGCTTTTATATTATCTCACTGAGGTCACCACATCTCGTTTCAAGTTGAAGTCTGCCGATTACGCATACCGATTCTTCCGTGTCATCCGATGCAGAGAGGGAATTCTCTTAATCCTGAATAACCGCTGAAGCTCCAGACTTCTGTCTCACACGATATGGCTGGCCCCCGTACAGCTTCGGGCAGTCAGAATCGGGATTTGCTTTAGTTGCAGAGACCTGTCATACATAGTGTTGGCTCCACGGTGACGTGCTGCAGAAGATCAACCGCAGTGGAGTGATTACGCGGGGTCTGCAAGACCCCGAAGCGATCTATTCTGCGTTCTCTATCTATAATCAGACCACGCGGCACGGTTTATCTTAGTCGCCAGGAACAATTAGTAGCCCAAATCCCGACCAACCCCCGTACCTATCCGAAATCCTGGGACGACACCTGGGCACACTTCATTTACGGGATTCGTTGAGACAATTCCAGAAATTGCTGTACATTATCGTGATCAAATTTTCTATTCGGGATTTGAATCTGCAGCAAATCATGCCATGTATAACATTCACCGTTTCAGGTGACACAGCCTGTTATCACTGCTCAGGCGACTCAGCAGATCCAGCAGATCCCGGCAAAGCCCGCACGTTGGATTGAGATTGTACCTCTCAGTACTATCCAATGATCCTCGGTTCTCAGTAGCGGTACCTAAACCCAGGAGTTTTCCAGTCTGTGGTATCTTCAAAGTCGTTTGATACCAGTTGAACCTGGTTTATCATGCCCACAACATCCTTCGAGTTATGATCGCTATCCACAATCTTGCCACCTCCGATGGCGCCTGCATTTCCAGCACTTCCCTCGAATCCTTCTTCCTGCGCACGACGTTTATTTATCCATTGCAGGTAAAATCTCAGGCTTGAAGCCAGCAAAACCACCAACGCATAGCAGATCATGATAGTGCGAAAGGCCGTGTTGTAAGTGGGTGCCTCGCTACTCAAAAAGAATTGAGGACCAGAAATGTTCCCGGTGCAATATCCCAGAAAGACCATTGCGGTAACTGTCATCTTCTTGGTGACTCCGCGATAATTGGCCTGAACCAAAGACATCGCAAGTGGCATCGCGGCCGGCCCAGTCGATAAGAGAAAATATCCAAACAATTGCACTCCAAGCACTATGTGAGCTCGCGAGTAGATTATCGCGCTCCCCACGATACATGGAAGCACCACGGCCACAATGAGCAAGCAATTCAACTGACGGAAGCGGCCGGCAAGCCAACCCGTGCCGGTGATTGTTGCGACGGTGATGAGCGAGTAGGGTATTGTCAACAATGTTGACTGCAAATTCGTAAACCCGAAAGATACAAGCACAAGGTTTGCAAAGTTCTGCGTTCCGCCGTTGGGAATTTGGGTCAAAAGCGCCAGGCCAAAGATCAACCAAGTCTTAGGGTCTATCAAACACTCGCGAACTTGATCCCACCTCCAAGCTGTCTTCTCTGTTACTCCGGTTCCTGCGATAATGGCTCGGTTGATCGCGAATCGTCGCTCGTCCTCTTCAAGAAATTTCGCACTCGAAATTGAATCAGGGAGTAAGGTCCAGAGAGCGAATCCCCAGAGGAAAGTCCAAAGACCGAGTACAATGAACATCCACCTCCATGGTCCGACATGGTCGTTGACATGCCCGAGGCCATAGGCAAGCAAACTGGAAACGATCCCGCCAACGCTCTGGGAGTCATGAATCAGTCTCGATTTTCAACCCCAGATGCGGTTAAATAATGCTCACATTTCCGGAAAACCATAAGCCCGTTCGAGTGGGTATCTCATCACGGGTATACCATGTCGACGTGATAAACATGAAAGCGGGTGTAATAGTCGCTTCCGCGACTCCAAGCAAAAAGCGGACTGTCATTAGACCTCCAAAGTTGGTGCAAGTAGCAGTGAGAGCAACTACAGTGCCCCAGAGAAGCGTATTTCCTGTCAAATATTTTGCCGGCGGTAGACGGGCAATCAAAATCGTCGTTGGATATGCCCACGCCAGGTAGCCAAAGTAGAAGATTGACGACACCCAGCTATACTGTTGTCCCACCAGGCCCTATACGAAATCCGAATCAGTAAGTGGCACATTTAATTCACTTTTATGGTCTCACCGTATCTTCGGAAAGCCCAAAAACAGAAGCGCTCGATAAAATAGTCTTGTCCATGAAATTCAGCATATATGTGAGGAAAAGCAAAGGGATAAGCCGTCGATCAATCTTTCGCAGGACCCTCTTGGCGAATGCATGGTCTGTCGCATGCTCCACGGCAGCTTCGGCGGCAGCCGTACTAGACTCAGCCATATTGTTGGATAGCACGGTTGACCTCTCCGTTGAGAAGGAAAGAAGTATGGAGGAGAAACAACATATCTTCCAGCCACCGGCCGCCTCTTGTTTTGAGCTGCCTGACATAGCGCTCTTATCTTCCCCGCATATCTATTGGCTCGAGCCCCACTCCTGTTCGCTATCTTTCCAACGCCGATCATTGGACGATGCTGCAACAAGGAGACCCTAACTAAAGCTCTAAGGGTTAGCGAGTGCCACCTTGGTTAGGGGAAGCCGGAAACCTTTTAGCGGCCCCAGAGGAAGGGCTAATTAGTAATAGTCTTCGCAACGACCTTCCTAACGTTGCGGACCTCGGGAACCTGCCAATTCCAAGGTTTCAGGGATATATAACTCGTACTAGTACGGAGTAGTATCACAAAAACCCCTCTTTTAGTCATCGAATAGTAGAATAGGTATTAGTACCACCTGGGCAGGTTTTAGCCCGTCTTAAACCTTGTACCTCATCTGAAGTTAATCAGATACTAAATCGGCCAAGCTTTCTTCTATAATTCACACCTGGGCATTGTGGGTGACCATGGACGGACTTGTTATTTCCCCTTTCATCGCAAACCTGCCGAAAGTTGAACTTCATGTTCATATTGAAGGCACTTTGACGCCTTCTTTGCGCTGGGAATTAGCCCGGCGTAACAAAATTACACTACCGTACGAGAGTTTTGACGAACTTAAAGCCTCATACGCCGTGACTCTCAACCATCGTCCCGAGCTCAACGGTCGCCAGCCAGGAATTCCAACATTCTTGGAAGCTTATTTCGCCGGTTGCGAAGTATTGCGTACCGAGAATGACTTTTACGATCTTGCAATGGCTTATCTTAGCCGCTGTGCCACTATGAATGTTCGGTACGCAGAGCCTTTCTTCGATATTCAGGCACATACGCGTCGCGGTGTTTCCGCCACCGCAGTTCTTGATGGCTACTTGCGCGCCCAAAGAGACGCAGCAGCACAATTCAATGTGAAATCGCAGTGGATCATGTGCTTTTTACGTGACGAGCCGGTGGAAGATGGCCTAGCCGCATACCATGAGGCTAGGCCCTGGGCAGCCGGGACTGTTCAAGGTGGCAAGGGGCTTTTTCATGCCGTGGGACTGGCAAGCAATGCATATGAGAGACCTCCGATGCTATTCGAAGAAGGTTTCAATCTGGCACGAGCAGACGGTCTTCATATCACTATGCACTGCGACTTCGGACAAAAAGACACTCACGCCCATATGAACGAGGCTATATTTCAAGTATGCGAAGGCAAGGGGTCGGAGCGCATTGACCATGGACTTGACGCAGAGGACCGCGAAGAGCTTTGGCGCGGTTTACTTGAAAGAAAGATTGGGTTGACCTTATGCCCCCACGCCTATCATCGGAGAACACCCACTGAAGTTCTGTTTCCCAAGATTCGGAGACTCTTGGAAAAGGGAGTGAAATTCTGCATAAACAGTGATGATCCAACTTTAATGCATGACGTTTGGATCGAAGGAAACATGCAGAAGGTGTTTACTTACTGTGAATTTAACAAGGCGGAGATGGTAAAACTTGCGAGAAACGCGGTGGATATGTGTTGGGCCAGTGACGACGAAAAGGTTTCCATATACAGAGAGCTGGATGATATTTCTGTAGTATGATGAGAAACCGCTTCGAAATGAAGCCTTTTAAGATGGGAAAATCACATGAGCCCTTTTTTTAAAAAGGCCGAATTAGCCTGTAAACTATCTTACAAATCGCAAGGTACACATTGAAATCAACTCATCCCGTTTCTATCCTACCATGGCAAACCCTATAGTATATTGATTACCTTCCTATAGGTCACTCAAAGGTCACTGGAAAAATATGGAAATGATCAGATCATTTCCTACAGCAACTTCACGACTTTGTTTCAAATTCTGATTTTGCGCTACAAGTTGTAATTGTTTTTCTAGGATTTCACACTGCTAATCTCCTTTGTGAAACAAGGGCTTGTTGATCCGACCTAGGAGGTTACAGTTGCACGTATTTCACGATCTAGCCTATCATAGAACTCAACTTTCCCACACATTGTCAATGATCTTACTAAATATCCTCTGAATAGGATCCAATTTGCGGGTTTAAAGGCTCATTCCAGTGGATTATAGTGTTTCTCAAGTGATGATCTATCGGGTTCAAGCTGATTGTGTCACATCTTTCTTGATGAAATATTTCACATGCCACACTCGTTTCTTCCGAAGCTAACCTTCGGAAGATTGAGCATATTACCACGGTATCAACGCGTTCCGATGGTCGTAGTTTCAGACTAGACCTGCATCACTAAGAAAAATACAAATCCTTTCTGTAGCTTTATGTCTGAGCGATGTATATTGCGGGAAATTCATTTAAAGTGCTCACTCTCCACCCATCGGGCAAAATCTTCGCCAATACCTATAAAATTGGAAATACTACCCAAAAAATCACAAAACAAATAATGAAGCTCCACAAAGTATCCCAACTTTTGTCCTTTGCAGGTCTTCTGCTACCCTCTTTTTCCGCCCCCTCTCTTCTGACGGTGGGCGATGATACTATCAAAATAGCTGTGGGAAGCTTTAGTGGGGCGGCACTTCGGAGACTGGCAGATTATGCCAAGAACACAGAAGGATCTAGGACCGAAGTCACCGTTATATGTACCTTGAGCTCCTTTCATTTAGGACAAGTCTGCAGTAAGATTCTCCCGAGCCATGCGAATAAAAGTTACCCAGCTCCTGACAGGATCGAGTTTATCCAGGTGGAACTTCGTGTCAATTGGCCCCCGATGAGTTCCACTTTGTCTGCCCCTAGGGAATATTCATTTGGCCAAGATACTAGTATGGTAGCTTAAAGCTACAGCTTCAACAACATCCCTTGATAGTTCTGGCTGAAAGATGGTTATCTCAGAGGCTGATTAATTGTCGCGGATGAGTGTGAATATTAAGCTTGGTTAACGGTCACCTTGAGCTATGAGATGATTCATAAGGTCGCATTATCCATTCCTTTTAAATATCCCCTGGCCTGTGTGTCTCGACATTCATATACGTTTTCGCTCCATATCAATTTACGTTCATTCTATATGTCTGGTTCATATTAGCGTAGTTCTTATTCCCCTACCAGGAAGTGTTTAGTACATACGACAGGGCATTTTAGCACTGAAGCACCTCTTAGCTTGTGGATAAAGTTCATCAGATGTATTTCGATGGCAGGTGAAGCCCTATCAATTCAAAATCTGAGCTAACCTCCAGGGCTTACACAGATCGTTTTCGGAGGTGACTCCGCAGGAGGCCACCTTTCACTTAGTCTAATGGCTCATCTCCACCGCCACCGTCATCCAAGGAGGCTGTGGAGTATTTTTTCAACCTACAGCACCCAGTGAAAGGGTGTTTCCTTGTGTCACCGCTATTACGTTCAACTTCAATACACCATCCTATAAGAGGTGGCTTAGTGCCGACGGGAGTCTTATCTTGTTCATAACTCTCCATGGCACGATGAGATATCTACCGGAAACGGCTGAGCAATGGCTCTAGATGCCTCGGAAAGTTAGTGGGACAATCTCAAGGCTGTGTATCGTATAATTGTGACTGGTGGCTATGAAGAGGTCTTCGGCGGCCATGCTCAGCAGCTAGGCAAAATGCTAAAGAGAAGGAATAAGGGAGAGGTGGCGCTGTACATGGTGAACGAAACCCACGATGGGCCGTTGATGGATTTCACAGCTGGGAGACCTGCGATTGGAACAAGCAGGGCAATTGCAGACTTCATTATAGCTTGTTTTAAAGACACGAACTAGATATTGAAAGATGAGAATGCTCGCTGGCTGTCTGCGTTGGCAGACGGGTCGATCGTAGAGGAACAAAACCACCCCACTTGCAGAGTGCCGGAATGGATAGTTGTAGTACACAAAGCGATGCCCTATCACGTTCTCACCCTGTTTATTGTGCACTCACCTTAATCACCCGAGTCACGCGACGCTAGAGCGGCGCTCACCCTATTCTCACCCGGGAGGCACCACGTGACTAATGCCATATAGTAAATTCCTTCACAGCTTTACCAAGTGGTCCAGGAATATCAATTAACTCGGTTTGACTGGGGCTGGGTGCGTAATTTCAGCACCAGTTGTAGGGATTGACACTTGGGATGGCTGAGCTGGGAAATGAACGCTCCTCTGGGCCGGGCGAAGGGCAGATTACGGATGGCATGCATTCGCGGTCCAGGTAACCAGGGTGGGAGCATATGAAGGAGTCCGTTCTGAAGATGTACGTACTGTACTGGATCTGGAAGGCTGTGTTGCACCAATGTAAATATTAATCATCAAGAGGGTGGGTGCCCAGAATTTCTGCTCCTGACCGACCCCACATGAATACGAGCTGGATGATCTCGATAATCATACTCTCCACGAAAGCTTTGACGCGCGGCTGCAGATGAGGGATACACCACAAGTCGAATATCGTCGAAAACGTTGTACTGGATCGCAAAATCTCGAGCAGTGAATCAATTCAACCAGTCACGGAGAGACAGAGGCGGGAATTGACTGGAGGCTTTGTGCCTAGATATACTCGGAATAATACCGCAAGCTAGTCATATTTTGTCGACTGAAATACAGTAAAAATACCACAGGACCAGAAGAATGCCAAAGGCATTAATCCGGTACTAGTCGCGTATTTTCTTGTTCTGACAAATTTCCAGTGACATCCACTAGACCCCACCAGAATACGAGATGAGAACTCGGTGGATCGATATGCACAAAGTGTCAGACGATCCCAAGGCCCCGCGAAAATCCGTTTCCCTGTGCCATGACCCTGATATTGAGACGATGGATGGCTCTTTCTCGATACGCGCTCTAAATACAAGAAAACCTGCCACTGCCCCAAAACGAGAAGAGTCTGTCTCTACTTGAATCCCTTGTTTCGAGGAGTGGCTGCAGATAAGCCAAGTCCTTACCCGTCGACCAGGAAAAAGAAAACGCGGATAGACGCATCATGAACAGTGGAAATAATGGCAAATCTCGATAATCTACCACCAGAGATCTTATGCGTCATCGCAGAGGAATGCGAAGTTGCAGCGCTATACGGAAAGAACCCGGGTACCAAGTACAGATACCATGCCCACCTTGCTCGCGCATGTCGGCGTCTGCACCAAATCCTCAACCCACTTCTGTATCAGCGTCACATAAGAAACGACCCGCCTCTTGATTGTTGTATACTTTGGGCAGCCGAAACAGGTTCCTTGGGGACAATGAAACTCGCACATCGTTTCGGAGCCAGCTTGGATACTAATGGCACCCGTGATAGCAAAGACCTCCAGCTCCGCTGGGACAGCATACCTGGCCGTCGTAGGTACTTCGCGACACCGCTTCACTTTGCTATCCGAAATAATCATCAACAGATTGCGGACTATTTACTGGAGAATGGGGCAAACCCCCATGTTCCATCGAGAGACTTTGCTAGTTATGATCTACCGTTTGTTCTCGAATGTGCCGCTGGGTTGGAGAGCAAAAGAAAGCTTGTAAAGCATGGAGCAACCCTTCTACGACAAAATCAGCCGGCATTACCTGTTTTTGCAAGCAGAGGCTATGAGTCGGATCTTTTATGCCTTTTCTTGGACCATCATGACACGGAGTTGACGTCGCAAGCATTGCGTTGCGCAGCCCAATACAATATCCCGGAGCTGTTTTACGGTGCACTTAACAAGCCGGAGCTAAATGCGTCCAACGCGGATTCATCGGACGGCAAAACAGCTCTGCATTATGCAGCATCATCGGGGAATAAGGCCTTTGTGGAAGAGCTTCTTGCACGATCCGATGTCGATGTCACTGCACAGGATAAGAAAGGGCAGACGCCTCTCCTGTGTGCAGCAACATGCGGTGTGACACTCATCGTAGACCTTTTACTGAAGCAGCCCGGCGTAGACATCCTGGCTACCGACAAAAGTGGCTGTACAATACTACACTATGCATGTGAGGCTGATGGTGACACGGCAAACATGAGGTTGCTCATTGAGCGACTGATTCAAGTTGGTGTTGATGTCAATCACTCCTCACAAACTGGAACCGCGCTCTTCCACGCGTTGAAACACGGCAACTTGCACACAGCCTTGTTTCTGATTTCAAACGGCGCTGATCCGACCGTCGGTCGGCAAGTCGACAACTCAGGTTGGACAATGCTCCATCATTCTCTATACAAGAAGGAGCATATGGAAATTCGAACACAGCTAGTCCGGGAAATCGTATCCCGTGGCGCCAATCTGGAGCATGATGCCGAATATGATGCCGAAAAATTATTGGGCAAGGATCTCGAGAACGAATGGATGTACCTCGGGACTCCTCTCCATTTTGCTGCCGTCTATGCCGAGAGTGTTGAATGTATGAAAATTTTGATCGACGCAGGAGCAGATCCTAGTAACGGTGCGCTTTGTGTCGGCCATGATGATGCGGATACTATCAGTTCGGGCGATGTTCACCCAGCTCTCTGTGCTCTCTTTCAAATATGCTTGTTTGAAAAATGTCCGGTACAGCGAGGAGGAAACATCGAACAGTTGCGGGATCGCGTCTGCTTGCTTCTAGATCATGGATACAGTTTGGATTTTGGTGGTACTGGGAACTCAGCGGGATGTCCGCTGGTTTGGGCCGAGCGCCTGCATTACCCCCAGGCTGTCAAGTTGATACTCGACTATGCCTCCAGCAAAAACATCACCTTTGGGCATTTAATGCATCACGCCAGGCAGCTTGAGAACGACGATCGGACAGAGTCCCAGGAGATCTGGCGCATGTTGGTCGACTTTAGACAGAGAGAATATCTTGGCTATGAGTCTGATGAAGACCAAGACTATCATTTGGATGATTGTGTACAGAATGAAGAGGAGGAGGAGGAGGAGGAGGAAGATTGAATCCTCTACACAATGAGGCTTAATGGCTACCGCGAGCCAGCTGAAATACCGATTTTCAAGCCCCTGGAACCTCTACAGTATTGGAATCTGGAATCGCAGGAACAGACCTGGCGGTTTTAAATCAATCACTTCAGAGAGATGCTTGTATGACTTGAATATACATTTATTTCGTTGCATTACATACATAGGGGGCCAAAAGTATTAACTAAAACACGCTAGGACGCATAGACCCAAAACAGCAAACCTCACTTCTTTAAATACCCATTTCTCTACCAATATGCGTCGATTTGGTACCGAAATTAGTACAAATTGAAGGCCAAAAGCAGAACTTTCACCCTGAATTCAATTTGTGTCGCTACGGCTTTCTTTCAAAGATTATGTCAGACTTAATTGGCCACTACCCCGCCTGCCCGCCAAGCCTGGTAGCTTGGAAGGGCTCGATACCTATTTCGTGATATGTTTAAACCTGCAGCAGTGAATACCTGATAGGCTGCCACTCCGCTTGAAAGTAGGGAGGTAAGCTATGCGAATACAAGTATAGCTGGCTCTTTTATAGTCTGAATATTATTATAACACTTGTACCTCAATTTAGAGTTTCAAGTTATGAGGGATCAGGGTAAATGAATTCATCCATCCCTCTATCCATCCACTGTAATTCGAACACTGGCTTTGGGAAGTCCCAAGAGATACATGTATGGTCACATGATGCTGGATAGCTTCGTGTCTAAGTCAATCTTCAAGTCAGCCTTGCTGCTGATTTGGTTAATCCTGGGCTGAGAATTGACGTTATTGTGCAGTTGACAAGAGACAGGGTGTTTCAGGTGGTTTTAAAATGACCCAATCATGTTATACCCTAGCTCAGCTGAGAGGATAATTCTCACCCGCTCTCACCCAGCTTCTCACCCTGTCTATTGCGCACTCACCCTATCTCACCCCGGTTGCGCGACGCTAAAGCGGCGCTCACCCTATCCTCACCCGGGCGGCACCCACCCGACTATTAACTGTACTTTAGCCACACGCCGGCAGGTTAGTAGTATGGTGAGTGACCACATGCGAATCCCTGCTATTGTATGTTTTTTTTTCTATTGTTTTTTTCTTCGTTTCCTAGTCCCATATTCTGCTATGGTTGAAATTATTTGATGCTAGATGGAATTCAGTAGTTGTGAACCACTTTTGAGACTCCTGGAGAGTGGTGGTAACTCGAAGGATATTGTGTTTTGCACTGACTATTGCATGTAACATGGGAATAAAGGTACAAATTGAAGGCTCAGAGCAACTTAAGTAGGCTTAATATTGAAAACCTGCTTTGCTGTGTAGACCGAGAACCTTGGAAGTAAATATTCTAAATATAATTTCCTAGATTTTGGATGGGCATAGGCAAACCTAATATCCCAGTTTCCCTTGCTTGAGGTTGAATATAGGTTGTCTAATAGTAGTATAGTAGGTAATAATGTATCCAAGATGCCCAGGTAGGTTTGCAATAAGCTACTTTCAGTTCCAAGGTCGAGTTCTTGGCAAATTGTATACAATTGATCATCTCGGGTCATACAATGTGGCCTTTGGCTCAAATTACTACAGCCAAGCCAAGACCATTAATAGGCCGAGCTCATGTGAAACTAAAGAGGAGAAGTGCATATAAACACCAAAATCTCTCAATTATCCCATCCATCACTTCAGACAACCAGGAACAAAGCAACTGAACACCCCAGTAATATTTATCGAACTTGAGAAGCTTCAACTGCTCGATCAAAATGAAGGCTACATTCGGCACTCTTTTCACCCTTCTCGTCGCAGCCTCTGCTGCTCCATTCCGCGAGTCCCACCAAGTCGCGAAATTCAGTGGCAGTCAACTTCAAAGCCTCTTGAGCGTTTTGGCTGTTCACAACGTGCATGGCGCCCTCGATGTTGACCAGAACATCTCCTGCACTGTCGCCTACAGCTTGTCCCTAAGTATCTCACACCTTGCTCAACATTTTGATACAATCTTGCTAATCAATTTCATAGGCACCACTGGACCACCATACACCATCGATCTCGCCTCCCTAGACCTTTCCAACTGTACCTATACCGGCCCCTAGATGATCATCTGCACAGGGCTCCCAATATCTAGTATTGATGTCGAGCCCTATGCACGATCTGTCAATGCTAACAACCGATGGTGGCTTTCATCGAAGAGACTCTATGGTTTGGCTAGTACAGCGATGCGCTTTACGTAAAGCTTAAGGAAAATCCAATGAAAATCGTTGTTGAAGATGCGAGCACTCCATATAACGTTGTAGCTGAAAATGACCCGTTTAGTAATATTCTATCCGTGTAAAATTCAATGGGTTTTTTTCCACTCCACGACTAAAAATCGGATAGGAGTCCAGACGTATGGGTACCCGTACGACGCGATCGACGCGGTCGACGCGATGATGGGCATCATGGTTGCAATCGGCCTCGACGATCACCTTTCATTGGTCTATCGGCGTTAGGACTCACCCTGGGCCACTTCGACCCACCTTTATCGGCGATAAGCACAGAAGTACGAAAGCGGAGAGAGACACGATGATATAATTGGGATATGTTTAATCCAGTACGTCATTCAGTTTTCTGAGAATTGCTATGATTCATTGTAAGGCTATGGCCACGGCCTAACGCCGATGACTTCGGGTTATATAACTGACCAGCGTTCTCGCTTTGAGGACTTTAAGATCCTTTCAGTCACAAGCTTGATAACCGACCAAACTTCATTCAATACGAAATGCCTTCCCACGGCCAATACACCACGGAAAAAATTACATATCCCTCTCATGGCGACACTGTTGCCGGGGTTATGTTTTATCCCACAAATGTCACGAATCCACCCGGTGTTGTTATAACTGGTCCATACTCTTTTGTCAAAGAGCAAGCGCCGTTGCAATATGCAACCCGTCTCGCGGATGAAGGTTACGCAGCACTGATCTTCGACCCACGCACCGTTGGTGAAAGCACTGGCGAGCCCCGGCGACAAGAAAACCCCAAAATGAAAAACGAGGACATGGTCGCAGGACTCGACTATCTATCGACACGCGGCGATGTTGATTCATCTCGCCTCTTCTTAGTCGGGATTTGTCAGGGCGGCCCTGAATCTTTGGATGTAGCTTCCTACGATGATCGAGTTGCAGGCGTGGCTTCGGTCTCTGGATACTATCGAGACCACGAAACCGATATTTACATGATTTGCGCTGGGTGTGTTGCATGGACTCCTGGCGCCGACATCGCGACGATGACAATGCCTACTCCTGAACAGGGAGAAGCCCTGTACAAAGCGCGACTTAAACGAGCTAAAGAAGCCCGTGAACTGTACGACAAGACTGGGGAAGTGGTGTACCAGCCACTGGTCGATCCGAAGGCTGCTGACCCTAATACTGGGTCGCTGGCCGGCCTTCCGGGACCAGTCGTCTGGTCCTGGTATGGACCGTGGACGCTTAAGGGATTTGAAAACCGATACGCGGTGATGAGCGACCTTGACCACTTTGAATATACCACTGTACCTGGAGTGGCAAAGCTGAACAAGCCCGCTCTGCTGATCCACGGCGACAACTGCATGAATGCAGCGGCTGCGAAGCGCCACTATGATTCCATCCCCACAAGCCAGAAAAAATTGATTTGGAACGACGAGGTTTCCCACTTCCAGCACTACGACCAGCCGGATTGTGTTGATCGCAATGTGGGGGATATTGCGGCCTGGTTTGCGGAGGTCAAATAGGATAGAATCAATGACATATATAGTTTAATGGCCAAGTCCGTTCATCAAACTCCAAAAGCTGTTATCTGAGAAATCGCCTTCAAAAACCAATCCATCCGCAGCGTTCGCCGTGAACGGGTCCAAGACAGAAGTCTGTAATGTATCTGTAAACGGTAATGGTGTAGTCGAGAGATGGTCGAAGAATAGATCATGCGTAGGACATGGAGGTAACACGGCGTCGAAAGAGAATTCTGACACCTTTTCATTGCTGGAAGGAATCCCAATCGGGTTGGTGAAAGTTGCTGTAGCATCTTGAGTGGCTTCGAAGATGCCAAGCCGATGTCTTAAGCGAAGGTATAAGCTGCACACAACACCATGTGCTGACCTTGCCATGATATTGGACTCGCCAATTATACCCAGTCTTTTTATCCCCTTTTCAATAATTTCAATACACTCTGCTTTTTGTCCGTGATTTTCTTCCGGAAAAGAAAAGCAGAGTGCTGTGATAAGCACAATCGCGTCGAAAGAAGCATAGACAAAATTGAATACTTTACGCTGACGTGGCTCTAACTGTTCAAACAGTCGTTCTTGTGCGCGAAGAATAGATATACCAGCCTTCAGGGCCTCCGTACGACTGTTGGCAACCGAGAATATGAAAGGTCGATGAAGTGCGAGAATAACGAAGTGGATGAGAGATGACAGTCCGTCTCTAGCAACAGGCAGCCATTGACAGCCGAGTAACTGATCGAATTTCGTATCTGGGTGTTCCAAATGACACCAAGAGGGCAAAAGCTCCAGGTTTTCTTTGATTGCGGCGCTGATATTTTCAACAACAGAATAGTCTTTTGAGTTAGCACCGTTATTTTCCAGTTGGTGAATATCCTTGAAATATCGATAGGCTACATTGTAGCCGGCAAGGATTATATCAAATGGCCGAGGAGGATCAGTCTCGGATTGCCAATGCGAAAACAAATTCTGCCGTGTTTCCTCATCTCCAATTGTGCGAGCGAAGTGATCGATCTGAAAATCGGTGGCGATTGGTCGCCCGAGAACGACAGCCATGTGGACATCCCAAATATGCAAAACCACCCAGGCTCTATGGCCAACGAGGTTGACACCTTCTCCCTTGCATTTAGTCTCCACTGGAGATCGATCAGATACTGCTCTTCCGGTATGTAGGCCAATATCCTGTGCATCGCGAATTACTGCGCCAATTGTATGCCATGCTTCAATCACTTTACCACTGCTTTTCAAAAATGAGGCTCGTAGCAAGCCTGCTTGTACCGCAGATAGTGTTATATTCTTTTTCTCCAGTCGTGCGAGTAAATCAGCACCTGTATCACTATATTCACCTCCAAGATCATGGAAGGTCATACCAGCCATGGTGATGAGAGAACTGATCGTTTGATCATCAGGGGGATGAAAAAGAAGGGCATGTGCGAGGACTTGAAATAGCAATGCTGGGAAAACAAAGGTTTCGAGTGCTAAGCTTCCAACGTCTGCTTGAAGGTCGGAGTAAGAAATCCCTCTCCATGCAACCAGTTGATCCTTAAACGACTTCTCATCAATCAGGTCATACTGCCAATTGATTTCAGAGAAGAAGGTTTGGACCAAGGGCTCCATACAGGCCTGTGAAGGCAGTTGTCGGACTGCTTCCCTATACTTGCGGTTTGCGTCGCTTCCAAAACTGGCCTGGTTTGTGGTACGAGTGCTAGATGAACTCACGGCATGATCGCCGTACAGCTCGACAGCACGCAATAGGCTCATGGAGTTGTAATTGCTGTGGCTGGAGTATCCGAGGTCACGTAGTTTGTCTTCATACTTGCCAGATCGATCCTTTTTCTGATCAGCAGGCTGGTAAGCTTGAACAATGTCAGTGCCCCCGCTCCTTTCAGAGAAATCACTCTCAGAGGGGTCTCTTCGCCTGAGTTGGCGGCCCTTTAGTTCGTCTTCATACTGGCAAAGGTTCTGTGGACGCCGATCAGACTATGAGCAACATTATTTCTAGAAAGATACACACCTGCGTACATCGCTTGACACAATTGCAACAGGGATACTTGCGGTCGCACTATTTAACTCAGAGTAAGTAGACGACGAGATAACTATTACCTGAGGCTCCCTACCTTCTGCTTGCGCCGATGGCATTCGGTACAGGACATTACAGTCCTATTTCTTTTCCGAGGTTTATGTACTCCGTTCACACCACTTGATTGTGACATAGACAGTCGCGACGCCATTTGGGTAACTGGCAGATAAAAGAAACGGCACAGAAAGGCTGATGGGGAGGGGTCACCATAATTGGAGGGTTCAGCGGATGATTTTACCGCTTGGACGCGTTCACCGCCTACATCATTCACGACGTGACTAGAAATGATTCGTAGAACTAGAAGTCAAAGAATGTATATGCCAAAGGCCGACTTGAAAATCCTGACATACGTACGTGGAAGGCGGCAGTCTCAGGAGCCATTCTCACAAGTCCTGGTTTTCTAGTTGTAAGTAGTAAAATTTTACGGAGTGAACCCAATCCGCAATATCAAGTATACAATCGACGAATTCTTAGATCCCAACAGGCGATCAAATTGATTAAACGAGATAAAACGACAAAGAGAAAAAAGTGAATCTTTGTTTTAGGCACCGGTGCTTATGTGTACGTAGTTTGTTGATTTTTCTTCGAGTGCCTACTAGTATCTTAATGGCAACACCCTATAGGTATCTCGGATAATATACCAGTACTACTAGGTCGTCAACTCTATACAAAATCAAAGCTTGATTTTGTAAGTAAAAGTCTGTCTAATCTATTTCGAGGAGAATATTAAATGGATCCTCACACACGGTCTTCTATGGCGTTAAGTTATATTCATGACTTTCAAAAGTCCCAGCAACATCGTTCACCATGCATAGAGCGTGATTAAATTCCTTCCGGACAAGGCGCTACTTGAACCAATCCCGCCTGCTCCTTTGGTGGTGGTGCTGCCAGATGTGCAGGTGGTGGTAGTGGTGGGTGCTAAGAGACAAGAACAAGTATTTCCTGGCGATACCTGTAATATGATGCATGAGGCTTAGAATTTGAAGGACTCGAGAGGTAGTAATTGAGGAGCGCAGGTAGTGACACCTAGGTAAATAACACTGAACCTGTTCAATATAAACTCCGAGCCCCACTCATTACAACTGAGCCGAATTGAATGCTCGAAAACAATCATGTGACATTTTTAGAGCTGCAGCAGACCGTAAAGAAATTCAAACCTTGTGACTCCAATCCTTTGTCCGTGATGTCCTCGAATATGGTAAAGGCTTGCTTGGATGCGGTCGATCGTTCTGGGAGGGTTGATGATTGCGAAAATATTTTGAAAGAAAAGCCAGTCGATTCATGGAGAGTAATATCTGTAAATATAAGTACTAAGTAATAAATTATCTCCAATATTTCCTGATTTAGAGAAATCCCCGGGCTACCAGCTCCTTTTCAAAATCCCGACTTGGCCATCGCGATGCCAATAGTGGGGCTGATCGAGGAGCATCCCCTTTCTTTGATGTAATTTCTGCCACAGAAACTGCGTTGCCGGTGGCTCAGAATACGGCCAATCCTACATAGCTTTCAAAGAACTCGGCTATTGTGTAAATAGTGCAGTTGACCTATGAAATCATCTCTCCCAGACTTTAAGAGAAACGTGGCGGTGTTGAAAACAACAAAGATTCTGACTCGATCAAACATCTCCCCGAAATGTTGCCTGCAGACATATATGCTCATCTCTAAAGCTCATAATGCTTCAATCAACACTTCTTTCTCAGAAACCGAGTCACCATAATGGCCACAGGACTTGTTAATGAGTGGACTAGTAGAGTTTCCCAGTCGGCTTTTTTGGTAAGCATTGATTATCCATTTTTGATCAACCGGAAGAAATCTTTGAACTAATTTGCCATATGACAGGCCGTATTCTGGGCTCTAACTGGCACCTCTTTCCTCTTTGTTCTGTTCCGACTCTACGTCCAGATTTCATCGTTCCGTCGGCTGTTCACAGATGATTTTCTTGTTATGCTTGCCTGATTTGTCATTCTCTCCGCGGCAATTATCTGGCAGATTGAAAATAACGCTCTTTACGAACTTTATGCAATTACCGCCGGAAGAGAGCCTTTCAACGTTGACTTTTTGCCTCGGTACAATCAGTTCATGCGGCTTCTTGCTCCACTGCAGATATTATTTTATTCTAGCCTGTGGTGTATCAAGTTCTCGTTCTTAGTATTCTTCTATCGACTCAGTTAAATAATCAAGGCTTTTCCAGTTTGGTGGTTCGTCGTTTTTTTCCTGCACTGCAGCGGTCTATATCGCCTCTGTCGGTGATATCGAATACAAATGCAGCTTCGGGGGGTATATAATACATCATACGTAAGTATCAGAACTGCCAGAGGAATCGGCTAATGGGACCTGAAAGACGGCTGAAACTTGAGAGAGCAATGTACTCAACTGAAGCACATCCATTACGAGAACCACAGCTTCTGGGCGAATTGCGCCGGTGATGTTCTTACCGAATGAGTGATTTGACCAAGACAGAAGCCCATATTACACATTTTTGACCTAATTAACCGTGTTTCCAGTTCTTTCTATACCTATAGTTGTCCTGTGGAATACTCATATTCCGCGCCGCAAGAATATACTATTACTCAGTATATTTTCTGCAACTATAATCATCATGGTGGTGGCTATCACTCGAGTCACTGTTGACAATACTTATGACAAAGAGATAAATATTGCCTGGCTATGCTTCTGGAGCTTTGTTGAGGTTGATATAGGTGAGAAGATGTGTCTTTCTGGGTTATTTCCACATTTGAGCTGACCTAAGTTCTCAGCCATCATTATCTCTTGTGCGGCTTCTCTTCGTCAGCTTATAGTAACATCACAAAACCAGAGCTCTTCGGGGAGAGTAGCCTATCATGGTACAACTGGTCCAATACTGAGAGAGAGCCTCAAAGCCTGGCTCTGGTCCGACTTTTTCACAACCTGTAGCATACGCGGAGTCTCCAAATGAGGACTATGAAAAGGCCCAATTCCCACGCAACATGGTTCACGTTCAAAATCATATTGAGATCTGTACTAGGGTTGCAAGTCGGTCTCAAGATGGTAGTAGATCTGCGACCGAAGCAAATCTTGGCTAGTGAATTTAGTATTTAACCGTGCTATATCACTAAACATAGTCTTCACTTGACACTGGGTAAATGTGTAGGCTAGATTCCAAGACAGCCAATGAGTCAGAATGCTACTCAGATATCCACAAGCTGGGCAGAATCAGAGCAAAGTACCCATCCACTCCAGCAGATCAAATCATTGAATAAATGAATTCCGCTGGGATAATTCATTTCGTGAAATGAAATGTCAGTCGATGATTCTCTCGGCATCTATATGATGCTTCTGAAGTTTTCATCGTCCAGCCTTGTGGGACTTGGAACGACTTTATGCTTTCGTGATGATCCATATAGTAATTTTTGAAGCGGCCGGACGACCTGATGTCGGCCGCTGATCCATCATTCCAATCATCCAATGTCAGTGTGATGGAATGCCTGCTAAGCTGGAAGCATCTCACAAGAACAAAGTCTAGCTCTTCCATGGGGAGGAACTCCAGCCCAGAAACGCAGAATATGTGATCTACCATTTCTGTCTGACGAGAAAGAAACGACTCCATTCTGTCGTGTACTAGTTCACTGTACTGACCGCCATGACGAGAAAGATCAAGCATCTTCTCGGAAATATCAATTCCAATCAGATGTGTGATATTATTATTGGAGTCTGCATGTAAAGCACGACCGACTGCTCCGCTACCACAGCCAAGATCAATTGCTGTTCCAGACACAGACATCGGGACTTGTACTTGAGCCCCAGACTGCGCGCTATGGCCATGGCAATCAAAAAGAGCGGCTAACTCTGTAAAATGTAGTCCGCGACTACCAGGGTTCTTCAGGAAGAAGTTGGTGATGTAAGTGTTGACGACGGCTCTATACGATCCCGGGAATCCATACTTGACGTCTGTGTCCTCGAGTTGGGATCCAGTTGGATAAAAGAAGACAGGAAGAGGATCAACCTCAATGACATAGGCTCTTCCGTCGCGGCCAATACGCATGTCGACGTCGCAACCCATATAATTGGTGTACATCTTCTTTGTTGCAAAAGCCTCCATTGCCATCTTCTGCAAAAGCCGATATAGATCGGGATCTTCAGCTTCTTCAAGGAGCTCGTAGCCAGATTCTGAGTCAAACTTCAGATCGAGCGTCAGAAAACGTCCATCCCCGGAGACTTGTTTGTATTTGGCGCGTTGCGGAATGAGTGGGACTGGGGTTTCCCCCATTGCTATCACCACTACCGAGAATTCTTCTCCATCAATAAATTCCTGAACGACGATGTCTGTGCTATCAGGCCCCGCGGATTCATGAGCGTCTGCATATTGATCTGGATTAGAATGATCCAGGGCTATCGCTCGTTGTATGCGTACAGGGCGCATTAGTTTGTTCAGTCGCTCGATACAGTGAATGAGCTCGGTCTCATTGCGGCATAAAGAATGCTCATCGATGAACATGCTTCCATAACTGGACGCAGGTTTGACAAATAATGGAAATTTCTCAGTTCCGGGAACTAGAGGACTGCCCTCCAGTTTTGCCGCAGCGAAGAAGTCCCATTTTGACTCTTCTCTTTCGGAGCTTTGAACACCGGCAGATGGAAGGTTGAGTGACTCAAAATATCGAATCGCATCTATTCCTGCCAGTGAATCATCGTGTGTACCCCACATGAAGTTGAAATAAAAGTCATATCCTTCTTGCACAGCCGCATCGATCTGTTCTTTGGCTGTCGTTTTATGAATAGTTTTGTGCGCGACCGTGTGCTGAGTTATGAATACACCTGGATTCATACATAACTCCTGCGCCTCTCCAACCGAAGCTTGTAACTCCTCAAAACAAGATTGGAAAACACAAATTCGCATTGTGGAAGAGTCGTGGCTCAATAAAACCTGGGTTTCTGGGTTGTTTTCAAATTGATGACGCACGATAAAGTTGTCGCGTGTTCGCCTAATAAGCTCCACCAGATCTCAGCTGAACCCCTCAGTAGTAAACACCAAACCTGCACGATCAGCTGAAGAAATCGACCCACTTTAAATTAATCGGAACCATTCAGCTCGTATACAATGGATATTTTAGTTAATTTACACCGCTTATCAGTTATATCAACCAATGGCTCGAATGCAGCGGATACTCTTGGCCGATATGATGACATTGGATCGCGCTTGTACCCCATGAATTGAGTTATTACGAGGAGGAACATATGCAGTAAACTGGAACCTGGCAAATAAAGCAGAGAGTTAGAATAAAGCCACGAATGCATGGTCTAAGATATCTCGACACGTGAATAAAAAGTCTGGCAGTCCATCTTCAGCTTCGAACGTCATTGGCAAAAACAGCCGTGGCTGTAGCAAAAGCAACCATCCCCTCTTCACGCCCCACAAATCCATTTTTCTCGTTCGTCCCTGCTTTCACGGAAACACGAGCCCTGTCAAGTCCAACTATCCGAGCAACGGAATCGCGCATTGCATCACGGTGGATGCTAATCCGCGGTTTCTCGCAGACAAAACTCACATCACAATGTGTGATTGTGCCACCCGCCTCAACAACGAGCTTGGCGGCATGGCGTAGAAACATATCGGACGATGCTCCTTTCCACTGAGGGTCAGCGGGAGAAAAATGACTGCCAATGTCGTCGGCTGCGATGGTGCCGAGGAAAGCGTTTGTAAGTGCATGTAGACCGACGTCGGCATCCGAATGACCCAGGAGCGACGACTTGTGTGGTATTTTTACGCCACAAAGAATAATTTCCTCCCCCGGTACCAGTCGATGCGTGTCATAGCCATGGCCAACTCGAATATCCGGTACACTGTTTGCATGGGCGCTGTTGAGTCGCAAATATCGATCGGCTTCCTCAAAGTCCTCTGGGTAGGTCAACTTTATGTTTTGAGCATCTCCTGTTACAATGCGAACAGGTAGCCCCGCTTCTTCGAAAAGGGACGCATCATCTGTGTATTCTGTTGTAGACGTGGCAGCACGCTCGTGGACTGCGAGTATAGCTTGTAGTTCGAATGCCTGAGGCGTTTGCGCACGAAAAAGACCATCTCGCGGGATTGTCGCTGAGATCAGGCCGTTTGAATCGGTCTTTTTGAGGGTATCAGATACCGCTATGGCTGGAATGACACCTACGGCAGGCTCCTTCATGATAGATTCAAGAACCCTACTCAGTAGCTCATGTGGCGCGAATGGACGGGCTGCATCGTGTATGAAAACATGCGAAGGATGACCGGTAAGTGTGGAAAGAAAGCGAAGACCCTCCAGCACTGACGCCTGTCGCTCATTACCACCAACGGTAGTATAGATATTTTGGTCGCGGTCGATGCAGGCCTCTAGCAGAGCAGTGTCATCAGGGTGGTGAACAACCACAATAGGGCAATTGCAGCTCCATGACCGAAAAAGCTTAATGACGCGATTTATCACAGTATCACCTGCGATGCGGCGGTATGCTTTCTGACAGCCAACTCCTGCACGCGTGCCTCTGCCAGCGGCAGGAATGACAATGCCAACAGTTGGCATTTGTTGCGAAATGGGAACCGTCATTTGGGGAGGATGCTTTATTGTGACAGGATGAGTGTGGGCACAGATACAAAACAGGTAAGACTTTGCCCCTCTTCTCAAACTGGATTTGCAGGTTCGTGGGATCGGCGCACTCAATCTCTAAATTTGAACGTGCCAGGTCGCGTGTTCTCCTTCCATCTCCAACCATACCGGAATTTCCCAGTCTGCTCCATCCCACCTTCGTCCTGTTTTTCGCCGGTGGCGGTTCTCAATATTTCTTGCACAACAAAATGACCATCAGATCCAAATCTCAGATCACCTTGCAAGTTCCTGCTAAAGTCAATCCCCAGATCCGGGTTGGTCCGCTTCGAAAAGATGGTTATCATGATATAACACTGGCCTACCAGGCTATTTCGATCTACGACATTCTGACCATTTCCCATGAACCCAATGGCCCCACCATACAGGTCACCGGCATGGATAGCGACCGAGTCCCAGGCGATGGTCAAAATCTAGTGATCAAAGCAGCCAATATGGTTGCAGCTGAAGCCAAGATCGAGCCACTAGTACATTTTGAGCTCGTCAAATCAATTCCCTCGGAGGCGGGTCTTGGAGGTGGCAGTGCAGATGCTGCAGCTGCTCTCGTGGGGTGCAATATCCTATGGAACTTGAATATTAGCGCAACAGACCTAATGCATATTGGTGCGCAGCTTGGTGAAGATGTGCCTTTCTTCATCAATGGTATGATGGCGTTAGGAATGGGGCACCGACAACCCCTAGTGGCCCTAGAGACGAAAGAATTTACCTGGCATTGGGTATTAGGTATTCCCTATCGCGGCCTGTCGACGAAGGCTGTTTTTGCGCAATATGACGAAATATTGGCTCAGTCAGGCAATCCAGAGGAGGAATATCTTTCGCGACGACAAGGCTGCATTAAAACTGCATGGGGAACAACTGAACCTGAAAAGCTCTTATCAGAGCTGGTCAACGATCTTGAACGGCCGTCTTCTGAGCTCCTCCCTGATATCACCACTGCTCTACGAGCGGGCAAGACCGCAGGTGCTATTCGGAGCCTAATGAGTGGCTCCGGATCAACTTGTGCCTTTCTAGCAAAGGATGAAGCCCATGCAAAGTCTTTGATGATAGAGTTACAAAAGCTAGATATTTTTAGGGATGTCAGAATGGCTAGTGGTCCAGTTGAGGGCGTCAAGGTCATCGACTCTAGCCCATAGACTGCAATGCGCACAATTAATCATTTATTCATGCACGCAAGTCATGCATCCAACCCTGGTGGCGACCATTACGACCATTACTTTCCGCGCCTACCTGCGACGCAATATTCATTGTTTTGACACGCGGGACCTTCTATGTTCGGCAAGAATACACGGAATAGATCAGTGAATCCGCGAGTCCGTGAACTTGAGGGGCGTTTCGTCCGCAAATCCGGGAATCCGTTTTCTGTGGTCTGCTCCAACTCCAAACCCCTCCAGTCCGGATGCCTTTTCGAAATACATAAATAATGGCTTCGTATTTTGATTTTGTGTATCTACAGCTCTCATCAAATCATCAATATTCTCTACAAACATCACTTCCTCTTCTAAATTCTCAAAATGGTTGGCTTTGATATGCGTGGATTGACCCCGGCACCGGTCACTCCCTTCACCCCAGACGGCGCTGTCGACTATGATGCTATCCAGCGCCTTGGCTCCTGGCTCGGTAGCATTGATGGTGTCAAAGGCCTTGTTGTTTTAGGTCACGCCGGTGAGGGTACTTTTCTCACGCAAGATGAGCAAGTTTCCGTCATCAAGGCTTTTGTCAAGTCGGTTGACAACAAAATTCCGATCATTGCGGGAATCACGGGTGAAGGGACAGAGGTCGCCGCCTTGGAGGCAAAGCGAGCCAAAGAATCCGGGGCAGCTGCTGGACTGCTTTATCCGTCTCATGGCTGGTTGCGCTTTGGATACCAACCTGGAGCGCCTCAGGATCGTTACCGACGCGTCTATGAAGTGTCTGGACTTCCCCTAATCTTATTCCAGTACCCCGACAACACAAAGGCCACCTATAGCCTACAAACCATGCTTGAGATATCGGCTCAGCCTGGCTGCTTCGCGATGAAAAATGGCGTTCGTAACATGCGCCGATGGGACACCGAAATCCCGGTTATTCGTGCTCAACGCCCCGATCTTCAAATCCTCTCTTGTCACGATGAGTATCTGTTGCATACCTCTTTTGATGTCGATGGCTTCTTGGTTGGTTACGGAAACATTGCGCCTGAGCCTTTGATTGACCTCATCAAGGCTGGCAAGGCGAAGGACTACAAGAAAGCTCGAGAGATTCATGACCGACTCCTCCCCGTCACCAAAAGTGTCTATCACCGAGGGTCGCATATGGAGGGAACTGTCGCTCTGAAGCATGCACTCGTTGCCAGAGGAATTCTGACTCATGCTACTGTCCGCTCTCCTCTGCTCCCATTGGAAAACGGGGCCGAAGATGAGATCCATGCAGCGATCCAGTCTGCTTCACTCAGCAAGGTTTTCTAGCAAGGGATCATTTTTCTGTCAAATAGCCCAAACATTTGAAATGTCATATATAGATGTGTATACAGAATTGAACGAGTTAACTTACCACTAGTAGTAATACATCGGGCTACCGATCCATCCTCCGAATAATCTATGATAATTTCCAACCTCGGTACCTGGGCAGTTGGTTGGGAATTAAGTTAGTACCTAGGTATTAGGACTCGGAGTAGGTAGTAGTACTAGTACTATTACCTATTGCAAGTTGCCCGGGTGCGAACTCGAACCAGCCATGAAGCACCTCGAAAATAAGGTATCAGCGGCTGACCCTTACATGGCAGCTGTGCCTACTGAAACATTGGAATTCTAAATATCCATGCGGCTCTAATTTAATACATGAAATCGTTGAGAATAAAACAGAAAGAACAAAACGAGCTTGAAGTCTCACAAAATGATAGGCTCCCATGGGCCGCCGGTTATGGGTTTACCCCGGACTCCCATCTCCGCGCCCCGCATTCTCGACACGCCGGGCTGCCTATTTGAATCCGCGTTTTCCGATTTCGATCTAAGCCTCTGTATCTCCTCCCCATGCCATCCCATGCAGGCCCCAATCTCCACAATGGCTCCCTCCACGCATTCCTCGGCATCACCGGGGGTGGATGCCGTACACCCACCGGATTTGGGCCGCGTCACGTCCAAACGGCCTCTGACAGCCACGGATAGCACGACAGACGCCGAGAATCGTCGCAAGGATCCCAAAGTCAGCAGAGCCTGTGATACTTGCAAACGAAAGAAGATTCGATGCAACGGTACACTGCCGTGTAGGAGCTGTGCAAAACGAAAGATTGCTTGTGCTTATGACGCCAAATATGGCCGTGGCCGACCCCCGACCCCACCTTTCTCGATACCATCGCGAGTCCAGGAGACAAGAACTCCAAGACCCCCAGTTGACCCGAATACTACTGACCAGATAGATGTGGTATCGGCAGCATCTGCTCCGCTCGCCAGAGAAATTTCGCAGCATTCACGACACGATCCGACATCTCAAGCTTTTCAAGAAACAGAGATCGAAGATCAGTACTTTGACCCTACTTCTGGTTTGAATTTCTTACATCGAGCCTGGCGAAAACTCTCGACTCAGAAGGGAGATGGGGCTTCATATAGCTTTCTCGAAACAGATAAACGTCAGCTTTTGGCTTCAGCTGGAGATCGTCCTTTCAATGCCGACAGCAATGTTTTCGATGCCTCGGGGTTTGTTTGCGTTCCCCAAGAATCGAGACTGCGGAAGTTGCTGGAATTTTACTTTGAAACCTGTGTTGTAACATATCGCATGTTGCATCGACCAACAATTGAGGCTTGGATGGACGCTTTTGTCAACGATAGACGAGATGGCCAACCAATTGGGTACTCGCTCGGACATGCAAAATCTGCCATTTTGCTGGCTATCATGGCTATCGCCACTTTGCGATACGAAAAGGTTCACGGAGATATGTTGTCTGAAAATGAGGCAGACGCACTTAGTCAAAGTGATCAACTTTACTGCATGTCTACGAATTTAACTGAGACTGAGACCGGATTCCCGCGACTAGAGTCGGTACAAGGGAGGCTTCTCCAAGTGCTGTATCTACTCCAAACATCGCGTATGAACAAGGGTTGGTATACTTTCGGAAATACATGCAATATTACCTTATCTTTGGGTATGCACAGAAGACGCGATTGTCAACGAGACGTGTCATTCGCGAGTCGTCGCCTGGGTTATATTTCACTGCAATGCTACAAGCGCACCTTTTGGGTAGCATACACGATTGACAAGTATTTAAGTGTGGTTTTTGGACGGCCGAGGCTTTATCAAGATGAGGATATTGATCAGAATTTCCCAGAAAGTGTGAATGATGAAGACATGACACCTCAAGGACCATCAGTATCTGAAGACTCGGGAGATTGCCACATTGATTCGCTAATATTGCATGCTCGGTATGTATCCGCTGATATGATTTTGTGAGTCCTAAGCTGATGGAAAGAAAGAATTGCTCGAATAATCGGCAATATATCGCGTCAAGTATACTGTGTCGGAGAAATATCGAAACACGATCGATTAGTCTCTGCCCAGTTGCTTCTCCAGGAATTACACCAATGGCGCACCTCTCTTCCTGCCCATTTAGGATCTGTGAAACCATCTACCCTAGTACCAAGTTTCCGACGCCAAGCTGTCGCACTTCAGTTGGCTTATTCCCATGCAATAATGCATGCCACAAGACCATTCTTGCTAGGCGATGAAAACGCCGAGGTTTCAATGGAGTGTATTTCTGCAGCCAAGGCAAGCCTGGAGTTAGTAGACAAGATGGCAGGCGACAGTACCTTGTTTCACTCCTTCTGGTGGACACACTATGTAACATTCTGTGCTTTAGCGGTGGTTTATGTCTGGGGAATCCAGTTGGTTAGGCGGCCAGCGCGTCAGACCGATGATGAATTCTATGCGAAGTTGTTTGATTTGGCTGAGAGATGTCGGGCACATCTAAGGCGAGCTACAGCCGGGTTGTCACCTAATCGGCGATACGATATCATTCTTGAAGAATTGAGAAGAGAAGCTCGCAACTCCCACTATCATAAAGGTGGAGCAGCTGAAGTCGACCGTGGAGAATTTCTGGCTATCGAGGATGATGATGCCGCCGGTCTACATGACCCATTTTTCCACGATCCGCATGTCACGAGCTCTTGTGACCCGAATTTTTTAGGAATTGCGTATAATGGAGCGACCTCTTCAGCATTCGGATTCGAGGGAGCATTTCAGTTTTCTGATTGGCTAACACTCGACTCATCGGTACGTCTTACAATCAACACTGGTAGAACCTCGTCGTCGACTAACTTTACTCAAGGCCTTTTTTCCAGTGGCTGATCCTAACTCTGTGTCTCCACCATGGCTTTCTGCCTTACCTGAATGAATTTACCATTTTGGTTAGGTTTGGCGAGAATTAATATGGTCTGTAGCTCCCCACAATTCGATTTCGGATTTCACGGAAACGCTCGGGGGGGAATCCGGAATCCGGGGAAGCCAAGCTTCGCGGTTCATCTCCTAGGACTGCTTTAATGCCGCGCCTCTTGTCCCACTCGTATATATCACTCAGCATCCCACCTACAAATGAAGGAGGAGTATTTGTGTCTGCCATCATGGTTTCTCTGCGACAGCTTAGCACTCGCCGGGCATCCGAAGAAATGCATGAGAAAGACGCTGCCGTGATGCATCTTGAGGACCAACCGCATTCTGCGATCTCTCCCGAGGACCGAGAATTTCTGAACAATTTCACGCACGAAGCAAAGCTCAAGGTATTGAAGAAGGTAATTCCCACAAATGATGGCCATCAATTGCCCGCGACTGAACGAATTCGCTAATTTTATGTTTCTCAGATTGATGTGCGTGACTCAAAACCTTCCAATACGATGGACGTCATTCCGCTTTTCTTGACTAACACTTTCATTAGTTGCGACTTGTCCCTATGTTTGTTCTTCTTTACCTGATGGCTTACATAGATAAAACGAATATTGGTGAGTGTGAGTCTAGACATTGATCTCGTAGTGGGACTAATCAAGATCAGGAAATGCCAAAATCGAAGGCCTCCTTCCCAGCCTACGAATGAACGGAAACCAATACAATATTGCACTTTCAGTATTCTTCATCCCATATGTTCTAGCCGGTGAGTTATTGAAAATCCAGTCTTAAATGGTAGAGCTAACAGCTTCGAAGAGGTTCCAAGCAACATGATATTGAATCAACTACGCAGGCCATCGCGATATTTAGGGGCACTTATATTTCTTTGGGGAATCATAATGACATGCACTGGGTTCGTTAAGAGCTTTGCTGATCTTGTCGTGATTCGGCTCCTTTTGGGACTTTTCGAGTGAGCTTTACCCTTAGACAATATAGTAATGCAGAACTCTAACCCAACATTCTCCATAGGGCTGGCTTTCTTCCTGGCGCTGTGCTCGTGATATCAAAATGGTATCTCCCGGATGAGACACAAAGTCGAATTGCCATTCTTTATACCTCTGCTGCCTCGGGTGGAGCATTCTCTGGTCTTCTTGCTTTCGGAATTGCCAAGATGGATGGCGTTGGCGGCTACGAAGGCTGGCGTTGGGTCAGTCTCCCCAGCAAAGTTTAGACCGCTTGGGAATAATCGCTAACTTTCAAAATATAGATATTTATCATTGAAGGGCTCATAACCATTGCCATGGCAGTTCTTTGCTATCTCCTGCTCATAGACTCCCCAGCCCTGTCTCCTAAATGGCTCAGCACGGATGAGATTCGCTTTTTGGAACTTCGTCAAATTGCGAATCTGAATCAGGGTGAGAACCATAAATCATTTGACATGAGAGCCTTGATCAGTGTTGTTACGGATTGGAAGATCTATCTTCTCATCTTCGGCGCCTGGTCAAATGCTGTTCCTAACTATGCTCTCAAATTCACCATGCCTGAAATTATCACCTCAATGGGATATGATTCTGCCAAGGCCCAGCTGCTGACCATCCCACCTTACGCTGTTGGAGCCTTTTCTTCTTACGGGTTTTCGGTATTTGCCGACCGCTATAAATGGAGAATGCCGTTTATTCTTGTTCCTCAGCTATCTATCGTCATCGCATTTGCCATATTATTTTCGAAGGCGGCCGCAATCGAGAACAACATAGCTCTCTGCTACTTTGGAGTGTGTCTCGCTTGCTTTGGGATGTACCCTATTCTCCCGGGTGTCAATACTTGGAATGTTTCCAACAACCCCGATCCGCACAAGCGAGCCGTGGCTATCGGATATCTCATATGTATGGGAAACGTGGGCGGAATTATTGGCAGCTTCATTTATCGTGCAGATGAGAAGCCCCGATATCCAACGGGCTACGGCACATCCTTAGCATTTGCGGCGGCAGGAATCGTGGCATGTCTTGTCTTAGAAGGATTGCTTTGGAGATCGAACAAAAGAAATGCGCATCTCACCGAGGAGGAGATTCGTCAAAGGTATAGTGAAGGAGACCTTCAAAAAATGGCTGAAAGAAGTCCCCTTTTCAAGTACACGCTCTAGTTGCGGACTACTTCCGTCATGATGGACCCGGTGGGCAATAACATTAGATATGAAGCTTTTGATCAGAGGAAAAATTGTTGAAGAGTAGATAGATCTACATGCAAATAAATAGTTGACTATCTGTTAAGCATTCATGTCTCGTATAAACTTGCATCACAACTCCTGGTTGCGGCATATTTTCCCAGGGAGAGAAACACAGCCAAATTCAGTACATTCCTCCAATAGTACCCAATCCGCCGTGGAAAACCCCGAAGCGGAGTATATTTTTGCAAAAGCTAGTCTCTTGCTAATATTTATTTGTATAATGTTTTTTATCTTGAACTCCGGGTGCATTTAATCGACGTCTGAATCTCTGAATTCCAATGCCCGAAGCCCCAATAAGGAAAGTTTGCGCGATGTGCGAGATGAGTCACACATAACTTTTCAACTTTTGAGATTCTCAAGTACATTTATTCATTGAAGCCCCAGTTCACGGACTATTTCTCTGATATATCCGCTCCGTTGTCTCATTCGTCACTACCTCCGAATGCCGCTCCGAGGATTAGTCACAGCCACTCGCTTCCATTAGTTAGTTAGTTATCTGGCAGCTACTACTAGTACTAGTAGACCTTGCATGACATCTTACATTCTTCCATCTCACTCCAGAAACAGAGCCAACCTGTTTCAATTTCATCAAAAAGGTCATCTACCGAAGTTTGGATTTTCTACAATGGCATCGTCAGAGGAATACAAAATCACCAAACTCAATAGCAATGACTTTGACGAGTGGGCTACCCTTTTTCGGGGTTATATCGATTTCTATGAAACTACAATCCCTGAGGATCAATACCGGAAAACCTTTGAACGAATCCTTGACACCAACTCTGACCTGTTCGCCTTGGTGATGAGACAGCAGCAAGGCGAATCCGGGGATGGAAAAATGATTGCAATTGCGCACTTTTTCCCCAGCAAACTCCGTGGAGTGAAAAGAACATAATGCTATTGAATGGTATGTCTTACGGTGCCTTTTCATTTTGATGAAGCTGTCACGCTTAGCATCCACTAACGCAAAATGGCACTCATGGGTAGATCTCTTTGTGGACCCAGCAGTCAGAGGAAAGGGCCAGGGTCGCAAGATGATTCAGGCCGTGGCAGATGCCTCGAAAGAGATGGGGTGCCTTCGACTCCAGTGGCTGACGAAGCATGATAATGTTACCGCTCGTCGTCTCTATGATACGATGGCAGATACCTCGTTTGTTCAGTATCGCATGGGTCTTTGAGCTTCCTTCGGCGGTTGTTCAAAACAAGGAACATTCCTCGCCTTTTTGTTTCAGGTGTTACATGTATATAGAAGCAAAACTTCTTTTATTAAAATTCACCTCAGCAAACAGTCTAGCTTTAGCTAAATGGTCAACTTGAAGAGTCGATAAGCCTATTGAATGTGACTACGCATCGTAGTCTTTGATAGGCCACATGTGACGCCTCACAAACGCAACGACCACCAACAGTCGACATCCCCCTCTTCTGTCCCAGAGCCTACACGGAGAGGCCTGCTTTCCAGAACAAAGATCACCCAGGGTGCGAAGATTCCAAAAATGAACAATCATCTTCTACTGTTTCCTTACAATCAACAACAATCATCGACGTGGCTGACGCGTGTACGATAGTCGTTAATGCTGCAATTGCCCCAAGTGCTTCAACAAGCCAAGAGAAGAGCGTAATCGCTATTGATTTTCATTAGAACTCCGTTTTTCTTATGAAAATAGATTGCACCTTGTATGAATTATGGGTATACTCCTTTCCGACCGCCCTTTCTTGCGCTGAAGATTTGATAATTCACGGCGGAGGTGATTGCTAATCCTTCTCATTGCCCTTTCGCCGCCATGAGTAGAGTCACCTAGCAATGAGCTTTCTGGCCAAGGCAAAGCGAATTTCAAGCCCCGGATGATCAATTGCTGCATACGAGCTTTCTCCAAACGGTGAGTCCGGAACTATATCTGGTCTCCGGTATCTAAGATTTTCGGAGCAGCGGGGCGAACGCTGAGGGGTAAAGTTAGATAAAAGTGGCCCCTCTACTCCGTAGCAAGACTCGGATGTATAAACGCGTTGAGGTGACACCATCTTCCCCTCTCCCCACTTCCATCTATCTACTCAAAGGTCGGCACACGCCATGGGCAATCAACTCTCCTACCTCGAAACTCCTCATGAAATCGATCTGGGTCCCAAAGGCAGGCTTCGAGGAATTCAATATGACAACAAAGCCCGCCGATACGCTGGCGTACCCTACGCTCTGCCACCAGTAGGTGCCCATCGCTGGAGAAAACCTCGCCCTTTGCCCGCGGGGCACAGTTATAGTGAATCGGGAAGTCCTTTCGATGCCTCATTTTTCCGTCCGGTTTGCCCTCAAGCGAAATTTGAGTCTGGAGCCGAGAAGGACGTGGGCCCGGAATCTTATAGCGAGGATTGTTTGCTGCTGAATATCTGGACCCCTGTTGAGGACCCTACAGAGAATCCAAAAAAGAAATGGCCGGTTGTTCTTTGGCTTCACGGTGGCTGGTTCCAGTTAGGCGACCCTCTTCAAGAAGTTGGAATGAATCCCACCGAGATGATCTCCACTGGAAAGCTCAACGCTATCGTGGTCGGTATCGGCTACAGGCTCAACGTGTTCGGTTTCCTTGCTGGTCAGGCTCTGCTTGACGAAAGTGATGGTGATAGCGCTGGTAATTTCGGTCTCTGGGATCAACGCTTGGCCATGGACTGGGTGTACGAAAATATCGCGGCTTTCAACGGTGACATCAATAACATCACACTGGGTGGTCGCAGTGCTGGATCTTACGGCGTCCAAGCACAAGTTCTCTATGACTTCCGACGCGAAACACAATTATTCCACCGTTTCTACATGATTTCAAATGCGATTCCGGCACAACCCAAGGCGCTGTCAGATGTGAATCCTCAATTTGACGAGTTGTGCGAGTACTTTAGCGTGCCTGCCAACCTTTCCGGACCGGAGAAATTAGACAGACTACGTGAAGTGAGCCACCAAGATCTCATTGCCGCACTGGGGAATCTAAAAAACCACACATTCCGCCCCGTGACAGATGAGCTGTTTATCTTCAACGGTTTCACCGACTACAATCACAGCGGTGCATTTGCCGAAGAATTCAAGAAGCGGAATCTACGGATATTCATTGGAGAAGTTCTCAACGAGGAGACTCTCTACGCGACATATAACAACCCTAAGCCTAATCTCGAGTCACTTCGGCTGCAAGTTTCGAACTATTACGCACCGGAGACAACAGATCGCGTATTGAAGTCATATAAGCTTCCCACCACCGAGGATCAAATGGAATGGAATACGCTTTTCGGAAATATAATTGCAGACGGTCAAGTTCGTGCTCCCTCACGCTGGTTGGTGAATTGCCTTAGCAGTCATGGCGTGCCTTTGCGTCACATTTGGCGGTATCGCATTGCGTACCGACTTTCGTTCATTACAGATAAAGTGTCACCTTTATCATTTGGCGTAGCGCATGCCATGGATAAACCATTTTGGAAGTGAGTTTCAAATAACCTGGGTTCTCTTTCTCAGCTAACTCTTCATTAGCTTCTCGATCATGCACGGCCCCACTTCCCAAGAAAGAAAACTGATGGAAGACTGGATTGAGGCATTTGTCGCATTTGTGAATGATGACCAAGAATACGATTACGGCACGAGCTCGATCGATGAGGTGAGGGTGGCAACACCAAGCTGTATGATCGATGTCGAAAAGGATGAGAGATGGTCAGATCTGGTCAAGTTGGGCGAAATTTTTGCAAACGATGTTTGATTCTTTATGATTATCAGCTCTTTCCTTCTTCCTTGCATAAATATGAATTCTGAAGCTATTTAAATTCACTATCAGCAAGGCGACCCGGGCCCCTTCCAAGGTTCCAAGATTTGATGAACTCCGATTATTCTACTACTAGTAATAATAGTCGGAGGCTCCGGTTGACTTGCGGCGCTCTGGGTCCTCGCCGCGGCGGAAAAGCATAGGTACAGACAAGATAAATATAGAACCCACTGGCATCGTCTGGTTGAAACAGTCCTGGAGAAGACAACGGGCAAAATAATTAGCAAAGCAACATAAGGCATTAATCATGGAAATGCCGATCATGTTGATCCTGCTTCAGGCGTCCAAGCGCGTTAAGATAAGCGTTGGCCAGCAGCGCCGGATATGCGCTTTCGGAGGACGCCTGACGGCAATGCGTTCGTATCATTAACACTGCCACCATCGTAGCCTCATTTGCGGTGTGAAATTGTATAAATGACCGCAAATATCCTTGCAGAAATGAAAAAGACGGGCATTACAATCCACTCCAAACCATGGTGAACATTCGCTCTGCGGCTGAGTCTGCTGTTAAAGCCTACAGTGCTGCCATCGCGCTTGGGGGCAATTATTCTTATCCACTCCCAAAACTAGCAAGCCATGTCTCAACCTTTTTTATGCCTAATTATACTTCCTACTCGCTTGGAGAAATAAACCTCTCGCCTAACCAGTCGGTTGTTGCCAGCGATTTCGAGTCCATATATTCCGAATGGAGATCAAACGGTCAACCCGGAACTGTTATTCAAATAGTCCATCATAAAATTCAGCCTGTGTCCAATTCAAGTGCCATATGCTGGTTGACCTACCATATTGATCCGCAAAATGGACAACCGGAGTGGGAGTGGACCAACGTCTATGGATTTCGCCAGACTGAGGAAAAGTTCACAAATGGTTTATATGGAGGGTGGGAATTCGCGGTAGAGGATAACGAGCATTCGCAATATGCGTCGCATTCTCACTAGTGCCCTATTTATAGCGAGTTTCGACGGAGGCTTTCTCGGTTTACATTTTATGACGCAGAAAAATAGTTTCCTTCAAGTTGACATAACGAACAATTTGATAATTTCATATCGTCACTCATAATTATATACAGGATGCAGTCTTTTGTAGCGATCTCAGCACTATCAATCTAAAGCTTTGAAGAAGATGCTTTTGCCACAAGGTGCTGGTTGACAGGGGTGATTGCCTTGCCATTCTGGAGAAACGAGATGATATTCTCCATTCCCAGTCGCTCGAATCCGATATGAGAATCCAGGGAAGCGCCAGCATTGTGCGACAGGATTTCGACGTTTCTCATCTTTCCAAGCTCCTTGTTCACATTCGGTTCGTCGTAGTGTACATCCAGTCCAGCAGAAGACAATTGGCCCTTCTTCAGAGCATCTAGCAAAGCAGCCTCATCCAGCAGTTTTCCGCGGGCGATATTCACAAGCCTGGCGCCTGTCTTCATCTTCGACATCAGTGATGCGTTGAGAAGCGCCTCTCCACTGAATGGAGTAGCCACCAATACGCAGTCCGACTCGGCCAATAGTGTATCTATGCTCTTGTGGTAGGTGGCCTGAGAAACCTCCTCGAGCTGGCGGGGCATCTGGACAATATCATGATACAGAATCTTCATGTTCAGAGCCAGGTATGCCTTTTCCGCGGTGAGACGACCAATCTGACCGAATCCGATAATACCGAGCGTGTGGCCTTTGGGGTTCAAGGAAACGGGAGCAAGGTTGCGGTTTGCGTCTGCGAATTGGTTAGGATCGAGTGACCGAGCTGCCATCGCAGACCACGAAAAGAGGCGAAAAGTGGAGATGATCAGCCAGAGAGCAGCATCGGCAACAGACTCGGTGCAAGCGGCGGCGGCATTGCAGTAGACGACGCCTGAACAAAACATAATCATGTTAGTACCGTCTTGTTAGAACAAGGGAGTCCATCGAAGCTTACCTTTCTTAGCCAGGGCAGCAGTGTCGACCCAGTCGAAACCAGCGCCCGCGCTAGCATATACTTTGCAGGAATCCGGCAGCAATGAAATCAGTTCATCGTTCCAGTTACCCATTTCGCCGCCAGTATTCCAGAATGGTCGATAGATCGCAAAGAAATCGCCAAACTTCTTATCCTTCAAAGCTTGGATGAACTCAGGTCGCGACATGCTGTATGACCGGCGAACCTCGAAGTGCTCTTGGAATTTGGTGTGCAGTTCATGATTCCAGCGGATGTCGTCACCGAGCTGGAGGACGACTGGCTTTCCCATTGTGACTTGTTTCTCGTAGAGCTTTCTACGGGTGGTAAATGTTTGGAGATGCGCAATGTGCAATGAAAATGTGACGGCGGCAATATATTCTCTCGATGGGTAAAAAGTGAAATACAAGACTTTCTATACCACCTATTCATGCATTAAATTTAAATATTTAAAGACGGCCTAACTCAGGTTATACGGTTATTGCAGTTTAGCGGCCTCTGTCCTAGTACGCGGACGGCTATTGAATGCGCTCGGCTATTGAAATCCGAAAGATGGAATAACCCCACGAAAAAGGGAAGATCGTCCCATATTTCTTTTAATTAGGAGCCGAGTGGATCGCTCACTCACCCCATGGAGAACTTAGAATACTAACTGCCAGTGAGAACGCAGATCAGCCATGGGCTGCATTACTTGTTTCTCTGCACGATCTCCGCACGGGGTTTCGGCTACCCCAGTTACTGCTTCGGAAGTATGTTTCCCATTCGATAAGATGTGGTTCTGAATGAGTTAGAGCTTCTGAATAATGTCTGTATACATTGATCTGCCATTTGAAATGGTATAATTGTAGCAGGCTTATCATAAGTTGCCAATTCATACTGTCCATTCGCTTCAACGCCTGAGCTTTTCCTCTCCGGTGATTTTCGATATCGGGAGACAAGGCCGAGCAAACGCAGTGCTGTAAATAATCATGCTTGACCTTTCCCTCCAAGCTCAGCATTTTGCACGAGAACAACACCCGGATTCTTCTTTTCGCCCATATCCTCTTCGCTCGATGCGAATCCCACACTAATACTCCCATTCTTCAAGAATCTCACGCTTATATCATAGACCCACGAGCTCTCAGGATCCTCCAAGCCCTCGATACGAAACCTTTCCTTCACGTCCGGTGTCTTTTTCCAGATCTTCTCCATTTGTTCGAAAGAGTTGGTCACGACCCCGCGATAATGCAGTCCACGCTGGTCCATTACCCGCACGAAGCGATACTGATAAGAAGTCGGGTCAAACTGGGGAGATGTAGATTCAGCCAGGCGTTTTCTAGTATATTTCTTTGCTGCAAATCCAAGCAGCCAAATCACGGCTAACATCGTGGCGCCAGATATCAAACGTTGAAGATAGGTAGTACGGGTATCACGCCTGCCTAGGATTTCAAGCATCATGGAACGGGAATGATCTATGGCAATATTAGAGATCCCAAATAATACTATAAACCAGCTATTCAAGTTGTTTGTCAGCGGTATTCTCAGAATTGGAGCGTCGTCAAATTTCAAGGTTTGTTTACCCTTCGGCGAGCCACGCGAGTGCTGCGATGCTGCGATCGAAAGATGAGGCTGTGTTCAATATATCCAGGCCAGATTTGCCGGTAGAGGTGATGATCCTGTCATCTGGAACATTCAGAGACTCGAAAGTAGGGTCTGCTCGCAGACCTCGACGGGCTGCTAGGAGAAAGAATAGCGGCTCGAGAATCTTCGCGGTGGCATCGGTTGGTGGGACGCTGACATTCAAACCCTCCAAGTCTGACTTCGTCTTTTCGCTGGGAAGGTGATGTATTGATGCCATTACCGAAATCTTGATCTTACAGCAGAAGATGGGAGACAAAAAGATAGAGGGATAGTTTCCAGAGGAAGAAAATTCGCTGCCCGGGCACGCGGCTGAGATACTGCCTTGCTAACGGACCCCAAAACACAGCCGTGGGAGCATCCCCCAACTGCCTTGCTAGTGGCCCCAATTTCTGAGAAGTCCAAAAATAAACTTGAACTCCCTAGCCCAAAACTTTGCGAGGTTTCTGCTAGGTGGGGTGTGGGCAGCTACTAGTAAATCACTGTCTCTCCAAAACACCTAGGCATGAATAGTACACAGTTGTGATACCTGTTAGATATTCAGGCGCAGTATCTATACTTTTTGACCTAATGCTTACTGCTACTACTAACTACTAGTTACTAGTACTAACTACTACTAGTAACTAAGAGTAGTAGTACTAGTACTAGTAGTCTGTACTCATTCGGGGGCCTCGAGGATTGAACACAGTCTTGGAAACCTGGATTCGTTTATGATATTTTTGATTTTGATCAGCCTTCAAGATTATTCAAGGACCCTTTTTCTAAAAAGAAGTTCTTATTCAAACCGCTCTATAGGCTCCATCTAGATAATATACCACATGGTTCGGTATACGTCCTGGAGACTCGGAGGTGGACGAAGTAGTTGAGCCGAGCGACTACCTACACAGCCTTAGAACTATTGCTCCGATTCTAACTAGAAGCTTCGACGTAAATATCTTGCCATTGGTGAAATAAGACAAAGAAGATAGTACACGATACATCTTGCGTGCAAACAGAACAGAAAGAGAAATTGAAAAGGAAAAACGAAAAGGAAAAAGTAGAAGGAGAAAACGCCTTGCGCCCAGCGCAATACCGAGAAGAAGTTCGGTCTTGAAATCAGTAACGAGTCCAAGTCCGATCATGATAGGGCAGAAGAACATCCGATGAGAGAGGTGGAGAACAAGAAAGGAAAGAAGCAACCTAAGGAAACGTAATCGACGAGATAGAAGAAGGAATAAAGAAGTGGGAAAACCCGTCCACACAATTGGAAAATGGATTATAAGAGACAAAAGAAAAAATCAATATCACGGAGACCAGCAAGGCGAGACCAGACAAAACAAGACGAGGTTTAAAAAAAGCCACAATGAATGACATTGACACCTCATGCAAACAAGATAGAAACCAAAGGGGTAAGTAAGTAAAGTAACACTAACTCCACACAACCCGCCAGATTCGGGTAAAAAAAAAAAAAAACAAAAAAGCAAACGCCATTTAGAACAGAGATAATCAGGGAAGGAAAAAAAATGAACAAGATAAAACAAACTCCGAGTCTCCGGACCCCGCTCCTGAAATGATATCCCCGAATGAAACCATTGCCATTGCATTTGTTGGTGAAAAGAATGAGCGTGAAAAAGGGAAAAGGAAAAAGGAAAAGGGATGAAAATAGGGAAAAGAAAGGGAGGAAAAGTCTCCAACGTTTCGGTCATGAGCAAGCAACACATCGCTCGCGGGGTTCAGCCGGTCTTCGGGCCAGTGTACTTCCCCGTGGGCGGATCATTCCAGCAAAGCGTCTAGCCTAGCCGCGACGTCTTCGCAATCCATAATCCTCCGCTTGAAGTTCCCGAATAAGGCGCAAGCTTTCTGCATCGGGACCCTCCTCTTCCAAGTGGTGGTTTATATGCTTTGATTGGTGAGGAGACATGGAGGTCGTTGCGTGACGTTCGAAGCGCTTCTCGACCATTGGAGAGCTCTTTTTGGCGTGAGAAGAGGAGGGGCGAGAGGAGGGTTTCTTAGCTGGATGTGGACCGGGCGTGGTTCTCCGGGGAGGAAGAGTAGTCCGCACTGTTGGTTTGTGTGGGCGGGCAGCGGTAGTTGAATTAGCTGTCGCTGTGGTTGCGGCCTCTAGAGCGAAGCGCTCATTGAGTCGGGGTTGGCGAGATGAATGGCGAGAGCTGGAATTGGGCGTGTGTAGCGTCGGTGCCTCGCCTTCGACAGAGGTCATGGGTTCGCCATCTTGGACTACATCCATTTCATCTGCTAATGAAGTGGGTGGTGAAACGAGGGAGGCCGTTGGCTTTGAAGAGACAGAAACAGAGTTGGCATCTTTCATGTCGACAGATTCTGCATGAAAGACAGGCGGCGATGCGTATAATGATTGGTTCACAGGCATATCCTCTTCCATGTGTGCTGAAGGGAATTGATAAGCCGACGAATGGTCATGGGGGTCGAGAGCTTCGTTTTCGTATGTTACCGGAACAGCCTGCAAAACCTCTTCCTTGCTATCAGCCTGACCGAGGTCAAATTGTCCCTGATTCACGATTGGCGATGTGCTCTCTTGCTTTGTCTTCTTCGGGACGGGGACCGTGTCATCATCGTTTGTTCGAGGCCGCTTTGCCGAAGTGGTGTTGCGGGGTTTAGATCGCTCTTGAGCCTTGATAGGATCTATCCGACCGTATTCGTCATGTATACAACGACGCTGGTTTATTTTAGCCTAATACATTCGAAAGTGGATGTTGGGTCAAACTTACCTTGCTCTTCCGGCAATCGTCGCATGCCTTACTACGACCTTTCTTCCCACCGCTAGCACCATCAGGACTCAAATCATGAAGCCTGTTCGCTGCTGCAGTAGACGTTCCCATGACTGCGGATTGGAATTTGCCAGCGGCCTCAAACCCATCAAGGCCAATCACGCCATTGTTCGGGAATCCGGCTTGCGAGGCGATTGCCGCTAATGAGTTCAATGCGGAAACCGCATCTTGGGCCAGTGAATTTGGTGTGCTAACACCTGACGTGGATCCAAATCCGTTGATTGTCATTTGTTTGCCCAAAATCATGTCAGCCGGCTCATCCTTGTGGCGACAACGAATGCGTCGTCTACGACAAGCATCGCAAGCTACCCGCTTTGGCCCTAGACCGGAGCCTCGTGGTGCGGAGGATCGCGACTTTGGAGTCGTCATGGCGTCCGGAGCCGCGCAATCGGGGGTATACACAGACGGAAAGGATGTCGGAATCTCGACCAAGGGGTCGGCCTGGTGCGCGGGGGATGGCATGATGTCTTCCAAGCGCTGAATAGGGTGCCTCTCCGCATATGTACGCTGGTAGTCGATATTGCGGTCCGATCGGCGACTCGGTCGTCCAGCGGGCTTCTTTTCATTAAGGGAAACCTTGGGGTTGTTTTCGATAACACCCGGTCGAGTCCATCGCGGTGCCGTCTCATTGCCACGTTTCCATGCGACCCAGATTCCGAACCTCCGAATCATTTCAACAGGATCTGTGATTGCTTTCGGGATGGAACGACGGATGGCGTTGCGAGCTTCTGTCGTGACACCTTCAACAAGATAGCCACTAGCAATAAGTGCTGTCCGAAGAAGATACTTAATCAGTTCAGGCAAACCCTCAAGCTCCGCTTGGGAATAGAATCGAGCGTTATAGTAAGGCGATCCCAAAGCCTCTTGATTGGCAAGTTCTCCAAACTCGTAGTACACGGGGTACTCTCGGTGAAATCGAGCGTTTTCATCCTGCACGAAGTAATCCAATACATTCGCGGGGACAGGGTCATCTTCCAAATATCGCAGGGCTGTGTACCACTGGATTTTCTGGAAGAATGGGTATCGGAATTTCCTAGGGACTTTTGTCTCCTTCTCAATGTTGAGCACCTTGATTTGCATGCCGTAGTTCAGCCTGGTGAGGAAGTTCCCGCCGATTACCAGGCTGTTCTCCGGGGTCCATACGGCATGGATCCAGCCTGATGGAATCAACATGGTGTCCCCCTCAGAAAGATCAACACGATAACACTCCTTTGTCTGGCTTCCGAGGAAGATTGAATCCTGCGCAGGGGAGTTGCACCACTCTTCATACTTCTTCAGGTGCCTGTCTTTGGGTGGGATGAAGAAAAAGGTCTTCTTGCCCTTGAGAATATGATAGTACACTGAAGAACCACCAAAGTCGATATGAAAGTCGGTATAGCAGTCGGCCACAGACATCAGGCAATAGAATTGTACTTTGGGGAAGTCACCAATTTCTTGCAGCTCCTTGGGCCAGACGGCATCTTGCAAATCCAAGTCCCGAACGATCTTAGGTCGCTTGATGAGTCTGCCGAGCCTGCTCTGGGAGACCTCCAAGCTAATGACGTTCCGGACGGGTTTGTTGGGTTCGTTACTCTCGTAGTAATCCGCCCATTTCTGCATATTCCACCTCTTATCCTCGCCCTGTTGTGATTTGACATCAATGACCTCGACTCTCTCTTCGGGTCCGTAGAGTTCCGCCACCGCCCGTACCGTAAGGCCTTTGGGGATCACCATGTCCAATTGATCCTGGCCACAGTCATTGTTCTCTTCAACCTCGGCCTCCTGTTCGGGAAGATGCTCAAGAAGATCATCAAACATTTCCTTGGTAGAAGCATCTTTGATCAAAGATTCAAAGTCTGTGTCCACTTCGGGGACAGGTTCATGGGTGTTCCAGCAGGCAGGTATCACGATGGGTTCATTCCAGCCATTTCCACGCTCGAAGTATTCGGCAGTGACCAATTCGGGCTTCATGCGGGGGAAATCCTCCGGCTGGAAGCGTATTTTCCCTTGTCGGATAGGCTCCAGGTAGTGGTGTTCCATAGAGTCGGAAGCCGCCTTGACAAGGCCTTGGTTGAGACCTGCGTAGTCAATTGCTGTACGAGCACGCGAGGACTTGCGGACGAAAGTGGTTTGACCGTGGGCTGGTCGACATGAGCGACATATGAACTTGTCAATGGTGCGCAATTCTCGATCGCTTTTGAAGCCAGCGCAGACGATATGGAACCATCGCTTGCATCCATCACAACCAATCCAGGTATCTTCTTCTTGCTCTTCTGTCTGTACTGGTATTCGAACCATATGACATGCAGCACAGCTTGCCTGGCTTGGTTCGGCTTCGTCTTCCTCGGCTTTAGGCATCGGGTCTAATGGTTTTTGCAAGGCGCGAAGTTCAGGAATACCGGTGGACCGGTGTTCCACATACCCAGCATATCGAGACGCGTCTCCCGATGAGATATCCTCAATCTCGTCTTCCCACACAATTGGAGGTAATGTCCCTGCGCTGGTGGTCGGACGCGCACCGCGAATCACAGGACGGGGTGCAAATGCTGAGCCATCCGAACGAGATCTCATGCGCGAAGGCGGGTGACTGTCCTCCGAGAAAAATGCATGTTTCCCGTCGGGGTATCCATCATTTGCAAATCCAACTCGATTGTGCCTTAACTCGTCACCTCCGTAGTGGTTATGAGACTCATCGATGCTGACTCGTTTTGTGTGGCTGCTGGGGTGAAAATTGGTCGGTCGGGCGAGGTTTAAAAGAAGCTCGGCATCTGTTGTCATGCTATCTGGAATCAAGGATTGTATATTTGAGGGCGCTTGTGAGTGTGAATGAGAGTAAGAAAGGGTATCGGAAAGGGAATGGGAATGAGAATGAGTTGGTTGGCCGCGGCCATGGTATGGTGAGGGGTCTCTCTCAGATCGAGCTCTCTTCGCGGGGCGTTCGGAGGTGTTCGATTCGGGAGGAAACAAGGGCACGGTCGATCGAGATGGGGGGGGAAGGTGGGCGATCGGGAAGTGGTGTGAATGTCGGGCTGGTTGCGAGGGCGATGGTCGCAAGAGTGTCGATGGTTGAGTTTGACCGGCCGTGACCCGACCGGTGATGTGAAGAGCCATCCACCGCAGGGGTCCGAGTATGATTAGACGGTCGCTGGTCACCATCCAAACTTGTAGCCCGAGTGATACCGCGCTCGGCCCATGATGAACGAAATTCTGCGGTGGACGGTGTGATGGGCTCTACGGCGCGTCGCGGGGGGGACGGAGTTCGGTACTGCGGCGGACGCTCCCCCAGGGGAGTCAGGAAGGAGGCCGCGCTCATCATCTTGACCTGGACCGAGTCGGAGAGTATTGGCGGTAGAAACGGACGAGTAGGAGGATCGGGGTTGCGAATAAATGCGCTTCCGGCTGGTGGGTGCAAAGCGGGGATCATGGACCACACGGACTAGCGAGTGGCCGTCGCAGAGGAATGGAAAGTCATTCCTGGCAAACGGACATTCGCAGTCGAAACCGCAAAGCAGACCGGGGCGCGCTGGTCGACAAGATTATCGACGGCGCGGCGGGGAAGGAGGAGGAGATCAAGTTATGTTCGGAGTGGACGGAGAAGTCGCAGTTGAGGGGGGGTTTCGTTTGAACGGCGGGAGGCCAAAGGCGCCGAGGGTTGCGGCGCGCAGCCCGCGGGCAGGGAAGGAAACGAGATGAAGACAATCCAGTGGGCAGGAGAGTGAATTCCTGTAAGGTAGCTAACCGGCGCGACTGGAGCTGATGATGTCGGAGGGGAGGAGGAGGAGGAGGATGGGATCGCAAGTGTAAGGAGGGAGGAGTGAGTTGGTGGTAGTCGAGTTGGCAGGTCGCAAAGGCGCAAGGTCAAGGTATTGGGGGAACGCGGAACAGCTTGTCCACCGAAATGCTTTTGGTGCTGGCGGATCTCCCTTTATACCGAAATCAATTCCAGGTGAATGCCGAGAGTGAAGCGTCCCGCGATCGATTGAGTGACTTGGTTGAAAGAAGGGAAAGGAATTAGACTTGAATGGCCGAGAGCTGCCAAACTTCCCAACTTGCGACGCTCTCATCGAGCTCTCAGTGTATATACCGTCTGGTACGCGCGTATTGAACGATCTCCGAGCAGGAGTACCTAGAAAATGCCAATTGAGGCTAGTAAATTAGTAAGGAGGGGTAGGTACTCAGGGCCTTGTGCACGTGCAGTGATAATGTCACGTATTGTCACATATTGTCACAGCTTACTTCATCCTTACTGCCTCAGGCACAAACTAAACCGCATTAGGCGCGATGCCAAGGCTTCCTGCATGCTTCGTTCTGCGTGTGTCTTGCGCTCTCCTCTCCTTCCGAAAAAGAAACCACCCGCCCACCTCGATTCCCCCCGGGTTTCTTGCTCTTCACTTTACATTCATCAACCCCATTCTCATTGATTTCTGCCCTGAGGATGAGCCGGAAGCTCGCCCCCGAAGCAAATCGGTAGGTGCCTGGATCTTTTGCCCCTCTCAACCCGGCCTTGCCATCCCGCAAAAAACCCGGAAGCCCATCCACACCCCCGAGACCACCCTTTACATATTGTTCAGTTATGCTAACTCGCCTTTTTTTTATTTCTGCTAGGATTCTCTTCGTCAAGAACCTCAAGTATGTCTCAGCGCGATCCGCCATCCTCCGTCCTCAATCGACTTGCATACTCGCGTGATGCTTGCGTGACGCTTGCGGAATACCATCTACAGTCGAAATTAGATCACTGACGATATCTCTTTCTTTCTTCAGCTACAACGTAACCGCGGATCAATTATTTGACCTCTTCGGCAAGTTCGGACCTATTCGGTATGGCATTGCTCGTGTTCCTTCTTTCCTTCGCTCGACTACGTCGATGAACACGCCGCTCACACCTTTCTCTTTTTTTTATCCAGGCAAATTCGCCAGGGTATCGCCAACAACTCCAAGGGCACGGCGTTTGTGGTATACGAGGACGTACACGACGCCAAGCAGGCATGCGATAAGCTCAATGGATTCAACTTCCAGAACAGATACTTGGTCGGTACGTACAGCAAGATACGTGGTGGTGGTGGTGGCAGTGGGAGTAGAAGCAGAACACAGCTAACGGACATTTTCCCTTTAGTATTATACCACCAGCCCGAGAAGATGGCACGTTCAAAGGAGGATTTGGCGGAAAGACAAGAAAATCTCGAAAGACTTAAACAGCAGCACGGGATAGAATGATGTGACGACTCTCATGATGCCCTCTGCGTGCGGCTCGCAGTGCATGGTATTGCAACGGCTTTCCTGCTCTATCGATTCCGGAATGGTTGAGGGGTTCTTCGGCGTTTTGTTTATTCCCTCTGGTTGTTTTATTTCGTTTCGTTTCGTTTCGTTTCAGGTGGGAGACGGAGGCTCGACGGGTTTTGACTCCTCGGTTATCATTTACCAACCAGGAGGCTCTCGCTTGAAGGACACACTTCGCGAGGGCTGTTTCTTTTCTTCTTCACTTCTCTTTGTCTATGCTATTATCCTCTTATTCCAGATTCTCGTAATCAAATATGGAAACCCTTTGCTCGACGACTCCGCTGGGACCTATTTCTGTACCCCATATCGTCTATTATTCTAAATCTCTACTCCCTGTTCACCATGGCTCTTCTTCCCTCCAATCCAACTACTCAAGATCTACTCAACCATCAAACAGAGTAAGGCGGACTCTGCGACACTGCGTCACAGCCGCACCCGACTCCACCCTCCGGCAGGGTCCAATTAAGGGACTATCACTTTCCCTGTCTTTACTTAGGAAACCCCTTGGAAAACGAAACCAGGGGAATCCTCTTCAAATCCAAAGGCTATAGCGATAAACTGGGAACTCATGCCCATAGAACCTGCTGAGACTACCTCAACAACAAAGTTCCCTCCAACAAAGTAACCTCTAGCCCGCCCGGCTAGCCGCGTCGATCCCACCTGGGCAGTGCGGGGAGAGACACCGCCTCCAGGCAGAGCTGCTCGACTGTGACGACTGCAACACTGCCCGGTTTTGGCAGATGCCTCGAGAGAACTTAATCTCTTCGTTTGTTCTTTCGTCCTCCTCCCCATTTACATCACCTCGACACCCAAGTTCATGACATACTGAAACATCACCATTAATCAGCCTAGTGGCACCAAAAGCGCCCCCGCGTTACACGAGCCGCCTGGTGTCTTGGCTTGGCCCCCCCGACCCCATTTCAACTTCTGTGAATCATCCTGTAGCCTCCGGGCATTACTTTCAACCTATCGACCTATCGACCTATCGGCCTACAAACCAGAGTCCTCTATTCACGATGGATCTCGCTGCTCCCATCATGGTAGCTGCGAGAGCGACATCAAGTCTCATCGCCACTTCCCAAACCTCATATTCCGACCCGACGCCATCACCGTCCGACGGTCATAAGCTATTCTACCATGGCGCATCCGCCTCCGACTCTGGTAGCTCTGGCGGAGAGAATCAGGGAGAATGCCACTTATTAGGACCATTCTCTCTTCTCGTTCAGTTGGCGCTTGGGGGACTGGCGCTACTATCGTTGGTCTTCAAGCGGTGGAGAGAACGGCCGCAGCGGCCAGTAAAGGTGTGGGCATTTGACGTCTCGAAGCAGGTCTTTGGCTCAGCTATGCTTCATCTCTTGAACCTGACTATGTCCATGTTCTCGGCCGGTCAGATAGAGATCAGGCCGTCATACACACCGAATCCCTGCTCATTCTACCTACTAAATCTGGGAATCGACGTGAGTATCTCCATCCCCTCTTCTTTCTAGTCACACATTATGCCAAAAACATGTGCACAGTAAAAAAACATGCTAACAAAAACCGCATCAGACAACTCTCGGCATCCCGATTCTGATTCTCATTCTCCGCGTCTTAAACATCCTCGCCTCTTACACGCCACTAGCAAATCCGCCCGAATCAATCGAGTCCGGCAACTACGGCCAACCGCCCAAGGCATTCTGGTGGTTCAAGCAATCCATCATCTACTTCATCGGATTACTCGGCATGAAAGTCTGCGTCTTCTTCCTAATTCAACTATTCCCCTTCATCGTCAAAGTCGGCGATTGGGCTCTACGGTGGACAGAAGGAAACACAGCACTTCAAATCATCTTCGTCATGCTCCTCTTCCCTGTAACGATGAACGCCATCCAATATTACATCATCGACATATTCATCAAGAAGTCGATTTCCCAGGACGGCTATAATTCCGACCTCACGACCGAGGGATCAACGACTGATAGCGTGGGGCGCGAGGCCCTACTCGCCGGTATCGATGACGCATATTCATCTGATACGGATGTTGAAGATGAGGCGCCTCAGAAGTCTTCCATTGCTAAGTCCGTCACGAATACTACGGCTACGGCAACTTCGCTTCAAGAGTCTGAAGGTCGATTCTTGGACTCAGAGGATCATAATCCTGCTCCACCCTATCAGCCGGAACCACCTAATTCTAGTGGGAGTGGTAGTCAGAATGGGCGTAAGGAGGTTTCGGGTCCGAATGCGCCATCGCAGCACTGATGATGGCTCCGGTGTGTCGAAGCCCTGGCGTTAAGATTGGAATTGATCATTGCTGGTGTAAGGGAATTTTTATGAATACATGTGCACACGATTATTGTCCTTGAGTATTTTATTGATTAGAGCTTATGTTTATTAGTCCACTGCCACATTTAGTACAGTCGCAAATTAAAGGAACTTGAACTTGAACCTTGACTGTTTAGGCTGAGAGTAGTCAACCTTCCAAGGAAGGATTACCAGTGATTATATATTCTTTGAGTAAACTCATTCTCGTCCCTTGTGAGAAATTTGAATCCATGGATATAATACTACTTGCAACCGTCCGTCCCGCAATCACTTATAGCTTGAACTTCAAGTTATAAATTATCTGGAATAAGATAGGTACTTAGCAGTATTAATATGCACATCTATGATCTCTGCCAAAGTTGGTGATATTACTACTAGTACACACCGCCTCCACCCGTGGGCGTCTTTCTGCCGCCCGCGATCCCAAATTTTTTTCTGCATCGAAACAGCCAAGCTCCCACGCCGATCCCGTGGAGAGATAAATTTCAATCCAGTTTCTTTCTATTCACCCGGGTTGAAAAAGAACGGAGAAAATGCCCAAAACAGCCCTTAAGCAAAAATCCAAGCGGACGACCGCCCGGTCTCCGCTCGACAATGCGCCGATGCATCCCCGTCCCCGTCCCGCAGACAACGACATTGACATGGGCGACGAAACCTCCAGTGACGAGGAAGATCTTCCCGAGAAAGATGCCGCGGAGAAGAAGCTTGAGCAGATGCTTTTCGGCGACGATGAGGGGTTCATGGGGGCGTTGAAGAGTCAACAGGAGCGTGCGGATGCGATGCAGCTTACCCTGCTCAGTGATGAGGATAGTGAGGGCGCTGCTGGTCTGGGAGACAGTGATGCGGAGGAACAGGGTGATTTGGCTGATATGGCTGATTCGGATGTATGTGCATATTTCTGGTGTTTCGTTTCGGTGTTGCTGTTTTCCAGCGCATTGCATTGTGATGCGCAGAACTGACAAGATTGGTTTTTTTCTTCTAGCTCTTCTTCCTCGACTCCGGCAGTGCACCCGCTGATACGAATATGATTCCTCCCCCGGAAACACCATCGGACGAGGAGGACTCGGACGAGGAATCTGCCCCGGCCGTCTGGGCCGATAGTGACGACGAGCGCATCGCAGTCTCACTAGCTGGTCAGGCTAAGTTGCGCAAGTTGCGCACCACCGAAGACGAAGATGTTATCAATGGCAAGGATTACGTTCGACGACTACGCAAACAATTCCAGCGCCTTCACCCCACGCCCGATTGGGCGAATCCCGAGCTCGCGGCTAAGCGTCGCAAGGTGGACTCGGACGACTCGGACGCGGATAGCGCTGAGGATATGGACTCTGATGAGGAGGAGCAACTATCCATGCAGCCTCTCGCCAAACTGCTTCAAAATGCTTCAGATCTTACTCGTGTCGAGGATAATGCCCGCGCTGGCGGGAAGCGCAAGCTGCGCCAGGAAGTCTTGGATATTCAGCGTCTGAAGGATGTCGGCAAGACACAGCCGGTAAGAAAAAATAATTTTCCAAACAAAAGAGAAGAAGAAGAAAGAATACATTGCTAACCCTTTCTGCTTCTCGCTCTCTCCAGTCTTCCGTCGACTCCCTCACTTTCCACCCACACTACCCCCTCCTGCTCTCCTCAGGCCCAGCATCAACCCTCTTCCTTCACCACATCTCCCCCTCATCCCCATCTCCAAACCCGCTCCTAACATCCCTGCACATCCGCCGCACACCACTCCACACCTCAACCTTCGCCGCACCCAGCGGCAACCGAATCTTCGCCTCAGGCCGCCGCCGCTACTTCCACATCTGGGACCTGGACACCGGCAAAGTGGACAAAGTAAACGGCGCCTCGGACCGCAACGAGCAAAAATCCATGGAACGCTTCAAGGTCTCCCCCTGCGGCCGCTACGTCGGTCTAATCGGCAGTTCGCGCAAAGGAGGCGGCCTGATCAATGTTCTGGACAGCGGTACTGCGCAGTGGATTGCGCAGGTCCGCGTCGATGGTCGGGGCGGCGTGGCTGATTTCGCTTGGTGGTCTGATGGTGAGGGAATGACTGTTGCTAGTAAGAATGGTGAGGTTTCGGAGTGGGATGGGAAGTTGCGTCGTGTTGTGGCGCGGTGGGTTGATGCTGGTGCTGTTGGTACGACGGTGCTTAGTCTTGGTGGGAGATCGGGTCGCACTCAACTTGGTGGGGATCGGTGGGTTGCCATCGGTAGTTCGAGTGGTGTTGTCAATATTTATGATCGGAGGGATTGGGCTACTGCGTACGCTAATGCCGGCGCTGCTGCTGGTGGTGGTGAGAAGGATGCTGCTGTCCAGAATGGAATTCCCAGAAACCCGGTCCCTGTTCGTGCCTTGGATCAACTTACTACCCCGATCAGCCATTTGGTTTTTGCGCCGGATGGTCAGATGCTTGCTATGGGTAGTCGGTGGAAGCGTGATGCTTTGCGACTTGGTATGTTTAGTTTGTTTTCTATTATATCTTGCTCGGGTTCCCCGGTTCCCTTCCCTTTACTAACATTTTCTTTTCTTTCCTTTCCAGTCCATCTCCCCTCCTGCACCGTCTACAGGAACTGGCCTACGTCCAACACACCCCTCGGTCGTATTTCGGCCGTGGCCATCTCGCCTAATTCGGAGCAATTGGCCGTCGCCAATGAACAAGGTCGTGTGCGACTTTGGGAGATCCGTGGATAGAATGATACCAGCGACCACGACGTTGGATTGAAGATCGACTTTCTGTATCCCCTGCCTGGCAGGTGGGTGGATATTTGATATATCGTGTGGCTTGGCTTAGCCTGGCTTGGCTATCTCTAGGGTCGTCCTATCGCCCCGGTTCCCCCGCAATCTACCTCGGTATGGGATTGATTGGATCATTCAAATTCTTTTTTTGTATATTCGGCTTCGGCGTAAAGTATATGGCATGGCATATTAGAGTTGGATAGTAGCGCTCTGCATGATAGGAATGTATGATGACCTCAGGCTTCCCATGATAGCAGAATCAACATTCAAATAAAAGTACTAGTATTGACGCATGAACTTGAACATGAACCACTGCAGAGAGGCTTTCGGTATATAGCTAGTAGCTAGCTCCCTGAGTAGTTAAACTGCTGATTGATGAGTATGCAATTATATAACTAGGTCCAATATTCAAGTTCCTTCCTCGTTTGGGGGGGGGGGGGGCTGAGTGCAATTTTCTAATCAGTGTATTGTATACTACTTTTTCGAGGGATATTTGTCTTGGGGTTTAGGAGAGATAGAGAGATATAGGCAAAGAAGAGAAAAGAAAAGAAACCTTTATCAAAAAAGGAAGCAATTCCGCACTCTTCAGTCCAACGGCAGCAAAAAAGAAAATTGAATCAAATGACAGGTCCAAATCGGTGTAATATAATAAACTCCAAAGACCCAAAAGAAGAAGCAATTCATATACCATACGCCTTTCTCAACCATACCATATCTGATCAAAGCAAAATAGGGGTAGTCCGAAAGAAAAGCACCAAAAGAGAGAGAAAAAGAGAGAAAATTTCAAATAAATCGTGCTTCGTTCGGTTCTTCCCATCTCACGTCGATTTCCCTCTTTCTTGAAAAGGGGAGAGGTCGGGTACGTAAGTAAGATAAGTGGTGGTTTCATAGATAAAATCAAGCGTAAAGCGTAAAGTAGCAAAGCAGCAAAGCAAAGCGAAGTATAAGAATAGTAAGAATATAAGAAATGGGAATTTGAATAGAAACGCTTCCATTGAGACTGGGCCAGGTCTATCCTGTCTGGTCTTGGAATAATGCTGGGATATGGATATCATATCAGGGGGTATAAATCGAAAATCGAAACAAAGCGGTATATCGGGATCTTGTTAACTTCCGGCGCGGGTTGAGTCATGTAATAGTTCGTGAGAGTATATGGGTGAGGTTCGTGAAGGAGGTGGAAGGGAAAAATAAATGTGGTGTGGGAGGGAAGGAAGGTAGTATGCCAAAGGGGCGGCGTGGTGTTGGCAGAAGAGGACGGGATGGGATGAGATAGGACAAGATAGAATGGGATTGTGAGTTGTTTATTCACTCCCCAGTCCCAGACGAAGTCCATCTTGGTGTCCGCACATCATCTCCAATCCAATCCTTAATCACGCAGACGGCCCGATCCGGGCCCTGGCAGAGCTTGCGGCGATTGAGATTTTTAAATCGGGGCCCAAGCGGCCCATTCACAAAGTGATATTGACCGGCGAATCTATACTGGCGACGATCGCCTAGCGGGTAGAATTTGTCGCCCCAGTGGCCGCGGAAGAAAAACCATTCCGTTGGTGACTTGGGATTCACGGTGGATGCGCGTAGAGTGTTGTTGGCGTAGGTGTATGCTTGCTTATTCTGCAAGGGATCCCAGAGCGGACCCCGATCTGTCACGTCATGCAATAATCCCCATGGGAGAATATATTCATGCACCCCGGCTGTGGCGTACATGGCATGGCTTCCTTCGGCGGAGTAGATCACGGGCTGGGAGAATTTCTGTTAGAGCTGAGCGACTTTGGTCTCATTTTGTTACTGCGACAGTGACTCACTCGTTGTCCGATCTTTTCTATAGCCTCGTAGCGGTAAGCTTCGCCGCCATTATGAGCGCTGAAGAACATGGCTTTCGGTTTGCCGTTGTGAAATCGCATCAAGCAGTGCTCCCAGTCACCGACATGGTTACCGAATCGGACATTGGCGACCGTATTTCCGAGGTTGAAGCTGTAGAAGAAGAACCAGAAGGCGTCGACGACGCCATTACCTTTGTCCATGACGACCAGAATGGCTGGAGCATCGCTGCGGCCTCCAGGGCTGTCAGTCCCAGGGGGGCTGTCATTCGGAGCCTTCTGCAGAGACTCTTGGATTGGATGACCGCCGAAGCGCTTGCGCAACTCGAGATGAAGAATACGGTTTGCTCGCGAGCCCCAAGAAAACCATTGCTCATTGCCCTTTTCGCCGAGATGTCGCAGGTCGTCCCATATACTACGATCTTTTGCAGATTCACCAGGGATTTGACCATCGACCCGGCCATCCCAGTCAGCCCATGCCTCTTCTTGGACCAACTTCTCATCGATTTCGGGAATGTTTTGCTCCCCCTCCAACCATGGCGGGCGGGACAAGGGGTCGTCATTGCTAGCCAAAAAGACCGGACGACCCCATTGATATTGATTAAGTTGATCGAGGTCACTCAGACTCGGATGCTGCGATTCAGACTGAATGGGGTCGTAATTGAGATGGGGGGTAGTGTGATAGAGATGCTCAGCGATGTCGCCAGGCCAGAATTGTTCCTTGGAATATAGATGGACGAGTGGGGCATAGTCGAAGACATAGTCGGGGATCTCCCGGCGTTCCCGCTCATCGGCATCCCAGTCGGAGTGATTGGACCCGCTGCTGAACCAGTAGGACTGCCAGGGTTTAGTAGGGTCGGTACTATTGTCGTCGTCGTCGCTGTTGTCGTCGCTGTTGTCGTCGCTATCCCCGGGGCCTGTCCATTCTGCGGGATTTCGCCGACCGAAAGGGCCGTGGACGGTTTGTATATGCGCCGCACCGCAAATGCCGAGCCAGCGGCAGGCTTTGCGGTCGAACCAGGAACGAGAACTGGCGATCCACGAGCGCTCGTCCTTGTCCTCCTCATACCAGACAAAAGCGCGGGGGTTGGTAGCGCGGACTATGCTGTTGATGGAGACATAAGCGATGAGTGTCAGCAAGACAACAATGGCGGCCTTTGCCGTTCGAGTCATCTGCTGAACGAAGCGGCAGGGACTGCCAGAGTTGACGCAGGGCCTAGTCGAAGATCATGGAACGAGAGAAAGAAGGGCAGGAAGGGGAAGAGAGGAGGGAAGGAAAAAGAGAAAGATTGGAGAATGGAGAATGGAGAATGGAGAAAAGAGAGATCAAATCCAGTGATCACGACCACAGGGTAAGACTGGGCATGGGTTGATAACAAAGCAAAATGGTGAGTGGGTTTAGGCAGGGTGGGTGAAGGATGGGCGGCATGAACGGCATGAACGGCATGGGCGGTGCCGATATGCGCAGTTCCTCGTGAGCAGAAAAAACCCCCAGCAAGAAAACCCAAGCCGAAAGGCAAAAGGGCTTCGAACGAGTTAGAATGGGCGGGCCGGGAGTGTGCGGAAATGGGCAATGCAGGGCGATGGAGAAGCCGGATGCAATGGGCTAGACTAGCGGGCGATGCGAACGGGAGAAGAGAATGGGATTGGTGCAGGGATGATCAGGAATGATCAAGGGAATGGCGGAAGCGTCGGGAGAACGAGGCTAGCATAAGGCTGAGTGGAAGTACTCCGTAGATGAGGGGAAGTGAAGTACTTTAAGTGGTGGAGGTAGAAGAAGAAGTGGAAGTGGAAGTAGGAAGCGGGGTTAAGAGTTGATGGTATAACTCTAGCATAACTTGAGTTTGAAGATAACCATACACATATGATTACCGATCTAGGCATGGTGTATAATTAAGCCATTGATTATTACTTCACTAACTCTTGTGCTACAACTACGAGTACTCCAACTCCAACTACTCAACTATACTTAGAATCGGAGTCTTCTGCCACCCTGGGATGATAAGCCTTGCCACTGAAAACTGAAAACCCACTCACCGCCAAGCTGACTCATCTTTATCTCCCGTGGTCACGGGTCGGGGCGCGGTCACGGGTTGCCCAGGGCGGGTCGCGGTGTGATGGTCAGCTCGGGAAGCTCTGCAGAATATCCATTGCATACTATAATTATACCTATAACACTGCCAATTCTATATTACTCCATTGCCATGGAGATCGACTCCCACCTTGACCCCGACTCAGATTCAGACTATGAATACGAGTACCACCCCACCGAGACTGAAGTACTACCCCCTCCCTTCTCTCTTCTCTTCTCCCATTTCATCCCCAGATCCAACTAACCCGGAAACCACTCTCACCAGAGCTTCTATCTCAACCTCGACCTAACAGCCCACCATGGCGCAATCCGCCCCCCACGCCAACGCCAGCCCGACAAAGCCAAAGATCCATCCCAAGACGACGACGATCCAAACCAACCCATAGACACCTTCACCCCACTCGACAGCGCCGAAGAATCCCTCACTCGCGAGCGAATCCAAATCCTAGCCCTCCACACGTGCAACCCAATAATCGCATACCAAAACCAAATCTTCAGCTGCTCCTGGGCCGATCAAATCGGCACGGAACTCCTCTTCGCTCACCCAGAGACAGATCCAGACATGGATCCCGCCCGCACCACGCCCCTCCGCAACGGTCCCGCATTTGAGCTCCTCGCCGCCAACAGCGTCAAGATCGTCGGTCGCAAAGCAAACCTCACCTCCAGCAGCGGCCTATCTGGGACTGGGAGTGCATCGCAGAACGCCAGTGGCGCTCTGCACAGTGGCCCGGGCCCGGGCCCGTCCACTGGACAATCCCACCAGGCGCAGTTTATCGCAAAGCTACAGGCGCTGAAGAAGAACAAGGGCGAAACGGACGAAGTAAGGACAATCTATCGGGTCCGTAAAAATGTCGATGTCGCAGAGCGTCTTGCTGCGTGGGCGAAGACGGAGGCCCAAGTCGCCGATGTACAGAAATTGCGCGAGAAAGCTGCCAACGGTGATGTGGATGCTATGGAGCAGTTGGAGATGCTTTTTCGTGCTTACTATGAGGAAGACTCGGAGTATCAGGATCAGGATCAGGATCAGGATCCTTCTTGATTTGTGGATTGGTCTGCTCTTGCTCTTGCTCTTGCCTTTCGGGGTTTCTTTTCGTCGCATTTACTCATTTGTGGGTATAAGCTTGTGGTTGGCCACTGGACCCTGATCGCCATCGCGGCTAGCTCAGCTGGACTGGAATGGACTGGACTAGACCGTTCCCTCCTCTACGAGGAAGGCTTGTTCAGTCGCGCGTCTGAGCGAGACGAGAACGAGTCGAAGTCCGGGGATAGGTATCCCTTGCGAAGTCTTTCACGACATTTCCTCCTGCTTATGTCCAGCAATTCAGTGCATAAGCTCTGCCCAGACTCCCTGCGAATTCAGCAGACCGAGGATCAATCCCGTCCGGAATCACGGGCCCCACTCGGCTTCGCGGCAACATCTATAATCGGATCGGATCACATGGCACATGCAAATGTACCAGTACAAATTCAAACCCTACAGTATCCCGGGCGATCATTTCCCCTGATGTGATGGGTAACGTCATCCCAACGCCTTGGATCGTCGAGCTCCCCGTCCCGTTCCCGTCCCGACCAGATGATCCCATCTGCCTCGGATGAAGTGATGCAGCCAGCTCCCCGTGCGACCGAGCTGTGTTCGTCGGATAGGATGGATATTCGACCCGTTCTGTCGTCTTTACCCTCCTGTGGCGAGAGCATTTTGCAAAAGTACATTGGGTTGATGTATCGCATCCTCCCAGTGGTCTAGACCTAGACCTACTAGACCAGACTTGGAGAAAAGCAAGCTACAGTGTGTACATAGACCAGTCTAGTCAAGCATCTCGCTCTCGCTCTTGACATCATAGCAAATCATAGCAAACCTAATAATGTACCTTTGCACACCTCCTTTTGATCATCATACTAGTAATCCGCACATTACATGTGAGATGGGATTGGGATAGGTCTGTATGTACTTCCGTCACCGACCTCAGTCACAATCTAACTTGAATGTAAAATCCACTAGTCTGGTCAGCCCGGCCAGGCGTCTCGTATGTATATGGCAGACCGCCAAATCCGACTGTAATAAACCTTGCAACAACAAAGGAAAGGAAAGGGAAAATAATCAAGTAAAGTAATAATAGTAATGAAATTGCTCAGATCCTAAACACAACACAAACGCCAGAACGAACTTGAACTTGAACGCCTATTATCCATGACTTTTATGTATCCCAGAAACAGAACAGAATAATTAATCCATCCATCCGTCCAAGCCAAGCCATCCATATTCCTACCCCGACTTGTAACCCACACGATAAAAGATAGAAGAGAAGAGAAGAGAACAACAAAATCGCATCAGCGCGAAAAGGGAATGAGAAAAACAAAAACAAAGGTATTAAGCTGAATCCCGAGCAAGTTCCCCAAAAGGAAAAAGAAAGGAAGGGAGGGAACGAATAACCAGCAAGAAAGAATAGAGGAAAGAACAGAAACAAATCACGCCGCCATGCCGCGCTAACAGAACCGAACTGAGGAGAGTAGAGTAAAATCGCAAATATCGCTGCAAGATGAATGAATTGTGAAGTCGGCATCACCGCCGCATCGCCGTCGTCGTCGCCAGCATTGCTGTGATGTTTCAAAAGGCGTCAAGACGCGCGCAGTAAGATGTTGATGTTGATTTGACGTTTGACGAGTAAACTTGACATGACCCGTCTCAGCTGCTTCCCCTCCCCTACTCAAGACTCAAGCTAGGAATCTTCTCATGCTTGGACTTGGTCGCCATGCCGGTACTGTCGATGGCAAGGGAGACTGGGGACGGGGGCGGTGCGGGAGGTAGTAAGGTATCGTGGAACTTTGATTTTGATGCGGAGCCCATGAATGCGCGGGAGATGTCTTGTGAGAAGGCGTCTTTGGCGGTTGTGGGTGGGGAGAGGGAGATGGTCTTTGGTGTGGAGATGGTGGCCATTTTGACGGTGTTGGCGTTGCGTGGAATGGATTGGGGACAGATGGAGGTGGAGGTGTATGGTTGTGGTTTGTTTGGTTGTGTGGGAGTAGAGTTGGAGTTGGAAGAGTGATTGTGTTGAGGAGGTGGAGCTGGACTGGAGCTGGATGGATGGAGCTCTTTTGTATTGATCCGGTAGAAGTAGAAGTGGCAGGAGCTTCACTTGAGTTGAGTTGACCTCGGTACGGCGCTTAGATCAAATGTCGCGGCTGATGGATCGGATATGCCCCGGATCTGTTTGTGTCTGTGTCTGTCGATGCATGAGCTTTTGTCCGAGCTGTTTGAGTCTTCCGAAAGCGCCCGAGGGTAGAGCTCAGCTCGGCGGATCGGAGTGCTTGATATGATGTAACGAAGGATGGGTGGGTTCGGAACTTACTGAGGATGGGAGGATGGGATGTTGCGAGTCTTTCCGAGTTGCAGGGACAGTGGATAATGTAGTGTAGTGCAGTGGATAGCTAGTGGATAAAATTCAGGAGAGATATGGAGAAGTGTGTGTGTGAATGTGTGTGTGAATGTGTGTGTGAATGTGTGTGTGAATGTGTATGTGTATGTGAGTGAATGCCTAGTAGATTGGTAGGTAGAGGTAGAGGTAGAGGCTTAACGAATGGGTGGTAGCAAATTGGAAAATTAGAATATGAAAGGACTCAAGGGAAGGCAAGGTAATTATACTCGATCAACTCCTGATCGGAAAATCCCAAATCCCCCCCAGGCCAGCGGACATGGCCGTGGAGTAGGCCAGCAATCTCTCCGGGGTACATGCCAGACAGGGAATCAACAGGTACCCAGTACGAGTACTCGTACGCTGCACTTCTCTTCACCTCCACTTCCTCCACCTCCTCCCCAGCCCAAGGGGAGGATCGGCCTCGCCAAGATCCCCATCGCCTCATTCCCACTCTGGGGATAATTGGATGAAGGCATTCCGGAAGGGCGGGAGGCTTTCCCGCCTGACGCGTACTAGCGTAGTAGCAGTCTAGTAGTCTAAGTGTGGGGGAATGGATAAAAGGGATCAGGGATCAGGGCTACTCCGGCCACCTTTACTGTTTTTACTGGGGACGTTACTCCAGGGCTCCATACACAACACTCATAACACTCATAATACCCCTGTACATAGGTCTAGAGTATTGGGTGGCATTGGCTACTGAACTACTAGTGCCCACCTCAATGATGTGACTCCAGGCTCGGGCTGTACACATCATGATGTTTCAAGGGGCAGGGCCCGGCAGGCCAAGACCCAATTCCTTCAACCTAATTCCTTCTAGAAGTTACACTGCTCGCCTCGCTTCCTTCTCTGCCGGAGAAAACCCGGAGAAGCGCTGATCCCATCCCGCTGTCCTACCCAACAACCACTCCGTCGGGCGATTCTCGCCCCCCGAGAGAGTATTAACGGGGGGAGTTCCGGGGAAATGGAATGGAAATGGAAGTTGGACCGCGAGATACGGATACAATTTCACTTCAACTCTACTTTGAATTTGGCTACAACCTACACCTACGTACCTACCCCGTAAAGACAAAGGCAGTCGAAGTTACTGTATCCCATCCAATCCAGCCCCAGTGGATCGGGATCATCAATCACCACTCCAAAACCCCGTGAACTCCACACCTACTCCACGCCAGGGGCATCGTCTGATTCTTCAGATTTGGAGAATGGCGGTGGCCGACACTATTTGATGATTTGGCAATTGCGTACTTTACGATAGGTTTGTGCGGGTCAACTTCCGGACGATCACTCACTGCGCTCGATGAATTCTACAGGTACAGACGAGTAACGAGTACTCCGTACTCCGGTCGTATGGATCATAGCTTTCCCACTGGCAGGATTCGACCGTTTCTTTGTTCCGAACGGCTGTGGCCGTGGAGACCGGATGCACTATCGATTCGGTTCGATTCAATCGTGCCCACTCTCCCCGGTACAGATAATGGCCAATTATTTGGATTTGCATTCGAGCCCGATCGCCTCAAGGGATTGAATTGGATTGAATCGAATCGAGACGAGGCGTTGTTAGGCGAGGCGGGAACGAGACGAGTACCTAGGGGGTACACAAAGCCCAAGGAGAGATCACATAGCACTTAGCATAGCGCTAACCACGAAGGACTAGTGGCTATTATGTACACATGGAGTACAATTATTCTAATTATTTAAACAATCTTCCTGCCGGATCAAGTTCGTCCATGATCCGGGGAAGGGGGAATGGGGATGCTCCATCCCATCCCCATTCCAGCCACCACTCCGGATTTCCTGGTTCTTGGATCTCCGGGGCTCCAGTTTAGTTTAGTACTACTGTTTCAATCCAATATTTTCAAATCCCCGACATTCCTCGCGGGTTATTTTTATTTCGGACTATTTGGCTATTCTGTTCTAGACCCCCTTGTGAAGGGTGGAGGGTGAAGGATGAAGGGGGTGGGTTGGACCTCTCTGCTGACACTCAGTGTCAGTGTTAGTTAAGGTAACCTTGGAACTTGGCCTATCATCAACACGGGTACGAGCACTCGGACTCGTACTTTAAGCAATCCATATGTACATGGAGAGTGTGTAGATAGAACGATATTATCTACATCTATACTCTGTAAGAAGTGCCCTCAGTTGTGTATGGACACACACCCTGCCCTGCGGCATCGCATCCATCACTGTGAACAGTGTACAACTAATCCGCCTCACCGCCAGACGCCAGAGCCGTTCTGCAGATGAGTTGTTCTGTTCTGCAGGTAGATCCGATCAGGTACCACGGCAAACAGGTCCAATCGTATCGTAGATTGAGTAGCGAGTAGCGAGTACCTGCTCTGATGCGGTGGCCATTGTACCCGGAGACTCTGCAGTATGGGATGGGATGGCCACGTCGACACCCAGGTCTAGGGCAGCCCCGGGTCTCGGGCCTCAAGATAAGGGAGTTTCTTTTCTACCCCCAGGTTCACAGGGTTATCGCGTAGAGTTTGCTATGGTCTTACTTATCTGCCTGGAATTCCAGCAAACTATGCGCCTTGTTTTGGGCATGGAGCTCGGATCTCGACAGGGGGTAGGGTAGGTAGGGTAGGGTGGTTATCTATGAGTTCCCATGGGGCTGGCAGAGTCAGACACGCAGGGGATAACTATCATACTGACGCCCTGTTCGGGCAGAGTTGTCAAGTTCTTGACCTTGACATTTGGACTGAAGAATGCTTGGGGGTTGAGATTGATCGGCGAGATCTGTCTCAGTTGTTTTGTCAAGGTACCATACTCTTTGAGGAGCGTGGCAAGTATTCTACAGCACACCAAGAGATAAGGTCGCTATCCAGTTGGTCTAGCAATGGTGGCCTCTCATCTGCTTCCTCTTGCCTCCTCTGATAAGCACAGTTGGACACGAGGCGAATTGGACGTTTTCTCAACGGGGAGATAGCCGACTCGACTCTGGACTCTGGACTCTGGCTTGGACCTCTTTGAATGCATGTTAACATTTTTCTTTCCCATCACGGTCATGGCCACGATCATTCCCTAAGGGGATGAGATGATACACCTTAACGAGCACGAGTCTGACGTGACGTGCTGAATGGCCCATGCCGCCATCTTTTACTCCATACGAGTATATCTCTTCTCACGCCATCCCCATTCCCATCCCCATCTTACAAGTATTCCCACTGGCCATTCTTGGAAGGTATTACCTTAAAATAATCGCCGGTCGGAGACAACTTCCAATGATGAGGCGCAGTGCGGCGCGATCACGTAAGGCCCCGCCGGACTCCAGACGCAGGGCCCGATCCAGACTTTTCAGACTGTCACCAATCCAGCGATTCACGATCCTCAACGCGGGGCGAATTGCAGAGATTTCACCACGACCACCGTCCACTGGTGGCGTCCTATGGCTACCCCGCAACCAGTGACGATCCAGGTACCGCGGACTTCCCCCTCCGGTTAGTTGGTTAGTTGGAGCACTTGTCGACCGGGCCGGCTAGGGTAGGCCAGAGTTTTCAGGCGTAATAGCCTTGGCTATTACCCCTCGATAACTCCTGTTTGGCTACTCGTACCCTATTGTACGGTCCCCAAAGTTCCCCAATGGCGATAATCCCCCGGACATGACGATTTGGTGGTAGGGCTGGGGTTGTTGAGGGATTTACTGGGGATTGAGCGGAGTTGTTTGGAAGAAAACTCTGACACATTTTATGGATTCTTTCATTCCACTTTATTCTATTCAGTTGGCAGGTGACTTGGTTGCCCCTGCGATGATGGTGGTGGTGGTCACGGGGGTCTTTTTTTAGAATGAATCAGTTGCCACTGGATGGGAGAGTATGGGCTACTGAGATAATAAGGGATACTAATTGTATATAGTAAAATATTATGGGTGGATGGATATAGATACTAGAATAGACAAGATAATATAGTAGTAGTATCACTCGCCAGTACTACTACTGCTATCGCCAGTATAGTACTACTACTTCATCTGAGGCATTATTCGGCCCGCATGACGCGGGATTTTCCCACTCGGTCTTGTCCTCGGGGAGAGGGGCGATATAAACCAATCAGAAGCCCCGCCATCGCCGGATCTTAGTCACAGAAAGGAATGAGCGTTGCTGCGGATCCCCCAAATCGTCCATCGAGACCGCGGGACTAATTATGGAGTCACTGAACTCTGCGCCTACCGTCGGTTGTCTGTGGTCTTCTCTACGAGTTTCTCTGGTTTGTATTTAAACCCTGCTCATTCCCCGGATTTTCTAGATTTTCTTCCCCTCAACCTTCCCTTCCTCTATTTTCTTCATAGATCTGTGGAATAGTCCATGGCGCTGGTGAGTACTCCTCCTCCTCCCCCCTCCTTGCCGGTTATCTGCATGATATCATCTCCCCCACTGCCCCGTCACCCTCCCCCTCACCCACACCCACACCGTCTCTGGTATCCTGGAATTCCAGATGCAGGGCTTCAGAACCAGGCCAACCCTGGCGGAACTGCCGATAAGCAATTGCATTGCTTTGCTTTGCATTGCTCTTCTCAGCTGCCAGCTTATCTGTCCACGTGCTGCGCCTGCCTTGGGGTAGCTCGGAGATCCTAAAATCCTTTTGTCGTGAACTTTTGGAACATCCCCCCATTCAATCATTGAATCATTGAATCACTCAAAGACCACTGGTCAGGACACCTTGGCTAACCCCCCCCCCCCCCCAGCGTCTTTCTTTCTCTCTCGCAATTCCTATCTAGACAAATCATGTCGTCTCCCGCCCCCCTCTACTCCCCTGTCGGAGGCCTCCAATGGCACTTCCCTGCCCGCCCGTCCTCTCCCCAAGCTGTTCAACAGCCATGACGGAAGCTCCTCCGGCACTGGAACTCCCATCGGCTTCCAGCGTTACCCTCACAACAAGCACCTCGACCATGCTGTCGGCCCCAACTCGCGGCATCCGTCGCCGCAGCCCACTCACCTGGGTATCCCCGGCACTCCCCACCGCATGCTGTCCGAGGAGGACCCCGGATATATCGCTGCCACCTTCGAAGGCAAGCAGAAGCAGATGGAGCAAGGTGAGCAATGCAAATTGGAGAAACTGCCCCTAGGCTACAATTGAGACAATTGCTAATATACACCTCAGTGATGGATCAATTGGAAGAGAAGGGCTTCTTCCCCGCCGATTTCATCACCTCCGAAACCACCTGGTTCTATAACATGCTGGGTATCGATGATACCTACTTCCAGACCGAGTCCGTGGATAACATTGTCACCCACATCCTCTCTCTCTACGCTGCCAAGGTTGCCGCCTACGCTCGCGATGACAAGAAGCTGGAGATCCGTTTGGACAAGGAGGCCGAGGACCACGCCGTCTACATCGACACCAGTAAGCCTGGTGTTGCCTCCATGGATGGCCCTCGCTACGAGCAGCGTATCGATGAGAAGTACATCAACCCCTCCAAGGGTGCCAACAGCTACCGTGTGGAGACTTTCCGCTCGCCTACTGCCCTCCCTGGTGACAATGGCCAGCAGCTGCGCTGCTACTTCGTGTACAAGTGCCAGTTCGCCAACCCCAACCCTGACCCCAACGAGACCAACATCGATATCATCGGTGAGAAGCGCTTCCTCCAGAAGGCCACCCCCAACACCAAGGCTGTCTACCAGGAGATCATCTCTACTGCGGTCAGCCGCACCGGTCCCGTCATTGAGATGTTCGAGATCGAGGGCAGCCGCGAGAAGCGCGTTGTCATTGCCTACCGCCAGGGCTCCGCCATGGGCCTGTTCAGCGCTCTGTCTGACCTGTACCACTACTACCGCCTGACCAGCTCGCGCAAGTACCTCGAGCACTTCTCCAACGGTATCACTGTTATCTCTCTGTACCTGCGCCCCTCAGACTCTCCTGAGGTTGCCGCTCGCTACCCTCCCATTGAGGCTGCTATCCACCAGATCATGAAGGAGATCTCTCTCCTCTACTGTATCCCCCAGAACCGTTTCCAAAGCCACTTTGCTACTGGCCGCCTCAGTCTTCAGGAGACTATCTACGCTCACTCTGCGTGGGTCTTTGTGCAACAATTCCTCAACCGTCTTGGCTCTGAATATACCTCTCTGTCCGCTCTGCTGGATCCCAACAACAGTGTCCACGCTGAGCTTCTCTCCAAGATCAAGAAGCGTCTCCGTACTGAGACCTTCACTGCCGACTATATCTTCGAGATCATCAACCGCTACCCCGATCTCATTCACAAGCTCTACTTGGACTTCGCCAACACCCACTATGTACAGACCCAGGGCCCCACCAGCGATGACTTCCTGCCTACTCTCTCCTACCTCCGTCTTCAGGTGGATGAGGTTCTCGACAGCAACAAGCTGAAGCACTTGATCCGCAGCTCGGCTGCCAACGAGCACGACGAGATGGTTATGACCTCTTTCCGCGTATTCAATGCCTCCATCCTCAAGACCAACTTCTTCACACCCACCAAGGTAGCCCTGAGTTTCCGCCTGAAGCCGGACTTCTTGCCGGAGCATGAGTACCCGCAGCCCCTCTACGGCATGTTCCTGGTGATCGCCTCGGAGTTCCGCGGTTTCCACCTGCGTTTCCGTGATATCGCCCGTGGTGGTATCCGCATTGTCAAGAGTCGTAACAAGGAGGCTTACAGCATCAACTCCCGCTCGCTCTTCGATGAGAACTACAACCTTGCCAACACTCAGCAGCGCAAGAACAAGGATATTCCCGAGGGCGGTGCCAAGGGTGTCATCCTCCTGGACGTCGACCACCAAGACAAGGCGCGGGTCGCCTTCGAGAAGTACATCGACAGTATCATGGATCTGCTGCTGCCTCCCGTTAGCCCTGGTATTAAGGATCCTATTGTCGATCTGCACGGCAAGGACGAGATCCTCTTCATGGGTCCCGACGAGAACACTGCCGAACTGGTCGATTGGGCCACCGAGCACGCCCGCAGCCGTGGCGCCCCCTGGTGGAAGTCTTTCTTCACTGGAAAGAGCCCCAAGCTGGGTGGTATCCCCCACGACACCTACGGTATGACCACCCTCTCGGTCCGCCAGTACGTGCTCGGTATCTACCGCAAGCTCGGCATCGACCCCTCCACCATGTCCAAGCTGCAAACCGGTGGACCCGACGGTGATCTGGGATCCAACGAGATTCTCCTCTCCAACGAGAAGTATGCCGGTATCGTCGATGGCTCCGGTGTCATCGTCGACCCTCAAGGTCTGAACCACGACGAGCTGATCCGCCTCGCGAAGAAGCGCGCCATGATCTCAGAGTTCGACCTGGCCAAGCTCTCGCCTGAGGGATACCGTATTCTCGTCGACGAGAAGAACGTCAAGCTGCCCAGCGGTGAGGTCGTTACCAACGGTATGATCTTCCGTAACACCTTCCACCTGCGCCACACCGAGAAGTTCGATGTCTTCGTCCCCTGCGGTGGTCGTCCCGAGTCCATCGACCTCTCCACTGTCGGCAAGCTCATCGTCGACAACAAGTCCGTCGTCCCTTACATCGTCGAGGGTGCCAACTTGTTCATCACCCAGGACAGCAAGCTGCGCCTCGAAAAGGCCGGCTGCATTCTGTTCAAGGATGCCTCCGCCAACAAGGGTGGTGTCACCTCCTCCTCCCTGGAAGTCCTGGCCTCGCTCTCCTTCAACGACGAGGACTTCGTTGCCAACATGTGTGTCGGCGAGGACGGCACTGTTCCTCAGTTCTACCAGGACTACGTCCGCTCGGTCCAGGAAGTCATCAAGGAAAATGCCACCCTCGAGTTCGAGGCTATCTGGCGCGAACACGAGCAGACTGGTGTCCTGCGCAGTGTCCTGAGTGACCGTCTCAGTGTGGCCATCACCAAGCTGGACGAGGAGCTTCAACAGACCGAGCTGTGGGATAACATTGCTCTCCGCCGTTCCGTTCTGGGCGACGCCCTCCCCCGTCTTCTTTTGGATAAGATTGGTCTCGACACTATCTTGGAGCGGGTACGTTTTCCCCTTTTCCCGGCTTTCATCCGATTTTTCTTTTGCATTGCTAACTCTTTTATCAGGTTCCTGAGAACTATATCCGCGCCATCTTCGGTAGTCACCTGGCCAGCCGCTTCGTCTACGAATACGGCAACCAGCCCAGCCAGTTCTCCTTCTTTGACTTGTATGTCCCCCTTCCCCTCCCCCCCCCTCTCCCTTCCATTTTACTACTGAGTGTGAACCTAAACTAATCCATTCACTCCAGTATGAGCAAGCGTCTGGCCAAGATCCAGTAGAGTAGATAGATCTGTTCTGTCTTCTTATTTGTGTTTTGTCCCGATCCGATTCCCACTTTGCGCGCGCCATCGCGCAATGGTTTATTAAACTAATACGGGACGTTTCATGCGTCCCCTGATGAATGTATGGTTAAAAACAAAATGTGCCAATGTCTTGGTTTAAGTTCAAGTTCAATGCAAAAATGAAATACAATGCAATGCATGCCGGCGGGTAAAAGCCCGGCTTTTCGAATTCTAAAATGAAATTTTCCTTGTGTCTTACTTTATGTTTCTTCTATGTATTGCTACTATGTAGTATAGTAAGTTGTTCTTCCTAACCGGAACCAGAATTGCTTCTGCTTGGGCTATTTTTGTGGAAATCATGCGAGATAAGCATGCGTCCTAGGGGTCCTAGGGGTCCTAGGAGTCTTAGGAGTTGAAAGGAAGTATAAGAAAGGTAAGTGGAAGTTTTGAAGTAAATTGAAGTAAAAAAAAAAAATCGACCCGGATAACTTTGTCCGGGGAAGTAAGTCAGTAAGGTAAAGCCGATGCAACGCTGATGCTAGATGCAGGAAGCAAAGAAAAGAAATAAAACGAAAAGCATAAGAGAAGAGAGGAGAAGAAGAAACCCACACCCTCAGACCCTACCGACTCTCATGTCTAACAGACTGCGACTCGGCAATAATAAGCACAATACAAGAAACCAACAACAAATCCACCCCCTCAGCAATCTCAACCTCCCACCTCGTCCGTCTTCCAGAACCCACAATATCCAAAACCCGTCCCCTTTTAACATGAACAATCTTCCTCTCCCCCATCATAACCTCCGCAACCGTCGAACTAGCCTGCACAACCTTAAGCTCAACCCGGGGGTCAAGACTAGTCCAACTCTCGCTCCAGCGCCGCTGAGTCGGATACGGGGCCGCGGATGCCGGCGCGGGCTCTTGCGGCGGTTCAATTGCGTCGAGTAAGTCGCGGAGACTGTGGTGTGAGGAGTGTCGGCGCATTCGTCGGACACTTTCGTAGGAGGGTAGGACTGTGCTTCGGCTTTTTGTGTCGCTGTCCGTGTCGGTGCTTGAGAGGGATGTGCTGCTTGATGCGGCGCTGGGGGTGTTGGATGTTGTGCTGTCGTTGGAGTTTTCGTTTGAATTTGAGGTGATGTCGTTGTCGTTGTCGCTGTGTGTTGCGTGACCTGCTGCTGCTGTTGCAGTGTATGGGGGTGGGGCATCCCGAGCTATTGGTGGTGCGTGGGGGTAGTTGCTTATTGTTCGGCGGCGGGTTGGCGTTGGTCGGTTGTATGCGGATCCGAGGGCTGGTCTTGGTCCTGGTCCTGGTCCTGGCCCTGCTGTTGCTGTAGTTGTTCCTGTTCCTGTTCCTGTTCCTGCGCTGCGTTCTGCTTCTGCGGCTGCCGCCGCCGCAGCCGAGGCTGAAGTTGACCCAGGTCCGGACGCCGGTGCTGGTGTTGGTACTGGCTGCGCCGTTCGAGGCCGGGATCTTGATAATGATCTCGTCGTCCTTGACCCGCCTGATCCACCTAAAGTAGCTCCAGGCCCCGGACTCGGACCTCTTCCCCCGCGCGAAACCGTCATTCCCTCCCTCCCCGCACGAGGGCATTAGAAAACCTGGCGCCAATTTTCATCCCGATAGCCCATCTCATTTCCGCGCAGAGGAGTTCATCGCCGACGCCGCCGGCTCGTTTAACGATCCACTGGCCGCGCCACCAGATGCGGCGTAGTTCGAGAAGTGGGCGGCCGGAGACATCTCGGATTTCGCGTTGTTGGGAATTACTCCAGACGCGGCCGTTGACTGTGTAGAGGGGGGTGCTGCGGCGGAAGCTGTCGAGGGGTTCGTCTTTGCGGAGTTGGGCGATGGTGAAGGCTGTTCGGGGAGAGAGGGGTGTTTTCTCGTGTTACTGTGAGGGTTGTGGGGGTATTTGTTAGGCGGTCTGGGGCTGGGGCGAGGAGGTGGGAGTGGCGGAGGGCGATGGGGTGGTCTGGTGGTTGGAGAGGTGTTGATGGCATGGTTGGGAGAAGTGGGAGAAGTGGGAGAAGTGGGAGAAAAAGTGAGGGAAAGTAGAGAGAGAAGGGAAGAGAGGAGTAGAAGTGAAGGTGGGAGTAGATGCCCAGGTGTGGCTGGAGGTGGAATGCCAATGCTACTAGTAGTATGAGGGGCAGTGCAGGCAACAGTAACAGTACAACTAGTAGTATATGCAATCAATCAAGTTACAAGATAGTTACAGGATAGTTACAGAATACTAGTACAGTGCAAAGGCGCGGGGGTTGGCTTGGCAGTCATGCAACTGGGTGAGATAATGGCGCAGTGGGTATTTATGCAGGGGATAGAATAGCATACTATAGTATACTATAGTATAGTATACAGATGTGTTATGTTGATCATTATAGATCTACTGCCCAGGTGGATAGGTATACTACGTAATAGTCAGGTATAGAGTCAAGTGATAGTACTACATACTCCTCTGCTCTCCTGTATGAGGTACTCCCGAGGTCTGTACTCAAACTAAATATACTCCATTACTCCGCTACTCCGCACCCGAGTATAATTAGCACCGCCACCAGGTACGAGACTAGCTGCTTGGCTACTCCGTACTATCGTTATCGGAGCAATTCTTGCCGAGGTGGTACAAGTGTACAAGTACAAGTGCCACACGCCATACCTAGGTTACACAGTATTGGTATATAGTATACAGTACAATATAACTATAGTATAAAGTATAGCATAGTATAGTATAGTATATCAATTACATTTAGTTGGTTCTAGATATATAGCCCACTGCATAATTATATACATCTACTCTATACTCTCTACTTTGTGATCCATCTGGTCTGGCCCGTCAAGTGGGTCATCCTAAATATTGACACTGCCACTGTCCATACTGTTGGCCCACTCTTCTCTCCGCTTCTTCATTTTTCTGTCTTGCTGCCAACGGCTCCTCTGATCCAGGCCTAGCGTGCCTTAGTGCTTCTCGCCGAAGCTTGTTTGCAGAGGAATCGAATGATATCCTCCGCCTTGTCCCCCCGGGCATGCATATAGACAGCCACCATCTACACACCCGTTCATCAGAGCAGGATTCTCTTTCTTCTTTTGTTCTGTCGATCCCAGGAACACCGAACCATCCCCGTCCCTGTCCACTTGGCATTTTGACCGCAGCACTCGGATAGTCCCCCCATGTGGAGCCCGACGCGTTTCTCTCCGAATCCAAGCCGACTTTAGCGGCCATATGACTTCAACCCACATTAGCGACGTGGGTCAGGACTGGTACGAGCATTCATAAAATCATAAAACCCAGGAGGCACCCCCCCGAAAAGTCCCACCCCCCAGAAATATGAATTCTTGCCGTTTGTGGGGTGCGTCTTGCCAGGACTCTTCCTCTTTGTCCTCCAGCTCACTCGTTTGCATCCCCTGACCCTGACCCTGACCCTCGCCCTGAATTTTATTAAATCACACCCAGACTTTTCCCTTCCCCGGAAACCTTTAACACTGGTCAATACTGGTCAATCCTTCGCTGAGAAAAAAAAAGAGTCCGCCTTTTCCGACACATCCGATTGGTTCCGTCACTTGACTCCGGTCGTCTTCTATGTCCGACCCGTTTGATAGAGAGAAGGTCACCCCTTCTTCCTCCAATTATCCTTCCGCCGATACATCAGTGCACGAAGATGATACGAATCATCATTCGGCACACGCCGCCGAATCCGATATAGGAGGAAGGAATGATCTTGAGCCCGAGACTTTTTGCCGCGATGAGGCTAGCGAGAAGCCCAGCACAACATCCTACTCAGACCGATGGAGAACCCTCAGCAAGCGGGTCAAAGACCGCGCAGGCACAATTGCTGAGGCACTAGGTCGACCGCATGAAGCCGGGGAAGATGGACTGGATGCCAGCTTCTCGCCCGAATATTATGGCGCAACCGATGATCTCCACAGCTACCAGGCCCGCGTGGCAAATGATGAAGAGGAAAGAATCACGGGTTATGACCATGGTTCTCAGGCCGAGCATCTGATCAATAATCTCGGCCTACCGACATATCGAACTCGCGACTCGTTGCCTCCATCTGGTGCAACCACCCCGGGTGAGAGCGGAGCATCAACTCCGCTGAATGGTGGTCTTTTATCTCATTTGCTTCGCGTTTATGCCAACAATTTACCTGCGGCTAGTCGCATGAGCTTGGCGACTACGGCTGTCGACTTTGACCCTCCGACTGAGACTATTCCACCTACAGCCACAGACACCCCAGGCACATCAAGCACGGCAGTCGACCATGGTGCCGGAACAGCCACAGCGACGGGCACTGCTACCCCGGGAGGAAAGAAGGATAAAATGAAGTGGTACGCCAATTCGAACAACAGCAAGCCAAACGCGCTGGACAAGTTGAAGAAAATGGAAAAACCGTTGACAGGAAACGAAACTCCAAAGAAAAAGAAGCCAGGCCATCACTATACTTCCTCCCTCGTGGCTGCATCCATGGATATGGGCAGGGTAGGTGTACCAGGTGCGCAAGGTTCGACGCCAATGGGCTACCGGGAGCGTAAGAAGCAAAAGCGCCAGAGTCAGAAGGATGTCAAGCTCAAGGTGCATATTGCGGCAATTCTAGCACGACAGCAGTATATCATGCAACTCTGCCGCGCTTTGATGAGAATACGGTGCTCCCACCCACCGTTTGGAAGAGTACATGATGATGACATCCAATGTGTTGGAAGTCAAGGCCCAATTCTTGTACATCCCCGGATGCATGTTCATGTCCTTTGACGACGCTTTAACGCGCACTGCCGAGGTAAAAATTATCCGCGTGGTCCAGGGCTTAGATCTCTCCCGGCTCGCGGAGACACATAACGTCTACAAGAACGTCGTGCACGATATCGTCGGTGTCGAAACAGCAACCCAAGAGCTGGACGAAATCATGCAGCGCAAACCTCGCTACAATCGCTGGACCTTGGTCCTACTCACCGGTCTAGCCAGTGTCGCCGTCGGCCCCTACGCCTTCAGCGCCCGACCCATCGACTTGCCAATTATTTTCGTCCTCGGCTCGATTGTCGGCTTCATGCAAAATGTCCTCGCCCCAGCCTCAGCAACATACTCGAACGTCCTCGAAGTCTCAGCCGCAGTTCTAACCTCCTTCTTGGCCCGCGCATTCGGAAGTATCCAGCACAACGGCGACCACGTCTTCTGCTTCGCAGCCATCGCACAATCCTCTATCGCAATGATTCTCCCCGGATTCGCCGTGCTAAGTTCCTCCCTCGAACTCCAGTCCCACCAAATGAACGCCGGTTCAATCAGAATGGTCTTCACAATCATCTACTCCCTCTTCCTGGGCTACGGCGTAACAGTCGGAACAACCATCTACGGCCTAATGGATCGCAACGCAACAACAGAATCAACCTGCCCAGCCGCCAGCCTAGACATCTGGGGCAACGAGTACATCCAGCATTTCCCCTTCGTCGCACTATTCTGCCTTTTCGCCGCCCTAATCAATCAAGCGAAATTCAAACAACTCCCCGTCACAGTGTTTATGGGAATGTGCGGCTACGTAACGAACTACTTCTCCACAAAGGTCCTCGGATCAAACCAAGTCGCGAACACAGTCGGCGCATTCACCATCGGTCTCATTGCGAATCTGTATAGTCGGGTTTGGCACGGCCATGCGGCTGCGGCGATTATCCCGGGTATCTTTACGCTCGTTCCGTCGGGATTGGCGTCGAGTGGATCGATTATTTCGGGACTGCAGTATGCTGAGGCTGTTAAGAATCATACTGCTAGTTCGACTAGTGGGGCGACGAGTAATTCTTCGTTGACGTCGCTTGGTTATGGAATGATTCAGACTGCGATTGGGATTTCGGTGGGATTGTTTGTTTCGGCGCTTATTGTTTATCCGCATGGGAAGAAGAGGAGTGGGATTTTTAGTCTTTAGCCTGAGCTTTCCTTCCCCGGGTCCATTAGCCTCTGTTTTTATCTAGCCTTGACCTTGACTGGTGCATTTTCTTGCGATTGTATATATTGCATCTGCATTGCGTGCTTTCAAGTTTTATCCCCGTCATGTATAGTATTTTCAAGTTGCATGTATGCCAGTGCATTTACACCGGATTTTGTCCAACAACTTCAAATTGAACGCCTCAAGACACCTACTCCACTCCCCTTCAAGTTCCATTTCAGTGCAAGTGCTCACTGGCACCCCCTGCCCACTTCTGCTTAAGCACTACCTATCACTGAAGCACTCGCGGGTCTCTGTGGAATGAGAATAAGGTACAAATTAGATTCTTTCATGAGCCTATTAGTGAAAATCAGAAGGACTCGTGGTATCAAGAGCTGCCAGTAGGGTGGATTCAGAGACAGGATAAACCTGAGAGATACGCGTTCGACAAGAAAATGATTAACACTGGCATCAATCTTGGAACTTGAATGAGGTAATATACTACTACGATGAGGAATCAACCGGCGTCAACCGGACTTATGATAGTTTTTCACACGGATTCAAAAAAAGTCGCCAGTTAGCGGCTGTGAATTTCGAGTGGAGTGGAGTGGAATGCTCCCGGGGAAAAAAAATTATGCATCGTCCGTGAATCGAACACGGCTCTCATCTTTGGAAGAGATGAATCATAACCACTAGACCAACGAAGCTGGGATGTCAATTTCAGAGCCAGTAGCTATGTAGTCTTAGTTTCATCCAAGTTTGATTCATTTTTTAAGGTGATGAATGCCAGGCATATTGCGCTGTAAGAGGGTCAAGCTTCGGGTTATCTTTAAGATTATGGCATCAGGAAATTGATATCCTCAGTCCTAAATTGTTTGTAATTCCAAGGTCAATTATGTACTCTACTTTGCTGTTTTTGGTTTGATTCAAAAGGTGAATGCTAGATAACCGAGCTCTTTCACGGGAATATATATGCTCATATCGTTCAATTTTTAGCGACAAGATAGATTTTCTTGACATAAGGTCAGAACCATGAAAGTGGTGATGATATTATGCGAACGCTAGAGATCTGGGAGAGTGCGAGGAGGCGACGATAAGGCGAACTTGGATGCCGGGGCATCTCAGCCTTAAAATTCCCGAGGTCTTTCTTTACCAGACGGACCCTTCCAGCTAAAGCAAGAAACCGAACGTTCAAGTTTATTTCTTCCCTTTGTTCCCGCCAAATCTTGCCATGTTCGCTTTGAACTCCCGCGTCCGTCTTGCACTTCGTCCCGTGGGCGTGCCACTGGGATAAGCTAACGAATCGCCTTCTTCTAACTTTAATCGACGATCACATCGCTCACTGATATATCAAATTAGTTAGCCCATTTCAACTAGACCTCGAAGACGTAAGAAGAATGTATTTACCTCCACACAAATCCCACGTAAGAGGAACGCGGATGAGGACCTGAACCCGCGCATTTATTCAAATATTGCTCTATGTCAACCCGCCTGTAGTTCTCTTTATTTCCCCATAGACTGTTGTAGGGTGTCTCTGATTCGCCGGGTGCTTTCTTGAATGCTTTAGTTGGGACTTTCCGTGTTGGTGGTCTAGGTTGTTGATTGTTCTCTGTTTTGTCTTTTCCCTTTGGCTTCTCTTCTGAGGTTGAGGAAGATCCAAACCCGCTCAGTAGCTTTGAGAAGTCTAGATCTTTGTACACTGGAGCGTATATTGTCTTTTGAGACTGTCTGGGCTGGGGCTGGGATTGATGTTGATACCCGTTGGCGTCGAGGTTGGAAGGACGAGAATCGATTGCCCGGGCCGTGGAAGACTCCAGCCTCACTAGTTTTGAGAAGTCTGGGACTTTGTAATGCTGTCTGGGCTGGGGCTGAGGCTGGTACCCTTTGACATCGTGCTTGGAAGGACGAGAATCCGAGACACCACTGACTGGTTTTGCATCATATTTGTATGTTCTCTTTGTACTGTCCATAAAGATTGGCGGCTCTTTCAGTAATCTTTTGCTTCTTCTTGTCGCTTCGGAGGACTTATTTTCACGCTTGCGCTTTCGTGATGACGGCATGGTTGGGGATAGTATTCTTGCTTTGTCGTTTCGCAGAGCTTTGTGCCATAGAGAGGAGTAAGACATATGTGTTTGGCGAGGTTGAACTGATATGGCAGGCGCGGGAGAGCTATTGGGAAAGAAAGAAAGGCCGATACTGAGAAGGTTCCAGTGTCTGGGTGACTCAGTGAATGAAGGAGCTTTACCGTGGTAGCGGGTTTCAAAGAAAGGGTCGCTCTCCGCATGAGTTTGTAAAATCGGGAACGGGATTGGGTTAGACTTTTTCAACTGGCGAATGGGATCACACCTTTGGGTTTGTTGCTTTTTCTCTTTGGTGCTCTTTAGAAAGCTGGGAAGCATGATTAGTACTTATAGAACAAAGTACAGGCGCGGGGAAAATCGTGGTCAAGGAAAACCGTGGCCAGGGAATGTCGTGGAGTTTCATGGTCCATGCAAGTTTTTTATCGAAATATTTATTAGCATCTACGGATTGCACCATGGAGCTTATCGGTCCAGAGACACCTAGTAGTTAAATTCCCAGAATTTGAGTTAATGATCATCAGGCATGGCTGTAAAATATACTACTACTAGTAGCAACAACGTTCTTCATGGGCCCACAACTTGAACATGGTACTAGTACTAGTAGTAATAGATTCCTTCACTCCTCGGACTCTAGGCAAATATTACTTTGAGTTCAAGGTCTAGTTCATCTTCACTCGAAAGGACATAGTATATCCTTTGTCAAAGACTTCGAGTCTAAGAAGATGCTACATAGGAATTCCCAACGCGAAACTTTAGCGAATGCACAATGTTCAAAGAGCCTTTCATTTGCCCTGAGCTTCACTGTCCTAGCTCTTGGCTTACTAACATCGACTTTTCTATTCTCTTTGTTAGAGATATGTCATAAATACCCTTTGCATTGCCATCTGCATACACTCCCTTTGTCAACCCTCAATTCTACAACAACCATTCTTACATTTTCATCCAAGTGACATTGATCACAGCATGGCGAATCCAAATCCATACGTCAGCCTCGATGACTTCAAAATTAGTCGTCGCCAATACAATCCCAAGACAAAACGCTCTGAACCGATTCCTATACCCCCCGAATGGGAGAGGAAAGTGAAAGCTCCACCTGAAGCGCCACCTGGGGCAGAGAATGAATGGCCCCCTAGGGATGTGTGGTTGAGTCAGTTCGAGAGTGATGACCAAAATAGGGTAACATGGATTCCGCCCCAGTGGCGGAAGGGGATATACTATCCCGGGAGAGATTGTACCCAACCAGACGACCCAGACTGGGAGAAGAAGCACCGAGACGAAGTCGAAAAACAACAGGAAAGGTGATTTTGCATCAAACATCCCCTCCCCACTCCTTTAGCTCCCCTTGACTAATTTTCTTTTGCTTAGGCTCGATTTCCTTGAGTACGGAGACTTCATGGAGGAGCTAGATGTCAGACCACAGCATGAGGACACTATACGGAGAATTTTAACAGCTGTCTGCATGTGGAAGGACAAGCGCTTGAAGACCCACCCTCCACATGATGCTATTACTGTGATGATGAAAAATACTATTAAGGAGTTTGTGATGAAGTTGACTCTGTTGCAGTTGGCAATGCGGAATCAGCCAAAAAACGAAAAAGCTGACAGCAAGAACTGGATGGCCTTTAATGAAAGGTTTAAGCATATCATGCACGATTGGTGGGGAATAAAGACTAAGTCGTTCGGGAAAACACCAGAGGAGTCTCGGGAGGAAAGAAGCAGAGAATACCAGGAACAATTAGCAGAAGAGTACAGAAGGTTTAAAGAGAGTCAGCAGTGATTGACAAAACCGAGATATCATCTTACAGTCTTTGTGCATCCAGGCGCTCGAGGACCTGGCAAGTTGATGCTGAATAGTTAACTAGTTGGCAATCACAATCTAAATGTACTCAAATAACTCCAAATCATCACCAGGACCGCTCCTTCTAGGCAAACGTGAAACTATTCGCACACTTCCTATTTGCCTAGAAGACCCTGAGTCTTGAAGATTATTAGCCCATATTGATGGGTACAGGGCCGCTCGAAATCAGCTTCACTAGTTTACTCTCTTTGAAACTTTTCGAAACCTTATCTTGCATTGCACTATACCGGTTTGGGCTAGACTACCCCTGACCCACTATGTGGCGGTATCCTCATACAAGTGTAAATAAACGAATAAAAATAGATTCCGTAACGTGCTGTACGGACGATTTTGTTTTCTAGAACCAACTCATTGCAAACAAGTTAAACAATGTAGTCAGTTGTCTACCTCTCTAGCTTGCATTCCAACATTCATCCAAACTACCACGGCAGACCCAAGCGGATAGCGAACGAAAATACGCAGATTGAAAAAGAAAGGAACTGGTGGGGTCTTCATTACAATGCGTTTATTATCGGCTCTATATATGTTATACCTCACAAATAGACATTGCGCTAAACGCCGTTCAGATTGTCAAGGGAATATATACAATTCGAGACGAAAACTAATTGAATCGGTGTGAAAAGAAGTGGGCTTCAAACACAAAGATCAGTTGCGCGGCGTCTGTGGTGATGATTAAGGAGGGCTGAATGAGCTTGGAAGAAGCATAATGTGGTCACAATGTAGAAATGATTTTGGGGCTGCATAAAAACTGATCAAAGACTAGAAATAGGGTTCCGTTGTGAGAGTACGAGAAATATGACTCCACCTGACGAGCAGCAAATCGCCAATTTGTTTGCATATCTAGCGAAAGTAGGGGAAGAATCTGGGCGATATTCTGAAGGCAGCCACAAAAGATTGAGTCCATTATAAGTTACCCAGGAATAGTCCTTGCTCAATCCGTATCCATATTGCCTCAGCGGTGAGGTGAAGTCGTCAACCATGGGCGTCAAAGGATTAATGGAATCCATGCCATATGTGCCAGAATCTGTATGCAGCCGATTGAGATCATCTTTATCGAATTGAACGGAGCCGATAAAGCCAAAACAAAGGGTTGATATACTCTGGCCGGTAGTCAGATCCCAGATACGGACTGTCTTATCAACCGACGCTGATGCGAGTCGGCTTCCATCTGGCGACCAGGCAATCGAGTAGACTAGACTACTATGCCCCTCGAGAGTTGATATGCTCTGGCCGGTAGTCAGATCCCAGATTCTGACTGTCTCATCATACGATGCTGATGCGAGTCGGCTTCCATCTCGAGACCAGGCAATCGATGTAACCAGGCTACTATGCCCCTCGAGAGTTGATATGCTTTGACCGGTAGCCGGATCCCAGATTCTGACTGTCTTATCACGAGACCCTGATGCTAGTTGGTTTCCATCTGGTGACCAGGCAATCGAGTCGACCAGATCACTATGCCCATTGAGAGTTGATATACTCTGGCCAGTAGCCGGGTCCCAGATTCTGACTGTATTATCACTCGACCCTGATGCGAGTCGGCTTCCATCTGGTGACCAGGCAATCGAGTTGACTCGACTACTATGCCCCTTAAGGGTCAATATGCTCCGGCCAGTAGTTGGATCCCAGATCCTGACTGTCTCATCAACCGACGCTGATGCGAGTCGGCTTCCATCTGGCGACCAGGCAATCGAGTAGACTACAATACGATGCCTATCGAGAGTTGATATGCTCTGGCCGGTAGCTGGGTCCCAGATCCTGACTGTCTTATCCATCGACGCTGATGCGAGTCGGCTTCCATCTGGCGACCAGGAAACCGAGTAGACTGGATTACTATGCCCCTCGAGAGTTGATATGCTCTGGCCGGTAGCCGGATCCCAGATCCTGACTGTCTTATCACCCGACGCTGATACGAGTCGACTTCCAACTGGTGACCAGGCTATCGATGTAACCAGGCTACTATGCCCCTCGAGAGTTGATATGCTTTGGCTAGTAGCCGGGTCCCAGATTCTGACTGTATTATCACTCGACCCTGATGCTAGTTGCCTACCATCTAGCGACCAGGCAATCAACCCGACCAAACGATTATGCCCCTTAATTATTGATATACTGTGGCCGGTAGCCGGGTCCCAGATCCTGACTGTCTTATCACCCGATACTGATACGAGTCGGCTTCCATCTGGTGACCAGGCAATTGATGTAACCAGGCTACTATGCCCCTCGAGAGTTGATATGCTTTGGCCGGTAGCCGGATCCCAGATTCTGACTGTCTTATCATCTGACGCTGATGCGAGTCGGCTTCTATCTGGTGACCAGGCAATGGAGTTGACTGGACCACTATGCCTATCAAGGGTTGATATATTCTGGCCGGTAGCCGGATCCCAGATCCTGACTGTCTTATCACCCGACGCTGATGCGAGTCGGTTACCATCTGGTGACCAGGCAATCGAGTTGACTGGACCACTATGCCTATCAAGGGTTGATATATTCTGGCTGGTAGCCGGATCCCAGATCCTGACTGTCTTATCACGAGACCCTGATGCTAGCTGGTTTCCATCTGGTGACCAAGCAATCAACCTGACCGAAGCACTATGCCCATAGAGAGTTGATATGCTCTGGCCAGTAGCCGGGTCCCAGATTCTGACTGTATTATCACTCGACCCTGATGCTAGTTGCCTACCATCAGGCGACCAGACAATTGAGATGACCTGATCACTATGTCCCTCGAGAGTTTGAAGACATTGACTCCAGCTTTCCTCTCTCAGAGGATCATTCAAAACCCAGTCTGGTCCTTCATCCTGAAAAGCTATCCTTGTGAGACTCTTTAGTGGGCTAAAGATGAGAGGTGAACAATACACCTGTAAAGGACTACTCTCAATAGCTGTCCTGTGATATCGAATGAATCTAGAGGCATCTCGAATGCGATTTAATACATCTTCTGATTCTTCTTTGTCTTGCTAAAATACGCCCTTTGTCAGAACAGAGAATCTTTTAAATAAATAGCCACTTACCTCAATCAAAACCTGAAGCTTTTGCATCGCTTGGATACCATCTGAAACGCTTCCCAAAATACTAAGGGCCTCAAGCCACTGAAGAAATTTTTCTTGAAGAAACGTATCCACACGATTCTTTTCATCAACGCTCAACTCAGGAGCTCCATTACGACCGCTCTCCTGAAGATGGTCCATCCAGTAGACACAGGCGTATGCTGCCGCTGCTAGTGGATCTGAGCTAGATTTGTGGATATCTTTCACATGCAGTCCAGGCAATTTGATATTGAGAATATCACGCTGAAGCTCTTTGAAGATCACGTCGAAAGATCGTGTGAATATCATCTTGTGTTCCGCTTCTATACCTCTAGGAAGTATCTCACTGAGTGCCTCCTTGAGTAAAAATTCCTTTGCAGACTGATGGACAAACACGTTAGTATGTTCCCGTAGCGTTAGAAATGATCCACAGATCACAATCATCTCTTCAAGGGGTACATGGTCATCGTCATAATCATCTGGTTGTTCAATGAGTGAAGACAGTTCGTAAAGAGTGATAGGCCGAAATACTGTTGAAATAATTGCCAGTATCTCCCTGCAGAGCTCAGCATCTTCTGATTTGTGAACCTGGTCTATCATTCGACCATATAGGGCCTCTAACCCAGGAGGAAATAATTTGAGCCTCTTGAGTATATTCATTCGTATCTTTCCAAGATTCTGACACACTAAGGCCACCCATAGGAAGGTACCTTGCGAGTTTGACAATAGGTAGGATTAAACACCATCGCGAGTTTTATGGCTGTACCTTTTAGCCTTTGCCAATTCCTGAACTTTATGGTGGATAAAATAATTCACTGCTCCAGATACAGATATCTCATTTAGCTCTAATGAGATCGGAGCTAGCTGGGTAGCAATGTCAAGACGCTCAGTGATTTCAGGCCAGTTACGGCTAGAAACAACCCACTTTATTTGTGTATTGACTGATGATTCCTGGACAATAAAGTCTAGAAGGAAATAGAGCCCATTGGTACACTCATCTAAAGCATCAATTACCAAATAAGTCATCTGCAGTATTGGGTCGTTTAGAATGTGCCTGAAGATTGTTGACAGTGCGTTCCATGCATTGACATCCTCAAAGAGAGTCTTTCCTGCATAGTCGTACCGAGCTCGCACATGGTAGAGAAGAGATGGATGCTTTTTGACAAGTAAATATATCAAACCCCTCAGGACAGACGTAGCACTATTGATTCGTATGTCGGTAGCCTGACAGAAGAAAAACAATATGCTCGCATTATCCCCATATAATCTGGTCAATTCCTCGGTGACACCACAAAGGAGCATGGTCTTGCCTTTACCAGGATCACCCCTAATCCAGAGGAGACGATTCTTCTGGCTGTCTTGCCATTGTCTGAATTCTTTGTTGTCAAAAATCCAGCGATATGAGCCTTCGAGTAGCCCACCCTTTGTATCCTTGATACGTTCTTTATCATCGATGGGGTCTGTCGTGCGCAAATCCCGAAGGCATGCTTGGTCCAGCGTTTCGGATTGTACTAGAGCTGTTCATTAATCGCCGCCCATGTATTAGACTTATACTTTCCACTTACCAATCGTGACATTTCCGATATTGCCATGTACCACTCCTGCCTGGAATCCAGAGTTTTTCTCGCCGTAGGAAATGGAAGTTGCCATGGCTGTTGCGCAAGAGTTTTGAAGAGGCTCAAATCCACGCTTGAATCTTCCAGTCCCTAGCTACCCCGCGATCAGGTAATCTGACTAGAGGCAGAAGAAAGCGACCGTATTGATCTTCACCCCGTATTTGCCTTCAGAGACAAGGTCTCTTTTCATTTGCACCACTCGGGATTTAGATATGCGAACGTAGTACTATATTCCTCGAATTTACAGTGCCGCGGAATACAAAGGCTCTGATCAAAGTGACGAACCTTGAGGTTAACCATAGCGTAACGATTGTATCTGTGTTTCAGGAAAGTTACAACCCCACTAATTGTGTAATTTATGTGACAAAACGTTTCGAGATCCGAAAAAAGACTAGATCTAGAAGAGACTAGCGTGTTTCAGAATAAAGTTCAAAATAGAAAAGAAAGGAAAACCAAGGTGAAGCTGATTTCGAGCGGCCCTGTATGCCTAATTCTATATCTCTTTATGCCATTCTCTATTACTGTTCTTTAATGTGATCAATTACTCTTCTTTTTCAAGGGTTTGAAGCCGAGTATCAAACGATCTTGTAACCTTACGCCAAGCTCTTTGGGAATGTATTGATACTTTACTAGTAAACCACTCGCAAAGTGTGCTCGCTTACACTACTAGTAGTACATGACTTGATTGTCAAATTGATTTCTTGATCTATTAATGGGCAGATGCTTTACCACGGAATAAGATACAACATTCATTAACTGTTCTTTTTCACAATCATCAACACCCCCTCTACTCCCATATTCAGTTCCTCCTGGCCCTTCAAAACCCCCACTTCATATAAAAGCCCTTCAATATGCCCCCTCATTACTTTCACAATATCCTCCTCCGTCCCAGTCTTATCTGCATTGGTCTCCCTCCATCGCGTAACGGTCCCTTTGGTACCGAGCATTTTCTCAAGCTTGTCAAGATCGAAACTCATAAACTGTGGTTCCTGTTGGCTAGCAAAGAATTCGTCACCATCCGAGCACGCAGTTTCCTTATTCCATACTTTATGGAGAAAGGCTCCTTCTTCAAACTCATATTGTGACTCCTTCAAGGACCACGGGAGTAGAAGGTCAGCGTATAAATTAAACGCAATCTCAGTCCCCTGTTTCGCATGCGGCCTCAGAAATTGATCTTGGATCTGAGTTATATAGGCCTGAATGGCCGCATGATTTGGCGTAGATGGATGAATATAGCCTCCTCTCGCGGCCCACAGTGCAACACTACCCCCCGGCTTGAGAAGCTGTGCAGCCCGTGGCCAGAAGAGAGACATGTCAAACCAATGTGCCGCCGTCGCAGCGACTATGAGATCGACGCTGGAATCAGGTAGATGCAAAGACGTGCCGGCGCTAAGTTCCTCGGCAGTGGAAATCACAAATTGGATAGGACTGCCGTCAGAGGAAGTCCCGCCAAGAGAGCGGGCAGCTTTGATCATTCCCTCAGAAGGATCGAGGCCGATGGCTTGGGTGAAATGGGATGAGAGGTCACGAACGGCATTTCCGGGACCACAGCCGACATCGAGGATTGTGGTGAGCTTGCCTCCGGTGGAGACGTGGTAGTCTATGATTGTTTTGTATAGGTTTGGGTGGTATGTTGGTCTGTTTTGAGAGTAGATTGCGCCTTGCGTCTGGTTGTAGGAGCGGAAGGTAGGTTCTTTCGAATCTTCCATGGTGACATGCGTTTAGTCTTTTTATTATGAAGGGAAGCTGAAAATATTCAAGATTAACTCAGCGTTCTTGTCTATTGGTTATTTACATTCTTCAGGTTGTCGAATCCCGGCCCGAACCCCGCGGTCCTTGGAAAATGCATGCTGAAGAAGGTTTCGGGGGTTCGGAACTCCGAATTGGGAGAAGTATCATAAAACTTCGCATGGATTATGTTTATGCTTTATGCACTAATCCAACTCTTGAGGATAAATTAAGTTCCTGGAGCCTATGGAGCTGCCTATATCTGTGTTTACCAGATAATTTCAAAGAGGTACATACGATACATAATACATCGAATTTTCTAATTCAATTGGTAAAAAAAAGCCATTTCATTGCTAGATTCATAAAGTCCGCAAAATTAATAAAGTAAGATATCAAATCTCATCTGCAAATTCCTAGTCTCCGCAAGCTCATTAGTATGAAACCAAGTAGCAACACGCGCAATGCGCCATGTCCCGCGCTCAAAAGCGCCGAGAACCAAATAAACAACCAATTTACCAATCCGCGTAGCCAGTAGCGCCTGATAATCATCAGTCCCATACTCCCACGTCAATAATTGCTTATGTTCCTCAGCAAGCTGTTTCGACTCATGGTGAATATGATGACTAACGAACTGCCTAGTATCGACATTTAAAATGTCAGACACGAATACATGTCTCAAATCGTGCAGACAAAAGTCTTCCTCGTAGACTGCTTGCGTAACTCGTGACATGTAGGGGAAGATACTCTGGGAAGGCCTGCCTGAGGGAAGTATGGTTGGAAGTGAAAATGTTTTGAAAATGTTTTGTAGGATTATTACGCCTGGCCCTGTTATACCACCCCAATTTTCGAAGCCGACGTCGATGTCGATTTCCTCGTCTTCTTCTAGTCGGGAAATGAACTTTGTGCGATAGTTGTTCTCAAGCGGGAGGCCTAGTGCGGTGGCTTGGACTTGGTATACTTCTGGAATAACGTGTGGACCGCCTAGTTGATCGATGCGCCATTCTGCGTCTAATACGATGTCTTTGAATGTCAGCGTTGACTTGGGGATTGGGCAGGGGGTGGAGGGGTCACTGAGCCATTTTTGACGCTCTGCTCCGGCTAGGCGTCTCTCCTCGTATGTCTCGTACTCGACATGCTCGACTGAACGAAAAGCCATGGTGTGATAATCACCTAGATGAGTATGAGCTAGATATAAAGCCGGTGGGATGGGTTGGTTAGAGTCATATTGAGTCAAGGGCATGGGAGTTTAAATATCTTTGATGTCGAGGACCGACAAAGAGGTAAGATAATCGTATTATGATAAAATAATTACGGTGGTGGGATGAATGGCTAACAAAGGAGTAGCTAAGACGATGAGCCTAAACAATGAAAAAGGAAGCATATAAGATAATAGTGACAGGAGGCGAAATGAATTGGATGAAAAGAATGTGGCGCCTTTGTTATAGATCCTGGAACAATTTCAATGTCTGCCAGAGAATAGCACGCTTTCATCAAGCAATTGATCAGTTTCACGTGCAGTTACGAGAGATGTTAAACGAAAATTGATACCTCGTCTTGGTTTATAGTCCGGATCAAGTAGTAGTTGTGCTCATTCTTCAGTTCATTGCACCTATGTAGTATGTAGGCTTATTATATACAGGCAACGAGCCTTCCAACTATTATTGTACAAGTTAAGGACTAGACCCATGTCTCATTCGTGATACCATCGAACTTTAGGCCCTCGTCGCAGTCAGTGCGGTTAGTCTTGGACAAATGCGCCCACAAATCGGGATATTTTTCGCGAGCCCATGCCTCGATCTTGTCTTTCGAGTATTGGGAAAGTGAAGCATTATAGAAAAGACCAATTCTGATAAAAAGTTAGTTTAGAAATATTCATCGCCAGGAGAGGGGATTTGTCAAGTACTCACGTCGTGCTTGTCGGGGCCAATCCAATCTCAGCTTCCATATTATCAATAGCCTCAGTAGCCAGGTCGAAATCACATTGAGCAGCGAGCGCCTCGATATAAGAGCTATACAAACGACGATCAATCTCAATATCGAGCTTCTTGATCTTCTTCAGCATCTTCATTGCCTCGTGGGTACCATCAGCATGAGACTCGCAAGCTTTGAAAAAGATTGCGAGGGTTTTGTGCGAAGGGCCCTCATCCGACTGAAGTATTTGTCTGAAAATTTCCATACTCTTCTCCGGCATTTCGCACGCTGCGTACGCCAGCATCAATCCATTCAAGATGCGCGTGTTGAGTTCGACTTCAAGGTCAAGCTTGAGCATGTTGTGCACCAGTTCCAAGTTTTTCTGATCAGCTGCACGAGCGATTCCCTGCAGGCATCTGGCATATGTATCGGGCTTAGGTCGACGTGTAAGATCCTCGGCCTGGCGCATGTGTCCGAATACCAAAGCCGCAAGGTCGCTCCGATTCCGGTCGAAGAAGGAGCCCATAAGCTCTGTTCTGGTGCTAACGCCGGTCTCGGGGAAAGCCACCTTGAACAGTTCGTAGATGGTCCATACGTTGGCGTCTTTCTGACTGCGATCCATAATATAGTCGATCAATGCAGTGCGGACCAAACTCTTGCCTTCGCTATCGAAAGTGCCCAGCCGTGGGCGAAGTAGTTCGGATACCGCGCCAAAGTCGCGACGGTAGAGAAGCATGCGCGTAAGTGCAGTGACGGTTTGTGGTTCAAGACGGACGTGATCTTGAAAAAGCGGGTCCAGGAGAGCTGAAATTCGTTCAAAAAGAGCACCGCTTTGCTTTGAGGCACAAAGCATAATGATGAGCCGGTTGGCAAGAGGAAGGTGATCACTCGCTAGAGTGCTAGGGTCAATAGTAGATTCAAGAATCTTGAGTGTCCGTTGCACATCGTTGGAATTGACTGCCGATTCCAGTTGGAGTAGATAGGTCTGCTCGTTGGCGACGAGACCCCACTTCTCGGATTGCTCTTCGAGGTCGATAACCAGCTGAGGGTTTTGAACAGCATTGGCATACTCAATGAGCGCATTGAAGTCCGAAATTGTAATCGCTTTTTTGAGGTGAGGGTTTTTGGATGTCCAGGAGTTGACCTTTTTGGCAAGCAAAGTTGCATTGCTGCCCTGAGCGGCCTCCCAGAGAAGGTTAATACCAGCAGTCTCGGGGGTCGGGCCTTGGGGCAGAGAGTGAAAGATGGGCCTAGCCCAGTCAAGTTGCGAGTGTAGAATTGCAGATTTGACGACAGCGATCTTAGCGGCGATAGAGGGCTCGCCGTTGCCGGCGAGAGGACATTCAAAGATGGTCTGGGCCGCACTGAACAATCCCTGGGCGACAAGGATGTTAATCAACTCTTCCTGAGAAGATTGATCAAACTTCACCCCATATTGATCGAGTTCTTGCGTAATCTTACGCAGCTGGGGCCTGTCATCCTTCATGGCAACTCCCTTCAAGACCGTCAACCAAGGCGACGGTTTGGCGCCGCGAAATTGACCTCCGAAATTAATTATCACCTGTCGAGCCTCCTCGGGTTTCCCGTTGACTGACAAAAGGTTGATATAAAGGAGAAGGGCAGGTCGGCTAATCGTGTTGGGACCAAATCCATGATCGGCACATAGTTCGAGGTAGGCAAAGCGAGCGATCTTGAGCATGGTATCACGCGCCTCAGGAAGACAGTCTGATTCAGACAGCACAAATAGCATCCTTTCCAGACTCTCAATCGAGAAAACCTTGTCCCATTCCTTCTCGTCCAGTTCGTTCTGCTGGGCCTTCATATGCTTCCATGTGATCGAGAGAAGTCGTGCTTGGAACAAATTAATTGAGCCTGGAGTTTCCACCCGGGTAGAAAAGAAGAGCTGGAAAGCTCTTGCGAGCGTGAAATTTGGAGGAGCTCGGCTTCTATCTTCGAGGGAGCGCTTCAAGTCAACCATTGGTTTCAGGCCCTTTTCCGACGGCAAGATATGAGAGCCGCCTCCTTCCATGGAACTGATGTTGAATGCAAACATTGTGCGTCGCGAAACATGGTTCAAATTGGGGAGACTCGTCCGTACTCGCGCGGGGGAGATGGTATGTAATAGGTGGTTTCGGCGGCATCGGGAAAATTGTAGGGGCTCATTGTTGAGAATGGCCCGAAAGACACGTCTCGAGAGATGAGACTGCATTTTCGGCGTAGTGCAGGCTTGATCCCAGTCAAAGCAAGTGGTCGAAAGGGGAAAGGGGGGCAAAGGTTGAAGGTTGAAGGTTGAAGTTGAATGTCGGGGAAAGCTGCGGATGCAAAAGTTCGCGACGCGGAGAGAAGGCGGTCTTGGCAGTCAAAAAAGATGCGCCTTCACTTTCTTCCTCATCAGCCAACTCCACCACAACTCAACCACAGCCACAGTCACAGTCACAGTGATCGAGTTCAGTCACACACACACACCATGTCTCTCAATCTCTTATCTCGGTCTTCGCTACTGCGCAGTGTCGCCAATGCTGTCCCCTTGGCGTGTCGCTGGAGCTCGACCGCCGCCATGAGTGCCTTCACCTCCCAGCGAAGCACAGGTCAACAGCAGAGTATGTCACGATAGCCTCACCTATTTGCATTTAGATATCCTTGTGGTTATCCTGCTTTCAAGTGCCATGTTCCCCGTTACTAACTATTTCTCCCTCAATTGACAGGTCCCCGAGTCTCCCGACGCCGCTTACCGAACCGCATGCGACTTGTCGAAGATCAAAAGGCACAGGGCGAGAGCCGTGCTTTGGAGAAATTCCAGACTCGCGAGTGGAAGGCTGGTGATGTTTATTCTCCACACGATCTCAGCCCGGCTGAGATGAAGAAATGGGGAAAGCGCAAGAGTCCCTCCCGGGATGCCTTCGATGCGTTGAACCTGAACCCAATGAGTCTCTACAAGGTGCGCACACTCTCTCCTCTCTCCTCTGTTATGTCAATTATCGCATTGCCAAATGTCGTAGCCTGGCTCTTCGCTGGATCTACCCATTCACATGATCTTGACAAAGCATCTGCGATAGCAAAGTAGAACTTGCCGCTGATATGTTTCCCATTGAATAGAACTTTGCCGTCATGTCCGAATATGTTTCGCCCCTAGGCCGTATCAAGCACCGCGACCAAACTGGTCTACGACCCGTCAACCAGCGCAAGATCGCAAAGGCCATCCGCCGAGCCATGGGCCTCGGCCTCATGCCCTCTGTCCACCGACACCCCGAAATCCTGGCTGGAGAACTCAAGGCGAGGATGGAGAACCGTCACCGCTAAGGGACATGCATTATTCTTGGTTTCTGTACTCGGGGTATTCCTCGAGGTGCTATGTATGGCGTTCTTGTATAAATCAGCCACCCGCTAAATCATTAGAAGGGGGCGCACATGTATTACTACTCCTGTGGATTGAATCTATCAAATCAAATCCTTAAGTAACTGCTTCTCCTGTATCTGAGAACATTAATTGTAGCCTAGCATCTTAATTTCCCATGCGTGGCTGAGGTGAAACGAGCTGCCTGATTTCCGGTGTGGCCCTGACCCGCCCCGACGTCAGTAAACAACGTGGGCAACTCCGAACTTCTCCCCTCCATTTCCACTCTCACCTTTCCCCCCCACCTCCACCGTACACCCCCAATGTCAATCACAAACGGTATGTATATACGGACCTTGACTGATGCTGGAAATATTACAAGGCTTACATTCCCGCAGAATTCATCTGGGCCGCGAGCCCCTCCACCACTCGTGGCCAGCCCACCCAGCTTGCATCCGACTCCAAAGGCGAGCGACTTGCTTATGCTGTACGACACTCCTCTCCTTCAATGCGGCCTGAATCCTTGATATACATATATCCTGACCTCGTCAATCACAGTCCAACAAATCCATCTTCCTTCGATCGATCGATGACCCCGCAGTCGCCAGACAATACACCGAACACAAGGCCGCAACAACCGTCGCCCGCTTCTCCCCCTCAGGCTTCTACGTCGCCAGTGGTGACGCCGCCGGTGTCGTGAGAGTATGGGACTGCGTCGGCGACGGCATCACCAAGGGTGAATACAGCATCGTCAACGGCCGCATCAACGACCTAGCATGGGACGGTGATTCGCAGCGCATCATCGCCGTCGGTGACGGAAAGCAACGCTACGGACACTGCATCAGCTGGGACAGCGGCAACACCGTCGGAGAAATCTACGGCCACACGCAACAAATCAACTCGGTCTCCATCAAACAGCAGCGGCCACTACGAGCCGCCGCCGCCGGCGACGATAAGAAGCTGGTCTTCTACCACGGCGCACCATTCAAATTCAATACCGGAATCGGAGACAAGCACACGAACTACATCTACGGCGTGGAATTTAGTCCCGATGGCTCGACTTTGGCTAGTGTTGGCGCAGATCGCAAGATCTGGCTCTACGATGGCAAGACGGGTGAAGCGCGGGCCCAAATTGGCGAGGGGGAGCATAAGGGTAGTATCTTTGGACTGTCGTGGTCGAAGGACTCGCGCAAATTTGTCACTGCGAGCGCGGACCGGACTGTTAAGATTTGGGATGTCGAGGCTGGTAAAGCTACCCAGAGCTGGACTCTGGGTGAGGAGGGTGCGCTGGCTGTTCGCGACCAACAAGTTGGCGTTGTCTGGCCACCGGCTAGAAGCGATAACCTGCTCATCAGTTTGTCTTTGAGCGGTGATCTGAATTACCTGGTGGAGGGTACTCCTGAACCCCGACAGGTTGTTCAGGGCCACCAGAAGAATATTACCTCCCTGGGCCAATCTACGGTGGACGGTAAGGAGACGCTGTGGACTGGTAGCTTTGACGGCCGCGTCTGTAGTTGGGACGCTGCTACTGGTATCGCTGGCGATATCGAGGGTGAGGGTCACCCCGGTTACATTGCCGGTCTGGCACCGACATCCGAGGGCGCGGGCAGGATTTACAGTGTCGGCTGGGACGACACAATCCGCTCGATTGATGCCAGCGCGAAGACTTTCACCGGCACTGCTGCCAAGCTCGGCGGACAGCCCAAGGGTGTTGCGGCGGCTGATAAGACCGTTCTTGTCGGTGCAGCTGAGTCTGTGGAAATTTTCCAGGATGGCAAGAAGACTGGCGATTTCAAGAGTAAGGTCGACGTTACGACCGTCGCTGCTCATGGCGCTATTGCTGCTGTTGGTGGTGAGGACGGATCGGTTCAGATCTGCAACATCTCCAGCTCGGGCTTGTCCGTCCAGTCTGAGATCGCGGCTTCGCGTGACCAGATCTCTCAACTTGCCTTCTCCCCCGACGGTGCTAACCTAGCTATTGGAAATGGACGAGGACGTATCGTTGTCTACAAGGTGGCTGATGGAAGTCTCGTCACTGATCGCTGGACGGCACACACAGCTCGCGTCACTTCCCTTGCTTGGAACCAGGCCGGTTCCCATGTTGTTAGCGGATCTTTGGATACCAATATCTTTGTCTGGAGCTTGGCTAAGCCTGGTACCAAGTTGGAGGTTAAGAATGCTCATAAGGAGGGAGTTAACGGTGTGGCTTGGGTTGATGCCAGCTCTAAGATTGTTTCTGCGGGTGTCGATGCTGCAGTTAAGGTGTGGAAGGTGGAGGGCCTGCAATAGATTGATTGGGCTTCGCCATAAATCGATAAATCATATTTGTTGAAACAAAGAATTTACGTTCCTGTGATATCAGACCATTCATACCGTAGCTTACAATAGTACTGCATGATTTCTCGGGGTGGAGGGGTACACTATACCCACACTGGCAGCTCGGTTCTAGCTGGTGGGTATAGCTGTTATTCAAGGTCAAGTTGGCACCTGGGCATCTATGGGATTTTCAAAACAGTCCACTAGGCGTGATCGCTACCACGTGGAACTTTAATACCGCTGTCATATTCACAAGAAATATTTCATTTGAGATACTGAAAAGTGGTGGATAGCTTGTGTCGCAGCTGCTCCAGGGGCAATAAGTGAAATTTACCCAGTCTAAATTCAGTTATGAACAGCCACGGAATTTGAGTTTAAGTGGTTAATGGAACCCGATGGTGCTTCTTCGAACATAGCGGCCATGTATACTGAGACTGCTGCAGATGATGTTCTCACAGAAGCATGACCGTATAGTTGAGTTAATGCGTCTCGAACCAGACTTGAACTGCGATATTGCAAGTGATATTTCATTTCTATCTGGTGAGCGAGAATTTGCAAGGTATCCAACATATACCCCTCTCCAAGCTGCTGTAAAAACACAGCTAGTATCAGTCATCCGTGATCAAATTATCTTGAATGAAGCCGATGTCAACTACTTGGGAGAAGGCAAATTGAGACGGATTCCAATGCAGCATGCTGTTGAGCTTGGAAATATGGAGATTTTTGATCTTCTTCTAGAGCACGGGGCCGATGTCAATGCTCCCGCTGCCAACGACTGAGGTGTGACTGCTTTACAGATCGCGGCCATTCAAGGGTACATCGGCATTGCAAGGAGACTGCTTGATCTTGGTTCATATATCAATCAAGAGCCAGCATGGGAAAATGGGCGTACGGCACTGATGGGCGCTGCAGAATATGGTCGCATTGATATGTTACAAATGCTTCTAGATGAAGGAGCACTGGTCGTGGGTGACTATGAAGAATATTATTACAAGGCTGTTGAGCTTGCAGAGGGTCGAGATCATTACGCTGGGGCTAGACTCTTGAAATCATTCAAGGACTCGGTTGAACTGGGCAATTTATGACGCTTTGACTTCGTTTTCTACATTCCTTCTTCTATCCTCTGCTATGTTGTGTTTACTAGTACTTTTCATCATTTTTCTTTCTGCTCTTGTATCGGCCCTCAACAATGCACATATGTAACCAGAAGTCTTACTCGCTGTCAAATCCTGTCTCCATTGCCGCCAGTATCTCTTCCGGGCCCTCGGCTAGAAACATATGACGCGTCATCCAATGACCCTTCTGGATTGCTGCCACCGCACGCGGCTGCATCTCCTTCTCGTATGCTAATGTTGCTGATTCCAGGTCGTCTATGCCATGTGAAATGATATGCCTCGCTAAATTGACGCTATCATGCATGGCATTGTTAACTCCATCTCCGGTTGGTACTCTGTAGAGAAGAAACAAGAGCAACTTCTGTCAGCGGGAAGACATTTCTTTGGCTGCTTAAGAGGGAAGAGAAACGGCTCGGTATGTACTCACGTCAAGTGTACAGCATCACCAACAAGTGTTACTCCTGGAACATGATTCCAGGATAAAATTGCATCCTCAGTCATGGTGTACAATGGCCAGGAGCGAAACTTGCCATCGCATGACCGCACGAAATCTGTCAGGTCTGAGGCCCATCCTGTGAAGTATTCCTGCAAAAAGGTATTCCATAAAGTTGATGGAGCACTCGCGAGTATAGAATCTTTGGGTAGCTCTTTCTCAGAAAGCCTCAGACCCACGGAAACGTGGTACGACCCGTCACCGAGATAGTATAGAAATATTTGCCGTTCTTTGCCAAAGGCAAGAAAATTTCCTGTACCTGCCTTTGAGGCAGCCAGCGGGTAGATAGGATTCTCGGGTTTGATAAAAGAAGAAAAGAAATGGATGCCGGAGTATTGCGGTTTGGAGGGCATAATCTAGTACAAAGATATTATGAGCTTGGAGTCCGGCTACTCCACTGGAGCCATATGAGAATTGAGAACTTTACTCACCGTCGCCCGAACTCTAGACCAGGCACCTTCTGCGCCAACCACAAGCTGGAAGCCGGATCTGGGGTCCTGGTGCATGAAATGAATTATCACAGAACCATTGTTTTCTTTCTCGATTCTTTGTATTTTGTGATCCCAAAGGATCTTAGACGCCGGAAGAGAGCTCAGAAGTAGGTCTCGTAGATCCTTCCGATCGATCTCTGGCTCATCTTCGTCGCCCTCACGGGAAAGGAGAGAATGAACTTTCCCCTGAGCATCAGCTATAGTGATAGGAACCCCATAGCGCGCAAGAGATTGGAATTTTGGAAGTAAGCCGGCTTCAAGGAGGGCCGCCTGGCCAGTGCTAGGGTGAAGATCGAGTGTACCGCTGCTCTGATGTTCATTCGCCCAACATGCAGAGACATCTCGTTCAAAGACAACATAAGGTACGTCAGCGACTTCCAAAAGCCGTGCGAGAGTAAGACCCGCTGGGCCGGCACCGATGATGGCGATGGGCGCTTGTGATTGCATCATGCTATAAGTGAAACTCGAAAGACGGTTTGGATGTGGAAACGAATGAGAAGCCAGTGAGAGGTAACATATTTATAGATTTTTTCCATGACATACAAATGCCGAAATCTGTGCTCGAATTGATGTCGCATGCGCGAGCACATCGGAGGTTAATATGAGATGTCGGATTTCGGAGTTTGAGTCTATGGCTCGGATGTTATGCGCAGGGCCATCCGGTAAGTTCCGACTTCTCCTGACACCGAGATTAGCTTCAACAACAATTCCGTCCGACGTCGAAAATGCCTCCAACGCAGAGAAATGAGATTACCGCTCTTTCCGAATATGCCTGCGACTCATGCAGATCGAGCAAGGTAAGCCCCGCGTATTTAATTACATCCGCGAGCGAGCAATGGAACCTAAATTCCCTTTGCAGGTCACTTGCTCCCGCGAACAAAATGAATGCAAACGCTGCTCGAAATCTGGAATTTCATGCATTTACTCGCGATCAGGCGTCATTCGTCGTGCTAAAAAACGTAAACACGAAACACAACAGGCTAGCGGCGCAACTACTCATCGCTTAACTCGGGCCGATGATGGCTCGACTTCCAAGATTCTTCGAAGCGATGGTGGTCCACAGTCATATCTTGCGGCTGATATTGAAATGACTCAGGAATGCTTGGGTGTCCCTAACAGCGCAGATCAAAGAGGACTGTCCGACGCGCTGCTGATGCTGACCGAAGCCTGTACAGCCACGGCTGTTGACCGCGAGCCAACTTTGCCGGACAGTGCTAAATCCAGAAAGGGAACACGGCTTTCATTCAAGAAATATGCCTCAGAATGGTCGGAAAGTATGCAGTATATGAGAACTGCACTCGATTTCAGCTGCTGACGTCGTCATTAGTCTTTGATAATGCCTTGCGAGGTAAACAACCCTTGCTCAGCCCGGCACCTCCTGAGGTGGTACGGTCTCTCAAAGCAGCTCGCCCAGACCAAATTCAAGAGAAGGCCTGGCTAGTGATGTACTACTGCATTCTATTAAAAGCAGTCGACGATTCTTATCTCAAAAACCAGCTGCGACAGGACCTCTGGGCCTCACTTGAAAATATCAGCGTCCTGCTCAAACCTAGCGATGCCAATATTCAGGCTATTCTCATGGTTATTGGTCTCGTACCGGACTTGATCGACCCATCATTATGCTGGATGCTATCTACAAGCGCTTGCAGAATGTTGCAAGCTCTGGGTGTTACCCACAAAAGGATTGACACTCAAACTCGGGAACAACGGCAGTTGAGGTTCTGGCAGCTCAATCTCGTGGATAAGGCGCTTGCAGTTATATTTGGTCGATCTCCGACCTTCCACCAGGGGATGGTAAATGAGGTCAGTCTTCCAGCATTGGAGCAGATCCGGCCATCTACGCAGCACCGAGCATCAGACGGTAGTAAAGGATATTTTGCATCACACCTCATGTACCAGAAATTTTTGCTCTCAAAGGTTATGGCAGATATCTGGCAGTGTCTTTACGGTGGAATGGAGGATCAAAATCGTGCAATAGAGACGTCAATTGTTAATCTTGAATGTTGGTATGAGCAGGCACACAAGGTATGTTTCAATACTGGAGGGTTTGCATGAACATACAGCTGTTGACATCTCATTCCTTGGCAGATTCTTGAGGCTGCTGCGATGTCCGAGAAACCATTTTGCGACGCCCGGAATGCTCAGTCAATCGACATTGGTCTTCGCAGCCAAGACTTTCTTTACCTTTACTTGACAATTCTTCTATCTCGAAAATCCCCACCCCGGCACTCCCAGTGCATCACTAGTTCCAAGCAATTACTCTACCTGCTTCTTCACTTATCTCCAGAGTCGGACGAACCATATCACCCTTTCCTCTGGCAGTTTCTATATTCTCCATTCACTGCATTTTTATTATTGTTTCGTGAAATCTTACTTAACCCCAATAAGGGATCCGAAGGCAATCAAGAGGCTCTGGCCGCTATGGAGAATCTTCCAGAGTTCCTGGACAAAATGACCTCACGAAATCACCTTGCCACGAGGCTAAGGGAAGCTTCCAGAGTGCTCATTGGCCACGCGAAGTTTGTATTGGGTTCTGGGCCATCTAGGGCTGGATCCGATGGTCCAGTGGCGAAATCGAATTTCACATCGACTGACACAACGAATTTGCTTGACTTGGACCTACCATGCAATCAAACTGCCATTGCAGATGCAGCAAGAAATCCTTTCTGTGACTTCAATGCCGATGATATTGTCGAATCCCTCACTCAAGAACTCGAGGGCAATGAATTATTTGACTGGCTAAGTTGGCTAGGTGAGACGTGATAAGGATACGTCTGACAAACACGGGCCTCTTCAAGTGTTGTTTTACTCAGAACCATGAAAGATGATACACACTATTAGAAATATCTAGTGAAGGAAGATAGCAAGGTCTCGGAGATAGCAAGGTCTCGGTACACAAATTCAATTCCGACTATCGAAGAACAAGTCACATAATGGGAGGTAAGTCCTCCTAATGCAGCTGTGGCGCATTGCAGAACCAGCGCAGGCCTCGAATGGATGGAGTAAAGAAATACTCTCCGCCTCGCTGATCCACCCAGGGACTAGTTCCAAGCTCGAGTTTGTGGGTCTTCTCCGAATCCACACCGTCATACAAACTGATATGACCTTCAGGATGGTCCTTACGCTGTCTCTGATTGATGAATGGATCCATTCCAGGGCCGTCCTTGTGAGCTTTCTTTTTGGACGTTGGGAAAACGCTGTTGCTTGCCCAGCCTTCATATCTGTCAGCAATATCCAAAGATAATGACGGAAAGGGGACTTACGGGTCATAAGAAGATTGAATCCATCTCGGATATCACTCTGGTAGCAGGTGAAGTAAATACCACGACTCTTGGTGGTCTTTTCCGTCTCGTCAGGTCCAAGCTCAGGTCCAAACGTGATACCACGGCGCAGAATAACGGTAGCGTCCTCCTTGTCGGGTTCCTGATCGGGTTCTTCGTCACTGTCAACCTCCACATCCGGGGGGTTGCTGGTGTCGTTAACCAACGGATCGGTGAATTTTCCTTTCACAAAGTCGTCGTCCTTGCCTAGGTCACGTTTGTGGTCGGCTCTGGGACGCATTTTACGCGCGTGCGCAGCGAACGGACAACCCAAAATGCTCTGCTTGGGCCGGAAGTCGAAGTCGTTTCTGAATGCAAGACTCTTGTCGTCCTTGTCGGGAGTTAAAGCGACAGGCGCGCCTATAGAACATCAGTACGATGAGTATGGCAAAGAAAAGATCTGGTCACAATACCACTCTTCCAACGTCCCATCATATGTGCCGCCAATTTCTCGGCACCGTTTTCTCCGGCGTAGTTTGGAATTTTCTTTGCGGCATTCTCAATGAATCTGAGCATGGTTAGCATAGCCTCAATTTGCAACGTCAGACCACGCATACTTATTGAACTCAGGGACCTTCTCGTCTAGTTGGCGGAACACGAGGAAACTACCTTCCACAGACCAAGGGGGCGTAGTTTCCCGTCGTGGATCTCCTTTATGACCGACAAAGATGTATCTAACTCAGTTAGCTGATGTTTCTATAGATATGGGTTGACATATTACCCCGGAAGACACGAAAGTGGTTCACGTGGACCCGGCTCGGGATCTAGACCCTGAATCTGAGGCTGCGAGATGTGGTCCTCAAAGCCGAAGCTGCGAATACAGTTAGGATATTCCTACTACTCGATAGAAACAGACTTACTGCTCTCTGCCACGGAGATCCCCGGGCCGCCGCTGTCCATGCTTCGCGATTACCGATTCCATACTAGTCTTGTTCGAGTCTCTCAGGTGGAAATTGGTCTCAATCTTGGCAATTCCCTCATTCAGAGTTTGCTCGCTGGACGCAGCCACGATGAAGACCAAGTCAATGCGCCAGCTGTCATCGTTTTTAGGGTGCCCAGAGGGCGGCTTGAACTCGGGAAGCAATCTCTCTGGGATGTCGGCGCCTTCGAAGATAAGATCGCTGTACATACCCTTTTCGAAAAGGCCATCGTTGATTTGCGCTAGGTTCAACTATTGATTTCTTGTTAATGATCTCTTTTTGAAAAAAGAATTTTGATCCGGATACTCAATGAAAATAGTCGAACCTACTTTCTGCAACCCCTTCTGGGAAAATGAGACATTTATACCCGACATCGGAACTTTTGTTGGTCTGCCACTCTCTGCCGCCGAGATTATCTTTCCCAGACGCTCTTCACACTGCTCTCCAGTGGTGATTTCGTCGATAAAATCCTCGAGGTCATTGCGGAATCTGTTCACATTCGTGATCTTGTAGAAGAGGTAGGACTCAAACTCCTTGGGCATGCGCGGCCAGATGCCGCCCTGGATGTTGCTCTTATCAACTGGATGACTCATTGTTTTACTAGTAACCCTTGAAGATATAGGCACAAGCGGAACAGGGGAAAAATAAGTGAGGAGGAGGAGTTCTTATGCTAACCTCCCACATCCGTAAGTTATTCCTGCGCTGTATTTGGAAAAACATATCGCATCCAATAACATCTTCTCAATTTCAATACCGGGCCACGGTCTAATCAACCAGATCCATTTCTACTCGCTTCACTTTCCTTCCACATTTGCTGCCTGTGAGCTGATCATCAACACTGCCAAACTGGGATTCTCGCTGATTCTAGGTGGACCTTGCCCCGCCCCAGTCAGCTAGCTCTGGTTTATCAGCGGGGTTTGATGTCGAAGAACGGATGGTGCTCGCGCCGAGGTGGTCACCTACCGACAAAGAGATTCGGGCGACTTGCCCCCTTCGGATGCCCTGGATTGTATTTCTTATCCATGATGTCAAAATCATGCAGAGCGCCACCACATATCGGGTAAATTATAAAGAAACCCACAATTCGTGCAGTGGCGTGCTTCATGTAAAAGTAAGTATCGAACATGTTAAACTCTGAGGAAACTTAAATCATGTCAAGAAAGGTTGCGGTCCGCTGGCGCGCGCCCTGGCCCGGGCAGCTTGTGGGTCTGTACTACTGCACCGGTTTTTTCTCGGCTCGATCTTGATCCAAAGGATTTCGGCTTGATCGTCAATCGCTGTGCCTGTCAACTAGCGTGCACCGCGATCGGCAAAAATCTAGCAAATTAAAAGTCCCTGGCTTCCAAAGGATGTCTTCTGATTCGCCCCGCAATGACGACTTGTGTTCACAAGCGCGAACTGGTCGGTGGGGGTGTAATGTACAGTCCTCTGTACTCGACCCAACAACTAGCTACGCTAACATCTTCCCCGAGCCCCCCCTGTGGACCTATGAGCTGAACAAAAATTAGGAAACTACGTAGATGGATGCTTCCCTGGCAGTCGAGGGTCCCATCGTGAACCCAATATGCAGTTGTGTCACCATGGAATTATTTACTGGTTATTATTTTAGCTTTCATTGCCATGTTTCACCATCTGTCCAGCGGAGATGAAGAACCCCCCCAGCAGGGTTGTTCTTACATAGCAGATTTGTGGAGCAATGGTTCACACCCAAAGAACTCCGGCATGTGAATGACGAACGATATCTGGAAAATACGTAAATGACGGGACATCAACTCGCCATGAGCGAGCTCGTGGAGTCTATGCTGATCGCATCCATACAGAAACCCACATCGTCTGCGCTATGTTGGCGTGGCGGTCCTGAGCTGCTTGGGTCCAGCCCCACCGTTCTGATCGACCTCGCCTGAGCTTCCTCTTCTCGTTTTGAGTTTGGCATTGGAAGCCTTCCTTTCCATTATAAGTTCCCTGACGAGGAACTCCTGTATACAATGCAGCCAACCATTTATTTATCCTTTCACAATGAAAGTTCCATACGCAGCCAGTATCCTTCTAGGAGCTGTCTCCGTTGGCGCCCATAAATCCGCCGACTACTCCTACGAGTCGACTGAGGGCAACCGCCCTGACATCAACGGCCAAGTCATTGGTGAAATTCAATGGCAGTCACCGCCCGTCAACTCGACTCTGTTGAATGTCAAGCCCTTCCGTGTCACTTGCACTCGTGAGAAACATCGCAATTGGTGTACAAACGCCATTGACGGCAAAAGTGACACATACTGGGAAAGTGACAACATTGGTCATGGGCTACCGTGGATTTCAATTGATCTGAAAACAGTGCACAATGTCAGTGGTTTGACCATGTTACCTCGGTTGGACGAGAATGTCACTGAGGGTCAGATTGCCAACCACCGTGTCTATCTGAGCAAGGATGAGCGAAACTGGGGCGAGCCAGTGGCCTACGGAACGTGGGGCAAGAACAAAGGCATGAAGCTCGCTGCTTTCAACCCCACACCTGCGCGCTATGTCAAGCTCGTTGGTGATACTCCTCCTCTCCCCGATGCGCCTGGCTGGCACGAGCCTATTTCGATCGTCAACCTTGGTATCTACACTGCCAATTATACTCTCCCCATCGAGCCTGGCAAGGGTGTCTGGGGACCAACGCTCGATTTGCCCGTCATTCCAGTTGGTGCGGCCCAGGAATCGAATGGCCAAATCATTGTCTGGTCTGCCTGGGCCGATGACCAGTTTTTTGCTTCCCCAGGTGGCAAGACACTCACCACGACATGGAACCCCAAGAACAAGACAATTGAGCAGACTGTGGTCGCCGACACTCACCATGATATGTTCTGCCCGGGCATGTCCATGGACTTTAACGGAAGTATTGTCGTCAGTGGTGGTGGTGACGCCGGTCGGACAAGTATTTTCAACGGAAAGACCTGGGAATATGGCCCAGACATGCGTCAGCCTCGAGGATACCACGCAACAACTACTCTGTCCGACGGTCGAATCTTTGCGATCGGTGGTTCTTGGAGTGGTGGCAACAAGGTGGAGAAGAACGGTGAAGTGTACAACCCCATTAAGAGGAAGTGGTACACCCGTTCGGGAACAAAGGTTAACCCTATGTTGACTAATGACCGACTGGGTCGCTGGCGTGCCGATAATCATGCTTGGTTGTTTGGATGGAAGGATGGAAGTGTCTTCCAGGCTGGTCCCAGTGTTAAAATGCACTGGTACACTGTTGATGGCAGCGGAAGTACCACTTTCGCTGGAAGACGAATGGATGATGGAGACTCCATGTCTGGCAACGCTGTCATGTTTGATGCTGTTCAAGGCAAGATTCTCACTTTCGGAGGCCAGCCCTCTTACGATGGCTCTTACGCGTCCAAGAACGCCCATATCATCAGACTGGGTACTCCTCTTGAGGAGCCTCTCGTCCAGGTCGCTGGCAAAGGTTCCGGCAACGGCATGAACTTCCCTCGCGTCTACCACACCTCTGTGGTTCTGCCCGATGGCAAGGTCTTTGTTGCTGGTGGCCAGGCTTGGGGACAGCCCTTCAACGAGCATACCATCCAACACTACCCAGAACTTTACAACCCCGAGACGGATACTTTCGAGCTCATGAACGGTCAAAACATCATCCGTGTCTACCACAGTATCTCCATGCTGCTTCCTGATGCTACTGTCCTGAACGGCGGTGGTGGTCTATGTGGGAACTGCTCTGCGAATCACTACGATGCCCAAATCTTCACTCCTCCCTATCTGCTGACTCCCACCGGAGAACGACGTGAGCGCCCCACGATTCTGAGCGCTGACAAGCGAGTCATCGTGGGCCAGGTGTTGAAATTCTCCACTGACAAGCACATTGGTTCGGCATCTCTCGTTCGCCAGGGAACTACTACCCACACTGTCAACACTGACCAGCGTCGTGTCCCACTCGAGCTGGACGCCCATGAAGACCACTCTTTTACCGCGAGCCTCCCGGATGACGCTGGTATCCTGCTTCCTGGCTGGTATATGCTTTTCGCCTTGGATGCCGAGGGCACGCCTAGTGAAGCGTCTCTGGTCAAGGTGGAACTGTCTCAATACGCAGAAATTGAGCTTGAGGAAATGCTGGAGGACGACAGTGACCATGAAGCCGTTGAAGGACTCGTTGCACATGAAGAATGCGATGAAGAGAAGATGACGGGTATGCTGTCCGCCATCCTCTCCTCGCCTGGCCGAGTCTGGAAATCGTGGAAGCCTCTTCTTGTATTGCAGGGCAACTAATGTGTTCAGTTGAACGTGTTCGGCAATTTCAAGCCTGCGAGACTTGCCATTTTCTAGCGGGCAAAGCCCTACTAGGTACTATCCGAGAACATCTGGGATGAGATTCCCATGGTATGTCGTACAAGGATCGACTGGTTTTGGCGTGTTGGAACTTTTGAATTCAAAACTTCCTATCTCTTCACTGGTATAATTTTAGCTGAATTATGCTCCTGTAACGAATAAATTATACCTTCGCCCACGGGTCATCTGTGTTTGGTCCAATAGCAGTAGAGTCTACAGGAAGCAAACCGCTGTATATTCCAGCCCATATTGCATTCTTTTAATGTACATCATTCAATTCCTGAGCAATTGGATCGAAAACCTTGGAAAGATATCGCAGAAGTGTATCTCCGGCGAGATGAAAAGAAAATAAATGCAATTTCTGCTTGGAATTTTCAGTCTGGATATGTTTAATTCAGTAGGATACATCGCGCCCCTATTGCGCACAGGAATCTTGCGATAGTACTAATTAGATATTTGCATCTGCGGAAGGATATCAAATTGCCCCCAGGCTTCCAGCTACCTTGAACTTGAAGTGTGTTTTAGAAAGGCGCTCCTTAGTATACACCGAAACTGTGTCATGATAGGATTGGCTTCCGCCAACAGTGCCGCTGTTATTTACATTGTGAGAAACCCTTTGCGAAATATAATAGTTAAAAACTTCATATCAGATAATGTATACAGGAATAATCCGATTCTTCCTACCCCAGAAGCACCTCCTTCCATATCAACCCGGGTGAATAGCCCTTGTTGATTGCGTATCTATCCAAAGTACCGATTCCTCTCCTCGAAGCGATGCCATTTTCCCAAGATATTACCATAACCCAGTAAAACTCCCAGTTAGCGATGTGAGCTTTAAGGTCCTTAGGGTCCTGGGTTTCATCTCCCAAGGGCACGCTGCACTCAGAAAGGAGAAGAAACTCAACTGACGCCTCCGTCTCGATTGTTTCGACATCATTAATATAAACTTGTCCACAAACTTGCCCTTCCGAATCAAAAACATGCATGCTTCTTATGCCGTTTGGTTTGTCTGCAAATGAGAGTTTAAAATGGGCCGAATACGTCCAAAACTGCAGCAGCGTGTGATTTGGGGTTGTAGTGCATAGTTCGGGGGTAGGTGTCGTATTCATCCCCGTTAGCCAAGTATGATGACGATTCTGGTATCCAACATGTTCGTTTCGAATGTCCGACGGTACGGCGTTTTCAAGCAGAGGTTGTATTTCACCGTCTCTCTTCCGTTGATACCATACAATCCAGGTTCTAGTGTCGAGCCATTCGTATTTGCTGCGGAAGATACACCGTATTCGCCATCGGGTAAGACGGCAATGACGACCATATGTCTTCCAATCCTGCCACACGCGTAGGCGTTGTTGTCAGCAGGCGATAGAGGGTCTGGTTCTGGGTGGTTTTAATCAAGGAAAGCTTGCGCCGCAGTATATTCTGTGCTGATCGCGCAGATCCAACCGACGGTGTAGCCCTTGGGGTCAGACATGATTTATCCGGAGTACAGAGAACACTGGACATGAAAAGACCCAGGCAATTAGGAATTCGGAGGTTCCAAAATTTGGCCGTTTACTATGCAGTAGAGACTCAAGTTGCAGAGACAAAACACGTTGTAATGGAAAAGCAGAAAAATGGTCGCCGCTGGAAGTTTCAGCCGCATGAACCGAGCGGCAAAGGAAAGATATCATTGGCTGGCGTAGTCTCGTCCTCGCACCCTCATCCCAAAGCACAACCCGTCTCTCACAAGTTAGAAAAGTATTGCTGACCAATGCCATCCTCTCCTAAGCTCCATTCCTGTAAACTTTTCTATCGACGAGAGTATACAAAAACCCCCGCAAGAAGGACGCAGTTGCATTTCTGAGGCTGACATGCTCTGATCCAATTGGCACTTGAATTTCTTTGGGCATTCATGCATCTGAGTGAGGCAAGTGTAGAGATAGTGTGCAGCCGCAAATCTACCTTATTGGGTCGGTAAATGGTGGGCAACTCGTGGACAAATAGAATGGCACATTGTCACCCTCCCCGATCTTCACGGGCATTCCTGCTTATGTGGGTGGTACATATGACATATCATAGTAATTCGGTATGGTGATGGACGCACCTGCCGGTGTGTTATCACTTCTGAAAACTATTACCCCTTAAGTTCAGTTTCCTTCTTGATCGCGAGCACAGCCTTGCACCATCCATCTCGGTATTCTTGCAACCCTCTATTCGAACTTATCTTTATCACTTCTTCAACATGCCTCCGATTGATCAAGAGTCTAACATACTATGTGCGGAGCTAATCGTGCTCAACTATCTTCTCAACGAATTTCCAGAGACTCCAAGTCAAAACCGGACAAGTCAATACACTCCATCCAACAATCAATACAGATTGTCATTCTCGATAGAGCGCGACTTGGTGGAAACACTGTCCTTCCTTTCCAAGAATCAGGACGGCTCAGACTATATTCCCGCGGTCTGCGTAGAACAAGATAAAGCCGGTGATCATTTAAAGGTCCTTCTCGCAATAAACAAATGTTCATGGAATGATGGTGATGATATACTTCGATCCTTGAAAGAACGATTTGAAGATATCTTCCACTTTCTTCGTGACACGGAATACGGGCGTATGTACCATTCTAATCCAATCTTCAGTCATTCTATTAATCTCAACCAGGGCGTGGCGGATCTCAAGAAATCAAAGCGAAGATTTTCGAATTAATTATTTCCATGTGCTTACCCAGGATTCTTTGTCGGTTACGCCTAGCTCCAAGCAAACGAAAAGGAATGAGGCCGTCAATAAAGGAACTATTGCGGATAGCAATAGATGGTGTTGGGTGTATAAGCCCCCAAAAAATCCAAAGGTCAAACTTGGCGGTCACCTTGTCTGAGTTTAAATCACTTTCAAAGGAAGTCATATGGTTGATCAATAACTGGCTCAAACACCGTGTCCAATCTCGCCTCGCCTCCATTTTGGGATCGATTCGCCGTTTGAACAAGCTTCCGAACCTACCTGATCTGTTGCAACTTATTCCGACTGGTGCATCTGGCGTGGTTCAGGATTCAAAATTTGCGAGCTGTCTTCTCAATATTATCAGTAAAGTTTCCAGATATCGTAAGGCAGCGGGTGTATTATACAAGATCGCCAAAAACCACCCAGTGGTGCAAAATATGAAGCTTCTGCTAGCCACTCTCCCCCAAGAGGCATACAACAGGGTAGACAACCCCAGCTACTTTCCAAATTTTCAGGAGATCGGACCACTCCTCGGCCTCATCAATGGCCATCTTTACGATTCGTCTCGGATATCACAATATATGAAGCTCTCGAAGAATCAAAAAGATCCCAGTGAGACTTTTTCACGAGAAATTCAGAAGACTTTGAAAGAGTCGAAAATTCACTCAGAGATACAGCTTATTGCCTATTGCGAGATCGAGTCAACGCCTGAATTGTTTCCACGGGCCATTGCATCCAGCAAAGACGCGTGTTTTCTATGCAATGCTTTCATAAAGACGCATGGAAAGTTACACACATCAAGAACCCATGGAAAATTATACCGAAGCTGGAGATTACCCAACCTTTTGCAGATGAAGGATCTACAAAAAGAATTCAACCGATTACTCTTGAACCAAGCTCGACAAATTATCGGTGCGAGGGCTGTAGGTCTTGGGCATATCTACCCTCAGCCCCAATACGAAAGTACTCTTCCTCCACTTTCAGTTTCCTCAACCACAATAAAGGATTCAACTTCGCATGTTTCTTCACAGAAACCAGAGCCCACGGCCACTGAAAACCCGATCACAAGAACACGTCCCTTGCCGTTGTCAACGGACTCTTCGCATTTGAGCCATGGGATAGTCCCAGGAAAAGTCTCTCCGTATATCCCAAGTACCAGCAATTCAGTAGTTTTCACGTTCGGCCTACTTGAAATCCATATCCATACGGAAACAACATCAAACCCGGCATCAGCACCAGCTTCGCTCACTTATAGCATCGAAAGAATAACCCTAGATGGAAGGGACAGGCTACCAGATGGATCACTCGTAATTGATCCATTAGGTCTAACAAAGGAAACCCTCTTTGAATTGCCGATGAATAATTCCCTTTATATCTCCTATCAAGATGTCACTTTAAAGCTTACATCTTTTCCCCATCCGTCCGCTAATATAACTCCTGAGATGTGATATTCCAAACAACCGTAGTCAACGGTCTTGTTATTTATGCGCTTGATGAGTAAATAGACTCGACTACATGTGACGTGGATTGTGGTTGTTGCACCACCGCGTGCGATGATGACCACTAACCAAGACTTTCCTAGGAAGAGTTGCGACTGATGGCAGGCCACTCCAGTGTGATACATCATGTCTGTTTGAATTAGTCCCTAAATACCTATTTTAGTCGATATAAGTCCCCCCCCCCCTTCTCCTGCGCGTCATTATTATACCCAATGTCGACTTCTTTTCTGGTGGTTAGTGTAAGTAACAGGCATCCAAGGCAGGAATTAAGCAAGTTCCACAGTGGAGAAACCATCCTCGGAGCTTGGTAAATGTGTTGGGACTATACTTAGATACTAAAGTCAAATCTCTGTGTCCACTCTATTACCAGTATCGGCAAGAAATCTCCCTGTGTTCGGCCTTTTTGCCGGTCATCACCGCATCCTGAATGATTGGCGCTTGCAGGGTTCTCCTGATATGTGCTTTGGTATAAGAGATAGTCCCTTACTATAATAGATGGTCTTCAACCGTTTTTTCCGGTTGTTGCCTGCCTGCTTACATTCTCCTCTGAGTTACCCGAGCTCCTACTCCGAGCTCCTACTCCCTAAGAACATACCATTCACATTTACAATTCCCATGCCACGTTTCTTTTCCAAGGTCGCCCGGAAGATGGGCCTTATCGGAGTCAATATCACAGTGGTGCGGCATACCCGTGGAAGAATGCGCGTTATCCATTCAATCTTTCCATCTGATGGTTGGCCAGTGAGTGAACTCAGGTCTGGGCCTGTCATAGTTTTAGGATGTCAGAGGGGAAGTGCACAGGTTTTATGCAAGTGACAGCTGGAATGTTTGCGATTGCTACATGGCTATGTTACCTCTTCAACCACCAGGAAAGCCTCAACGACTCGCACGTACAGGATATTCAATGTGGATACGTCGATTCGGATATAATTGGGGATGGTGTACGGCGAGGTATTTTGATTCAAGAGATAGTTCTGACTGTGATAGCTTTGGTCGGCCTAACCCATCCTTCCCCAACGGCAGCGAAAGAAGTTGGGGGAGGACTTCTTATTACGCATGTGTCCTTGGCTATCGCACTGCATGTTGCATTGGGGCGTGGACAGCTCTCCATGACTGACGCAATTTTCGGATCGATGGTACTCGGCTCGCAAAACATCGCCCTTTCAGTCGCGCTCGTCATGAAGGAGACATTAGCCTCTCGATGGGAGGTATGCCTCGTCCTCTTGGGACAGTTCAAGGGTCTAATCTCCCTAGCTGTTCTCATGGTCAATTTTCTGAACAATAAGTTGTCCACTGAAAAATGCAAATGTTTCTCAGTTATCTGGTGGACATGGTTCAGTAACTGCCCAACATCATCTCCCAATGACCGCCTCACTTTCTGGATTTATTTCTCTCTTCGTTTTCTAATATACGGTCAATCTGCCTACATCGCCCTGAAAAAATTCCAAAACTTTGACAGCGCTGAAAAGGCCGAAAAACGAGAGAAAGAAAGAGTCTGTGGGAGCCATGAACTTTGCAGATTTTGCAGCAGTTGCTCAAAATGCTGTCACAAGGATCATGCGCCCGACGCATGCAACTTTTGCGAGATGTGTTCTAAGTGCAAGACATGCGGTATCCACCTCTATATGCTTGAGCCGCGATTCTCTTTGCGCCCAGCTACGTCCAGTTTACTCTTCGCAGAGTATGCAATATTTTCTTTCGTGACTTTGAAGAGCGCAGACCATTTGAGAGACTTTTATAACATTCAAGAAAGTTCTCAAATTTATTCGATTGGACAAGTTACTGCTCTAGTTATTGCTGGCTTGACTGCACTTCGGGCATCGTGGGTTTTTCTCTATATGTTTCAAGGTGATTTGAGTCCCATACAAGAGTAAGATTAGTACCCAATGTTTATTCTATTTTTCTTTTGATCCATGGAAGGTAATTTTCTACAGAAGAATACACTACACAAGAACTCTGACTGTATAACGTAATTCTCAAGTGAGTGGGCCACCGCAGAACACCTGCACAGCGAGCAAGGGGCTTATGAAAGAAAAAAAGCAGGGCACACTGTCACCACACTAATAATAAGGCAGGAATATCTTCACTGCAAGAGAATGATGATGTCGACAATACTAGGCCAAAGCTTGAACATTGCTCCTTATCAGAAGGACACGAGCCTAACGAAGAGAGGAACTGTGCTCGATAAGTTTTAACGTAGTTAAAGTTCCGGAATAGCGTAGCCGAATCCGATAAGATTCATATATATCATGGTAACGCAAACGCTATCCCCGAAATGAAAATAGCATCCAAAGCCCAATTCTCCGATTGGGCTCGGAATAAGCAACAAAACCTGAAAAGCTATAAACAGCAAAAGAGGTACTGATTGGGCAAAAAACAGGAAACTAGAGCCGTTTCCGGTAGAAGCCTTTGTCCAATAGCACTGAAAGCACTCATCCAATAATACTGAAGCACGGCGAGCCAATCATCGCGATCTTGGTCCAATTACGCCTCAATTTTTGTTTGGGTTTTGGCAGTCTCGCGAATGCCCACGAAGAATAAGGTTTCGAAAGTACCGTCACGTGCGGGATGTTTACCCTTCCTCTCACTTCGTTCGTTTCAGGGCACTGGACGACGCGCGCTTCGCGCACATCGGCCCTGAAACGGTGTGCAACTAAAAAATTATTGCAACTTGACTTGTATAGATCGGGTGACGTGTATATGGCAGAGCCAAGTGGTCGACGCCTGTCATCTCCTGCAGGCAAAGGGCTGTGACGTGGTCTAGTGCTGATTCGTTGCCCTATTTTAGGCGGCCATTTCAGGCAACAAAATTCTTGGAAAATGTAGTTAACGTTACATATTGCGCACTCTGCCTATGTTGACTTAGTAATCTAATTTAGCACGGCTGGGAACATTTAATTCCCCTGGGTTCTGACTATGGATGCACCCACGGGATAGATAACAGTTGGCTGCCCCGATGAGCGGTGCGAATAACGAATCAAGCAGGATGTCTCCAACTTGCGACAGTTCAAGAGGCCAGTACAGTACATCGGAGAGCTTTGCTCTGGCGCACCGCCCTGCCCCGAGCAACGCTGACGGAAATCTCCGCAAGTCGGGTGGTCAAGAGCAGCAGCCTCTGAAACGCCAACCCCCAGTCAATCACTGTACATTGAGAGCTCGTGTTGGTCTAGGGAATTGGAAGTGCGGGCGTTTTACGAGGACAGGGACAGCTTGCCCTAACGGGATACTAAAAAGGAATAGAGACGAAATTGAGTCCTTGATTTCGTCCATGATTCTCCTCAGCCAGGAATCGCCAGAATTGATCTCCAAGGTGAAAAAACTTGCTCAACTCGCGAACTGTCAATCCCACCAACGCATGGATCCACAGGATGTGCGAATGAACAAATGGATGACTGCTTTTCCGGCGCGAAATGATGACGTGCGTTATCTTGAGGAGCAAGTCAGGGCAGTATTTGGGCCTGCTTCGACTGAATGCGGTGCGGCTGGGACAGAATCGAATCTATGTGGAAAAAAGGTTGGAGGCCGAAAGGTTCAAAATTTTCAGAGAATAATTGGCGAAATCATGAAGCTCAGCATATACCTAAGGGATTCACATATTGACCATTATCTCGGTATTTTGGAGAAGAATGTCTACTGCTCAGACCACAAGCTTACAACGCCCCTTCAGAAACGGGATTATTGGAAGTCGAGAATCCTAGAAATCCGCAGAATGGCCGACTTACATGTGGGGTTATCTACTCCTGAGCACTGCGGCCCTCTTGATCCGAATGACCAAAAAATATCAAGTTTCAGGGTTCCGGCCTCACCTGGCATTGATAAAAACCTGACTTCTCTTTGGCTAGAAGCGTTCGACACTACTCCCTTCCACATTATACCAAGAAGGAATAGACGCAACATGAATACCTTGAATGGCTATATTCAAAGCATAATCGGCCGAAATTTGAGTCACGGAAACCGGAAATCCGGATATGTTTATGTTTTTCAAGCAGAAAATATCCAGGGATACCTAAAAATAGGATATACGACTCTTCCCGTGACTGAGCGCCTTCAATCGTTGAGTTTTGACTGCAACAGGCAGATGAAGGTGCTATTCCCTACGCCTCCTGAATCTGCGCGAACGTTTCCAAATGCCTTCCGCGTTGAGGAATTGTGTCACGCGGAGTTAGTTAATTACCAAGTACATATTGACTGTGCAGGATGTTTATGTGAACATAAAGAATGGTTCCAGATCTCTGCAGCAGACGCTATTACAGTGGTCAAAAAGTGGTCAGCGTGGATGAATTCTACTCCATACGACTCAGCGCTCGGAAGCTTAAAGGAAAAGGAAAGACGCAAAGTTTCAGATATGGATAACTTCATGAGCGAACTGGCACGGCCCGCTACGTGAAAGTCTAAGTCTATGGCCTCTCGCTCGTATATTATCCGACGCACAAACATCGGGTGAGGAGGAATGAACTCCGTGAAGGACCATTTCTCCATATATATGACTTTTTTTGTACTCAACCGATATCTTGGAGCGCTTTACGAGAGGTAGGTCTGATCGTTTCCCACGATTAATGATCGTAGCCTAACGATCATGTTCTCTGGTAGACACCCTTGTTGATTAGATACGGATATATGTAGCCCCGAACAGGAAGCGACTAGCAGCCAGTAAATAGAGGGTCGGTCAGCCCATAGATGGTTAAACACTAAGGAAGCAATAGCTGCCAGATCCCCTTTGGGGACTACATGGAAACCAAGGCCCAAGATGCGGATCCTTTCCCCGGATACAGAGCCCCAAGCCCTTCACAGTGGAGGTTCATCTGACAGAATAAAAAAAGGTCGCCAATTCAACTGAGTTTTACTTGGTGGAATACTCCATGCGTTCGGGCACGGGAGAGTCCTATAATTGTGGTTGTTGCCATAAGGGCGAGCTAGTCGTTTCTGCACCGCTTCTTTGGTCAAAATCTTCACTGCGTCCTTAGAGAAGAGATAACCAAGACCAGAGCAAACGGTTGTAATGGCCACGGTGAATCTATTTTCCGCGATCAGTTCCAATCAGGATCAGTTAGGCCACCAAAAGTCTCAAGTTGGGACTACATAGGACACGAGGGGGAATGGGGTGGGTGGTGGAAGGGAAGATTTAGCCGAGGGGCCACGTCAGCGCTTCAGGGACTTCAGAGTGATCGGGTGAACAATGGAGGGCGTTCAGGTGAAGGTGAAGGTCCCTGGAGGGGCTGAAGAGTAAAGCGGATGAAATAAAATTCAAAAACAAAAACATACAACAGCAGGGATTCGCATGTGGTCACCCACCATACTACTAACCTGCCGGCGTGTGGCTTAAGTACGGCTGAGCGGACGGGAAGCCCTGTTCTCCACACCCTATGGTCGTATGTACGGGATAATGCAAAATAGAGAAATATATCGAGGTTCCGCCCAGGCGTGCTGGTCACCGCGCCATTTCCGAGTTCATCTCATGCCCCCCCCCCCCGAGTTCGGCTCCTCTAATTTATCTCTGATCTTTTGGACGGATGGAAGGGAATTCGCAATCAAAGAGCGTAGTATCATGGGGTAGTATCTGAGAGAAATTGCAATCATAAAGGAATCTATAGTATAGTTTACTGTCCTACGAAGCCAGTCTGAATTGCGGCAAAGTTCCTCACCTAGGAAGATCTTTGATGATAGCGGCCGTGCGACGATCTTCAGAACACTGGGCTTCAGAGTAAAGCTAAATAGTGCATATGCTACTGTAGTCTGCATTCAACCTGGTATCAACGGTATTGTATGTCGGTGGTCACCTAGCGCCCACGATTTTGTCCTAGGTGGCTCGCCGCCCTAGCGGGCCCCGCTTCAGTCCTTCACCTGCAGGATCGAATCTGATATACAAAAGTCGCATTTGTGAATTTTGACAGGGAAAGAATTAACGAGGCACCTTAATGCAGCGGAGAGATCAAGTAGATGGTTTTCACTCTTGTTTACCGGCCTATACTTACCTAACTGCTACTATTAAATTTATTATTCCTTACTACTCTACTAATCTATACTAGAAAGAATAGATAAAGTAACTACTTTTTTGGTTAATTTTAACAATATTAATAAAAAGATATTATCTCACAATATTTTACCATAGACATAGAAGAAATATAGAGATATATTAAGACTATTTAATATATAAGTATTTACTATCCCTATAACTCCAGGTTTAGCTAATAAAACAGTTTTGTCAAACTATATCTAGACCTTGCGCAAGTCCGGACTGGGCCGGGCCCAGATCTTACGCCCGAGTCCATAGGCCGAGCTTTCTTAGTAGCCCGCGGGCCGGGGCCCAGGGTCCGTTAAAGCCCGTGGGGCTTATTAAGTAAATTTTCGATGCATAGTTTGTTACAAATACCATATATTTTATACATTTTTTGTGTTGGTATTGCTATTATTATCGCCATCACCATCGCCTTCGCCATTGCGGACCTGGACCAGTTCAAAACAGTCGACTTGATGGGCCTCGGTGTGCAACAAAGAAGTGTGACCGCTCAGGACAAAATATTAAGGTTTTGCGTAATTGGGGGGGTGGCTCTGCACTACCCACGGTAGCTGCTACATCCGGCAGAATCTGGCATGCCATCTACTTGAAAAGCATCGAACACCAAGTGATTTGCGAAGGAGAATTGAATCTAGCACCCAAATGCTCTAGAGAATGCTCCATCATCGACCCACATCCCGTCTCCCCCCACACCTGTTCAAGTAAATGCATGGAACCAAATTATAGGACGGTACCCACAGAGTCAATCTCAGCTACAACGAGATTGTGTAGAGACGGCACGGCACGTCTCCGAGCTCACGTCGTGGACGAGGTGTACTGGCATTTACATCCATTTCCTAGGGCTAGAGCTCAAAGAGCTCCGTCCTAGCCATCTCCCCATGGTGCAGGACGAACCGTCTTTATTCCTGATCAGCGAGAGTATCGGACGAGTGCTAGAGAAAACGATGACTATCCTTGTGCACGACCAGAAAGTAGAGGCCCGATGCCTCAGCCAGCGCAATTCACGACTGCTCCTTACTTTCAAGTTCACGCGGAGAGAGACCTCCCAGGATCCCATCACCGAACTACTGAACTAGCACCTAGCAGTCTCGACGGAAATATATCGACACTTGGCAGAGGCTGATCTGCTAGTACTAGTCCGACCGCGTTGTCGAGCAGGGCCATCTCCGGGACACGCTCTTCCAGCCAAGCAGCCAACAGCTCGAAGCATGGTACGAGGTGACGAAGGCCGCGAGCGAACTCACCAGTCGAACAGATCCTATCCGTGAAGAGGCGGACGCCGAGGCTTTCTCTGACCGGCTCGACCAGGCTGCTCTCTAATTTAGCCTTTCTATAATCTAACACTCTATGCGGTGCCGCAAGTTTGATTCCATCCTGGTGTCGATAGGTCTGGTAGAGTTGGTAGAGGCTCTTCCTAGATTCAAGCATGGCAGCTAAGCCCCATGCCAAGCAAGCATTGCTCTCCTTGGACTCGACTCAAGCATGTTAGCCCCTGTCATGAGTTACATTTATTGTCGTGCGCCCACTTAGGCCGGTAGATTGGGTGTACCAGCGAATGGGAAACGCATGGGTGGGCTGAGTACGAGGTTCTCAGGAATATTCACCCTCCGTCGCCCCGCTAATGGATTTTTCCCCGGATTGACAGACAGCCAGCAAAGACGGAGGCTCGAGAGCTGTATATGCTGCGCCCCCCCCCCCCCCCCCCCAAGCAACAGCTTTCCTTAAATACCCCCTTCACTTCAAACGATTTAAGCTAAAATAATCCATAGTACCTAGTGTGTAATAGAAGACTGCAACGTTGGTTGGTATTTATAATCATCAAAAAATTGAAATCAGAAAAATATACAATGGCAGGGATTCCAATGTGATCACCCACTATACTGACTTGCCGACGTGTGGCTTGAACGCGGTCAATAGTCGGGTGGCTGCTGCCGGGGGTGAGGAGGGTGAGTGCACCGACCCTCCGTCATGGGGCCGCCGCACGGATCGCCTTAGCAGAGCTATAGTACAATAGGATTGGAGCATACGGAGTGATACTCCGTACTGTGTTTTTGAACCACTCCGTATCTTGGCGTTTACACACAGCCATCTGATAGAATGGTGCCAAGTTATCCCCTCAAAATCGTACACTGACAGTTAATGGATTCGTTCTGCCTGTAACAACCCGTTCGAAGATATCGGGCAATGGAAAATCGGAGCTTTTTTAGATGGTATTGATATATTAGTTCTGACAAACGACAAACGGTGTCACTAACTACGTGCCCTTTGATGAGCGGGAGCAAATGGGTGGGTCGCAGCGTAGCGAAGGGCACGGATACACTCTTTCATGGCCACGAAGGTCTATAGTCCGGGTCGTCTGGGTGACCCGCGGATCGAGGCGAGGTCTACCATCGAGATGATACTTCGAAGGGGCCACTGAGCCTCACCTAACAACGAATTCTACAAGGTGTGGTTGATTGTGCTACGGTGGTGCCCATGCATGCATCGCCCATTAAAGAAGCCCAGCAAGCCTTGCCAAGCAAAGAGCGGCTCTGTGTGCCTTGAAACGATCTAGCACGAAAGGCAGATCCTGCATTCTGCCTCGTGGGATTTAAACAGAACGTTGTCGCGGACATACGTTCCGATATCCCCCATCTCTGATCGCTCTGCCTGCCATTGTTTTTGATCGCGAAGGCGCGAGCAACACCAGCGCACCACTATGCAGAATGAACTTCCGCCTACTAACTGGAGGCCATGGCAAATCCAACCCCTTTTGCTGTTGATGTTGGCGGCCATCGCAGCGGCCGTGGCAGCTGTACTTGAAATACTCGTACAACAGGGAAACAAATCATACTCGTCAACGCAGCTTATATCCAGATGGGATTCGTGGTGCGTTTCCCAGATTGACACTGACGCCTGCCGCGTGCCAAAACATATGTCAGTCATGAACGCGTCCACATCAATTCACGGATTTTCGGGCTTTATTCGCCCGAGCGACATGGCAACCGGCGCATACTTTCTCTGCCTCTACTTCCCAAGCATCCTCGCAATTTTGTACGCTATCTGCTGGCAGACAATCGACAGCGAGATCAAACGTATAGAGCTATTCTACCAAACATCTCGTACTGGGGGTGCTCTGGCGCGATCCACAATTTTCAGCGAGTACATTTCTTTGCCATCTTTCTTGTCACCTTTTCAAGCTATGAGGTGGTGTCAGTGGGCAGTTGTTTTGTCGTCTTGGATTTATACGCTTGTCGGCACCGTCACTCCTGTCTTGCAGGCTCAGATGTTTCAGGTTCAGACACAGCTGATGCAAGTGGGATATATGACTACGGTTGATGATTTTGGAACGCGCCCGCCCGAGGATTACTGGAGTCCGATTACTGTCGAGTCTAGCGGAGATGATTGGGGGAACCTCACAGCAATACTTTGGACGGATCCAGCGCATGATGAAGGTTTTCAAAGGCTTGATGTCGTGTGGCAACCCAACTCTGTTTACACGGACGGTCTAATTGAGAATGTGATCTATCTACAGCCCGCGATCACTAGGTCACAAGAATCTGTGCTCATACTGGTCGCTATACTTGCTGTTATTCTTGCCGTTCTTCTCCGGAGGCGCCAGACTGGGATGGTCAGTCCTCACAGGGGGGATCGGAGCTTTGACAAATCTCGCCTCAGCAAACGTTATGTTTCTCAACACATTACGTGTTGAGTCTTCAGCCTCTTCTGATAGGACTGCTCCCTCTATGCGCCGACTCAAAGGCTGTCATGTCCGCCTTGGATGGAATGTTTCTCACAATGAACTCACTTACGGATTCTCATGGATTGAACCGAGCATCGAGCCCCAACGACATGGATGCGGGATGCGTCGTCAGAAGTGGTTTCGTTATAGCCGCGAGGAAGCTATGAGATGGGTAACAGGCCTTTCCTTGTGGACATACATCATGTTGATTTTTCTTTTAATCGGAACGGGCAGGTTGAAGGGGAACGACCCTAGAAGCGCCGAGGAAAGGATCTTATATGGCCAAGGCAGCGGTTCGATAGTGATACTAATACTGGTCTTATCTGCGGTCGGTAAAAGTGCATGGAAGGTAGTGGACCACGAGGCAGTCACGATCACCCCGTTTCGTGATCTTGTTGATACTCCTCAGTCCGCATGGCCAAGCCTTGGCCGGGATTACGCCTCGATGCCGATCGGTATTGTGACTATATACGCTCTTCTGGATTCAAAATTCATGCTGGCTGCAATTACATTTGTCTCAGTTTTACTCGAGCTCTCTCTCCTTTGCCTGGCAATTGTCGTGTCCATGAATCAGGGACAAGGATATAACGACAAGGACATGCTTCTCGTGACTTATATTGGGCTTGTTTTTTCAGGAATCGCAGTTTTCATGGTTACCTTCATCATGCATAGGTTGAGAAAAAGGCCGATTGCTCTGCCACGAAATCCTTCCAACCTGGCAGTTCAGATGTCATACTTCAAAAACAATTTACCGCTGCAGAAGGACATGAAACCTCTGCGCGGCTTTGAGAGCGAATCTGAGCGGAAACAATATTTACAAAATCTTCAGCTGCATTATTCCCTGTCTTCATAGTGATCCGAGTTGCTGAAATCTTGAATGTCCCCGATTACACGATCACCTAATGGAGTCAGGATGTCAACCGCCTCAGATTGCAGTTTTTATAGTAGGACAGTCAATATTTGGTTTATCGATCTTCAGTACCCCTTACCTGCAGAAATTCAGATTTCATGATATTAGTCCATCACATTGACCGTGTTACGCTGAACACACATTTGAATATGCATTTCGAGAACACCCTTGCTGTCTTCGCAGCTGTAACTGCTGCATTTAACCCATGCGCTGCGGTATGACAGACGCTCAAGTGTGCACGAAATTTGCGATTACAACTACCGTACTCTTGCGTGAACTTCGAGAGCGGCAGTGCTTATAGATAGAATGTGTCATCTCCCTATCGTTGCCATCCTCAAGCTACAAAACATGTCGATACAGCTTGTATTTTTGTCTCCAATCGGAATGGCCTCCACCAGCAACAACCCCGGCGTCTACGTGAACTGCGATTGGTACGACTGTCCTCAGTTCACTTCTTTTGTGCGGCCAGCCAACGGGCTTATTTTTTAACATAACTAGGAGAGCACGGAATTACGTTCAAATTCAGATTCAATAATACATGTTAATCGCCAATATGCGGCCGTAGATTAGAAGGTGTTCTCAACGTCAGTGGGCTGCCCGTGGCCAGCGTGCGCAAGTCTCTGTCTTGTGGCATCGAATGCAGAATTGGGCAGTTTCCTCCGAAAATTTATCAGCCTTGGCTAGATGTTATTCGACAGTTTTACAAAATTAAAGTAGTGCGCTGTTTCTGTAGAACATTACCCTACTAAAGGCATTGATGTTTTAATTGTTTTTCAGGTACCCTCTAATTCATAATATAATTCACCTGCCGTACCCCCAACCTCGCTAACTCAACTTTAAGCTCCCTGTGACAGCTTTAGTTAATTGAATCGAGAAGATTGACTTTCCAAACATCCTATGATATGTGATATTACTCACATTTTAAAAGATTCGTTGTATTAATGTCTTGATTTGACTTGTGTAGTAAAGCGGCACGGTCACTCAAAATTATCATGACGAATCCAAAGTCTTATATATTCTTTAAAATTCTGGCTAGTATAGAGTTGGATAGTAAAGACTTGCCGATGTTTGCTAGATTATATCAGCAGTGCTTGAATTACAGTACAGATTTAAGAGACATACCTAACCTTACATTACCAAGTAAATAGGATGTTGCTAAAGTCCAGCATTCTGTATGTGATTTTGAAAATTCTGCAAACGTATTCCAGCTCTCCGAGGAGCTCTTTGCACACCGTCTCTATGTCAGCTTCGCTAGAAGAAACAACTTCTGCCATAGAACGAAGACTAATTACCAAGTGCTTATGCTTATAAACCAAGTAAACCTTATATTCTGATTGGAAATAGTTCTTAAAAGAAGACGAAATTTCTGTGGCCAGCAGGCCAGGTTTTGCCAACGGATCCTATCTTTAAGGCTGACTAAGCCTGATAAAACAGATGTATAATTCAACTGGGACTGCCTGCCTGCCTTCGATATATCTCTCGGCTGGCTAATTACAGGGTAATGAGTAATGGCCGCAGAGAACCATATAACCAGCCAAAGGCACTAGGGCTGAAGGAGTGCGCTAAGAAAGCGCTCGCCCGCATCAGCGAACGAGGCAACTCCACGAATCATGTGCAAACCTGGTAATCGAAATGCATGAGGTAATGATTTGTGATTAAGTAGCGGTAGAATCAACCAGTGACCTGTGGTGGGGTGTTTCCATTGATGTGGTAAGGCAGGCAGTATCTCACATGTATCTAAATAGACTCATTATTTTGCTAGTAGACGTCTTTTCACTTGAATTAAGGGCTTGTAATCAAATCAAAGGAAAAGAAGAAAAGAATTCTTTACGTACGGAGTAAATGATAATCTCAAGGGACAGTACAGGGTCGTGCTTCTCCAAAGTGGAGCAAGGAACAGCCTAGGATCAATCCGACATGTTACTAATGATGCCCAACCCGTGAATGTGATTCCAGAGTCTTTCTGAGGAACCTATACTCTATTCACATACTATAGCAAGATACAATTTTAAAATACAAAGAAGCCCAAAAGCCAGATCTTTCCGCTGAAAAGGTGAAGACGCGCTACTGGTGGAAATATTCTTGAATATAAATGAATAACCGTCCTTCGGTCGTCGTGCTTTGGTAGTTTACAAAAACCGTCCCGATGACGGAAGCTCTGAATTGGGGAATCTTCAGTCAGATGTTGGACTTTTGCTAGATACACATTGAGTAGAGCAAGTCATGCAGATTATAGAAATTGGGCCAGCTGACCGCAAACGTTGACACTCTCGTAGTTGAGGCCGAAACCCTTGGTCTCAGGAATGATACGGAAGTAGAAGTTGGCCTGGTGATCGGTTTTGACCAGTCCGATGTAATCAGACATCTTCATGCTGTTCGCGTCACTTGCCCAGTCCTGAGCCATAAAATAGGCCATTTTGGTCTGATGAGCACGTGTCAACCTGGAGCGAACACGGGTGGTAGCTGAGATCTTAAAACCAGCCCCGTTGAAGCGCTTGTTCAGATCAGAGCCCCCTTCATTGCCAGAAGGAAGACTTCCAGAGTCACCACCAATCTGCATGTTCACGTCACCGTTATCATAGAAGCTGAAGCCGAAGTCAGAAGTGTTGCCCTCCTCATCAATTTCCACGTTGCGGGCAATGGTGCGATGGACAAGGTTTGGATCGCTGTCTCGCTTGTTTATAGTGATGTTGGCTAGGTCGACTGTATCCATTGAATCATACGTCCAGCCACCATCGTTGCGAAGGACCTGATCGAGAAGATTCCAGTCAGGCATCGAAGATTCGGCAATATCTCGCTTCGCGGGACTATCAAAAGACTGCTGATAATTGTTGTTGTTGAGGCCAATTGCACCACTGACAAAGCCCAACACGACAAAAAGGCCGTCCAAACCGTGCTGAACATAGCCAACATACTTAACACATTCGGCTGCATTTTCTTGTTCGCAGACATACGAAGCGTAATCAGTTCCGACATGGACGAATGCGGCGCTATTGCCTGTTAGAAACTTGAAGTATATGGTGCGCCGAATAAGGTAAAGAGAAGAAGCACAATAATAAAAGTAATGTTTGATGACTTACACAGCAGCACTGGTACCAATTCTCATGATGACCCTTCCCATTCTCCGACAGACCATACGCGGCTCGAGAGGGTTCGCTAGACTGCGACCCAGAAGCTCATCTTCATCCCCCTCGTAGAGGATCATTTGGTTTGCAATATCGTCAACTTCAGGAACAGCAGGTAGCTCACTCGAAGCTGTTGGGGCAGCCGAGACTAGCCGAGCAACAGCGAGGAAAGAACAAAGATGGTTGATGTACTTCATTGGATATGAATGACTCGAGAGAGTTTGAAGTATCTTGTAATGCTTCAAGTTGTTCTTCATTCAATTTAACTGGAAGTTGCCCTCTTTATATACTTTTGCAGGTTCCGGAATCCAACAATTCGTTTGTATTAAGCCGTTATATTTAGCCCTAAGCGAGTGTACGAGGAGGGGCGTAGATCTAGTACCAGGGCTGAAATGTGTCTTATCATGGTTTGTAGAGTAAAAAACTTCTCATGTTTCTCAAAAACGTAGCTTTTGTTCCATATATGGACTAACTACTTCAGATAGTCTCCCCCGATGGAGCCTCGCATTTGTAACCTAGCCACAAATAGAAGTACAAGCGACTGAATAGCGATACCTAGTGCTAAGCTCCCTGCGAGAGCTTGAAATTCCGCCCCATGGTAGTATTTTTTAGAGTCGTAGAGACGCCAAGAGCTCCGCTGGAGCTATAGGAACTAATAAAGCCTGGGATACTGGGTTTTACCCCCCTAAGCGAAATAATTGTCTTATACTGCTCTAAATACCTTGATGGCTAAATATGATAAACGATAATATAACTATAAATTAGTACAGTACTTGACCAGAGGATTTGATGGATTGTAGTTAAATGTAAAGATTTGTTGATTTGTCTGCCTTGGATATAGATCATTGTAGATCTGTAGATTACTCTGTCTAGCCTAGATATGGGTTGCCTTGGATTTTACTCTTGGAAGATATTTTATGTTTTTTTTTTTGGGTGGGTCAAGTAGAATTTGCTAAATTTGAACTAGGGTTGTTTAGTACTTACTGTACATAAGTCAATTCCTCTCACCTAATTAACACGATACTAACAATATTGCTATCTCAACATACATCCGCCCTCTAGAAAATAGCACGCTTTTGGGTTTCTGTCAATCCATCACGGACTAGTCAAAAGACTAGAACTTCGCAGAAAATTGGTTCTGTAGGCCTCTTCATTACACAAGCGGCTATCAGGGTTCTTACAGGGTCTGCCTCAGATTCTCAGATACGGCATGTGATAGCCAGCTTCTGGCCACTAGTAAATAATGCCGCTAAAGAGCGCCTGACTAAAGAGCGGAGGTACTTAACTACACTAGTATATCATTCAACTCCTACTCAAGTAGACCACAATATATTGGCTAGACAGAGTGATCTACAGATCTACAATAACTACATATAAGGCAGACAAATCAACAAATTTTTACATTTAACTACAATCCATCAAATCCTCTGGTCAAATACTGTACTAATTTATAGTTATATTATCGTTTATTTATATTTAGCTGTCAAGAAATTTAGAGCAGGGGTCCCTGAGATAATTATTTCGTTTAGGGGTAAAACCCAGTATCCCAGGCTTTATTAGTTCCTATAGCTCCAGCGGAGCTCTTGGCGTCTCTATGGCTCTAAAAAATACTACCTTGGGGCGGAATTTCAAGCTCTCGCAGGGAGCTTAGCACTAGGTATCGCCATTCAGTCGCTTGTACCTCTATTTGTGGTTAGGTTACGAATGCGAGGCTCCATCGGAGGAGACCATCCTGCAGTAGCAAGGCTTGGCAAAATTTAAGTGGAACCGATTACTAACTACTCCGTACTATGTTAGTATCAAGCTTCGGCGACGCCGAGCATATCCGAGACATTTAAGATTGACAAGCCGAAATTTTAATCGATTGCAGCCCTGCCCTCTGGATTTTGTGGGGCGTAAAAAGTCAATTATTTCAGGCTGCAGGATGTGCCCAGTACTACTCCGTACTTACGGAGTACTCCAAGGCGTACATATGTTGGTAACTTGAATGTCTCTGTTTCATACATAGTTTTCATCAACAACGCGTGGGACATTCAAATCGGGCTGGTTTACACCGCCCCACCCTGGAGAGGCTTACAGAAAGTCAGTCCGCGCAATTTTATTTCTTTTGCCATCTCCTTTATACCCCAGAGATTCGAGATATCTCCCAGGCCACGGGGCTCATTCTCGTCACTTAAACACTTGGCTCTCCGCAAGTTTTGGTCCCCAGCTATCTATTCTATTGAACCAACCATCGGATCTGCTGTTTGGCATCCTGATTCTCTTACCGTTCGAAATGGCAAGAGGAGGCCCCCAAGACCCGAAGTCAGCATATGCTCGCAGCCCTGAAGTGGATCCTATTTTACAAAATCGCCCTGTTGGGATCGCAGACGTCTATCCTGACAACCCCATTGTTAAATGGCTTATCGTACCATTTGCTCGACACCCTCTCAAGTGAGATATACCTTTTCAGCCTCTGAACGAGCACCAAGCTAACTAAATTAGGTCTACTCTAGCGGTCATGGTATTGCTATTTGGCCCGCTTATTACATGCAACCTTGGTAATGATGATGAGAAGGTTTGCGACGGAAGATTTCTAACAATGTCATTTTATGGGTCACTTATTTTTATGATATTAATCTGTTATACGGGTTTCCTTCGCAGAAGGCTCGCGAAGGAGGGGTGGTCGGGGCAGGTGGCTTAAACTCGCAACAGCTTTGCAGCAATCCTAATTCTCTGTTTGAAATGATACGGGATGACTTATGCAATTGTTCCTGTGGAAACTCTTTCTGGCTTAGCCGCTTCAGTCATGTAAGCCGGCCTAACCTAACTTCCTCTTGGTTGATCCCGGAGAAGCAGCTTTCTGGTCGTTTAATCTCAAAATTTCTTGTGAAATTATGAAGAAGTGAATAGATTGGAATATTCTCATGATCATTCAACATATTGCTCTTATTTTTCGGTCGAGAGACCTTTGGGAGGCTTACTCGTTCATTGATCAGGCAATTGAGGCGTAGATCAATCCTTGACATTCCTATGAACTCTATTCGTCGAAATCAATAAGTCCTCCGCGCCGAACGCAAGCGGTTACATAGCCCTCACAATTGGTGGTTAGAAAAAAGGTGGGTGGTGGGTGGTGGGACCTGACCAGGGCCGCGAAAGGAGATCACCACGGCCCGTGCCGTTCCTAGTAGCCGCTGGTCCAAACTGCATCGGGAATTGTCCAAGGATTGTCATATCCCAAGCTCATCCTGTTATTTTGTCGACGAAGTCACCGAAAAAAATTCACTGCGTCCCTGGAGAGAAGATAACCGAGACCGGACCAGACAGTGGTGGTGGCAACAACGTATCTTGTTTCTACAGCGTCAGCAAATCAGTTTGTTCAGGTGCGGGGCTGAAGGGACTGAAGCGGTAGGGCGGCAAGGCCCAAAAAGAGATAAAAAACAAAACAAAAACATACAACAGCAGGGATTCGCATGTGGTCACCCACCATACTACTAACCTGCCGGCGTGTGGCTTAAGTACGGCTGAGCGGACGGGAAGCCCTGTTCTCCACACCCTATGGTCGTATGTACCAGACATCCCTTGATAGGGTTATATATAGTAGGTGGAAAGAGGCAAATTGGAGAATTTACGTCCCGTAACCCGAGTAGGTCGGAAAAGAACGTGACGCTCCTATGATCAAAGTCCTTTGTGACCACTCATTCGAGAAACCCTGGTCTTTGCCTCGAAGATATAGCTGAATTTCTGAGGGGCGAGTTTCAATCCATAGTTACAACTTCTAGTATTAGAGGAGCCCTCCTAGCCAAGGGCTGGTCGAAGCAGACTGCGCGACAACGTGCTAGATAACAGGATGCTGATTTGTGAGATTAGTATCTGCACAATACCCCCTAGTCTTTGTTGATTGAATCAGGTCGTGAAAAATGTATTGGGTTCGGACGGACAGGTTAGACACTACTAACGAGACACCTTTACAACTTACGCAATTCTATCGCGATCAGAGATTCCATATACTTCCCGCGCATGCACAGCAGAGGATCCTTCTTACTAATTATCCCTAGCCAGCCTGGATCGACAGTTCTAGACTTTGTGTATGAACATATGAGCTTGCTTTGTTTTATAGGACATCCAATCGCTCTGAGCGATTCGCTCATATCGCTCCCTCCTCGTCATTACGTATTCGTTTCGTAGACCAATGGCATTGCCACTGACAACTTGAATCTGAATGAGTCTTTCAGTCTTTGATATCTCATAATATATCATATATAGTCAGGTGCCCTTTTCGAGCAAATAAGGTGTCGAAGTTGGGATAAAGTTGTCTGTTGTCCGAAGGTTGGAGCTTGCGCGGAGCTGAACTTTATGTACCCGCAATTAAGAATATGATATAACGATATCTGGAGCCAAGATATTTTAATGCCCCACGTTGCTCGGTACGGTCTCGTTCAATGGTCAGTATTTCCCTTATGTAGAGGCCACAATACCCTCTTTGAGGTAATATTGAATGCATAGTTCTTTCAAATATTTCTACGACTGGCTCAGTCTGATAAAGTAGCGAGGACAGGCGGAGAAATGAAACGTCTTATTATTCTATGTGACGGTAAGTGGATCTCCCCTTCTTTCTCCCGCTTCAACAAGCGGGACTTTAACGTATGTTGAAACTAAATTCTCCTACAAGGAACTTGGCAGGACTCCACTGGTGACCAAAATCAGCCCCCTTCAAATGTGACGCGGTTTTCGTGGGTCCTAAGTCAATGTGCCGAAGTTGCGGACGAAGAGGGAACAATTGAACATATTCCGCAGATTACTCTGCCAATTATCTCGATGCTTTGTTCCAGGCACATCGAAATGGCAGCGACCAACCTACGACAAAGGTGCTCTGGGGTGTTGTTTTCAACATGCTCGTAGTCCAGAGAAAAGTTTTTATTGTTCTAGACGCATTGGACGAATCAAAAACAAGGGAGGCTGTGCTCGAGTGGATCAAGGATATGGTGTCTAGGCCAGAGTTGGTCCATGTCCAGCTGCTTCTTACCGGTCGACCTGAATCCGAGTTTCTGCGTGACATTCCCCCCTTAATAGGAAAGCAAAACTGCCTGGGACTTGATAAACAAGCCGTTACCTCTGATATTCGATCGTGGGTTACAGCACAACTTTCTCAACGGCGTGATTTTACGAAGAAGTCCTTGTCCCAGAGCCTTATGAATGAAATCCGGAAAAGAATTGGCGACGGCGCCGAAGGGATGTGAGATATCATTGCTTCGATCAATATATTGATAGCTTACTAACACCTCAATCAGGTTTAGGTGGGGATTCTGTCAGTTAGACAGCCTGGCTCGATGTCGCCACGAGGAAGATATAGGGAAGGCTCTCGAAACCTTGCCGCAGGATCTCGATAAGACATACGAGCGCATGTTTGAAAGCATAGCAACGGAGCTAAAAAACGACGCCATACGACTTCTACAATTCCTAGTGTACTCTAAGCAATCTCTAACGCTGGCTGAAGTTAAAGAGGTAATAGTAACGAGGATTTAAAACGATTCACGAGGGTTTTACATGAAATGTTGATTATTTTGCGAGACTGATATTTTGGCCTACTGTCCCAGCGTAGTGACAGTTCATACCCGTTATGGAGAGTTACATCTTGCCCATTTCTCTGTGAAAGAGTGCCTTTTGGAATATAATTCTTTCAAGATTATGACTGTCAGCATTTCTATCACAAAGACGTGCTTGATATATCTTACAGACATCAACGGTAGCGCAAGAGAGATGAGGCGGTATTTTCCGCTGGCAAGATATGCGGCCGAAGTGTGGACATACCATGCTGCGTTGATTCAGGCCGACGAAGAAATTATAGGAATGACAGTAGGCTTCCTAGAAGGGGAAGCAACATTTGAACGATGGGCTCGATTGTATCAGGGTGATATGAGCTAGTACGATAACCTACTAGTCTAAAAAGCTCTAGGCTTTACTATGCTTATTTCAGTAGGCTCTTGGTACCGGCACGTAATTTTATTGGCAAGGGAGCTGATGTCAACACACAGGGCGGCCAGTATGGCAACGCTCTCCAGGCTGTCTCACAGGCCGGCCATCTAGCGATTGTCAAACTACTTCTGGACAAGGGAGCATATGCCAACACACAGGGTGGCTAGCATAGTAATACTCTCTAGGCTGCCTTAACAGGGCAGCCATCTAGCAATTATCAAACTACTTCTGGATAAGGGTGCAGATGTCAACACACAGGGCGGCTAGTATGGCAACGCTCTTCAGGCTGCCTCAGAGATATGTTGTCAGGGCATTGTGCGCCTCCTTGAAAGACGAGGAGCTGTTAGATCGTCTTCAATGTAGACCTGCTCTATAACTGCGAGAAACCTGGTAGAGAAATTCCATTCCAAGTACTTTGGACTTTTTGATGAACTGTTGTAATTATTCAGTCACTTCCACCGTAGTGTTTAGCTATAGCTTAGCTTTAAGCCTCATCGCTCCCATCACTTCGCAGATCTAAAGGTCTGCCCATTCAGATGGTATGAATCCAAAATCATTGGCTAGATCACTCGAAATTGCTTTTACCAAATGTAGGGATAGGGACGAACGTAGTTGACGCTGCGGACAGTGTTCCACGCGAGCAGGCTTTCGGCGGGATCAAGTGTAAGCGTGTTTCACGTAATTTAAACCACCGAGACACGTATAATACCACCTTTCAAAACAATTCGCCATTTGAAACCAGACTAAGCAGGATTGAGATTAGTTTGTTCAGAAGGAGGGTTCGAGAATGGATCTCTGTGCGCAAGTGGTGAAACTGATTTCGATCCTCCCTGTATAATGGGAGAGTGGTACAAATAAAACTCGATTAGGTTCTTCCTCTTCCTAAGAGCCATGTGAAGAATTTGACGTTGATAACCAAAGAACCAATACTCATGCTGTATTTGAAATACTTTTAAACAATGACCAACATTCAAGGATGCAGCTTACAGCCAAAACAAGGGGCCGGCGGTTCGTTGCCTTGATAGATATCTGGCCTTGGATCCCCTGAAACGTTCAAATACCCAACAGCCCCTTTCTCCAGACGAAATATTGCATGATCCAAAAGCGTATATGTCCCAGGAACAAACATTTTCATGTCGACTATTGTGGCATCCCCTGGTGGAACGCTTTGAGTTTGCACAAATTGACCTGGCGGGCTTAGGACATCACTGTCCCGATATACCCTCATGAAGTTACTTCCAATGACATGGAAAGAACTCGTCAGATTTGGTCCTGCATTGCCGAAAAAGATGCGAACGGTCTCTCCAACCTTGGCCTTGAGTGGTTTTTCCGTTGTCAATGCGTTTTCATGCCCGTTGAATACAACGACACTTGGATCTTCACGCAACGCATTCGGGTACGAAAATTCCACCTCTGATGACGGTCTTCCATTTTCCTCCACTTCTGGTGGCTCATGGTAGAACTCACTTTGCATCACGTAGTACTCGTGGTCTACCGGAGTAAGGTCACCCTCAGCTGGCTGCACATACATAAGACCATACATGCCGTTGGCGATGTGTACAGGCACAGGTGCGGCGGCACAGTGATATAGAAAGAGTCCGGGATATTGGAGACGAAACCTCCCAGTTTTTGTCTGTCCTTCCTCGGCTGTAGTCAGAGCCGATCCTCCTCCGGGACCCAAAAATGCATGACAATCGATATTATGGGTATTACCGGACTTGTCGCAGTTTGTCAGTGATAGCTCCACGACATCCCCCACCCTCGCGCGAATGAATGGTCCAGGAACTGAGCCGTTGAAGTTCCATTTCTCGTACTTATACTGGCTGGTCAACTTTTCTACCTTTGTATCAGTCACTAGATTCACTTTAAGGAGGACTGGGTAGTTTCTTGTTATTCGTGGAGGGACATCGGGTGCGGTTGTGAGTAAAGCTTCTTCTGTAGGAAGCATGTTGGCTTCGTCGGAGTTTTCCTTCCCGTGAGAATCGTTCGTGTAGAAATATGAAGATGAAGATGGTTTCCCTGGTTGTGTGACTGGATGATTTAACGCGTGATCTGGATGCCTAGACGCCCCTTCTCGTGTAGAATCCAAGTAGAGTGGGTTTTGTAGATTGGCATATACGACAACGCTCGCTATGATGGAAGACGAAAATAAAATAGTCCGAGCGAGCCCCAGGTCCCACGTGCGAGGTTCCTCCTGGCGGTTTTCCGATTGAGGCTTTGCACTTATTTTCATTGATATACGACGCGATGGAAGGTAGTATTTTGCTGCCAGATTGAGGTATGCATGATTCCTACACGCTCTGGCTGGCGTTGTCAACCTGGCAAAGATCCTCGACATTGTCATTTGTTGCCTAAGCATGGAATCTATTTGGCAGATGTTTTGGATAAGGTAGATTGAACCTTCTTTGGTTATTATTACTGTTATCCATGAATGTATATATAAACCACTGGAAGTCTCTTACGTCATGACAATAATAGGTGCTGACCTAGTAATGACACCTCCTCGGGTCCGCTGAGTTGCCCAAAATTACCACAGCGGTCACTGATGTGTGTACGTCTGTGGTATTATCACACTGTTGAGGAGACCTTTGTAGGATAATTGGAGTTGCGATACGGTAAATTGAGTTACGTATTCATCTGCGCACCACATTTGTCCCTGGTCTGCGCCCGCCTTCCAGCATAATGACGGGCTCTAGACTTTCCGTACGGAGAAAACAATTTAGACAAACTATCCATGGACATTATTGGGTGTACAATTCTGTGACCGGCCAAAAATAATCGCGATTCAAAATTTCCCAGCATCCATGTCGACGGGTAAGGCTTAATCGGCTTCGGACGCTCGACCCAGTCAAAAGGACCACATGGCTTGGTCAACAACACATCCTCGGGGCCTGCAGCCCCCCCTCGGGTGTTAAAAGGTCAAACAAAATTCCACTCAAAAAGCTATGAGGGGATCCATGATCAAAATCATGCCCGGTCTCAACCTCTTCAACCTCATCGTTTGATAGCGAAACTGCTAGGTCAGGAATACTTCCTCTTCAGAGGGTCAACAGTCCGACCACCAACAATTGGGAAGACATAAGGCGCCTTATGACAGATATATGCCGGCGCGATATCCAGCAGCGTCACACCTCCACCCTTCTTGTTGGCGATTTTCTCCAGGATAGCAGCAACTTGCCTATCCCGCGCGCACACAGGGATAAATCTGCGGCCATTATTAGACTTCTCGGGGGCCTTATAGTCTTCGGCCGTCTGGAAATTGCCGGCGTTCAATGTCGCGTACGGGGCAAGACCCATTCCTTCATCTGCGCACATGGGAATGATGTCTCGTTCATGGTATCGCCTCGCGGCATTCCACTTCCCTTGATACACCGAGAATTGTCGTAGCCCGTTCCGGCGAGCGTACTTGTTCGCCTTGGTCAGGACCCAAGCAGGTGTATCTGAAATGCCAAGATAGTGCACCTTCCCTAACACGACTAGGTGGTTGAGGCTCTGCATCAATTCCGGGATCGAGGTTGTGTAGTCCCACCAGTGCACGTAAAATAGATCAATATAGGTGGTCTGGAACTTGCGTAGAGACTCGTCCACAGAGTGGTTCCTGGACTTGGTTCCGGTGCCGACTAAGTTGGCCTGGATCTTGTCTTTGCGGTGCAGCATATACCCAGAGGTGTACTTGGTTGCTATCACGAGCTCGTCGCGGTTCTTGCGGGAGGCGATCCATCCGCCTAGCCAGACCTCAGACTGGCCATCTTGGTAGGCATTTGCCATGTCGAAGAAGTTGCCACTGTGGTCATAAAAGAAGCCCATCATTGCAAAGTTTTCATCTTTGCTGCATTTACCGTATTTTTCGGGGCACATGCCGCCGAATGTCATTGTGCCCATACATATTGGCGAAACCCGCACTGAGGCAGAGGGTTTACTAGCTGGCGGTAGCGGTCTAGCACGCTCTTATGACCTCCGTTTACTATTGCTTCATTTCCGTAACTATCAAGTTCTACTAGTAGGTATCTTATCATCATTCATCCGTTGTGTAAGTAAACCTTGGAAATACTATACTATTATCTACTAGTATTGAAATTATAACCTGCCAAGATGGACTTCTTCAGAAGATGATTTTACTAGTATAAGATTTAGATTACGGAGGTGCCCAGTATAAGTGAAGACCCTAAGAGCTCTGGAATTTCTAAAAAAGGCACAGTCAAATCATGAGCAATATACACCATGCAATATATGCATTGCCTACACTGCCTAGGTGACATATAGAAAGTGCGTGGCCATTGCCCACCGGACGTGGCCGCACCGACCCTCACGCGGCCTCTTCCTTCAAAGGGCTCCGCTTCCAATCGTCAGGCAGCAAAACGTGGAGACCTGCAAGCCTTGTGCAAGACTGCAGCGATCAGAGAAACAGGGAATATCTCCTGCTGAGCTTTCACCAACAATGTTCCGCACGCAATGAAGCCGCCCCCTTCTTGAAATCCCCGTAATGTCGACGACTGGAGCTCCAAGTAGCTCCATTCCACGCCGTTTCCTGCGGCCTCAGGTATGTTAAACCTACACCGCGCGAGAGCTGTCAGCAGCTTGAGAGAGCTCCCCCACACAAAGACCCCGTCGAGGAACCCCCCAGATCTCACAACGGCGAAACCCTCTAACAACCATACAGCTACGCCAGGCAACATTTGTCCTCCCCCGAACCGGCCAACGCGTCAAAGGCCTCGTGAACCTACATAACCCCAGCATCGCAGGCACTGCACAAGCTGCCGATGACGATAGCGCCAACGACGAGCGTCGCGGATTACTCACGGGCGAAATCGAAACACATCACGATGGAATCATACAGCGGGTCTCTGCGCGGGCGCGAGGACTCGCGACCCGATCAAAACAATTCGTGGCGTCGGAACAGGGCATTGGGATTTTGAAATTTAGTCTGGCTTACCTACTTGGTTCGTGCGCGACTTTTATCCCGGCTGTTTCGAATTTTCTCGGTCAGAATGATGGGAAACATATGGTTGCTACTGTCACGGTGTACTTTCATCCTGCCAGGTCTCGAGGAAGTATGTTCCGTGCCTTGATTTGCGCACTGCTTGCTTTCTGTTACTCCTCTTTCTTGTCGGTTTCGAGTATGTTGTTTGAAAGTCTGTTTCAAGATATTCTCATGGCACCGGCCCTTGGCCATGCTCTGGTTTTGATTGTTTTTTGCGGAGGTGGGTTGGGGTTTGTTGGATGGACTAAGCAGCGCCTGGGTGATCCGCTGGTGAATGTGGCTTGTTCGCTCGCGTCCCTCTCGACGATTACGGTTTTAACAAAAGAAGGTGCAGTTCAGAGCGGTGATTTGTCTCTGAGGAAGATCTCTCAGGTCCTGAAGATGGTGATTATGGGCGTGGTTGCTGCCACGATGGTATCCTTTCTGATCTTTCCCATTTCTGCACGCAAAAAGCTTCGAGCGAGTCTCGTGACGTCCGCAGATACATTGGCCGTCATGCTAGCCATGATCACGGAGAGCTTTCTGAGTGGCTCAGAAGAGGTGCTCAAATCGGAGGAGTTTCTTGCGGCCGAAGCCAAACACCGCAAAGCCTACAGTCAGCTTGATAATTTAGTGCGCGAGGCAAAACTCGAGCACTTTGTCGCAGGTACTGAAAAGGAGTATCGCTTGGAGAAAAATCTCGTCCGTTGGGTACAAGATATCACCCACAACCTGGGAGGCTTGCGCAGTGCGGCGTCTTTGCAGTTTAGCCTGATTCGAGAGACCATCGCCCGGGAGTCTGGATCATCGAGTGAAAACGCTCACCCTCAAGGTAGCATTCGCTTCGACTATTTTGCTTCTCTCGAGCGATCATGGTCATTCCCTGACGGATCTATCTTGGAACCAATTGAGGAGCGTTCCGAGGAAGATTACTCACCAAGTGGGACATTAAATTCCCCATCGTCGAACAAGAAAGACGACTTGAATGAGAGAAACCCTTTGCTTCCTGCGGATGTGTTCACAATTTTCATTTCACATTTAGGCCCGGCTATGGTAATCTCCCCTCCCAAAGAAAGGCGAGGACCTACAAAACTAACAATTGATAGCGCTCACTGGCTTTTACAATGAAAGAGATATTCAACGAAATTCCTTTCGGTGCAGCCCCAGCCTACAAAGTTTCAGTGGACAGTCGCCTCCGCATGAGTTTGGACCGAGCCCTTGAACTCTACCGCGAATCACGAGAGAAGACACTCAAAGAGCTCTACCAGCAAACACAGGCCATGAAAATGAAGACTCCAGAAGCCGAGGCAGACCTGGAGGAAGTATCTGCCAGTTGTGGTCATTTCAGTTTCTCACTGCTGGAATTCGGCGAGCAACTTCACGAATTACTCGCTATATTAGATGAATTGCAGCTCGAATCCGAGGAAAGACCCAATGGGCGATCTTGGAGCTGGTTGAAGTTTTGGAAGTACAAGGGGGACCATGTCGTTCGAAGAGGTTTGTCGTGCCGCATCCGTGAAATTTAGTCTATTAGCGCAAACCATACTAACTAGATCCTAGAAGCTTCTTTTATGGCCCCATTACGCGCAGAGAATCGCAATGCCGCCCAAACGCGAGCTAGTCTACGACCTCCTGCTGAGAGAAGCGTCAAGGAAAGACTTGGCTATCGTCTTTGGAAGTCTCTCGAGTTTTTCCGCCGTGATGACACCAAGTATGCGATCAAGGTTGGAGCGGGCGCTGCGCTTTATGCCATGCCAGCTTTCCTCCCTTCCACCCGTCCATTTTACACCCACTGGCGAGGCGAATGGGGTCTGCTCTCTTACATGCTTGTTTGCTCGATGACCATCGGAGCCTCCAATACCACGGGTTACGCACGTTTCTTCGGAACATGCCTAGGAGCCGTCTGTGCCATTGTGGTTTGGATCAGTACAAGCGGTAATGTCTATGGCCTGGCATTTTTTGGCTGGCTTATGGCTGCCTGGACCGCATGGATCACTATTGTCCGAGGCAATGGGCCCATGGGACGATTCATCATGCTCACCTACAATTTGTCCGTGCTCTATGCCTATTCACTATCCCAGAAGGAGGGCGGCGGGTCACAGGATGAAGGTGGTCAGGAACCCATCATTTCGGAAATTGTACTTCATCGAGTTGTGGCCGTATTTTCGGGTTGTATCTGGGGTGTTATCATTACTCGACTCATTTGGCCCATCAGTGCTCGGGAACGATTGAAGGACGGCCTTAGTCTGCTTTGGCTACGACTCGGTCTCGTATGGAAACGGGACCCTCTTTCCTCCATGGAGAAGAGCGGTCGATCTGTTGTTTACATGACTGCGCGGGAGAGACTCGAGCTGGAGCGATTCCTCTCGCGAATGGAATCTCTTCTGGCTGCGGCACGCTCTGAGTTTGAACTGCGGAGTGCTTTCGCCGACAGTGCCTACACTACTATTATCCGACGTACGCGAAACATGACGAATGCGTTTCATGCGATGAATCTCGAGTTAATGAAGTCCGACATGGCGACTGCGGGCGAGATCTGTCTCCTTCGGTATACTGCGAATGAACGACGACAACTTTCGGCTCGTATCAGCCATCTTCTATCTGGTACGTCTTGAGTCAATTGGGTGGGAGCCGGGTTTGTGTCTCAATTGGAGTCCTAACATTATTACAGTGATGGCTTCATCTATGAAGCTTGAATATCCGCTCAGTGATGTTCTCCCTAGCATCGATCATGCTCGCGACAGGTTGTTGGCTCGCATCTACCGATATCGCCAGGACCATGAGGCCTCGCAATTAACCACCGACGAGGACTGTGCCCTGTTGTATGCTTACAGTGAGTTCCGTTCCCTATTTCCTTGGCCTATATAGGTTATTCTGGTACACCCTGGTTGAAACTTGCTTACATTGTTGTAGTTCTTGTAACTGGCCAGTTGTCGCAAGAGATTATGGAGATCATTGCGGAGATCGGGCAGCTCTTTGGCGTACTGAGTGAGGATGTGATGCAATTAGCGTAGAGAATCATCTAAATGCCATTTAACTAAGACCACTGATATCTGATCTAGTTATCTATCTTATTTGACTGTAAATATGTGTATTTCCTGCGTAATTTATACTCTGATGTTCAGTTTGCACTGAATTCGGGGCGACTCATCCGTTTCTGGCGGGGAACCGCACGGCGGAACCTCAACCTCCAACCTCCTTCCATCACTCCCTTACCTTTTCATCATCGATCCATCATCTCAACGCCCATTCCATCTCGTCCCTCACTCTCTTCGGTTGCGCACACCTCCTACTACATGAATGCGTAGTCCCACCCTTCGGTCTCGCCTCGTCGCGCTCCTGCGAGTCCTCCAACCATGCAGATCGACCCGGCCGCCCTGAGTCGCACCGACTCGGCCTCAAATCCGGCGAAGAGTGCGACGCAAAACGCTCAGACGACTGTCAAATCTTCCAGAGCTTTGATCTCAGTTCCGCGACTCGATCTCGAACACTCTTACACGGACCTGAAGGCCGCCATCGGAGACAAGTGGGCCGAGTACAAGGAGGCCACTGCTCTGTTCCTACTAGGTATGTCCTGCTGCTGTTGCTGCTGTTGCTGCCTTCACAGAAATAGGAAATGGGATATCTCGGATTTGATTTGATTTCACATTCCCTATTTCTGTCCATTTAAAATGGATGAAACTATGGTGCGCAAGAGTGAAGCTAATTTAATCTCTTACCCTCCTTATAGGACATTACAACCAAAATGAATACGCGTCGCGAGTCGACCCCATCCTATGCGCCGACCCCAAAACCGAACACCTACATAATAACTTCATCTGCGCAATTGTCGGCAATTTAACACGAGACCTCCCCGATCATGGCGTCGCAACTTGGGTTTCCGCGAACGATAAGCCGTCAATGGTGTCCAAGCCGGTCTCGGGCGACGCCGCTGAACAAAGATTGAAGACGGAGATTATGCAATTACCGCCCAGAGACCGGAGACGAATTAAGGGGATTCCAGAGGTATGCGCTGAAATTGCCCCTCTCAAAACGTGACGATGGCCTTGGTGGTTGTGTAGGAAGGGCCTGGCCTTGCGCGCGGGGAGAAGGTAGCTGGTGTGTGAGACTATGGCTAACGAACGACTTCATCCAGCGTGACCCCAACGATCCAGCGCCAAATGAGCTGGAAGAATATCATCAAGCAAAACAGATCAAACTCCCAAGCCAAGTTCCCGCAAGCGCGGGCGGGTTAAACAAAACCAGTAAGGACAACCATTTACTTTTATCTCCACATCCATCCTCGCCCAGATATGACATGCGCACTTGCATTATTCACACACACTCCCCCTCGCATCCGCATCCGCATCCTCATCTCGGGCTCGGGATCCTCCCCCGGACCTCGGCCCCCACCCCCAAGGACCAGGACTATTTTCTAACAAATCGCGTCAACTTGTAGATTGGGAACTAGAAATTCGAAAACGCTACGCGCAACCCCTCGCCGCAGAAACCGGAGAATTCCCCGACGCCGAATCAATTCACGCTCGCATGGTACCGATGTGCTACGAAGAGTCCCTCCCCAGCGGCGCGGGTCTACCATGCGCCGAATTCATGGCAATCGCAACAGAAACGTTCGTCAAGGAGGTACTTTCTGCTGTATTCTCTCGGACTCGGTCTAATGGGCCGTCGGGAACCATTAACGGTATGATGATGCGCAATTACAGAGAACAGTTAGAAAGGGAAGAACTCGCATTTACTCGTGGTGAAATCGTGAAGGATACAGCTACAGGGTTACTACCTGTTGAAGCGAGGGAAGCGGGGACGCGGAGAGCGCTCGGTGTTCGAGATCTGAGATTAACGCTTGAGCTTGGCGGTGGTATCCTGGGCCATATGCCTTTGATTATTGACCAGATTGTTGGTGGCTATTTGGAAGATGAGCTTGAGACTGAGAAACAGGATCGGGTGCTGGAGAATGGTGTTGTTGGGGTCGGGGCTGCGGCTGGGGCTGAGGTCAGTGAGAACAGGGATATCAAGCCTGCTCCTGTTACTGAGGATGAAATGGATCTTGATGATGTGGATGATTCGTTCGACGAGTGGGAGTGGGAGGGTGGGACGGCGGCGGATCGAGATCAATTGGGCTCTTTACTTGATGAGTGTCTGTCACTGGCTGCTTGACTGGCTGCTTGGAAGGTTTGATTGAGATTTATACCCCGTGCTGCTTCTGCTTCTGTTTCTTGTTACGTTCTCTTGCCCTGCCCTGCCCTGCCCTTGCCCCAATTACGGCTGCAACGCTACCATTTCTTTTCCCTTTTCATTATTCCCTTTCGGTCTTTCTTGGTGGTTGGAGGATCACGGCGTCTGGGATTATTGCGGTTGTCACACCTCGTGACTCCCATTTCATGCATTTTGGTTCTGGAGTTCTCTTGAAGATCTTTCGGGCTTTGCTGCTGCGTTGTTTTCTATTTTTCCTCCTTTTGCTTTCTCTTTTTTATATGGGGCTAATCCCAAACGATGTAAAGTACATATTCCCTTTTGCACTTACGGATAAGCTTGTTGGAGATTGTCCATTTTATTTGGAAAACTTCAAAAAGCACTGGCACAGACGATACGATACGATGGCGGTGGTCTCTTGACGGGGGTGTATTGGAGGAGACCATGCTTGTTCGATACCCATGAATCAATTCGTTCATTTTATACAGTTGACATAGTTGTAGAATTCGAATTCATCACTTGGATTGTAGAAATAAAATAGCCATAGAACAATTCCTTCCATCTTCAAAACGCCCTTTTTCATTGCATGTTAATACAGCCCAGTCCGGTGACCGGGCTTTAGTTAATAGTGTCCGCAACAGCCTTCAAAATCTCCTCCGTCGACTTGGTCGCATTGGCTGGGTCTTTGGAAATGGATTGCCACACCTCGCCATGCTTAGGCTCAGTCGAGACACACTTCGAGACAACGTCGGCTCGTTTATCCTGGACAAAATATTCGTTAGTAAATGTTCCAATTCCTGTTCCCGTGCACTCTCGGACGAAAACTAACCTCTGTTCCATGTTGCAGCAAGAATTTGTAATACCAAGCCCAACCATCGCCATAGTCACTGTCTGAAACAATCGCCTTCTCAAACCAAGTCATCGCCTTGTCCAATCGTCGCTCACCCCAGAAGATCCGCGCCACGGTGATGAACAAGATCGGGTCGTTGTCCACCTTCTTGATAGCCTCCAGACTGCGAGACTTGCGTTGAGCCCGAGGCTCCAGGTGCCAGATACTTTCGCTCCAAAGGAGACCAGATGCTGGGATCTCTTGGATGGCTCTTGACATGAGATTCTTCGCCTGTTGGATATTATTCGCGCGACGTTCCACTCGCACACTTTCTGTCCAGAGCTCGGCGCTCTTGGGTACGGCCAAACGGGCTCGGTCAAGAACAGAACGTGCGCGAACGACGGCGCCGGCCTTTTCTTCCAATCGTGAGGCTAGCAGCCAGAGTGGTACTGATTTGGAGCATGCTCTGGTACCGGTTCCGTATGCCTCGCGTGCCTGGGAAATTTTCTTCTGAGACTCGTAGATTTGTCCCTTCATCATCCAGAGCTTGTCGGCCTTAGGGTATAATTGAAGACCCTGTGTGACAAGATCCAGCGCGTCGTCATCATTGCCTAATTGTCGCTCAAATGAAACACTCTTAATCCAGACACGGTCCGTTCCAGCTTCGCGACGAGCTGTGGCCAGTAGTTCACGCGCTTGGTCGATTTGCTTGGCGTCGGCCTCGAGTTTGACGGCGGCTAGCCAGATATCTTCGTTGTTGGGATTCTGGTTGAAAGCACGGCCGAGGACACGTCGAGCATCGTCGATCTCTCCAGCCTGCCACTTCTCTCTGGCAAGTTGTAACCAGAGTTCTTCGCTCTGGGGGCATGCTTCGACTGCTTTCTCGAGAACCTGCCATAGAGCCTCCCGATCGCCATGATTACGTTCAAGGTCGGCGGCTGCAAGCCAGATTGATCGACGGTTGACAAAGACCCGCAGGGTGTATGCGTAGATGGCTCGGGCTGTTTCATAGTTGCCTCGGGCAATGCTGGACTTTGCATCGTCCATCCAAATATCTTTGCGGTCATCATCTTCGTCCAGGCCCCATCCGAGTGTCTCTCGGATGATAGAGCCGCAAGTGAGAATGGCGCCCTCCGCCTCACAGCGTTCAGCTTCAGCAATCCACTCCTCTCGCTTCAGCATCGCGTTTTCCTTGGCGAGGGACTGGATGGCACGTTTCATGACATTGATCTTCTCGAATGTACCCATCTGCTCTTGAAGACGAGCGGCGGCGATCCAAATCTCGTAACTAGTAGGAACAGCTTTGCGGGCAGAATTGAGTACTTTCTGCGCATTCTCTGGTGTCTCCAGTCGAGCAAGAGCCAGCCAGAGCTCCACCGACAAAGGAATCATTTCAACAGCCTTGGCCAGTAGCAAGCGCGCATCCGCTGGATCGTCTTCCAAATTCACGGCCTCCTTCCAGATCTCGACGGATTGAGGGATATGCAGAATGGCCTGTCGAAGGACATTCTTTTTCGCGCGCAGATCTGTCTCCAGCTTCATGGCCTCGAGCCAGAGTTTCATTGAGCGGTCATTGTTTTTAATAGCATTGGCAGCGATGATTTTCGCATTATGGCCTTCGTTAAGTCGGATGTTCTCCAACCAGCCGTCCTCACTCTTCGGACAGAGCTCACATCCTTTAGCGATGGTGTGTCTAGCCGCAACAATACGACTCGCCAGCTCCTCCAAACGTGCGAGCGCAATCCAGCCAGGGGCATGCTTGGGGTTGGTTTTGGTGACCGATTCCAGCAGGACTCGAACTCGCTTGATATCACCCACCTCGATTTCTCCAGCCTTCTGCTCAGACTGTGTTAAGCTGGTGAGATATCCCTTGGGATCAATGCTAGTGGCGCTTCCAGAGGTATCGCTGGCGGCTGTCGACCCGAACGCGGCCTGATCCAGTCTGACCTTCAGAACCTTGTCACGCGCCGCACCGATATCCGCGAAATTGGTCATGGTCCCATCAGCAGCCTCTCCGTCAGGCTGAGCTCCATCGTCAGCAACAGTTGTATCGAATTGTCCCGAGTCTCTGGCGCCTGCGATGACGCTATCCGGTACGGCGTAGAATCGCTGACGTAGGTTCTGCTTCGCTCGTCGATTTTTGCCGGTAAGATCACCGACTTCGGGGAGGTTGGCCCAATCGTCTTCGGAAACGGCAGCGAGTGATCGCTTAAGGTCGGCAAATTGCTGTTGAATCTTGGGATTCTTCTGTTCATAATCGTCTTGTTCTTTTTGCTCTCGAGCTTCCCTGTTGATGGCGAACGAATATAGTCGGCAATCTATCCAAATAGAGGACTGGCCCGATGAACAAAATGTTTTACGGGACAGGGGAGAATGGGGTGGGGGTAATAAAAGAAAAGAACTAACCTTCGAGCTTTGCGCCTCCTATCCATCTTCTCATCTACCTCTTGATAGATGCGATCCGCCTCGTCGTCCTCCTGATCGAACTGCCCGTAGGCAAACAATCCCACCTCATTATCGGGATCCTGGAATCGTTCATCGTCCCCCCCCATCTTCCTTCTCATCCTTGCCTCCCTTTTCGCGAGAATTGCTTCCGTATGCAGTGGGTGCTGCAGCTCCGAGTTGTGCTGCGCGTTTCGTTAATGCGGCTTGGATCTGTTCTGGTGTTGGGCCTTCACGCGCGGGACCCAGGTCGGAACGAGTGGTGAAGCCTGTTGCACCACGACCAAGACCAGCGACATAATTATCAGGCGCCTGTTGGCTGAGGAAATCCTTGCGTCCGGACGCCATGGTTGGCAAACGCAGCGACAGCTAGAGAAAGTCGGCGCAAAGAGAGTAGTAGAAGTAGTAAGTAGTAGAGCAGCAGCAAGCAACGGCCGGAAAAATGTAGATCCGACGCCGACAATCTTATCTTTTCGTTGCGGCAAAAAAAGTCGCCCACTTTGAATCTTTGGACTTTGGCAACACAATTGAATTGCAAAGATTTTGCAGATTTTGCAGATTTCAGACGGATTTCCGGCTGCACAGCTGATATTTTCAAAAATGCCCAAAGTCAACAAGAAGAAGCGCAACAGCGCAACCTCAGATGCGGCCGCTAAAGCCTCTGCTGCCCACAGTATCTTCAAGATGAACACAGATATCGGTCAACACGTGCTGAAGAACCCCGGTATTGCCGAGCAGTGAGTTTGTCTTTGTATTGTGCATCACCTGGTTAGGTTAAGTCGAGACTAATCTCCAAATCTCCATCTCCAGAATTGTCCTCAAGGCCGATCTCAAACAAAGTGACGTGAGTATCTCTTTCTGCGGGGATCCGGATCCCCATAAACTCCGCTAGATGCTAACCATTGACCACAACAGATTGTCCTCGAAATCGGTCCCGGTACTGGTAACTTGACGGCCAAGATTCTGGATAAAGCGAAGAAGGTTATTGCGGTGGAACTGGATCCTCGTATGGCGGCTGAAGTCACCAAGCGTTTCCAAGGCACTCCGGCTCAGAAGCGTCTCGAGGTTATTCTTGGTGATGTGATGAAGACTGAGTTGCCATACTTTGATGTCTGCATTAGCAATACTCCTTACCAGGTATGCTTCCACGAAAACAAAAGAGGGAGACTACGTCTACGTCTACGTCTTGTTGGTCTGGATTGGAGTCTAATAACATCCCATCTAGATTTCTTCCCCTCTTACATTCAAACTGCTGGCGACTAACCCGGCACCCCGTTCTTGCATTCTCATGTAAGTTGCACATTGCGATACTAACTGCGTCCTTTCAACCCATTTATTCAACTCTATCAAGCTAACATATTTCCTTTCCATCCAGGTTCCAGCGCGAATTCGCCCTGCGCCTCTTCGCCAAACCCGGCGACAAACTTTTCAGTCGTCTCTCCGTGAACGCTCAAATGTGGGCTAAAATCGACCACATCATGAAAGTCGGCAAGAACAACTTCAAGCCACCGCCACTGGTTGAATCGAGTGTCATCCGGATGGTTCCCAAGGTACCCAGGCCACAGATTGACTATGATGAGTGGGACGGTCTGCTACGCATTGCCTTTGTGCGTAAGAACAAAACTCTACGATCCAGTTTCATCGGCACACCCACCATCATGGGAGTCCTTGAGTCAAACTACCGCACCTGGTGTGCGCAGAATGACATTCCTGTCGAAGATGGTCCGGCCGAAGACGCCGATGGAGATGTGATGGACATGGGCGATCAACAAGATGGCGATGGCGATAACGCTGAGGGTGATGAGGCGGATGAGGTCATGGAAATGGATGACGATGATGTTCCTGACTTCTTTAAAGAGGAGACTAATGCCCGCCTCGCGCAGGCGCTCAAGGGCCAGAACCCCCGGAAGAAGAAGGGCAAGGTTGCAGAGTTGGTGCGCGAAAAGGTGCGCTCTGTTCTGGAAGATGAAACTGGTCTTGGCGAGAAACGTGCGCGTATGTGCGACGAGAATGATTTCTTGAAGTTGCTTTGGGCCTTCAACCAGAAGGGAATCCATTTTAACTGATTGGGACTGGGATTTGGACTGGGACTTAAATCTTTTCAAGTCTTCTTGTTGGGGCGCCAGACTATTATAGAGTCCAGTGTGTAATTGATGAATTATGATTACTTTCAATAAAAGATACCATTTTCAGGAGGCACGTCGCCTTGCGGTCGAAGATGTGCACTCGAGTCCTGGAATAGACTCTGCCAGATAAATGCTTCGCTCAGTAGGAGTTCGATATCTTTCTCGGTCCAGTCCTTAGTAGGCAATGCTTGGAGGAACATCATAACCTCCTATGAAATTCGTTAGACATTAGACTTGTTCTGCAGCGGTACAGGCTGTGGGGGAAAAATACTTACCTGGAAATCCATCTTGACCAATTGATCCGTCCATTTGACCAAGAACGCAGCACAAACATAAAGATGAAATCGGGAGAAGCCCTGCTCCTCGGCCTAGAAACACCACGAGCATCAGTATCAATCTTCAACAAAGTATAATGGCAGGCGCGGGGGAGCATACCATGTAAGTATCCCACATGCGTATGGTATTCCTGATGCTCATTTCCCGCATGAGCAAACAATTCATCCACCGGAAACTAAACTGCATGAACTCCACGCCCTCTTGCTCCAGGTGCTTCGCAAGAGCCGAGTCGATTCGCCTTGTCAGATCACGCAGAGCCCTCACCTGTCGGTGAATCCCCGGCTGGGCATAGATATAATTATCTTGAATCCCATCGAGTAATTTGGTCAGACACCAAAAAGTATCGGCTTCGACCGCATCCAGAACACCTCGGGGTAGCTGACCAGGATCCATACCCTCTCCCACATTCAGATCCGTAATATACACACCTAGAAATACTTGCCAGAATGGCGTGACCAGATCATTGATGCCCTGCACATAACCACTGGCCGGGTGTCTGATGGCCCACACATACAAAATCCGTTCTAAAGATCGCTGTGTAGCTTCATAGCCGTAGAGTGGGATGTGAGGGCTTGTGCGGGGAACATCGATGCTGATCTGATGCCACACTGCCTCGTCCAATCCCCGGCCACGGCCTGTGCTGGTTGAAGGCGGGTTAGCAGCTGCCCCGCTGCCGCGCTCAAAGGCCTGTCGAACTCCGTCCAAGTACTCCTTGCGTTTCCGCTCTAGTGTCGAGATTCGCCTTTCGCTGTTTGTGGGCAGGTATCCAAGAAGCAACTGCCAGGTCATTGGACGAACTTCCTCTGGAACTCCAGACCACGCGAGATCCCGTAATTCGTTTAGCGAAACGGTGCTTGCCTGAAGGATGCGCTTGAACTTGTTGATCCTTGAAATGTGACTTGAATGTATCTCCCTGTCTTTGACAGAGGCATTCGTGGGGGGTGCAGAATGATTGATAAGATTCAAAGCATTTGCCGGATCTAGATCCTCACGTTAGCATTGCAATTTGATGCGACAACCTCGAGAAGTATTCTGTCTGACCTTGCAAGATATCCTTGTATTGAGGGCGGAGAATCTTCTCATCGCTCTTTCGTGAAGTGGGATACATGGGTGTACCGCGTTCCTCTGCAATGTCCGAGCTGTTTGCCCGCTGTCTGCTGCTTGATGCAAACCCGAATCCCAGCGAGGATGAATAGCCCCCTATGCCACCCCCGGGTTCAATATTCTTTGATTTCGAGAGAACGGGTTTCTTCTTTCTCATGCTAGCGAGACTTGGCAGTCCAAATTCGTCTTCGTCGTCATCATATACAATGTGGTCTTCTTCTTCATCGTCGTCGTCATCGTCTTCATCCTGGGTGGGATTCCCACTCCAGCCATCCATTCCTTCTTTCATGAGACCGGTGTAGCTTTTGTGGGATGGAGACGCGACGTTTCCCGTTCGGTGGCCTAGGTATGATGGCGGGGACGGCGCATTTGTAGACGAGGTTCGAGGTGGGGTTCGCGGGCGCGTATGGGTCGAGGTGCCTCTACCAACAAGGATGCTTGTCAGTACGATTTCCGAAAGAAGCAATTGGGTAAAATCGAGTATGAAAACAGGGAGGGACGAACTGTACTATATCCGCATGGGAATATGAAGCTCCGACGACTGTGTTCTGGCTATATGTCTTCGACTGTCCCTGGTTAAGGGACGCAGATCGGCCAGCCCAGAAAGGAGAATCAGCGCGTCTTTATAAGAATGGTTAGCGGTGAAGAGAGGTCAATGGTGTGTATCACATACTCGGAATTGTCTGCAACCCGATCAGCTTGGATTAGCTTGGTAAATCATGGGGAAGTCGCGAGGCGATATATTACGAACCAACCTGGACCATTTCCTGGGTCAATTGTCAGTTCGGTTCTTCCAGCATTTCTTGGAATCTAGGGGGCCAAGCTTACCTGCTGTCCTTTCTTATTAGCCATGGCTGTCAACTGTGATCTTGACGAGTTTCAAGTGCGGGGCGATTCAGTCCAGTAATCGGGGTATGCAGTGTAAGGTGCTGCGCCAATCGAGCCATATAGCAACAAAGAAAGAAGGATTCTAGAAATCCATTGCTAGGCCGAGTATTCGTGGGAGAGTACTTGAAAATGTTTGAAAGAAGAAAGGGTAAAGAGTAAAGGGTAAAGCAAAGGTGGTTGTTGACGTAGAAGAGCACCCGCCGTGCGTATGTAAGCCAAATCCTCCTCCGCTTTTCCTCAAGGGGGACCAGCCAGAGAGGAGATTACCACTTCATCTCTTTCCACCCGCGCCGGATTTCTAACTCTACATAATCCGTCGGTTTTAGCTTATCGGATCCTTGTCACTTCCTTCCGCATTGTCCCCTTACACTTTGCAGCCACCTTCTTCCAGCAATCATGGCTGAACCGGAGGATCTCGAGGAGGATCTCTTCGCGGATCTGTACGTTTCCCTTTTTTTTTCGCCTTTTGTTCCCCCTTCGCTCGACTTCATTTGTGCCACGAATTGCGTCTCTAATTGCTCTGCTCTCACTTAGTTATGATGCCGACGAATCAACCACCCGCACTACTTCCGCAGTAGAGACATCTAAGCCCGTCGAACCCGTCGCGGCCGCAGTTCCTCCTCCTGCCGAGGAACCTGCTGCTGCTACTTTTTCTGCTGTTCCGACTTACGAATCTTCAGCCCCCGATTCATATTCCGCATACCAGGCGCCCCAGCAAGATTACAATACAGGTTATCAGAATGGTTCCCAAGCCCCCGCTGCACCCGCGCAAGCTCCTCCCGCAGACCATGAACCTCATGGATCCGGTACAGGAATTAAGGAAGATGGGTAAGTCCACGTTTCCCCTCCCTTCCCTGCCGAAGCGCTCGCGCTCGCGCACGCGCTTGGTTTATTTTTGCTTTGTTTTGCTCTTGCTTTCGGCTTCGGTTTTCGAGATCTATCCTCGCTATCAACCGGGGTATCTGGGTGGTATCTATTGCTATTCACGGTATACACATATGGCTGGCTCTGCTCAAGGGATTGGAAATATGACTTCACTTCTGGGCCACGAGGAAAATCTCTGCAGAAGATTGAATGAGCTTTGTGGGGCATTACAATGATCATTTTATTCTCGACCGTGTGGAAATAAACGGCAGGTTTTGGACTGAATCCCATCCACTGTTCGTGCAATTCATGGGGCTGGTTTTTGGTGTGGAGGGGAGCTCCTTGTCGGTGGTTATCGGCAACTTGCAAAACGAGTTACACCGGATTTTCTCTACTCTCAAACTCACCCGGAAACACCGCTTTCAGTAGCTGGATGCCTGGAGACCGGAATGGAACTGCCCGAACAAAACCTTGGAAAGAATGACTTGTGAGGATCATATCATACATATCTCGATCAAGGCCAAGGACCGCGGAGTCCAAAATTTCAGCCACCTCGGACTCAAGTGTGAAACTGTGGAACAAAAGAAAAGATCGGTCTCTTCCGCGAACCTTTGTTGCGAGCGCCCTACATATAGTACAGCGGATACTATATAGCTTCTTGTCGATATACGTTGATAGAGCAGAGCAAGAAGTAGCAACGCTGTCTAATCGGAGTTGATCAAGCTAGTGTCTATCCGAGTCTAGCATGGGGCTTCTCTATTGGACAAGCAAAGGTTCTCTCTAGCTGGGGGGGAAAACAAGCAAGCACAGAAAGAGAGACAGTGACAATCCACTTATTCGCCCTCAAGAGTTCCTGTTCGCAGATCACTTCCTCTACTCTACATCGCCCGTCTCTTCTGGATGGCGTGGCAAGTTCTCAATCTCAAGAGGAGGATACGGCATGCAAGATTCCCCCCCACCCCCAGGCTCAGGTAAACCAAGTGGGCTTGGGGAAGGGAACCTTGGAATAATGCCGTGGAGTCGATACGTGATTCTACGTACTCTGCGCAATTAGCGTATATCCCATATATATGCAGCAAGCAAACACAGGGCACAGGGATGGAGGGCCTCCCCTCCCCTCCCCCCTCCAGGCAGTTTCAGTTCAGCATTAGCTGTATTCGTGAATAGCAGCTTAGCACCACCCAGCTCGATAGCACGAGCTTTCATTTACACTTTCTTCAACGATGTGATTGATTTGACTTGAGTCTTGCCGTTGCATTTGCGTTTTGCGTTTTGCGTTTCTCGGTGGCACTTGTATTCTGCTTTGATATCATTCTATATCCGTCGATGCTAATTACTTATTACTCTGGTTAGGAAAATGTTCATTGGAGGATTGAACTGGGAAACTACAGATCGTATGTATTTCACACACAGGACTCAGACGGGAAGGGCATCATGATAATTGATATCGGGATCTAATCTAACGGGTTTTGTGGCAGATACTCTTCGTGAATATTTCTCTCAATTCGGCGAGGTCCAAGAATGCACAGTTATGCGAGATAGCGCCACGCAGCGCTCGCGTGGCTTTGGATTCCTGACCTTCCGGGATCCTAAAACTGTTAACACGGTCATGGTTAAGGAACATTACTTGGACGGCAAAATTGTAAGAAATCTGACACCCAAGAATCTGTAGTGTTCCCCTCTACTCTAGACTGACACTTCAATTCAAAGATCGACCCCAAGCGTGCCATCCCCCGTGATGAACAAGAGAAGACTAGCAAGATTTTTGTCGGCGGCGTAAGCCAAGAAGCCACCGAGCAAGACTTCAAGCAATTCTTCATGCAATTCGGCCGAGTCGTCGACGCAACTCTCATGATCGATAAGGACACCGGCCGACCCCGCGGATTCGGCTTCGTGACCTTCGACAGCGAAGCCGCCGTCGAAAATGCCCTCTCCCGACCCCTAGAAATCCTAGGCAAGCCCATCGAAGTCAAGAAGGCCCAACCTCGCGGCAACCTGCGCGATGAGGACCGTGGTGGTCGTCGTGGCCGCGATGGCGGTTATCAGAACAACATGAACCAGGGCGGCGGAGACAGCGGCGCCCAGCAACAGAGTGGAGGACAGCAGGGTATGGCCAATGGTATGACCCCGCAAATGATGGCGCAGTACTGGCAACGCATGCAGCAATACTTCGCCATGATGCAGCAGCAGATGAACATGGGCGGCGGCGGCGGTGGTGGCGGCGGCATGCCCGGTGGAATGGGCGCGATGGGCGGAATGAACCCAGCCATGATGCAGCAGATGCAACAGATGCAACAGATGCAAAGGCAGCAAATGGGTGGTAATCCCCAACAGCAGCAGCAGCAACCGGGAAGTATGAGCCCTAACCCGCAAAGCCCCGGATCCCAGTCTCAGGCCTTGCCGAATATGATGAATCCCGCTATGATGCAGGGTGGCCAACAGGGTAATGGAGGAAACGACGGCGCTAGTCCAAACCCTTACAACAACCACGGCCAGCAACAGCAACAGCAACAGTCAGCGCAACAGCAGGCCGCCGCCGCCGCGGCTGGAGGACCTGGCTACAATGCGCATGAACAGATCGCCTTCGAACAGCAGAAGTATGAGCAGCAGCAAGCTCGCCGTGTCATGGACAACCGCTCTTTCTCGCCTTACCAGCAGGGCGGTGGGCCGACCTCTTGGGAGGGTATGTACGATGAAGTTCCTCAGCCCAACATCCCCACTGGGCCTCAGGGCATGGCCCGCGGCGGCAGTATGGGTCGTGGTATGTTGGATGGATACCATACCTACTCTGCTCTGTCTGCAGAGTTTGGGTCTTTGGAACAGACACAGATTTGCTAATTCGTCTTTCTTCTACGCAATTTTAGGCACACCACCCCAATCCCAGCAGAGTGCTGCTCCAGCAAATGCTCCCACCGGCCCCCGTAATGCCGGAAAGCCTGGTGCGAATTATCGTGGAGGTGGTCGAGGTGGTCACCGTGGTTTCCATCCTTATTCTCGGTAGGAAGGAAAGTGAGAGAGAGAAAAAAAGTTTTCTTCTTTCTTGTCTCTGTCTCGGTGGTCTGGTCTGGTCACTTTTCCCTTGGAGGATGGGCAATGAGTTGCGCCTCCATCTGTATCCTTTTTCTCTTTTTCTTCCTCTTTCTCTTTCTCCCTTTCCTGCCTTGTTTTTCTACAACTGAAGTGAAAATTCCTCCTCGTCAAAGTTCAAAGTCTATTCTCTGATTCGTCCACTTGCACTTGTCCTTGCACTTGCGGTTAAGGTTGTCTTATCTATCCATTTCATCCATTTCCGTTCCAATTAGCAAGTCTAGTCTGTTCGAGTCTGTCTTCTGTCTTGTCTAGTTCTTAAGTTTCTTTTTTCGAACGGCTGGGGATATTTCTTTTCTTTTCTTTTCTTTTTCAGTTTTCTGCCTTTTTTAATTTTTCTCAAAGGGAAATGATCGATAGTGTATGAGATGAGATCAGAAAGAGCTTACCCTAGCATGGTGTGGTTATCTCGATAAATATTCGCCCTCTAGCTTACCTCGCGCTCAAAACTTGAATTGAAACGGTCAATTTGGCTCTTCGCGTAGTGTATGTTAGGTTAAAGATCCTTGCCTGTTTTTCCCACGTACCGGTCCGGTCTGGTCCGGCTATCCCACTTCCAGTGTCTGGTGTTAGGTAGTGCCCTAGACAACTAGAATCATGTATACCTGCATATCACCATGTCCAGAAAGTCAATACGAGTACTAGTATACCCACCATCCAATATCTCACAGAGGTGGATAACGCCAAGAAACTATTCTTAGAGTTCCAGGGAAAATACCTCAGTCTATTAAAAGTAACCCCGTCATGCCATTGACTCCCACCAAGTCTTTGAAATTCTATGAATCACGTAGAGAAGAGAAAAATAAGTGTAAAAGGGTTGTACTAAATTGCTTTATGGTCAAATCTATAGCATGTACAAGAAAAATCGACAACGCATTTTTCACCAAAGCTGAACAGAAGACACGACAAATGCGCTGAAATGAGAGATAGTAGGTCGGAGTATGGAACAAAAAGAAAAACGAAGGTGGAGTATGTAGAGTGCGACACACGTATGCGTGCGAGAGAGAGAGAGAGAGAGAGAGGTGTAATTTTGGCACAAAAAGATCCAAATGAGAAAGAATGAAGGAGACCGTCCACGCTAAACAATAACACAGAAGACAAGGCGTCCAAATGGAGCCAGCCCCTCTCTCCTTTCTAAAAAAAAAGAAAAGAAGATAAGAGAGTGGGGGGTATAAGAAGGAAGTTAAATGAAAGAAACGCAACGGCAGCATCGTGAGATCAATATCAGTACGCCATGCCGTAACCGGGTTTGGTCGGATGGCGGCCCTCAAGTGATGGGCTTCTTCGACCGTCGTGAGACTGCTGGCTGTAACTGCGGTCATGAGTATGAGCGACGCCATAGTCAGCATAGACGAGATTATCGTGGCTGCCGGCGGAGTCGTGGCGGCGTGATGGCTGATCCCTGTATGGCTCGTAGGGACTTGCGAAGTTGAACTTGCTCACTTCGTTGTAATCTCTCTTCGGGGGATGATCGATCAGCAGGGAATCGCGCGCATCCAAGGGAGTGAGGTCGTCGAGGTCACGGTTGGCCATTTCGGCTTCCTTTCTCCTCTTGGCGTGGGGGTTCTCGCGGATGCACATGATGATAGCGTTGACTGCGATGAGGATCGCGAGGACACCGGTGAGAGTGGACTGGACGACAATGAGGACAATACCGGTGACTGTCTTGGTGGTCTGGGAAAGACCCAGTTCTTCGACGAAAACCAGCACACAGGCAACGGACAGAACACGGACGATTTGGATGGTCATGTTGATTCCCATCGAGGACTTGGTGGCGTAAGGGCGGTTCCACAACAGCAGAATCAAGAGCAGAGCCTCGACAACCAGCTGGCCGGCACTCTGGGCCATTCCGTGGCCCTGGGCTCCGGCAATGATACATCCCTTGGCCAACGAGTAGACGATGATTGGGATGAACAACCACCAGAAGTCCTTCTTGTAGTTATCATAGAAGAGACTGTACTTGCGCCAGGTGTCCTTGTTATCATATAAGGAAGCCGCATCGCCTTCAGCCTTTTTGTACTTGCGAGCCATGTAGATGATACGCCAGGCAAAAAAGACCAAAACGGCAGTGAAGAGAGCCAGAGTGATCGCAGCCAAAAGTTTAGCGGCCCACGAGTCACCATTCTTCAGTTGATAGACGCAGTAGAGCACCCAGATGCTGTAAAGAACAAGGATCATATTGGTGATGGTACGTGCCATCAGACCCCAGTAGTCTTTGCGGAAGGTCGCCAGCTTCTTGGGGAAGTTACCCCAGAGGGCCCAGGCTTCCAGGATCACCTTCACCAACAGGATACCAACGATAACAACGGCGATCACAATGGCGAAGATCAAGAGAACAGTCATGAAAATATTGGCGGAAGGCACCATGAGGTCCTCGCCAAGTTTCTTGAGACCGGCTTCGGAGGTCAAATCAAAGTCCGAGAGGCTGTCGCTGCTGCTTGTGCTGTTGGTCGAGTCGGACGAAGAGGCTTCCACGGAACGGGCCATCATCTCACCACCAAGACGGAGCACCATGTCTAGGCCACGTTTAGTTGTTGTCGACGAATTCGTTTTGGAGGAGCTGGAAGACAGGTCGTAGAGGTAGCTGTAGTTGTTGTCGGTCAAATTTCCACCGGTAGATGCACGGAAACTATCGATCGAATGCTGCATGCTGTCCCATGAGATGAGGCCAGTACTCCAAGCAAAGTTCTTGGAGAAGCTTGAATAGACTTTAGGATAGCTAACGCTCAACATGCCATTGGTGGCCATGGAGTGGAACCAACCCATCACGTCGCCGAAACCTGGGCTCGAGGAGGGAGCTCCCGGGTGACCTGCGGCACCGAGGGCAGACAATCCACTGAGAGCCAGGGCACCAGCGGCAATACCAGCGGAAGCCCAAGCAACACCCTTCACATCAGTCGACTTTCCATTGGACAATTCGGATTGAACACAGGCGACATTATCACCATCGGCACTCTTCAGGATCAGCTTTGCCTGGCCATCCAGGTCGGGTATGTTGAAGGCGATCGCGGGGATTTGACTAGCGTAATTGTCGGGGATGCTATAGCTTCCCTTGGCGGAGAAGGCGCCAGAGGGGACTATTCACGAACATCTAGTCAGTATTCACTGTTCAAGAGACCACAATTGCCATTGGAAGGGGGATGGCACTCACCAGGACACAAACGGTCGACGTGGATTTCCGATCCACATGGATCGAACTCCTTCGAGTAAAGTTCGTTGCCGTAGGCAGTCACGGTCAGGGTCGCAGTGACGTTTTGTTTCTTCGAGTTGGTACCAGCCACATCGAAGACAACCTCGTTAGTAGAGCGAGTGTAAGTGACATCAAGATTTTGGACTTTGATATCCGAGTCCGTCATGCATAGGTTGAAACCACTGGTGCTCAGGGTATCAGCGGCCAAAGCAGGCACAACACCCAGGCCCAACAGAGCCCAGACGAGGGACCGCATGTCGAATTTGGTCTGGTGTTGGGGGTACCAGATAGGAGATTTATTTGATCACCAGTATCGGGAAATCGCAATTGGGCAAATATTCGTCAAGGAAAGGACAAAGGCGAGAAGATTACAAGCACATAGGCAAGTGGGCGAAATGATCGTCGCGTAGAAGGCGGCAGGATCAACCTGCGAGCTGAAGAAGGGAATAGGAGGTGATGATGAGGAACGAGGGACGAAAAGTCGAGTAGTCGAGTAGTAGTCGAGTAGCGAGGGGTTCGCTAGGTCAGATGAAAAACGAAAGTGTGTTGAGGAAGAGATAGAGAAAGAGAGTAAGAGAGAGGAAGGGAGGGAGAAGATCGAAAGGAAAGTCTCGACCGGAGGTGGTGGTGGTGGTGGTAGTGTGAGTAGTGATTGCCCCTGAAGGGGAAGGCTGATTGGTTCTGCCGCGTTTCAGAAGTCTAGACTTTCCTTCTTTTCCCTCCCTCTCCTCCATTTTTATCTTCGTCCCACTGCGTCACAGGCCTAGGTCTACGCAATTTTATTTTTATTTTCATTCTTATCTTTATTCTAAATATCCTACCGTGGATTCTCGTGAATGCAGTCAGATTCATCCCCCCCCCCCCATGTTGACAGTGGAGCTCAGCTCCCAGCGGGCCGTCCAGCGCCCATGGTACTAGAGACTAGAGTACCCCCAACTCTGAATGGCGCTACGAAGGATTTCCCACTTCCCAAAACCAAGACGTGACTAGTCCTGACTAGTCTTGAAGGAGCCCAAATCCAACGCCACGCTCAAGCCACAACCAATACGGAGTACCCGTGATGACCTGAGGGAGACCTTCTCCGTGTCTCGTACCAGAATAGTTATGGTTTATGTCCCCTGCCATAAATGCAAGGTACACTCTTCAGCACTCTGAAACCTGGACAACCGCGGATGTCACTGCGGGTCTTTACGCAACATTCCTAACACTTTTAACGGTAGAAGCCAGGGTTCGCCACACCGGACGCAGAGACGCGTCGATCGCTGGACCTATCTGTTCTAGACGCTCTGGTGGATCTCTCTGTCCAGTAGATCTCGATTCGAATCCAGACTCTTGGCCCTGGCGAGAACATTCGCTCGTCCACTACGGAGTTGTACACCTCATGAAATTAAACTCTGCTTCCCACTTCCCACCACGACAGTGATCGTGACCGTGACCACTGGAGGAAGTGGTCGTGTGTGCGGTCCTGCCCTACCCTGATCGAGGTTGTGACAGCAATCCACCCTCGGCTGCTTATGAGTGGTCCTAGCATCATCAACCTGAGACACGGCCAAGCGCCAACACCGAGTCAAATGCCCCCCCCGCTGCGGCTGGTCTATAATTACCCTGTCTCACAGAGCCTGCGCTCCGGGTTTCCCGCAAGGCTGAGCCATGACCCATGGCCCTGTAAACAGTTCTCCGTAGTGCCACTGCCCCTGCCATAGTGCCTGTGTAGACCCTTCATGCGCTTGTCAGAAACCACCCCAGCCCCAGTCACTTGGTCTTGGTATGTGGCGTTGACCTGCCATGTGAGATCACACAATGAACTGCAGATCGGCATCCCACCATTCTCTTACTGTACTTCGTACATTCTTTTTTTGTATCTCAGCAACCAAACCGCAGTGGGCCTCGAGTTGAGGGCCAATCTCCCGAATTAGTATAGTGACTATGGAGTAGCAATCTGTCATGTTATTGTTCCTGGATCCTACCGCCGATATTAAAGTTGACCCTTCTAATTTCACCACACGGGTGACTGGCAGGATATCGGTTACCAGGTCTCCGACCATAAAGCTTACTGTCACAAATGACGTGCTGACGATTTGACTATAATTTCTGATATTCGGTAGCACTCTATGGAATACCCTACTGACACTTATGTATGGATGGATGCGAATATAAACTGACTGGGGCAGCAAATCCCCCATTTCCTAGTTCAGATGTGGTGGCAGTAGTAGTGGCACGCACCTATAATATTCTCACAAATAGCTTCTCAGCAGTTCATGCAGTCTCACTCAGGTTGTTGTCCATTGGCAGGATCTGTGATGAAATTTACATATGACCTGTTTAATCACTTCAACATCACACCGCAAACCGGCATGTCTGATATGATGAGTCTCACTCGCGGTATCATCCCCGCGACAATTTGGCTGCATGAATGTAACTCTGAATTATATGTTGCGTTACTCTGTCCAAACCCCCCCACTAAAGAGAAGCTATACCCACAGATACTAGTATTCTCTTCACTTTTTACTCTGCATTTCACGCATCGCAGCTCTCGCACTCCGACTACCCCCAAGCTTCGGTCCCTTAGGCGGTTCCACCTTACTACCACTACCGCCGCTGGTAGTCGCCGGCTTTGTATTCGTACGAGCCCGACGTCTCGACTGAATCGCATCCATAAAGTCGCGCCGGAATTGCTCTGCGATCCGGTCGTCGGCTGCTTGGTCGTCGAGATTCGGTTCGTCTTCGGGTTCGTCGTAGACGTCCACTGTGAAGGAGACCATGGTTAGAATAGATTCTAGAATCAAATACTAGTATATCTACAGGTCAAGTCAAGCGACCCGTAGGAATGATTTCACTTACGCTTGCTCTCACGTAGCACTTCCTCCACAAGTCGGTCTCGTTCGATATCGGCGCTGGTACGTCTGCGATTTCGCCTGGACTTGCCAGAGTCTTCTGCTGGACCGGGCCGATCGCGATCTGTTTGTGATTCTCCAAAGCCGAAACCTCGTGTTGCTACTTCAGTGCGCTCAATGTTACGCAGTTTGGGCTCTTGGCCAAGGTCGATTTCATGTAATCTGCCCAGTGAAGCGGGCTCGCGCTCTGGTTGTGCTTGTCCTGGTGCTGTTGGTTTTTCGGAGAGTTGCTGCGAGATTGGTTGTTTTTCTTCGTCCTCTGGTAACGGGCTGTGTCGGTATCGTTTAGCCATTTCGGAATCTATATAGGCCATCCTTATCTTGTTAGTTTACTAGCTTCGTGGCAGTGTTCTTGCAAGCTTCTTGCAAGGTAGAGGGAGTCGCGTACATGTGCTTATCTACATCCACTGTCGGACCAGCATTCCCAGTGAATCTGTCGGTCATATCGCGTATGCTCTCTTTCTCGGATTCCCTCGATGGCACCAGGGCAGATTGTCGGTTTGAATTTTGACCGGGTCGCGATGTGGCAGAGAATCCAATTCCTCCTTTTCGAGCAGGATTGGGGCGTCGCAAACGGACAACACCAGTGGATTGTGTAGATTCGTCGTCGTCTTCGTTCAGCTTGGACTGGCCATCTGATACGTGTTTCTGGTCCGTTGTACTAGTTGTGGTCGTTATGTCGCGACTGGTCTCTGTCTCTTCGGCGTCTTCATCTGGTCGTCGTCGAATGAACTTGCGTCGCTTCGCAGGGCGAAAGAGAGATTCTGGGGCAATATCGACGTCCTCCATTATTTTCTCAGTATGTATTGATATGGTGAGAGGATTGAGGCGGGGAGCAAAAGGTAGAAAGAAAAGAAAAGAAGTGAAGTGGCATATGGGAAGGTGAGGTCATCTGCCAAGCGGAACTTCTTTCTCTCCGCCAACCGCAAACCGCCCAAAGCTCCTCCCGCACCGAAAAGAACCGCTCTTCTCCCTTGAACCACTCCCTTGTCCCCCGCGCAAGGTTTCCGCTTGTTCTGTTGACGTACCCGATTGACTTTTCGATTAATTACTGCGGTCTCCTTTCAATTGCATATACATACTCGCGCCTTCACCATGAATCCTTCCAATCCGCCCCAAGCTGCTGAATACGGCGGAGGTACGTTGTTTTGCGCGATGCGACAAACCCCCCTCGAGAAAGCGTTCATTGTTACCTTACCTTTAGCAAAAAGGAAAACGCAAATTGAATACCATGAGCTCAAGCTAACATGTCCCCGGACGCGTTATAGACGAAGTCTCCGCCATCGTTCTCGACCCAGGCTATTCAACCACTCGCGCTGGCTTCGCCGGTGAAGACGCCCCCAAGTCCGTCATCCCAACATACTACGGCAAGTACAACTATGAGGGACAAGAGAGGCTAGTCTTCGGCGACAACATGTTTGTCCAGCCGCGCGCGGGAATTTCCGTGCACAATCCGATCGGCAAGGACGGTATTGTCGAGGATTGGGATATGGCAGAGAAAGTCTGGGAGTACTCCTTCGCCTCGCGACTCACTGCCACGAAGCCGGAAAACCCCTTTCACAATGGATTAAACGATATCTCTAGTGAAGATCTGCCCGCCGAGATGGAGATTGAGACGGATGAGAAGCCTCTTGCTGATACTCCGCTGTTGATGAGTGAGCCTGGTTGGAACCCTGCCAAGGCGCGCGAGAAGACTATTGAGATCGCTATGGAGAAATGGGGGACTCCTGCTTTTTACCTTGCGCGGAATGGAGTTCTTGCTGCGTATGTTTCCCCCCTCCCACTTTGACATTGGCAAGCATTAAAGGCATCCTGATTGTCTGAGCTTGTCTGAAAGCCCCCACCCATCCAGTCTGCTAACCCGACAACAGGTTCGCTTCCGGCAAAGCCTCGGCACTGGTCATTGATATCGGCGCCTCCAACATCTCCGTCACCCCAGTGCACGATGGCATGATCCTAAAGAGAGGCGTGCAGCACTCCCCACTGGGCGGCGACTACATCTCATCGCAAATCCGCGCCCTGTTCAAAAAGAACTCGCCCCAACCCATCACCATCACCCCCCCACTACCTGATCAGTTCCAAGACCGCCGTCGAAGCAGGCCAGCCACCCCAAGCAAACTACCGAACTTTCCCCGCAGACCGCGCCCCCGACGCCTCCTACCGTGCATTGCAAGAAGAGCGCATATTGTCAGAATTCAAAGAATGCGTCGTGCAAGCCTGGCCGGGACCCAACAAACTCTCCGGACCCGGACCAACGGGGATCTCGAACGAAGAGCTCGCGCGCAGCTCGCCGGGCCGTCCATTCGAATTCCCAGACGGATATAACCAGGTCTTTGGCGTGGACCGATTCCGCGTCGTCGAATCGCTGTTCGATGTCAAGGCTGCTATCCCGGATCCCGATTCGCCTGTACCCGCGCCTACGCAGGCCCAGACTTTGCCGGAGGTTATTAAGGCTTCGTTGGCTGGTGTTGATGTAGACATTCGTCCTCATTTGTTGTCTAATGTTGTTGTTACTGGCGCTTCGAGTTTGGTGTATGGATTCACTGAGCGGTTGAACCAGGAACTCATGTCGTTATTCCCGGGTCCTCGTGTTCGTGTCTCTGCTCCCGGTAATTCCTCTGAGCGTCGCTTTGGGTCGTGGATTGGTGGTAGTATCCTCGCTAGTCTGGGTACTTTCCACCAGATGTGGATTTCTAAGAAGGAGTATGAGGAACATGGTGCGAATATTGTGGAGAAACGGTGCAAATAATTGATCTCTCTGGTCTATGTTCCATTTTGTTGTTGTTTTTGTTCTTGGATTTCTTTTCTTTTTTGCCTTCTCCCAAGCTTCGTGTTCTTCGGGCTCATGTGTTATGAAGTGTAGGGGTGCCGGTCCATGTTGTTTTGGCTTCCATGTTGGGCGTTTAAATGCTTAGGCGCTTTGCCGGGGCTTGAGCTCGAGCTTGAGTATGCGGATTCAGTTCGATTCGATTCGGCTCGGCCACAAGGGTCTGAAAAATGAATGCTAGAATTTTTCTTTTTTTTCGCCTCTATACTATCCTATCCTCTCTGTTTCTGTACGTGTACGTGTACGAATAAAGCCATGGTTACTTGAGGCTTTTTTCTTCTCGGGCTCTCTTTCAAGTTCTCTATAAGGGGGGAAAGAATAGGTCACTGTTTCAAATATAGTCTGTAATCTGTAGTCTGTAGTCTATATGTCTGTCTATTGTAAGAAAAGTAAAAGACCGGTTTGTACACTCAGCAAGAGTGATTGGGTATCTTTGAACGGGAACCGGTGAAGCGAAAGGGTAAAAAGAAAAAGAAGTCGCTCTGGATGCAATGTGATGTGATGTGATGTTTGTTGTTTCTGGAACTAATCCAGGGCGTAGAGAATGTGTTTCTGTTCGGACCAGGCAGGTCAGGTATCGAGAGGTTTGTGCAGGTTTGTATGAGCTGGAGTAAAGGAGGGCTCTCTTGAAATCCTCAATGAGCACATTCAACCGTCCGAGGTTGATACTCTGCCGCAAGAGAAGGAATAGACGCCGGCGTTGGTGGCGGCACAGCCGGCAAAGCAGTAATAATAGAACCAGAATCCCCTGCTAAATCACGAATCTCTTCTTCTGCGCCAGTTCCGCCAGTTGATCTTTGGCCATCATTTTGAATACCAAGACCATTGATATTATCAATCTCCTCATCCAGAGCCATTTGAACAGACAAAACGTGAATCCGAGGAGACACATCCGGCCGTCTCTTGAAAGAGTACGTATTCAGGAATTCCGGCTCCTGAACCCAGGACATTTGTCTTTCCAGATCTTCGGATGATAGATGCGCATCACCACCCTTGTTCTCAGCTTGTAGGTTTTCAGAAGACTTAGCGCGGAAAATGGAACTGGGCCATTCTCTCGTTCTGGAGAGTGAATTGCCGCAGCAATTTGCTTTATGCGTGATATTGTCCCAGGCTTCGACTACACGGTCTGTCTTGAGGAATTGGGATATTTGATCTTTCATTGTTTCGGCTCCGGTTCCATCGGCGGGTGGACGTTGTGAGGAAGTCTGTGGTCGGGATCGGGTGGGTGATTTGTTGTTATTGGTATTGGTCATGGCCATTCCTTGCTGTGTTCGTGGGCGTCCATTGGCCCAGAGAGTTTTCAATTGTTCGATTGATGCGCTGCGGGATTTGAGAGTGCGGGCTGGGGCTGTAGATGGTCTTTGTGGTGGTGTTTGAGTTCCCGCGACCTTTTCACTGGCGGAGCGTTTGGGTAGGAATGGTTTCGATAGCTTTCTGCTTAGTCTGCCAGGTATGGGCATGGGAGGCGGTGGTGGTGGGGTGTCGTCTGTTTTGATATCAGCGTTGGCGGCTGCGACTAATGCACTGCATGATCTGGCTCGGCTGAGAGATTTCGGTAGAATTGAAGTTCTCTTCGGGATTCTTTGTTCGGCGTTATCGTCGGCTTTTTCTGCAGGAGTTGCAGGCGTCGCGACTCGTTGAGATGCTGATGTTGACTTTGGCTTCTGGAGAGGATCGCGTGGTAGTGGTTTGTTTGATGCGATGCCTGGAGTTGTCGGGCCCTTTGCAAAGAGCATTTGTCTGACCGACTTATTTCGGCTCAGGCCGCCGTGGGTCGATTTTATGAATGATCGCTGCTTCGGTTAGAATATAATTATCATGATGGAGATCTGATCTGAACAAGACAAGACTTACCAGGTCTTTTCGGCTTGCTACGCCCACTCGTCGTTGCATCTCAGTAACAGCAAAAGCAAGTTGACTGAGTCCCTTCTGAAGAGCTGCACCACGTCGGCGTAATTTAGACATAGCAATAATCCACCCCTCCATATTTTCCATCATAGCCTTATAAAAAGCCTTAAGACTCTCCGACTGAAAAGAGCCCTCGTCCGAAAGTTGAAGAAGATAATGCCAAAGCGCGCCCATCGCCTCTTTCCCCTTTAGAAGGTCCTTAATGGCGTCGGAGATAGCAAGCATAAATCGATCAATGGAGTGCTCGATCTGATCATTGTAGGCCACCAGGGCCAATCTAAAATTCCGATCGGATAACATCTCATCAAACATCTCCAGATTGCCAAGGGGCAGGCTGAGATACTGGATTCTAGTACGAACGTCCAGGTGGATAATCAGGAAATCTTCTGTACTTCGTTGCAAGAAGCCGTCTAGTTCGTCGACGTGGGTTTGAAGGATTTTCATCACTTCTTGATCTGATTTGGCCATTCCTTTCGCTAGCAGATGAACGCCGAATACCATTTGGGAGACCAGCTTCCAGAATGGATGATATCTGTGTACAGGCCAGGGTCAATTTCAATCTCGCCGAAGTGTAGGTAGGGTCAGTACGAGAGAAGTAAAGAACTTAATACTTACTTCTCGGATTCCCTTTGGCGCCATTTTCGTCCGCAGAGTCTTTCGTATTCATCATTTTCTAATAAATCCCGACGTCGTGTCTGCGCGTCGATCTCCACTACCCACTCATTCGCTGATTTGTGGGTTGCTTCGAGAATTGATTCTTGAAAGGGTCCTTGGAGTTGAGTGATCGGATGACTTGGATATGGACTGGATTCCAGCTCCATGTTGGTTGGATAATCTGGCTGCGGCTGTTCTGTGTCGGTGAGAATGATAGCAGGTAGCGCCACCTTCTCCATGACTTGGGTTTGGGTCGCCATTATACCGGTGTCTTCAAGTTGTGGGTTGCCAACCGCTCAATTTCTGTATGGGTTTATTGTATTCAGGTGCTATAAATCGGGTATGGCTTTGTCGAATTTCGCGACGATGTATATAATCACACTGGCAGTTGGGGTTAGGATCCACTTCTGTCGGTAAACGTTCAAGGCCGAATTGAGATTGAAATTGGATCACTGTTGGCGTAGGACATTCCAATTAAAGTTGATGCCAGCATCCATCGGGGGTGGTCGGGTATAAATTAAGATCACGATCGGGACCAGGAGCAGGAGTACTCGGTACGCAAACTGTGGGTCATCGAAGGTGGTTTATGTACTGGTTACTGCCCAAGTGAGACTGAAATGGCTGGAGTATGAATCAACATGCAAGGCCGCCTCAACAACCACAATTCAGGCGGAGGCGGGCTATTTCACTGGGAAAGTGAGGGCGATGGAGATAAGAGACATCCAGCAAAGAGGGAGAGGGGAAAAGAAGCCCTCGAGGGGATCAAAGAGAATGAAATTGAAGGAAAATGATGTGGTGGCGGGGGGGGAGGAGGTTGAGGCGCGTCGTGTTTCAAAGGAGACGAAACCACCAGATGAGAAATGGGGAAATTAGCGGAACCGTGGGTATTTGCGTGTCAAAGGGAAATTGTTGTTAAAGGATTAAAGAGATCTGGGCGGAGCAAAATAATTCGCTTTCACTACGGAGTAAAATGACCTGAATATTCTTATTTCCCTGTCTTAATTTTATTTTTTCGTTCAAGGTGCCCCCCCTCGGCTCCACCAAAGGGGAACTTGACACCATTCGTTCCGTGGCCCACGACTCTTTTGACAAATGACAGATGGCTCTAACTAGCAAGGATGGGAAACAGGAACTGACGATCCGGGCTCGATTGTGCTGACAATAGAACAAGTGGGAACCACCCACGAGTCCGAGGCTGAACGACCCGCCTCTTTCGGCTTATTGGCGGCCGATCGCCATTTGGATTCTCCACCCACCAACAGGGCGTGAGTTGTCCTGTGTGGTGCGAAACGAAAATATGAGAAAGAGACCAGGTTCTAGCCGCTCGAGATTCAATGACGATCGGCGCTTTACCGAACCAGAACCACTCTGGAAGCTTACCCCAATTGTCCTGTCGCCCCGGCGCTAGCCTCCCCCCCCCCCCTACACCCCGGCTATGGCTATGGCTATGGCTAGTCTAGGTACCGTGCTGCTGGTCCTGGCCCTGGCCCTGGCCCTCCTCCGCGAAAACGGGGTCCCAGAAGTTCGTCGGGAGCGAGAGATCCAAGAACTCACCAAAGAGCATGTCGATGTCCGCAAACCCATGCGTCGGGGCTTCAGCGTCAAAGTCTTGCACCAATGGGAGCGCACTCGCACTCGCACTCACATTCTCTAACGGTGTTTTCAGTGCGCCTGGGCCTTCGCACTCAGGGGCCGTAGATGGCATTCCCGATACCATATCGATCGTCCCTGGGGCCAAGGCCAATGCAGCTGAATTCGTGTTTGTGGGTAGTCCGAGCCCGGGCGGCTCTGACTCTAGCTCTAGCTCCTGCTCCTGCTCCTGCGCGGGGGCGGCACGGACTGTAGACAGGCGCGGCAACGGTGCTTCTGCAGCTTGGGGCTGGGGTTGGGGTTGGGGCTGGGGCTGTCGACGGTGCTCAGGGTTCAAGTCCATTTGGTGCAAGGCTTTTCGCCCCAATCGCGCCATGGCCTCTGCAGAATACCATTGAGGGCTAATCTTTTCCAATAGAGAGCAACATGCCTCGAGACTAGCCTTGGCTCGATTGAAGTGGGTAATCAATTTGCTTGAGCGAAGCTGTCGATATGAAACACCCATAGAGAGGGAAATGGCGTATGGCACGATCGGATGAGGTGGGAGTTGATTGTCGCATTCGACTGCGACTATGGAGTAGATTCGGACGGCTGCTAGTCCTTGTCGAATTGATGATATTCGTGTTCCATCAAGGCTTTCGGTTAATTTGTAGCGACAGGATAGAATGGCGACGCAGTGGTAATATAGTTCTAGTAAGCCTATTTTTTAAAATAAAAAATAAAAAATTAGTTGTATATTCTCAAAAAGAAAAAGGTAAACGCGTGACAACTTACCAAGAGTAGCAAAGTCCACATCTCCATTCGTATGCTCCTCCACAATATCTTCAAAGGCAGGAAATCCTTCCTCCCACCCACTCGTGACACCCGCGGAGGGTCGGTAGAATGATATAACGGTCGCGAGTAACTCCGAAACAGCCAGCCAGACCGCAAATGCGCCCCTCGTCTCTGCGATCCGTGAATCCGGTTTGGCGACCCCGATATCGCGGTCAGCTAATAGAACTGGACGACCCCCAATACTCGCATGCATCTTATCCAACGTCCACAGACACCAAAATAGTCTCGGGAGGGGGTCTGCAGGTGTTCGGCCCGGCCGGTCAAGATGTAAACCTACCGTTTGGGCCTGGTGGATTGCCTGGCACAGGTGCAGAGATGCGGCCTCGGCTCCTTCGTGTCCTTCGCAGTGTAAAGACATCAAGGCCCATATGCGGATCCGTGTCAATCGATCTGGTTCCAGTGCTGCCTCCATCGCTGTGACGAGGCCCTTGTAGACCTCTGAGCAGAATTGACGGGAGGATAAATTTGGGCCGTCTTCCACTAGACGGAGATCGGGGCTGGCGGCGGGGGATTTGGCTGCGACGAGACAAATGGCTCGATCTAGGAATGTAGATGCGGATGCATTTGTCTGAGCTTCCTTTAACTCTTCGATGTCTAGCACGGGAACGAGAGGGTGGATTTTCTCGATGAATATTGTGGTGAGTTTCCTTCGGGTCGATTTGGGCAGCGCGTGGCAAGCTTGCATTGCAGATACATATCTTTGGTGCAGGATCGAGCTAATCGTTTGACTCTCAAGGGCCCCTGTTGGTGGTTGAGGCAAAGCCGAGAGAGAAATCGCGTCTGCACCAGTGGGTTGACTTCTGTCGGGCTCGACATTGTCATTTTGCGTCACGGCGGTGGAAGAATTGATCCATAAACCAATCCGATCCCGAAGGGGACTGTCAGTGGGCGCGTCGAGTCTTTCTCGAATAACAGCCTCTGGGTTTAAGTCACCCACAAACCGTTCTGTACTGTGGAAGGAGTGGGACGGTAGCACTGGATCTGCAGAAGCGGTCCTCCTTCGAGGACGTCGCTCGAAATCGTCACCAGCGGCGTTCGATGCCTGCGCTCTGATTTTGCGCGGCGGTTCAGCTGCTTCTTCCTCTGTGGGTTCTATGCCGAGAGTAAGATGTCGACACCGTTTCTAGGGAGGATGTCAGTATTACATTGCCCATATCTAGGGTCTGCTTGCGCGCACCTTTCGCCGCTGGCATGCGGGACAGGCTCGCGGAGCGCGTGTCCTACTCCGCGACTGGGGAGTATTAGCCAGCCAGGTGAGCTCCATTGATCTCACATCGCACTGTGGATTTAGATGAGGGTGGAGAAATGGACGGGAACAATTGATTTATCGCAAAAAGAGGTCGGGTTTGATCTGCGACGCTACTCTGCCGCAGGAGCTCCCAAGCTTGAGGTTTATCGATAAGTCTGCGCGTGGGGCCAACCAGAAGAAACTAAATTCTAATGGTTCCCCTTGCGACTGTGGAGCTCCCATTTAGTTACTACGAGGCTTTATTTTTAAGTGACCACCTTTGAGCAATCGGGATTCTGGAAATAGATCCGGAGCGAATCTGATCTATATTGACTTTTATTGATTTTGTGTAGGTAATAGTCAGCCGCCTACAGAGAGCCATCTGGGGCGGGAGATATATATAATGTTCTACTACTAGGTTAGCACCCCAAGGGTGTCCTTGCCGAGAACTTACGTAGGATGGCAAATTATCAATCTCAAAATTGATGAAGCCAAAGATATGTTCCGCTGAAGGGATCTGACTTACTCGGCATCGCAAAGTATCCCCAGTCCCGCTTTCGAAATTCGATATCAATTTTCAACCATTCGCTCAAGATTCGTAAGGAAATCTTTGTCAACCTTGTGTGTGATAACCCTCACGTTTTGGCAGTGAGTAATTCGGGCGCCATTCGTGAATTTTGATCCGAATTGAGTTGGCTGCGAAATTACGTCTACACCTGGAGCATAGTGAGCGTATGTGCGGATGTCGGCAGGTAAATCCGCCGCATTGCCATAAGCCCCAATCTTGGAGGGCAGCCGAAAGATAAGTGAGTTCTTCAGCATTCAGAGATCCTGACGAGACCAGTAGATAACGCGTGCTACCTGTATCAGCTACTTACTTCTCTGACTTGATCCATGAAATAAGCTTCTTTCACATATCACCGTAATTGATCTCCCATCCATCAAGCCTCTACCTCGTACTCTTCACGAGGGATGCGGGTCAATCATCAAAGCTCTCTGGTTTTAAGCTCTCCGTAGGCCACTTACCTCCTTAATATATATACCACTGGCTGAGAACGAGAGAGACAGTTATGACGATGATATGTGTAGGTTGGGAGAATAGCTGAGGCTATCAAAGAACTAGATAGTTATAGTTAGCAGTGTGAGCTGACTAAGCCTGTACGACTTGAGTCAAGACACAAAACCAGCACGATCTAAGAAGAGAATTCCTTCAGGATGATCTCGCTCACGGAGAAATAGGAATGGGGAATGCGGGACATGGTCATTGCGTTCTGTCTCGGGATAATGCGCTGGTCCCCAGTGCCCGAATCAGCGAGGGGACCCGAATCAGTGGCAGGACTTGAATCACTGATAAGACCTGAATCAACAAGAGGACCCGAATCGGTGACAGGACCCGAATTCATGATGGGCAGTTTCTTTGGTATGTGGATGGGGAGCGAGATGGGATGAATTGGAGAGTGGGATGGGAAAGGATGGTACGAAGAGAGAGATCAGTGAAGAAGGGAATGGGCAGAGGAATGAGAGGGTAGTAAATAGTAGTGAACTTGAAAAGGCAAGGTGGTCAAAGAGCAGTGAATCCGACCGCTCATTCCTAAGTGGGATAGGACACTAAGGTTACCGCTACTCCTTTGTATATCCTTTTCTAGGGTATTTAGGAATCACAATACATTGGACCTTTCATATTATGATAACATATGCTTATACTAGATAGAGGTTAATGCTAGCTATATACATATGGTCCTAGACATAATTAGGGGCACACACAAGATTAATGTCTATCACTTGAAGTATCCAGTAGGCCTCTCCTGGAGTATTTGAGGAAAGGAATGCTATTTAGCCATCTGTAAAACCAGAGAAAATGGGAGTTATTTGCCATGTAGGAAAAATGCCCAGGCATTCCATTCATGGCACAAAACCCTAACAGGAAAAGAATGACCATAAAACCCTATCTAGCCCCTTTTAATAGATAGATAGGATAAATTATTATTCTTACTACAAGCAGCAGTACAGCAGATTCAAACTCATATTCTTTCCGAACTGAATTTGCAAACGCCTTCGCAAAAATGCATGTTGCTCTTCTTACCCTTTTATACAGTGCTATAGTCACTGCGCTCTCTGGAGACGAGGCTCTAAAAAATTGGGGTGGGCCCAGAGGTGGTAACAAGATTTCCCACGGAGGAAATAATATTGGTAATGGGGATGGTGGTGGTATTAGTATTGATACTGGGGGTGGTGATATTGGGTGTATTGGGGTTGGGGTGGGATGTAGTCCAGTTACAACCGTTTGTCCCACTACAGTAACAACAGTTACTTCTGGATATGATTGTGCCCAGAGACTCGGAGATGATTGCGGAGGATCAGGAGGAACTGTTACAAGTTCTTGTGCTACTCTGATTGACGAGAACCTATCCGCCACTAGTTGCTGTGTTTGTGCTGCTTCTTCTTTTTCCTGTTCTACTACTGGCAAGATTTTCACTATTGGGGCATTGGCATGTCAACCCAATTTTCCCATGACGACTGCTACTATCACGACAGTTACGACTACTCCATGTGTCACTGTGGTAGTCGGGCCGGCTGATGCTCTGCTTGACACAGTGGAAGATGTGCCTGGTAATGTGGCTGGCATTCTGGAGGTTGTCTAAACCAGCGGCACTGAGCAAGAGAGCTACAGAGATCCTTGGCTAAGGTAAAGATCTTCCTTCTTCCCTAATGTTACGTGTGGGCTGACGAGTTATATTATTAGCCTGGCTCGGGACAGTCTTGGAGCTATATTGCCTTCGAGTAGAATGGTGCTGCTGTAAACTGAGAAGACTTGTAATTGCGATGTCTCGGGGAGTTAGTGGGTGACAAGGGGAGGAGGGGCCATTGAGGTAGCAAGTGTATGGCGGTTTCGTGTAAAATACATCCCTCGCAGTCTGACAATTGGGTTTGGGAGGATTTTCAACGGATACATACCGACTCAAACTGTAAAGACTCTCCAGTGGCATTTGCAACTTCCGGCACGGAAATGAATGACTGCATTCGGCCTCGCTCTGGCTAGACAACGCCTTTGACTGTCTGCGAGTGGTCTTGGGGGTTTCACTTGAAAGACCTTAGAAACAGTGAGAGCAGAGTTTCCCAAGAGCCCCAAGTATCTGTCTCAAGATCGCACATGTATAGATATGGAACATTTTTGCTGGATGCGCTGATTGAATAATTGAGCAAAATCCTGATAAAATCGCGAGAAAATAAAACATCGCCTTGGCGAGACAACATTCGGGGATCCCAAGCAGCTCCTCGCCGGATGGTCGTCAGAAGAAAGAAGACCGACCGACTTGGACCATATGAGGCGTAGTCACCAAGACGAGAATCCGCAACAAGGAAGGGAACACCATCCTTTACAACAGAAGTGATATAGAAGCACTGACATCGATAGGATTGTGTCGGTGTAGAAGAGTGTCGGAGTATTGCAAGAACTAAGTTTCCCAGCGGGCGAGGGGGAAATGTCAACAATAGATGCCCGGATGTTGGGAAAGAGCGACTCAACTGCCTAAATTAGGAACAGCATCAACAAGATTGAATCATTTGCTCCACGGTGAATGGCTTCTGTTTATAGTAGATCGCTAGTTGTCCAACCGTTTCCTAGAAGCATATCTACCTCCAGGGCCATCAGCGCCACTTTTTCAGTAGATTATTCACAGCCCCGTGAAACTCTTTGACGATTTGACAAATTTGTTTACATTCCTTTCTGTTTTCCTATTTGTTACGGCTATTGGTTATCTGAAGGATCTTCTCTTATTGGCCCTTTTTGATACCCTCTTAATTCATTCTAAACCCATGGATATTTCATTTCGCCGCTTATTCCTATGTTTCTTTGTCCTTGTCCTAGGGCCAATGCACGCAACGCACGCTTCTTGTCTTGAAATTGACATCGTGAGAGACATGATATGTATAGCATGAATGTATGTACTAGAAACAAAAAGCGATTCATACTTTTATTTTCTCCACTCACTTCTTCACCACTTTGGCTTTCTTAACCTTGACTTTATTTGGACCAGCTTCATTTTTTGGTTTTCTTCTGGGGTTTGGTTTTCTTCTGGGGTTTGGTTTTCTTCTGGGGTTTGGTTTTCTTCTGGGGTTTGGTTTGCTTCTGGGGTTTGGTTTCCTTCTGGGGTTTGATTTGCTTCTGGGGTTTGGTTTTCTTCTGGAGGTTGGTTTTCTTCTGGGCTTTGACTTTCCCAACTTGGACTATATTTTTAGCTGGGCTCATCCGAGACTTTTCCTAGTTTGGATATTTTTAGCCTTTCAAATTCAATGAATATCCCCAGTGCTCTTTCCTTAACAATTCAGAATACACATGTTCAAACTGTCTGTGACAGACAACATCTAATACGATTGGCATGCCATGACAAAATAGAGACCTCTAGCAAAATTAATATGCGGGATTTTTAAACAGGTTTCAAAGTCACAAAAGTAAAGTGATCTCCCATATTTCAAAAAAGGACGTCTTGGCAGTTAAAAAAGAAAGAGGGGTTATGGTCCGATTCGAAGTCTTCTAAATGAAGAATACAAAAAAACCTTGGGACACTAACCTTTTTGATAGACGACGAATTTGATGTGATCGTCAAATGTAGCGAACCACCGTGCAAACCAATTATCTTTTTAATTTGGAGCTTGTCTTTATTTTGGCCTGTCGCCCTCCAATTTCTAGGACCGGACTGCAAACCAAAATTTTTAATCCAAATTGATTTGCTATCGTCTGGCCATAGCTCGTAAGAGAAGCCCTTCGCTCTTTGAATCGTTGGATGGACCACGAAAATACGGCGCACGGACTCTGCCCCGAGAGCTCCCTGGATAATAGGCTGTTCTATTATTTGGTAATATGTAAATCCTGATGGATTGAAGCGGTCTGGGGGAGGGGGCGTAAGGACTGTAACAATTTTGCCTTTGGCAATATGCCAAGCAAATATGGCGGAGGCGCCATGTACATATTGACTCCACGCATGAGTGGACTTTTTGTGTTTGAGACAAAGCGGATGATCCGGCATCATCAGTGGACCCATCGCTGTAGTCAAAGTCTGCATTCCATGCTTGTCGGCCCACTTTTGGGCAGTTTCACGCGGCATACCACTCCACAGTACCTGGTGATTATCATGCCAAGATTCAGATCGAAATTGTTGAATAATCTGGGCTGCTTCATTGATAGTCAAGTAGTATCGAAAGAGCTTCACGGCTAATACTTCCGAAGAGCCCTCACCGGAAAGCCATTCAGTAAGATCCTTTTTTTTATTCATCAGCTTCCGATATGTGTGTTAAGATCCCTAGAAGGAAAGCTTGTTCGGGATTCAGTGCTAGGTTGTGCTTTGCGCCACCGGGATCTTTGAGCGGTGGAGAATGACTCTTATATGGCGGCCGGCGTGGGCGCATCGACATGCTGGGCTTTAAGGAAATTGCCACCACTTGTAAGTTCACCGTATGGCTGTTCATCTAATACACGTAGCGAGTAATCATGTGACATAACCTTACTGTAAAGGCCTTGCAATGAGTTTCCGAGCTTTCGAAGCACATTAGAATTAAAGGGGATTGATTCATTCCAAGAAGCGCAGAGTGTTGAAAATGACTCCGTCCCATCTTGTACTTGATGCGGGGGCATGGTCTACTCCGATTGTCTCATGAGAAAGGCAAATCGAAACTCTTCGTAAAACGCAAGTATTAAGAAACTGAGCAACGCATGAGAGACAAAATTCAGATCCTGTTACGTCGAATGAACCTATTCTGCCTTTCAAATCTTAGTTGCGCTGCCTCATGTCATCCATGTCTTTTAAACAGCGACAACAGTATCGTCTTGGCTCGAAAAAATCCCCGCAATCCGCATTGTTCTCCCGGTCGTCATACAAGGTAAATTGATACTCTCCAGTAAGTCCTTCCTCGATCCAATTGAGTTCAACGACCGGAAGTAGGACCATGCCTAGCGGAGGTGGACTCGCTCACTTCTGTGCATCTTATCGAAGTGGTCATAACTTGAGATTTGGAGACTTCCCAGCTAGCCGGCGCCAAACATTTGAGTGAGCAGACAGATGAAACTTTCCAAAATTTATCATTTAAGAGAACAGCTACAGTACTAATCAGCGTGCTTGTGCATGCAAGGTCACAAAAGCCTCGATTTATTACTTGTTGATGTGATTTTTTGTTAGGCCAATCTCTCTATTGCAGCATTATCCATACATATTGACTTGAACCTCGGGATCTGCTGGCACTCTTCACAGATCGTAGGCTTATGACGTCCTCAGAGGTATGCATATTGATTACTGCGAAAGTAAATAGGTTGAATGGATCCGTTATTTGCTACCCAAATTGGAATCAAATAAAGTTTGGCGCTAACTAATGCAACCCGCTTACATAGTGACGTCTTAAGGGAGATTTCTGTTGGTTAGCTACTAGTTATGTGGGCCTCACATACTCATAGCCCCAGGCTTGTATAATATTTAATAGTTGAAATAGCGTGATCCAATCTGACAGCAGAGAGAAGAAATTTCTTTTTCTTTTGCTAATTTTGGCAGACTGGTTGGAACTGCGATCCTCGCAGGTACGGCAAGTCATAATTTAGGCCATTAAGAAATCTGGGAGATCGCTGATGAGGAATACGACTTTGTGATGGACATCAATGTACGAGGGAATTTAACCTACTTTCCGAAGCACTTAAACCGGGACTATTACGGGAACCGGGAAGCATTGTCCATGTTGGAAGTATGTTTTCAGAGCGTGGGTTTGCCAAAGGTTCTATATACAGTGCCAGCAAGCATGCGGGAGTTGGCATGATAAAGAGCGCCGCGATCGAGGCTGGTAAACGAAGAATTCGCGTCAATCTTGTGGCACCGTAAGTTTGACTTATCTGTGTGAGATGGTTCTGACGAGAATGTTAACGTGGTTGATTCAGTGGTCCCATTGATACCCCCATGCTTCGTACAAATGAGAGTGGCGCTGAAGGTACTGCCCCTGCTGTACCGCTAGGACGGCTTGGCGAGGCATCGGAAGTCGCAAACGTCGTCGCTTTTCTTTTAAGTAATGAGGCTGAGTTTGTTATCGGTGCAACCTGGCCTGTAGATGGAGGAGCGAACTCTTAACTGCCTTACTTCCAATATCGACCTACAAAACCTACTTGGAATGCACCCGGGAAATATGCATGGCTGTCTGCATATTCCATTTCGATTTTTAGTTGTACTTTATTTATGTGATCTTGTTAGCCTTTATCAATTCCGTGCTTCATGTCTCTCTTCCCTTTCATACCTTCAGCGACGTAGCGAGATCGCAAAAATAAGTATGAATGGGTCCTGGAAATCACACGAAGAATAACGTCCACAAATACCGGAAAATTAAATTATCTCGACTGTTTCTAGACAGGTAGATGCCTGCGACCCTAAAATGTAAGGAATATCCCTTCCATGACATGACCTAAAATCAACAATACATTCCGCTCTCAAATCCGAACACCATTGAACGCCTTATATCAACGACCAGCCAGACTTCACTCAAGAGAAACCCTAATTACAGTCCAAACAAAAGTAATCAGGCAAGACAAGAAAAGCAATTGATGTCCCACCGCTGTCTTTATCTCCACAATGCTGTAGTATTCAACCCATTCTCTAGATCTTGAACTCAATCATCAATCAAGCCTTCCCACCAGGAGAAGAATTCTTCTCCGCCTCAACCAAAGCCTCCAACGCATCCTCGTCATCAAACTCATCGATTTCAGCATCGGCCTTGCTCTTCGCCTCCCCTTGTCAAGAGTTTCAAGTGAGCACTTGTCATTAGTATCGGGCACCTTCGCCTTCGTCCCCGAGGGTGAAGCATTTGCCAAACTCGAGGAATTCTCCTTGTCAGAAGTAGGCGTAGCGGCATCCTCTTTAACCTCTTTCGTAGAAGTAGAAGTACCCGGCACCAAAGCCCAGTCAATAATCTCATCGTCGCCATATCGCGACGCGAGCCACTCATTACATTTGATGAAATGATTGTTACCGAACTAGATCAGATTTGTCCGTTAGTTTTTGCCTAGCCCTAGCCTTTTCACAGGCATGAATAAATGCATTCCATGCATTCATTCTCGGAAGTAAGAACTCACAAATCCACCATGCGCACTCAAAGGACTAGGATGCTTAGAAAGCAAAACACAATGCCTATCCCTCTGAATCTTCGCAACACGCATCGCAGCCGGATTCCCCCATGCCAAAAACACAACTCCGTGCGTGCGTACCCGGGCAACGAGATCAATGGCACGCTGTGTAAATCGCTCCCAGCCTTTATTCGAGTGGCTGTTGGCCTGATGGGCGCGGACGGTTAGACATGTGTTTAGCATCAACACGCCCCGCTCGGCCCAGGGGATTAGGAGGCCGCCGTTGTTGGGGGGGTAAGGTGAAGGAGGTGGGATATTCCTTTTTGATTTCTTTGTAGATGTTTGCCAAAGAGGGGGGGGCGCGGGTTGGTGGGCGGACGGAGAAGGCGAGGCCGTGGGCTTGGTTGTCGTTGTGGTAGGGGTCTTGGCCGACAATTACTACTTTTACTTTGTGGAGGGGGGTGTGGCGGGACCTGGGGGTGAAGAGAGAGAGATTGTCAATTGATGTTTTTTGGAGGAGGAAAGCGAAGTGAAGTCGCTGGATGGGATGGGGAAGGGTAGGTACCAAGAGTAAACATCTTCCTCCGGGGGAAAGACTTTAGCTTTAGAATCCTTCTCCTTTTTCAAGAAGCGTTTCAAGTTCAGGAATTCTGGTGTCACGATTTCATCTTTCAGGTGAGCGAGCCAGCTTTCGTCTAGAGTATCGATCTCCAATTGCAGCAATTCTTTCTGCTCCGGTTTCAGAGACGCCACCCATTTTTCCTTGTTGAAGGAAGTAGGTCGGGGGGAAGAGCTAGCATTCGCAGATTGAGTGTCCGCAGGCTTTGGCTTGGGTGCACCGAAGAACGAGGTAATGCTGCCGCCCTTGGGTTTCTTGCTGTCTGCTGCTGAAGAAGCGGAGTTGTCTGCTTTGCGCTTGAGGGCTGGGCTAACCATGATGGCGAGAGATGTGCCGAGGTAAGAATGAATCAATCGCGTCACAGCATGCAAAAAAAGAGGGAATAAAGGTGAAGATAGCTCAAGGAGTGGAATTGTCCAGGGGCGAGGAATTGGCAAGGCGCGAGAGATCGGTCTGATGTAGCGAGCCGCATTGATCGACGCGCCGCGGGTTCGGACGCGTCGTGCATTGCGGCCGAATAGGGTTAGATAGACAAGGCGGTGAGAAAGTGAGGGTGGAGTACTATATTGACGATGTAAACGGCAGACCTGTGAATTACTAGATCTGAACCACATGAGAGTAGAAGTTCATCAAATCGCCGTCTCCTGAACGTGCTCATGTCATGATTGGGAAGCGGTATGGAAAACAATCCCCGCGTGGTAAACCTGGGAGCTAAAGAACAAAAATAAGCCCACTTTTCGGAGGTTGAATCTAGACCGAGTCTAATACATCATGGCTATCTGTAATGGTCACTAAGTTGTCAGGCTAGAGACCTGTGACTAGGCAAGGGTATCAGATAGTAGAGGTCAGATTGGGCAGTTGGTACAGTAATATTCGAAATCAGATTTGCCTCCACACTCTTCGACTTGAACTCCCGGGCCCTGATTTGAAACACGCTAATCGGATAAGGTAGACACGTTCGATCCCCCTTGTTCCTAGAATAGAAACTGTATTTTACATGACACTGGTGGGACCCTGTCCTTTGTAAATTACAGGAAACTGCTATACATCCGATACCACTCTACCCCTCTTCTCCCTGGAAGCAACAGGAATCTCCCCCTGTAATGATTCTTGAGCGACATCCTACACTAGGATTGCAATATGGCCCCGAGACTCCCCCCCCCCTAAGCTGCGTCTCATCCGAGATATGATAGAGAGCCAGTCACTAACCCCAACTCAAATAGCAGAATAGGCTGAGTGCAGCAAGATTACGATCATAAATATTCACAGAAACTTGCGGTAATTGGGCAGCGTCTACGTACCCCTAACTTGTATAGGTCAGAAACTAACCGTAATACTACAAATGATCAACGCGCTCTGCAACCACCTGTCAGAAAAACCGGGCCTGTACCTCGATAAGATGGCTATCTTTCTCTGGGATAAGTTTTGTATGATGATTATAATCTCTAGCATCAGGAGAGCCTTAGTGGCTAAAGGTTAGTCTAAAAAGACAACCCGGCAGTATACAAAGGAACGTAATGCTGATTTAAGAGAACTTTATCTCTACAATTTGTCGGATTTTTTGTCGTATTATCTTTATATAGATGAATCAGGATGTGATAAGAGGGCTGGGTTTAGGCGGATAGGCTGGTCACCACTTAGTGTGGCCCCTTTACAGGTATTGTAGTTCTATTGTGATCAGCGATATCAGATTCTACCTACGTATACGCAGGACGGGATCGTCCTCTTATGTATATTTTGTAGTGTAACCGACGGTGCTGTCTTCGAAGACTTTTTAGCTCAGTTTCTTCAGTACTGCAGACGATAGCCAGAGCCTAAATCTGTTGTGGTTATAGATAATGCATTATTCTATCATTCAGAACGGGTCTTGCAGATATGCGCAGACGCGGGGGTAAAACTGGTATATCTGCCACCCTACTCGCCGGACTTAAATCCGATCGAGGAGTTTTTGCTGAGCTAAAAAGCTTTATCAAACATAACTGGGGTTACTATGAAGTGGATCCTGATCAAGGTTTTGATGTATTCCTTGCATGGTGTATTGATACGGTCGGCGCAAAGAAAGAGAGTGCTAGGGGCCACTTTCGACACTCGGGCTTGAAAATAGACATCTGCAGAACTTAAACACAATTCTGCGTTAACTAGCACTTTACAGTGATGATGATGATGATGATGATTTCACTTACCCTGATCTCTCGTCTCAACGATGATATGCAGGCTACCTCAACTTTATTATTTCCTGCCGTACATGTAGATTGTCCTATTTCCTGACAACGAAATTAGAGCTCTTCACGACCTGCCGTGGCCTAGTTGTTGTATATCTAAGAGAGTTATGCAATGTGTACAAGAACTCGGTGGAATCATATGGAACATAGTAGATACCTACTGATCAAATGGCAGTCTGCGATTCAGTTTTAACTATCGTTCTTAGCACGCGTAAATTCTCTTTGCCTGTCACCGCTTACTGAATGTCATTCTTTAGTTCGTGGAATGTCACAGTAGATGGTAACAACCCCAATTTACTGTCCTGGCCAGAATTCTGTTATTTGTAGCTAAGTCACTAAATGGAAGTACGTCGTATTTTTGACATTATTAACCATTTGCTTCAGTTATGCTGAAAATCATATGCTGCACCGATCATAACATCTAGAGTCTATTAGAAGATGAATAAAGGATCATGCCGGGTATGCTTAAGGCACCACAGGACTGTTTACTTGATATTTCTGGCTTTTACCGTCTTCAGGTGAGATAAATGTCTTAATTTATGACAGTCCTTGTTATTCCATTCTGCACTCGCCTTTGCGCCACCCCATCTGTGGATGAAACTGAGTGATATTCGAATATTGCTTCAGAGTAGCGGATCGGTCTCCCTTGACATGGCTACAGAGTTATATGATGGAGAACTTGACCTTCCGACGTAGAATCACGAAAGAAGGATAATATATTACCGCCAGTGCTCATGGTAAATTCTTGCCCCGGGAAGATTGCTGTGACATCTGAATTTGGCCCTCAGTTATCTTAACTTGATACAACTGCAGTATGAGCGAGAGTGAAGTTATAAGAAAATCTATCTGTTCTACCATGTCCGTGATATCCCGTTTCACTAGATTCCATGTAAGCTTTCTTATCAGCCGGTACCTGTAGATCTGTGCATATCTAGACAGAAGTGCCTCTAGTTCTTTCGTGAGACGTTCACTATCGTAGATTATTGAAGTGCTAGCTCCCCGTAATTCTCTACTGAATGACATAGCAGTTATGATACCATGAGCCGATCGTAACGATTTAGAGTATTGTCTTAACCTCTGTGAAACAAGGCGTAGTTCTTTACATTCGCCATTCGTATCACGGAAGATATTTGAGATTTTCAAGGAAAGCTCAGCAGCGAATCTGTAGAATCCTATGATGCTTGCTGCAGCGGACAGCGGATCCAGCCCCGGGAGGTTGCGAGTCTTGGTATCATTTCGAGAATATGGGTCGTTTGGGCTACTGCTCTGGAGATGATTCCGTTGTAGTGAGTCGGTTATATTGGTAGGTCCTAGAATTTGAGGCCTTGTGACTTGTCGCTGGCACCAGAAGGCGGGATATATTGATGTAATTGGTCGTTCTGCTCCATATGTACTCTCTCCGCCTGTGACAGCTTGTTAAGATTTATCGAGATCAAATATTTATCGATGTTATTAGCTAAACTTTGCCGGGTAATGTTACTTGTGCTAGTTTCTTGTAAGCCAATGGTTTCCTCTTGACTTTTTGATTGTCGTTCGCTTGAATGAAATCTAGACGGTGGTAAATTTTATCTTTGCATTGGTTTAAGTGGCATACCAGGTGTAATGTTGATTGAACCATCCGGCAGTGTATTTACCCTTCTAGAAAGTTGTATATCCGGTCTGCTGAGTAGCCGTTTATAAACGGTTTTTTTTACATCATCGACTTGGCGAAGGAATTGATATCTACCTATGAAAGGTGGAACTACCGGGGAATATGGTGGCTGGAAAGTGCTGTAAAACGAGTTGTTATTGAGGAGTAGCTTATGCGATGGTGATATTGGTATAGATAGTAATTGTGACCGACTGCCAAATATTGTGCTTCATGGGAGATTAGTAGACGTTTTGTGACCCAGTTAGATCTATACTTATAGTATACTTGTCGATATGGTTAGCTGGACGAGTTGAACGTAACTTCTGAGACCCTTCCTGAATGTTTTAAGGTCCTCGGCAGCCAGAAGTGCCTACTGGACCTTTCTTGGAGTACTTCAGACAGACCCTCGGCTGGAATTCTTGCCTATCGACTTCTTATATTGCTCAATGCCCTTTTTGAACCCCTTAACAAGTCTTTGCATATTTGTCGAAGAGTCTAAAATCTTTCGTCGAAATGACTCAGGAACGATAGAAAGATCGAGGTTTCGAATCTCCTTTATAAGAGAAAGAAAGGCTTCATATTGCTCCTCAGCCTGTTGGAATTCTGATCTAGAGCCGTTCTCTTTGAGGGAAGAAATAACCTTCCAGGCAAAGTTTGTGAAGAGGACGATGTCGCCTGGACTAAAACCAAAACTTATATTGATCCTAGAGATTAAAAATTCTGCTGATTTTGCGCTGAGTGATTCTGGTCGGATAGGGTGGATAGATGCTACGCCAAAACCTAAAGAGACTATATAAAAGGGGGGGAAGTGACCTGTCTAGGCCCTCGGGACCCACTTGCACCTTTACGGACTGGGCGGGGAAAATCTACTTTGTTCCATAGGATTCTACTAAGTTTTTGTACACATTGTATAACTCTCTTAGATATACAATACCTTATAAGATATATATTACGGGCCCTCTATTCAATCCGGCCCGTCCAATAACTACTGTAGCAGTGGAGCCCAGAAAGAATTTGTGAGTGTAAATTGGTGAAACTGGTCTTTTACTACTCTGTACCTAAAAACGCCTGTGATAGAATTTTGGTTGAATGTGTTGGAGTTATTTAATTTTGTCTAAGGACCCTTAAAATCTAAATAGGCCAAATCGCACACCTTGAACAAAATTGAGGGATAAGAAGACCTCATTCCAATTAAAGCAACTGAGACCGCATTTTCTTATAGTATTAACTTAACACAAAAATAATAACGCTACCCAAATGGCCACCTTGCTTATGCTAAATTATTTCATAAATAGGGATCGCTTTCTTAATGCTTTTGACCCAGTACTGAATATCTTATACAAACCGTCGAACAATACCTATTTTTATATCTTTACTAACGAAGAACTCTGGGTTTTGATCCTGATAGACTGTCACAGGATTCAAAGTATGCGATACCCCGGACTCTCGAGGCTAATTCATAGACGAATCCCCTTTGAGTCACCTGCATATTGATATCTACCCGAACCCTAATATATTTAAGATCCTACAAGCATTCAGGATTCTTGATCTTCTCAAGAATCAGTCTCTGTATCGACTGTCCAGTCTGATCTCTACCGTCCGATATCCTTGCCTAGTCACAGGTCTCTAGCCTGACAACTTAGTAACCATTACATATAGCCTATCAACTTCTACTTATTGTCTAATCGCTAATTACACAATCATATCAGGCGTAAGTTCCTGGGAGCACCTCCTCTACCTGCTATTGCCCAGACAAGCATGGGCCTTAATTAGTTACGACAGCTTACAGTAGATTAGAGACAGAGATTTATCATATAGAATCTCAACCCCAGCTATAGCCACTTACAACTCATACAGAGGCCGATTCCTCGATAACATTGCCTTGTTAGGATCTAGACCTTAAAAGGCACAACTAGCCCAGGACAAGTCGACTAACCATCACTTAGAGCCCGTTTCTCGTGGGTAGTGAGACAACAAGGACACTAAGTGCTTGGTATTGCCTCCGTGCTTTATCCGTAGTGCGAACGGGACAGAGTCCGGGGGGCCAATGCGGGGAGCGACTAAGGATTAGGGGCAAATAATGAGAATAAACAATGGCTGGAACACGAGGAAATGTGAAATTAGGTAAATAGTTACGCCGAGAAGCATTTCACTACGGCCACTCTCGATCTCACAACAGTCAGTCAATAATATTAATAATAATATTAACCAACACAACTACTACCACAACCAAGAATCCACGCTGAAATCCCCCACGACGCCACGTGTGAGCAGAAGGACTGACCTGAGAGGTCCTACAACAGGAGCTCGCAGTGAAAATGACCCTCGCGTCCCTGCTCTCCGTGATGGCGACGACGGCTACGACTGTGATGGCGACGGCCCTCACCACCCCCTATGTCCAGCCAAGTGGATGTACCTCGGCCTTCGAGCTCACAACCATCACGGCCAGCCCGCTGGGCACACCTAGGACCGTCAAAGTACTGGCATCCGATGCCGCAGCCCCAGGGTTCTCCTCTTGCCAGCCCTCCGGCTGGGATACAGGCGCCAGCGATGACGATCTGTTTACCTTCAGCCCTGCCGTTTGTCCGCAGGACTGGACGTATTACGAAATGTCGTCGACAAAGGACTACTCCGCGGCATACTGCTGCGCCAGGTATGATAATCCCGTTCCACTTCCATCCCTGTCTCCCTCGCCTATCTATACTCTCCCGTATCCCGTTACTGACCATCACAGCGGTTTCACCTTCCGAGCTGAAGGGTACGTCCTACCGACATCTGCTCTTATGCCGGCGTGTGGGCGGACGATCAACTCCGGGGAAACGACGATCACCGCCCCACTTGCATCGCGCACAGATGCCACAGGCACATTCACACAGGGAATGATTGTTCATCGCGCATGGCACGTCACATGGGCTGAGTCGGACACGGCGACCATGTCCCCCTCGTTGCCACCATTGACGTCGGGCAAGTACCTCGCCGTCTGGAAGCCCGGACAGGGGGTCCCTGACGGGGCGTTTGACCACCACAATGGCGATAATAGCGGTGTCAGGGGATGGAACTCATTGCTGTACTTCGCGATGATAGGGGTCCCAATTATTGGGGTGGCTATTCTGGCTTGTGGGGGGGTGGCTTTGTATCCGGAGACGCAGGAAGCGTCGTGCTAGACAGGCCACGGGGAATGTGGATCCCCAGCCGAAATGATTCAAGTTTGCGTCTGGAAATGGTGGCTGGCTGACTTTGTTTGTGGAAGAAGCTTTGGATCAGCTAGATCCTTGCGGATGGGTTGGTGAGGATGGAAATCATCGAGGGCGCTTTTGATTTGTATAGGTCCAAATTATTTCTCTATTTATCCTTCAGTAATGCTAGTAATATCCGGCGGTTATCTCCCCTACAACGGTATTTCAAACATCCTGGTTCATTTACTAGGTTGAGTTTCAAGACCTGCCGCATTTGATAAAGTTTCGTCCATCGATAAAATAAATGCAACCGTGCGAGTTATATGGAAAGTAAGTCGAAAGGTATCATTCCTGATGATAGAGGCGGGAAACTTGACAAAACCTTGGAAAGTTGCTTGGTATATAAGTAGTTCACTAGTATTGAAGTACTAGTACTTGCTTCCTTGCTGGCAGTAAATGATTTATCCTAGGTAAGTCTTACATTTTCGTTTAACAACCTTGGAATCCGGAGAAATCCCTCTCAATCTACCACATCAACACTCTTTTTTAGATTTCATTTAGTGGCCGGAATTCAGCGACGAAAGAACTGCTTTATGGCCGCAGAAGTTCTACCATGACCATTAATACAACATGACGTTGTTGCTTGACTCGCTTGTCAGAAAACTTACCCCCAACCCCTTGGCAAACCTATGACATTCACCCCTAGCGCGTCCGCTTCCAAAGCTAATATACAGAAACTTTGCCTTCCTAGCACGGAACCTAGGCTAGCATCATTTAAAGGTACAGTAAAAGATTGCAGAGGTAAGTGACACTTTGAGACTAAATGGTTCTCTTGTTGACTCTCTTAAATACGTCAGGTCACTGACGAATTGTCATGCAATTAACTAGCCATACCTAAACTTCAGGATATCATAAGGGTGACCTATCCTAAAAGCAGATACTAGCTGATTAACATATGACAATCTCCTGACAGCCATTCGATGATACCGCCTGGAGAGCATTGCCGTATTTGCCGTCCTGCGTGTTCACGCCCGCATCATTATTCAAGAGCAGTTTGACGATCTCGTGATGGTCTTCAGACGAGGCGCGTTGGAGAATATCGCCGTAGCGGTCGCCCTGCGCGTTGAAGGCTGCTCCGTTATCCAAGAGCAGTATGACAATATCGTAATAGCCTTTGAATGAGGCAGCCTGGAGAGCATTGCCGTATTCCCCACCCTGTTCGTTGATGTCTTCTCCCTCGTTGGTAAAACCTCCTGCAGGCATCAAGAGCCCATTGAGGCAAGTATAGTAGAGCTTGGAAGCGTGCGGGGGGGCCAGGGTCATCATCTCAACTCCTATCAGCCTGATGCAAACGACTCCACCGTTGGAATGTCACTTCCTCTTTAAGGAAATTGACAGTCATCTGAATGATATCTTCAGAATCCTGAGCCAACGCAGCATAGCCTGTCCAGAGCTCAGCGGCATATCTTGCCATCGGAAAATATCTCTTAATCTCTTCATGGTAACCTTCGATGTCTGTCAGATAAGTCAAGCACGTCATTGTGATAGAAATACTGGCAGTCCTGATTTGAAAATCGTCGTCTCTGGGTAGGTACTCTTTGACGGAAAAGTGAGCAAGATGTAACTTTTTATCCGTGGTGTGAACGATTGTCGCTAAGCCGGGACAGTAATCCGAGATCAATTTCGCAGAACAACCGACGCTTGATGTCAAACCCTGTCGACTCGATTTCAATCTGCGTCGCTATTACTTCTTTAGCCTCTGCTAGCGTGAGAGTTCGTTTAGAGTGCACTAAAACTTGTAGTAGGCGTATTGCGTCCATTTTTCGCTCCACTGGTATATTCTTCATCATGCGCTCGTATGTCTCATTCAGATTCTTAGGTAAAGAAACGAGAGCCTCCTCTATAGCTGCCCATGGCGACATCGAGCTAGGCTGTCTAATTGACAGGATGTCCACCTGAGTAATGTGTTAGCAGAGTATTATATGTCTAGGGGTGCACACGATAAAACGATAAAACGATATCGTACTGTCGCTGGCGGTACGCGAAACCACATCCTGCAAACCCCATGGCATTCCAACTACACTCACGGAACATGTCTACTGAGTTTGGATTTACGGGATTAGGTTTAAGTGGCATCACGCAAACAGAAAATTCACATTCAACTTAGTGATACAGTAACACTAAACGACAAAATTTGATTCAATTCCCAAGAATCGAGCTAACTTACAGCTCATCATGACCCTCCTCCTCCTCAGCAGGAGTCTCAGCAGCCTGAGCAGCTGAGGAGGTAACATCACCGCCCTCCTGGGCCTTCTTAGCGCCACCCTGGAAACCGTCAATCTCGTACTTGCCATTCTCCTTGATGAAGGTAACAAGGTCCTCAATGGTGCGAGAACCGTTGTACTCAACAGGCTCGTCCTTCTTGCCAGCCCGGTAGAGCTTGATGGTAGGGAATCCGGTGATGGAGTCGGGGACATCGTTGGCAGTAGCGTCGACCTTGGCGACAACGACCTTCTCCTTGAACTCGGGCACGTCGGCGTACAGAGCAGCGAGCTCGTCGTACTTAGGTGCCAGGGCCTTGCAGTGTCCGCACCAGGGGGCGTAGAACTCGACCAGGACGTCCTTCTCGTTGTCCAGGACGACTTCGTGGTAGTTCTTGCCGACGATGACGGTCACGGAGCCCTCCTGGGTCTCGGGGATGGGCTCGGACTTGATGCTAGCCTCGACCTTGCCGGCCAGGACGTTCTTGATGAACTTGCCGACTTCCTTGGCGTCGATCTTCTTGGCCTGGTCGTAGGGGTACTTGGCGTTCTTAGCGGTCTCCTGGATGGCGAAGGCGGGGAAAGTCTCCGGCTCGAGGTTCAGGTTGCTGGCGTGGGCGCCGAAGAGCTTGGCGTCCAGGGTGACGATGTTGATCTCGCCGCGGTGCTTCTCGGCGATGGGGCGGAACTCCTCAGCGAACTTCTCGCGCTCCTCAGCGGTCTCGGCGAAGATGTAAGCCAGGGGAAGTCCGGCGGCCATGTACTTGGAGTAGGTCTCGGGGCCGAGCTCGCCAACCAGGGGAGTGCTGGCGGTCTTCACCCACTTGAGGAGGGACTCCTCGTCGAGCTTGCCGTCGTAGACAGCCTTCTTCTCGTCGAAGTCCTTGTAGAGGACGATGGAGGGCTGCTTGGCACCCTCGGTCTTGGCGATGGCGGCGTCGTGGGAGACACCGAAGAGGTAGTTGTCGCGTTGGGACTCGGCGAAGTCGGCGAAGCTCTTGTCGGCGGTCTTGTCGTCCGAACCAACGTAGCCGATGATGACGATCTTGTCCAGGGTCTTGAATTCCTCCAGGTTGTCCTCAGTGACGTCGGAAACGGCGGGCATGGACTGCTTGGTCATGTAGGAAACGATGCTAGTAAATAAACAATGTCAGCGGGGCCATGATTAAGATGAATTGGCGCGACATCGCCAAGGGGGCAAAAGGAAAACTTACGAATCCGTTTGACGGGCACCACCGTAAGGCTTGGGGTCCTCAGCGCCGCGGAAGACCTTCAGGGTCGGGTATCCGTCGACCTCGTAGTCGCGGCAGAGCTCCTCCTCCTCGGTGCAGTCCACCTTGACCAGGGCAATGTTCTTGCCCTTCAGCTCGGTGGCAGCCTCCTCATACTTGGGGGCCAGAGCCTTGCAGTGACCGCACCAGGGAGCGTAGAACTCGGCCAGAACGAGGTCGTGCTCCTTGACGAAGTCCTTGAAGGTATCGGTGGTCAAGGTGTGAACGTCAGAGGCAGCATCGGCCGCGGGCTCAGCAGCGGAGACCGCCGCAGTAGCGCCTAGAAGGCTCAGAACAAGAGGGGTGAACGACCGCATAATGATGATTATCGAATAGGGAACAAATGAATGCCGTATCTCAGATCACCTGGAGACGGGGAGCGTGTTAGTCGGGGGTGTGGTGATTGGTGGTGGTGGGGATAGTATTAAAAGCAGGGGAATGGAAATAGAGCAAAGGGGACTGTGAAGCTGTATAGAGGGAGAGTGAACTTACCTAGACAGTTAAGCTTGGGGGGAGAGAAAGAGGAGGGCAAGTATGTATTTATCGAAGGAAAGATATGGGGGCCGGAGTTGAGGACAGTTTGTTCATTTGAGGCTACGTAGAGTGGAGCTCTCTGCACAGAGTTGCTATGCAGGGCGCCTACGCAAGGGTTTCCCGGGGGGGAAGTACCCGCTTGGTACTAGGAATTGTTAAAGTAATTACATTGTGATTGGAAGTATTTCCCAAGTACTCGGAATTCCTGCCAGGCACAACTGCATCTTTGTCGCCCGGCTAGTGGTGGATTTGCTTTTGGCACGACTCTAGCTCGTTACACGCCGTCCAACTGGATTATTCATTACGAGCACTAGCCTGACACTATTCTATGAATACGGGGTCGGGGGCGGGCTTGGCATCATGCCGTACAACCATTCATACTGAACACTGTGTCTTAACATAAATACGAGTACCTAAATGATTATGATTCATTTAATCTAGCGATCTGTCCACATTTACATACTCCGTACACATGGTACATATATACTATACGTAACTCCATGGGAGATCTCAGCTGAGGAGAACCCAAAAGGACCTGAGGACCTAATTAAGGAAGACAGGCAAAATGATCTACATGGTCCGAGCCACATCCTCGTCTTCCACCCTGACCGACATTGTCCCATAACCTGTGCCCGTGGTTTCTGAGATTCGATCTAGTTCAGCTCCAAGCTCAAGCGCATCTCGTTTACCACGGTCCACATCCACGAGCAACATCAGGGGTAATGGTAGGATGATGAGAACAGCCAAGAACACAAAGGCCGGTCGAATCTCCCCATATCGATCGGCAATGATGCCCACGATGGCAGGTCCGAAGACACTAGAGCCCTTGTCGGTAATTGCATACAGTGCATAGAATGCAGCCTCATATCCAGGTGGAATGAGTTCGGCAAAGAAACTTCGACAGTAGGAAGATAGGCCTCCCATGACAAGTCCATAGACGGCCCCCAACGGGTACATTTCCCAGGGTTGCTGGAGGCCAATGCCGAGTCGCTGCACGGACGGAACGAATCCGAGGATTCCGTAGATTGGAATAAGTTCAAAGAGGATGATGCAGGCAATAATAGTCTGCGACGCGCGCAATCCAAGGAAGTTCGATACGTAGCTCCACGAAAAGGCTCCAAAGACACCGGCGATCATGACGATCACATTGATCAGCCCCAGAGCTGCTGGTTTCATGTCCAGCTGGGTTTTGGCAAATAGTACGGCTGTCCCGCTGACGGTGGCGATCCCATCGCTGAGGAGGAACCAGGCGGTAAGGAAAAGGAGAATGTCCTTGAGACGGCGTGCGCGCATTGCGGTTTTCCCCAGAGACTTCCAAGCATACACGATGTACGCAACCCAAGAATCGAGGTGTTTCCCATCCGCTCCCAACAGAGGTGGGCCGGGTCGGGGACGCAGCCAGGTCATTGCTGGGATGGTGAATACAAACCACCACACGCCGATGAGAAACATCACAAGACGCAGTGATAATGTCGTTTGGTTGGTCATCGCGACGACAAAAATTAGGAACATTTGCAGAATTACTGCCCCAATATAGCCTATCCCAATTCCATTGGATGAAATCTTGGTGGAAAGATTAAGTTCCAAAGAGGTTACTGCCTCTGCCTTTCTCCCATCTCCAGAAGCGGATTGTAATAAGGGCGTCGATGAATCGAAATAACCCTCGTTGTTACCATTTTCGATGGGCGGAGAAAGGTCTCCTCGTGCGGTTCCCAAGCTCTGCGAGCCAGATACTGGTAGTTCGCCTTCCTTTTCGAGAATCGTTGGGTGATAGCGCACGAGGACTGGTAAAAAGGAATTCAACAATGTAAAGGATGCACCGAAGCATGTATTCGCAACGATGGCAAGGAAACCACCGAGAAGATAAACCCGAGGGATCACAGCAAGAAACAACATGGTGGCTACTGAGCCGACAAAGGCAAAAGTGACCAGCAACTTTTTGCGATAACTTCCGTGGTCAGCGGCCCCAGACATAGAAATGATGAGAATAGCCTGGACCAAGACACTCAGTGAGAATGTATACAAGGCAAAACTGGCAGTGTTGACCTCGGCACCCAGGATATAGACGATACATTGACCGGTTGCTGGGGATTGCACGCTGTAATCGGCGCCTTGGACTGGATGTTTGGCCGGGTTCCATGTTAGGCTACACGGAGTTGTTTTGTCTGATAAAAGAACACCCTGATCTCGTGCTAGTTGTTCCAGTGTGATCGGGAGGAAAGACCCTGTATAAGTCTGGTTAGGAACGAGGAAGCTCTAAAAGTAAAGGTGGGGAAAGAGAGGGTTTGATCAAAGAGAGGACTCAGATACCCATAGCACAGACGGTGAACACCTCGGCAGCCCAGCCGTAGCAATACCAGCCCGCGAGCTCCTTTTTGCTGGTCGGTCTGGGATCATCGCCTATAAAACGAGGAGGCGGGCCCTCGACCTCTTCGTCGGGATCCATCGTGAAGGTATATCGGGGTAGGGAGAGGAAGAAGAAGCTCAAGAGGAGGGAACTTGAGCTTGAGTGGAGAACCCCCATGATGAGGAACGGTGAGGTCATGTGGGACCTGGTATTGTCAGATTTGTAATCATGGTGTACGGCAAGCCTGGGGGGCTACTATGGTAATACCAGGCAGCAAGGCCAACACATCGGAAGGGACGTGCGCAGCGCGCTTTCACATTTCAATCACCTTTGGGATCTGCCGTTGCATCTCTGACATCCCACTCACTCTCCCTCATTTCACTTCCCTTCGATCCCTCACCGGGCTTGTCCGTCTAGCCACTTTCCTTGCGACAACCTTTGCCTATTCGCAGGCTTTCTTCCGTCGGTCCTGAGACGCATCACGTAACCGCCATCACAGGCGCAACCCCGAACGGCCTGACTCGAAGACGCCCTTTCTCCACACATCAGATCCAGATTTCTTCGGTTCCGAATACCAGTACGAGCTTCTATATTGCGCCCGGTTCTCTTGATTATGCCCGGGGCCATTGTGCGGGGTGGCTAGTGATACCGCATGGCACTGGGTTGAGAAACGTCATTCTCGCCTAGTCTTCAGACCCAGCTTCCCTTCCTTCCCCCGGCGTCGTCTGTTTCGATCCCAGGCAAGCGGCTCGATCAGATCGCTTGTTCTGCGCCGCGCAGAAGGCCCAGGAAGGGAAGGCGCCGGTTAATCAACGCGCTCTGCCGAGGAGATTCCCTTAGACATGCCCGGCGTCATCATGGACAATGTCAACACCGAGGGATCTGTGCAAAGGCCGGCTCCCAATGAGACAGTGAATGGTGTATCTGGCTCATATGGAAATCATGAGAAGTCCGGCCAACATCCTGCTGCTACGAACGGGCCGGTCCTGGTAAATGGCGCAGGAAGGGGACTCGATGCTTTGAGCCAACAATCGAAGATGCCCATCCGTAACGCCGGAGATATTGACTCAACACCATTCGATTTACCCCATATCACGCAAGGGTTCTTCCCGTTCGGCACCCTTATCAATCGAGCTGTGCAGCAATGTTGGAACGATCTGTCGGAGTTAATCACTGAGTTGGCCGCAATCCAAGTGCCTCATGAGCCATCCTCTGCGCTGACAAATGGGAAAACCCCCCGGCAATCAGTCTTCGGAAAATGTGCACAAGAAGTTACGCATCCTTGATTTCGCGTATGCCAAAAGGGCCGAGTTCATCAAGCTTCTGGTTCTCTCCCAGTGGAGCCGACAAGCTGCGGAAGTCAGCCGTCTTATTGATATTCAAAACTTCATACGTACGCGACATCAATCATATATCTCAGCGGTCCAATATGTGGGTGAAATGAAGCGAGATCTGGTCCGAGCGCAAGTCGCCAACCCAGATCTGAAAACGGCTCTAGAGATTCTCTCGAAGGGCCGGGTTGGATCTCTACCAGATGTAAGTTCAGTTGTGTCTACCGTTATATTGATTCTTTGGAGGTCTTTTTTCATTTCCTAATACGCTGCATTTTAGTTCGGCTACAAGCCCCCAAAACCATTGACAGCCAAATCCACACTCAAAAAATTACGCAAGATCAATCGCATCATCAGTGTGCGATTAGCGGTGTACGACGAAGTACCTCATGCCTTGCGCAATTACCGAATCCACGATGGCCGGGTTACATTCACAGTTCCTGGGGAATTCGAGCTTGATCTTGCCGTTGCAGAGCAAACGAATACTTCACAGTTTTTCTTCGTGGATATTCGATTCCTTTTCTCCCCTTCATCTAAAATTCCAAAAGGCCGAATCTTCAACGAACTTGATGCCAAAGTCAACGAGATTCTTCACAACGATGGCTTATCGGGATGCTTCGACTTCCTCCACGGCCTGGTCCTCACAAATAAACTAAGTACCTTGCATCGACAGGCTGTGGATCTCGCAAGAGGTGCTTGGTCAGATTCTTTGCGTATTGAGTTGCTTCATCGGATATTGGTCATTCAGTATTGGTCATCCAGGGCCGGCCCCAAAAGCTGGATAGAGATCGGTGTTCAGCGAGGCTCCCGGAAAGGTGCCAATGGAAACAAGAACCAGGTTCCATATCTCGGTCTTCGCTGGGTTCGGGACGGCCAAAGGGTCAACAGCGATATCATCAGTTTCGACTCGACCGTGCTCTCGCTTGAGCAGGTTCTACGGAGCGTTATCGCATTACACACTTCACATCTACTCGCTACCGCTTTCAACACCCTCAAGAAGAGTCTACTTTTCGCTAGTCATACATTATCACTCCGTGCTCAATTGTCGAAAACAGAGCCAAGCGACTGCCACCTTGACATGCAACTGACAGCGTCACGGGATCTCAGAATTTCTGCTGAGCCTTTGTCAGGAGCAATTACCCTGTCTGGTCCATCCAGTGCCCTGGAGCGACCAGACCTGGAGCGACAGCACAAGTCCGCGATTGATGAAATGCTCTCACGGGTTACTCGACTGAGATGCCACACTGCAGTGAACCAGATCGAATTAGGCATCAAGCCGCTTGGTCTTGAAAGTATTAACCAGAGAGGCATCGGAGTCAACGTCAGCCGTCTTTTCCCTCCAAACACCCTACGCTCTGCCTTCTTCAGTCACCAGTCATGGGACCGCCGCTGGGTCGTTGCTGCGACGAGTAGCATGGATGGCGATAAGTGGTGGCTAGTTCATATCCTTGTCCGACCAACAGACCCGACGCGTCCCTTGCCACTGTCGCATTTCACGAAGGACTCAGCACAAGCCCATGCTATTAGCAACAACTTGATGCCCTCCCAAAAATTTGACTATTCCACTTGCTCAGAACTCGTCCATTGCTTGTCAGGAATTTTGGCAATTTATGCCAACGCCCGTTGCTTGGCCGACCTGCCAGGGGCGCTGTTCCATCCACCATTGAAACAACTGCGATTAGGGCCGAAGCTCGAAGTTCCAGACCTCGTGTTCAGTTATAAGGCCAACGCTATCCCAGCCGTGTTCCGACTTGCCTTACCTCCAGCGTTGCAGAAAGGATCCTACTTGCGAGATTCGGTTCGCCTTTCTTTCAAAGGAATCGATCGCCAGACTCACTCGGCCATTTTGGTTGCCTACGGTTCTTTCCGATTCTGCATCAGATCCCTCCTCCCTCTTATCTCTAGCGCAGATCAATCGCTCGTCGTACAAGACAATGGATCCGGTTTTGCAATCCGTTTGCTTGTCCCTGTTGGCCAAGCTGTGCTTATTCCTCTTCTTGAACGTCTTCAACGTTTGGACTGCGTCATCTATATACTCCAGTCTCTCCTCCAGAGAAAAATGGAGCCTCGGTCATTGTCACTATCACAGATCGCGTTCAAATATGGAGAAACCCAAACCCACTCTGCCCGGCTCAGTATCGATGTTTCAGAGCCGCCGCCATCGTCCTATACTGAGGTCAAAGCTGCTTTATCAAACCTCAACCCGCTCTTCCGCCTAGGCTTGAGGATAGACTTCGACAGTCCCAGCCCCCATCGTCGTATTCAAGAATCACTTACTGTGGCTTTGAATGATCGATTTTCCAAATCGGGCGTCGAGTCTACCCTCGGCTCTATAGCGGAAACATTCCCGCTTTTACATAGCCTGGAACAAATCACCAAGCCGGTCCAGCCAACGTCGTGTGTTATACACGTCATTGTACGAAGCCCAACGGTCTTCCTAATCCACTATACCCAGAAAGCGCGTTTCCTATTATCTGCTCAGCCAAGGCAAGGGCGTACTGTGTGGTTACTGGAAGATTTCAAAACAGGCGTTGGTCGAGGTCAGGGTCAGGGTCAAGGCCAGAGCCAAATTTCTACCTCGGTGCGCGAACAGGTTTACAATTCCAAGGGTGATGGCTGGCAAGGTCTAGGTGATGGCGCTCTGTCTTCCACGGAAAAGGTGGGAAATCTCCTTGCCAAGTTACATGAATGTCTCAGCTCCTGTGCTCCTGAGCCCATACCCGAGCCCACGAAACAAGAAAACGTGCAACAATCCGGCACTGTGACACAGTCCCAACAACCGCCAGCGCCAGCGCCCGTGCAAGCGCCAGTGACATCCGCCCCGAAACAGAGAACGAAGCCTAACTTCAACTTGAACTTGAACTTGATGGCCCAGCCACAGTTACAAGCACAGGCACCACCGCAGCAGCAGCAGCAGAATAGTGGCGCTCCAGGAAATGCCGATATCATCACAATCGACTAGTGGAGTAGCGTTGCTTGATTTTTTTTTCCATATTTACTGCCAGGTGGCGGGATGGAATTAAATCTATTGTTTCTTCTTTTTTTTTCCAAATCTTATCTTAGGATTTCTTAATCCTGGTGAGCAACTTGACTCGGCGCTTGCCGTGGGATGTTCTCCCCATCTTCACGATTGTATTCTTAGAAATTTCCACTGCGAATTATATGCATATTTCACTATACGGACCTACCTATCTCACACTATTCAGTAGAAAAGAAAAGAAAAGAAAAGAGGGAGAGGGAGAGAGAGACAGAGAGGTGGATTATCGTAGCATCATTCCATTCCAAATGGTATTATCTATATTTTATATCCTTCCAACCGCCAACATCAGCGCGCATGCACATGCACGCATGCACATTGCACATACTAGAGTAGAGTAGAGCAAGCTCGGAACTCTGCATGCATAGGGCATCGTATCAGCCGGTGTAGGGATGTTTAGTATCGATCCTCTCTAACCTTCCCCCGATTCCGCAAAACATCATACTCAATCCATCTAACAGTCGGCACAGCACCCTCAGGAAGCAATCGTCCGGGATTCATGACATGGCATCCCTCATAGGTCATACAGAAAGGACTAGCCTCGGCATCAGCCAGGATCAGAGCTGTCGGCAGTGGGTACAGTTGAATGGCTGAGGCGTGGTCCCAAAGAACCGGTCTCATGGTCAGTGGGAATGGGGCAATTGTGCCTTGGTCAAGGACTGTTTTGACTAATCGCCGCGCCATTTTTGCGGCGGGGGACGAGGTGTCGGGTTTGTTTCCGCCATTTGCGGGTGCGGATTCGGGCTCGGTGGAGACTGTGTCGTTTTCTAGGGCTTCGTGCATGGTAGTGTCGGGCTCGGGTTCGTCTTCGTCTGTCTTGGTGTTTATCGCGGTTCGTCGGAGGCGGCTGGAGATATCGTCTCGGAAGATGGCAATGTCGTGGACGGGTCCGAACCATGATAGACGAGCTGGGTTTGAGGTCCAGAGGGCCTCGCCTGGTGGTGCGGGGCTTAAGTTCTGCTGAGATCGATCTAGCTCTGCATTGGCGGTTGTGAAGGCGCGTTTGATTCGAGATGTGAATAGTTCTGGGATTGGATGGCGTGGTATTGTTGATGCTGCGCCTCCCGAGAAGGCAGCGGCCCAGGGGTCATTGTCGCCGGGGACGAAGACGAATGTTGAGTGTTGGAGTAAAGCAGGGAAGTCGGACAACACGACGGCGAGGGAATCGAAGTATTCCTTATATTCGATGCTCCCGGCTCGTCCACCTCCATTAATGACGGCTGTTTGCACAAAGTTGCCGATCAGGACGAAAGATTGGGGACGTTCATGGAGGGCTAGGTCATTGTAGGAACTGAAGACTTTGCGTAGGGCATCGAGAGTTCTCATGTTGTCGAGATTGACCTCGCTCATCACAGCGACTTTCAATCTCGGCGGTGCTGCCGAGGTCTCCATTTGAGATTCCTGTTCCCGCTCGCCCTGGAGGCATTTTTCTTGAATTCTCCTCATACGAGCACCCTGGGCACGCTCGCTGCCGATTCCGAGAAAGTCAACCCAGCCGAATCCGCCGCTTGAACTGAGCTCTCCGCTACCTTGGCGGTTCCCGGTTCCAAGGGAAATATCCCTTCTCTCGCATGGAGGGCCGCAGATAGATACTCCGACAAAATGGCCGCCGATGGAACCGCCCACGCCGGTATTGCCGCCCAGGACAGATCCCTTGATCATTTCTTCTTCTTCGTAGATACCATCAACTAGCACGATCATGCCCGGTGCGAACCAAGCTCCGTCTTCCGGGATCATTCTTGCATGGCTCAGATCGAGAGACACGGTTCCGGTCAAGTCTACCATTGATAAATCACCGGTTGGTGATGTTGTCAAGAGTCCCAAGAGGAGATGGGATGTACCGCTTCGGCCGAGCAGGTTTGCAATCGGCGTTAATTTGTATGATTGTCCCGTTGCGAGATTCGAGGAAGATCGCTGCAGTGAAGGAACGCCTGCGATCCCCAACGAGCTTTGGAAAGACTCATTGCGGAGCAATCTTTGATAGACCAAGTTATACCTGTCTCTGAACAGGGCAGTTTTGTGTGACGGGGGTGGAAACAATGTCGGTTTTGACTTGAGGGTCTCGAAATACTTCTTGTCGACGTTGTAGGTTAGGCGGGGGAGGTCAAAGGCGTCGATCGCCTTTAACCAGTGCCGAGGGTGAATTGATAGCTGGGACTCATCTTCCTCATTATCGGCGGATCTCGAGGCAAATGAACCTCCTTGTGAATGATCGTTCAAGTCAATGCGTCCAACATCAGCACCCACACTCGAGATATTTCCAGCTCTATCTGCGGAGTTGTTTTGTTTGCCAGCGACGACTCGCCCACCACTCATACTTCCTTCGAGAGTTTGCAGGATCGCTTTGAGAGAGGCACCTTTCCCTTCTTCGACAATGACTCCTCCTCCGGCTCTTTTCCATATTTTCGCAACTTCGTCCAGGACTTTCTCGGCTAGGCCTTCTTCTCGCCAGCCGGAGCCACAGTTCTTTCCCACGAATGCTGCCAATGTCTGGAGTGCCGAGGAGGAAATGGTGAGGTTGTGCTTGCGAGTGAAGGTTCGGAAAGCGACAGGTCGGAGGGTGGAAGGAGGGAGTAGGATAGGTAGAATAGATGTCTTGGTAGGTGGCGCATTGGATTTATTCAATCGAAATGGACGTGCTGGTGTTCCAAATGCCGGCGAAGACGAGGGGATTGGATCTGTATTTCCCATCTTGAAGCGATCCGTATGCCGTGGGGTGGAGGTGGGATCCATCGTGACGAGAGGACGCGCTGTGGCGTGGAGGGGTGAGATATTGAATATTTGGAAAGTTCAGTCAATCAATCCAGTGGTTGATTTAAAGGCGAAAGCAAAAGGTGATCAAGTTGATCAACAAAGTCTGGAGAGTCGCCAAATCCAATCGGGGTTGGAAGTGGAAAAGGCGAGGAAGACGCGTGACGCGCTCGCGTGGAAAGTTGGGCCTTATCGATAAGCTTCACTCCAGGGTAAAACGTACCCTCACACTGACACTTCACTCGCTTCACTTCTTACACTCACCCACATCTACACCAGCATACCCCCTCTCCCTCTCTCTCCACACAATGACTACATCTCCACCCCCCGAGGCACCAACGCGCGCCCAACTGGACGATCTGATCGCCCGCGCCGCCGCCAAAGATGCCTCCAAAGATCACAACGCCGCATCAGAGCTTTACTCGCAAGCCACCGAGCTCCAGGCCGCGCTCAATGGCGAATTGTCACCCGAGAACGCCGATCTCCTCTACTCTTACGGTAAATCGCTATATAATGTCGCCGTCAGTAACAGTGACGTGCTCGGTTCCAAGGCAGCTGGCGAGCCTGCTCAAGGCCAATCGAAGAGCGCGAATACTTCCTCGGCCAAACCAGCACCCAAGGGCGAGGGATTGATCAAAGACGCGATATCAAAGTCCAAGCCCAGCGCCAATACAGCGGATGAGAAAACAAAGTCCGAGCCGGCGCAATCGAAACCGCTTTTCCAGTTCTCTGGTGATGATAATTTTGTCGACTCGGATGAGGAGGAGGAAGATGGAGAACAAGGAGAAGAGGAGGAGGAAGATGATGATGATTTCGCCAATGCCTTTGAAGTCCTAGACCTGGCGCGCATCCTTTATCTCAAGAAACTGGAAGAAGCAGAGGAAAACGATACTAGCAAAGGCAAAGGCAAAGCCACCTCCACCGACTTGCCAGAAGACCTAAAACACATCAAGGAACGCCTCGCGGATACATATGACCTCCAAGCGGAAATTTCTTTGGAAGCCGAGCGATTCTCTGATGCGGTGACTGATCTACGCACTGCACTTGAACTCCGCAATGCCCTGGTCCCCTTCGAGGATCCCTCCGTCGCGGAATGCCATTACAAATTGTCTCTTGCGCTCGAGTTTGCCTCTGCGCAACAACCAGGTGATGAAGAGGAAGAGCAGCAACCGAAGACAATTGATGAGGCTATGCGCAAAGAAGCCGCGACGCATATGGAGCGTGCTATTGAGAGCTGTAAGGTCCGTATGAGACGGGAAGAGCAGGAGCTGGAAGCAGCCACAGATATGGAAGAGGACAAGGTCACTGCGGCGAAGCGGAAGATTGCGAATGTCAAAGAAATTGTCGCTGATATGGAGCAAAGAGTGAGTCCCCTCCCGCCACCCTCGGGAATTATTCGTGATCCATTTTATACATTTATGTTAACAAATCCTGCAGCTGATTGACCTCCACCGATCTCCCGTTTCACTTGAGCAAGAAGACCAAGGGAACGAAGCCATGCTGAAGGGTATCCTTGGCCAAATCGTCGGCCAGTCCCCGACAGATCAGAAAGCAAAGCTGGACGCTGTAAGCAAGGGTGCAACAGATCTTTCCTCTCTGGTTCGTCGGAAACCTGCTGCTGCCCAACCCTCCCAACAGGGATCGAAGCGTCCGGCTGTCGATGATGCTGAGACGGAAGAAGACTCCAAGCGCGCGCGGGTGGATGACGCATAAGCTTGAAGCTTTCATGCTCTATTGTCTTATGGTGGTTTTTGGTTTTCTCGGGCGTTCTAGGATCAAGTTATATTTACTTTTTTACCCATTTTCATTATTGTTTTTATCATCAAGCTCATAAAAGAGTCATTTCAGCTTATGGATCTTCACGAATCAAAAGCCTCCAGTAGGGTTTCAGTCTTTCCAAAATGTGCAACTGTAGTATATGGTATCTGATTAATTGCATATTAATTATTGAATGGAAATAGGGCATGAACATCGCTATCAGAGTCCGAGTCGACAGGGCATGGGGGGGTATCATATTGTGAAAGGGAAATAAAAGAAATGCCAAAGGAAAGAAAGCCGCAAATTCGTAATCGATCATCACTCGAGCCCTCCTTGAGAGCTCCTTTGCACACCCTCACGAAATTCCAAACATCGTAGGTTTCCGCCCAACCTTACGACTTCGGCGACGACTAGCCAAACCAGAACTCCATATACCAGCGAACAGGTCCTCACATTCATCTTCATCCTGGCTATCAAATTCGACCTCTGCCTTCGCGCACACATCACCCCGGTGGTCCTCCCGCTCTCCCCTTCGCAGATCGGCGTCGACTTGAACTTGATGATCATCTGGCTCTGGCGGCGGGGACTCCCAGCAAGAAGTAGCCATAGTCTTCTTAGTCTCAAGAATGAACTTTCCCACTTTATACCGCTGAGACTCCTCCTCAGCAGCAACGTATTTCCAGCCTAGCACACTGCCGCAAAATGCACAGCAGACATCGCTGACTGTGTGTGCGCCTGTGACTAGTTGGCGAGGAACGGGTTGTTGTAAGAGTGTATTGGGTAGCGATGCTGTTGCAGATGATGATGCACTGACTGATACGGCCGGCGCCGCGCTGCTGGATACCTCGCCTGATACGAGGTATGCGCGTCCGTGTCGACCTGTGAAGCCTTTGCTGATTATTTGGGAGGTCAGGCAGAGGTGTACGGCGCAGTCGGAGCAGCGGAGGTAGGAGGCGTGGCCGTTTAGGTATTTGTCGGTGTGGTTGGGGGGAGGAGCTTGAGCTTGGAGAGCTTGGGCTTAAGGGTGGGGGAGACTGGGGAGACTGGGGAGACTGGTTTCGGGGTTGAGAGGGGAGGAGAAAGCGTGGGAATAGGCTTTTTTTGTTCGTTTCTTTCGACATTGTATATTGTTGCGGGGTTGATGGAGAGAAGTTGAAAGTAGGGATGGACTGATGGTATGCGCCCGGTTGTCATACTTCCCTTGGCTGCCCCGGGATCTACTGATCGCTTATCTTATCGCCGAGCTTCTATAAAAGAGTCCCACTTTGGGTTGGGGTAAGGCAAGTTATAAGTGGGTAAGATCAATGATCGGCTACCTTATGTCTATAGGAAAAGTATATGAGAAATTGAGAAAAAGTTCATTGTGAGAACACAGGTTGAAAAATGATGATGCCATAGACTATCTCTGGGATACGGCAAACATAAAGAGAATAGGAAAGTGCTGATTATAGCCGATGTAATGGCCAAGGCCGTCGTCGCTGATCATCGAGGCTTTCAAGAACAATTTAAAAAAGAAAGAGAAGAAAATCGCATAAAAGAAAGAAATAAAATAAAATAAAGAACTCCAGAAGCTACAACGCATGAAAAACAAAGCGTCATAATCGCCAGCGCTTTGAATAAGCGAAAGACGCACCGGCGCGCGAGGGTCGAGCGAAAGCGAAAGCGAAAACACTCTTCATCGCTGCGCGAACGGCTATACTTCTGCCGCTAGGAAAAGCCACTTCGGGCTAAGGAATGGACCCGAATCGCCGGCCGTTGACCACGGCTCAAGGGTTGTCAGATTGAACCCACACCATCCTGAGACTGCGAACGAGTTCCATTTCATTTGTGTGCTGTGAACGTTTGACGCAGGCGACGATCTGTGAGCAGTCGAATGCTTCTACCCCTGCGAGTTCGAAGAGCGCGATTAATCTGGGGAGATTGATGTTAGTATAAGATCTAAGAACCGGCGGGGGATGTAGAACGATGACTCATGTGAGTCGAATTGCAGGGGTGCAAGAGTGCAGGAGTGTGGGAGATTCTTCTTTCTTACCCAGACTTAAGGCCGTGGCCCAGAGCGCCATCCTCGAAGAACACGAAGAAAGTTCGCTCGCCGTTCATATCTGCCACAAAGCCACGATAGATTGCGTCGCCAGCATAGTCCCAAACTTCCACCCACTTCTGGATTCGATCATGTCCGAACTTGTACTCTGGCTGAATGTTCTGAAACGCACCCATTCCCAGTGACTCCTGTTCCGCACCGATCCCCTCACCAAGGAAAGTCGCAGAAAGTGTGTCACAGAAGAGTCTCTCACACTCTTCCGGAATAGTATGCATCGCCTCCCCCTTGTACTCGGACCGGTAGTATCCGGGCCAGGAGCTGCGTTCCGCACTCGGGGCGGGACGCTCGGGGAGAGGGCTTCTCATGGAGGTTTTAGACCCTGAGGGGACCTCAGGGACACCACTGTGCTCCTGTTGCATGCAGGGTTAGTACGGCTGGCCATGGCGGAGGTGGGAGTGGAGTGGAGTGGAGTGGAATGGAGATAATAGGGACGTAGACGTACCGGCGCCCAGCGTAGTGCAGTAGTGGAAACCGTGAACCTTGGAAGTGGACGAGTCAACGGAATAGCAGCTGGCGAGAGCTGTGGATTCTTGGTCGAGAAATCGGGTCATTTGATTGTAGTGACTACTACTATGATTACTCATGTAATTCGCCATAGTTGATTTGGACTCGTGATCTTGGGAGAAAGTATTGTGAAGGTTGAGTTGGAGGTGGTGGATAAGGGTATGACTGATTAAAGACGGGGGGGGAAAGTTGAAGATGGGGGGGGATTTTCTCTGGGGGAACGGAACATCACCTGATCGAGTCCGTGCGGTCCAGTCAATTGGGTTGATATTGCCACTTGGGCAGCTCCTTACCAGGTTCTTTTATGATGCAGTATTGCATTGTCTTGGTTTTAAATTTTTCGGTTTATCTATTTTTGAGAAATTCTAGGGTCGGAGTTTGGTAATGTGACAAAGCGCGTACTTCCACAGTATACAAGTAGGTTTTATAGATGGTAGGTAAATGCAGAATACTACTACATAGTACAGTCGGTACTGATCAACATAAAGAGCAATTTGATTTTTTTGGTCTTCTCGGGAGCATCTGAAGTAACTAAGTTATGTTCGTAAAATGAATCATGCTTCATTGGGCAACTCTGTTAGAAATACATATGGTTTTTAGAAATGCATGGGAACTTCCGTACCGCTGATTGGTGGAGGCACGATAAGAATCAGATGAAGATGAAGATGAAGATATCAGGGGAAAGGTGAAAGGGGGTCAGAAATAGAATGAAAAAGAAAATGAAGAAAGAAAGAAAAATCACACCGCTCTAAAAGAAAGAAAAAAAAAGTAAATGAGAAATGGATGCCTGTACAGGGGTGCATCCAAACCAACGCCAAACCATTACCCGTACCCGAACTAGCATTTCTAGGCTCAGCTCACATCAGAGTTCTCGGTAATCACTCGGCCTCACCCTGCGATTTCTCGCCTGATGACGCTGAGGGTTCACCGGCTGTCGGAAATACGCCGAGTCCTCTTGGTGCGAGTAAGGACCACCGAACGAAGTCCGTTGCTGGTTAGAGAAATTGCCCATGTTTGGACCCGGGAATCCGCCATTTGGCATCGGAGGCATTTGGCCCATGGGAGGAAATCCCATGCCCATGGACGGATCGCCATTAAACATGTTGGGAAACCCGTTCGATTGATCGCCAAACATGCCGGGTTGAAGTTGGTTGAATGGCATATTGGGCATATTGGGCATATTCCATCCACCAGGACCCATATTGGGAAAGCCGTTGGCCATGGCCATGGGGTTCATGAAGCCCATCGCGTCATTACCGAAGCCGGAATCTGAAAATGGCGGCATCATGCCGGGTCCAGTGAATGGTAATTGCTGCCCGTTGAAGGGGGGAATTGCAGCTCCGGCTGGGTTATCCTTGGCATTGCCATCGGCACTGGCGTTGGATGCGTCGGGCGGGTTGTCACTGCGTGGTTTCTTCGCCGCAGTGTCGGAGTTCGCATTTGCATCTGCCGACTCTGGAGTGAGATCATTTTCAGCAGGCCTTTTCTTTGACTGTGTAGATGCGGATGCAGCGTCCGTCTCAATAAGGGGAGTAGATTGTTTTTCCTTTGCAGCGGTAGCAGTCTCCTTAGTTTCCGCCTCATTAACTAGCGCCTCTTCCTGACTAGCAGCAGCTTGCTTCTCCTTTTCTTTCTTAGCCTCGGCCTTCTCCGCTTCGTAAGTTTTGATTTTGGAAACGGCCTCTTCATCAGGAATAAGGTTATCAAGAAGGACACCCTCAGTAGAACATCCCGGGCAAACAAAGTCACTTTCAATCAAGGCATTTGAGATACAGTCATTGCAATAGGTCCTCTGACAACATGGTGTCTTTGTTGGCTCTATAAACATCCGCTTGTCAATCGGGCACTCCAGACCTTTAGCTTGCAAGGCCTTGCTCTCCTCCGCGGCAGCGGCCTCAGCAGCGGCCGCCGCTGATGCCTTGGCCTTTTCCTGGTAAAGTTCCCAGGCTGCCTTATCCGGCTTCGCGATGACGAAGTCTCCATCGGCATTCACCATGACTCCTGTGTTTCTTGAATCATCGGTAGATCCATCGGACGCCAGGGATTCGGGTTTGTCTACCAAAAGCTGGAGAGATCGCGGGATGCCGGTGGATCGCTTGACCCTGTATTTTCCGTCGTATTTGGGATCGTCGTTGGTCGGACACTCCTGGATCCAATGACCTATGATTATCAAAGAGATTAGTTTACGGTCGAGGATGAAAGGGTCATTGGATGTAGATGGACAAACCTTTCTCTCGGCAGCGATAGCACAAGTAGCCAGGTGGGGGAGGGTGATTGGGGACATTGACGGGTTTGCCGCGGCCACGGCCGAATGGAACAGGGGTTGCACTGGATCGAGGTGTTAGTGTTTTTGGGCTTGGACAGAATATGCAAACACAAACGCAGATACTTACTTGGCCATCTCTTGCTGTTGCTCCTTCCATTGACTGGCCTGCAGGTTCATGAGAGCATTGATCTTTTCTTCTTCCGTTTGCGCATTGTTCAGCTCCAAGACGTTATTGCTGACTGCACGAGCACCTCCAGGTGCAGCGCGAGTGGTGGACGGTTCGATTCGAGAGGCGTTGCGGGCATTGACAGGCATTTTCCCGGAGACATATCGAGCGGCGCCGCCTTTGCCGGGTCGAGCTGCAGGCAACCGGCGGGCAATGACCGAGGTTGATCGTGGAATGATTGTCGTATCATCGTCGTACCCTACTCTATGTTAGAATGCTGCTGGGAGGACAAGTCAAGTTCTCGGGGGATTGGGGATTCCCATCGGCCTACCTTCTCCGGTATCCTCGTTGTAGATAGATAGTTCGAAATCAGATCCGTCACCCAATCTACTTTGGCTGATAATCTCTCGCTTGAGTTCGAAAACAGAAATACCAGTACCGTCAAAGGTGACCCGGGAAGGCTCCTTTTGGGACTTGAATTTGAAATGAACAGACGATGACATTGTATTGAGCTGTGTGTGCGCAGCAAGTACTTTGGGCCTGGAGAAAGATGGAGACCGAAGATGAAAAGCGCGACACAATCACAGTAGTACAGACGAGAAAGCAAGTAAGATAGGAAAGCAGGGAAAGAAGATGGTCACCTGAAAGGTGGGGGAGAGAGGGGGGGGGAGCGAAGCACGAGCAAGATATTAAGAGCAGCACAGTAAGTTGATTCCTGGATAGTCGCTGGGACCTATCACTTGAGGGATCTCTTGAGGGGATGGTAGATTGTTGGGATATCTCTCTCTTGAATGATGGAAAGTGAGAGCTCAAACTGCATATGATTCAAGACAGATGGAAAATACAAATGCCGAAAGTGAAAAAGAAAGAAAGAAACCGTCGCTGACACTGAAACAGGACGCGGCGAGTGAACCAGTTCCTTTGTAACTCGCAGAACCACCTCCTTTACCCAAAGTGAGACCGGTTGTCCGCCCTCGCGGTCGGGAACACTGTCAAAAGAGAATCGAGATCGGTCCGAAACCAGGCCGAGGGATACTGCTTAGTACGATGTAAATTCGCCTGCCGGGTGAGAAGGAAAGGGGAATTGGATATGCGATGTCGAGTATGTTTGGAGGGGAGGGGGCGGTGGTGGTGAAGGGTTGAGGTTGAGGTTGGTCGGAGGAGAAGTGCCGCCGTCGCCACTTTGCGTGGTGAATGAGTCACGTGGATTGACCCACTCGGCGAGATTTTAGCTGCTTCCGGTGGTTTGTCATCATTCGAGACTGGATGCCTCGATTATATTCCATGCCACTGTAACTATCTTTGGATGGTTCTAATCTGTTCGGTCTATAATATCGTTGCAATTTCTGCTCAGAGTGCTACAGGTGTACATATATATCAGAGATATACTTATGGACATCGTACTAGTATTGATGGTCGCGTTACTCACCGCCTAGGGTGGCCACAGCATACATAGTACTACTAGTACCTATCATTCAAATTGATATATATTGGTTTATAAATCACGTTCCATTCATTCATAATATCTATAACGTTGAAAGATTCTACAAGCTCGCCATCACCTTGCCGATTTAAATCGTCGCCTCAAATTGACGCACGAGGAATCCTCCCTCCTGGAGGTGATCTTTGACTTGGCTGACGGTATATTCACCTCGGTGGAACTATAATTCAAAAAGTTAGCAATCTGTCAATTTCACTTCCTTGCAGATTGGGGCCTGGATTATATCTACTTACCATACCCGCACCCAACGCGGCATCGGTAGTCGTTTTGCTAAAGACCTCGGCAAAATGAGCCGGCAGACCTGCACCACTAGAGGCAATGACAGGGATCTTGATAGAGGCCTTGACATCATTAATCAATTCCAGATCAAAGCCGCTGTTACTGCCATCCTTATCGATGCAGTTCAGCAAGATTTCACCGGCGCCCATGGCCTCGACGGCCTGCACAAGTTCGCGCACATCCATGTCGCGAGTCTCTCGGCCGCCCTTGACGGTACATTGGTACCAGCAGTAGCTTTGACCTGCTGCGTTGGGGTACGCGGTTTTCAGAGTGTGGTGGTGGGTGTCTTCGGGTTTATCGACGTAGACTCGCTTGGGATCAATACTGACCACGACAGCTTGCTTTCCGTATGCGTTTGAGATAGATTCGATGGCAGTCAGGCCACTCAGTTTCTTGCCTGCTGCGTAATATTCTTCCGCGGCGAAGACGGCGTCCGAGCCGATGCTGACCTTGTCCGCGCCAGACTTGAAGTACATCGTGGCCACATCTAGCGCAGGAACGTGAGTGCCGTCAGTATCGACGGTGTCCTTGATACCGCCACCAATAGTCAAGGGAACGAAAACCGTTTCGGATGCCCGGCGCAGAATTTCAAGCATGGGCGTATCGACCAGCGGGCAGTTGCGGAATGAAGTAATGTTTAGGATCGTGACTTCGTCGGCGCCTTGTTCGTAGTACTTCTTGACCATATCGACAGGCTTTCCTAAGTTTCGGACCTGACCCCCGGCATCAACACCGCTCTTTTCACGCACATCGTATTGATCGCCCTTTGTGACGACCAGGTCGCCGTTGTCATTGGCCCGCACGTCAAGACAGGCGATAACTCGGCGAGTCAGGCCATCTTCCTTGCCGGCAGCTAATTCTTTTGAGAGGGGGGGTAACCTGGTCACCGTTCAAGAAAGCGCGAAGAGCCCGTAATCCTGCAACACCACTCTTCTCCGGGTGAAATTGTGTGCCAAAGATATTTCCGCGGCTGACTGCACCGATGAATTCCTCCTCGCCGTAGGTCGCTGTTGCGACAGACCAGCCGTCCTTCTCCAAGACACCTGGTGTGTAGGGGGCCGCGTAGGAGTGAACATAGTAGTATTTGCTATCCGGTCGTAAGCCGAAGAAGCTCTGTTCCTTCGATGATTCTCCCTGGTTCTTCGCAGAGTTCCATCCAATGTGCGGCACGCTTTTGGTCTTGTCGTCGAATTGTTTGATGTGGATGGGAATGACGCCCAGTCCCGGGACAGCAGTATCTTCGTCGGAACCTTGGAATAGAGCCTGAAGTCCAACACAGATACCCATAAATGGTTTACCGGAGTCGATGTGCTGTTTGATTGGGCCTAGGAAGCCGCCCTTTTCGAGTTGGGAGAGACAGTGGCCGAAGTGGCCGACACCGGGGAGGATCAATTTCTACCACCAGAAAGGTCAGCTGGGATTCAAGGCTAGGGAATGGATCACAAATTGTAGTATATCGTCACACTCACATCCGCATTCTTCACATCCTCGGGGGTCTTAACCCACTCCACTTCATATCCAACCTGGTTGATCGCGTTGACCAGGGAGCGGATGTTCCCCGCAACGTAGTCGAGAAGGTGAACAGTTGGCATGATGAAGGGACCGTTCAACCTGCTAGACCAAGTACTCCAAAAGATGTGCAGAAAAGTGAGCGGTTCCAATTGCGGTTCTTAGAAGAGGATTAAATGCGATGGAGCCCCTCCAAAATTCACCCGCTGACTCACACCCTTTTCTGCCGGGCAGAATGGCAGATGATGGTGGGGTGCGGTCGACAGCTCCACATTTACTCCAACTACCACACAGAGTAGTTACGGATGTTATCAGTCAATTGCTGACATCTGTTTTTATAATGACTTGTTTATAGATAGAAGATATGGGGGTATGGAAGGAGAGGGAAAGAATAGTTCCCTGTCCAATGCACTTTTATTTTATTTTCCCGAAATAGTGTACTGATGCTTTGTATCTAAATGATGGATCATTCGCTTGATGCTTGAAGGTAAACCAGTCCATTTGACGGCTGTGATTGTTGATTAGTGATGAGTCAAATCCACATCAATGAGATGTATTGCTGGGACACAGTGCTTACTGGAGTAAATTGTCGTAGACGTACGCCTGCGGACTTGAGTATGTCGGCGCTCTGAATTAAACCACGTTAGTATAACGATACCCCCAAATACAAAATATTCACTCTTGTAGTTTCGTACCAATTCATCCATGTTGTAACCTTGGGCGTAGACCACTTCGGAGATCCCCACTTGGGCAATCTTGACGGTGCATGTTAAGCACGGACACCTATGACCATGACTCATGAGTGATTGATCCAACACCACCCAAAGTGATATGGATTAGATTAACTTACGTGTCACAGTAAAGAATCGCGCCCTCTCGAATGCGCTCTCTGCCCGCTTCCAGAAGCGCGTTCTCCTCGGCATGCAGACATAGACACGTGGAAAGACCAACTCCTCCACCATCGCCACGATTACAACGAGGGCCTAAGGGTTAATTCATTAGTCGCAGGTAATGATTTCATCGCCATAAGAATGAACATACATCCGCCTTCATTGCAGTTTGTCAGATGCCTCGGGGTCCCGTTATACCCAGTGCTAATGACCCGGCGTTCTCGAACAAGAACACATCCCACACGCCGCTTCATGCAGTTACTTCTCTGAGCCGCAAGAGATGCAAGCTGCATGAAGTATTGATCCCAGTTGGGTCTGAGTCGCTGCTCATCTCCAAGGTCAAGCGTTTGGAGAGACTGGTGGAGTTCTTCGAGTGATGAGGAGGAGTTGAATAGGCGGACTTGGGCTCGATCGGTCAGGTAGACGCGCCCGATATCCTTCTCGTAAAGGTGACGATCATTCCATAGAACGAACTTCTCAAGATCTGGTGGGTCTAGTTGCCTTCGCCAGCATCTGTATAATTCCTTGTGAGTATGTTCAACTTCCTCCGCGGTAATCAAAGTATAGATAGAGGTCGGGGACCACGAACCGGTCCGAGAATCGCTTCCAGCGGAGGCTGACAGGCGCGTCCACACTCACGAGCAGGAAGAATGGGCGCAGAATGAAGCGATCGAGGGTTGCGCCATCCGCAATATCTGTTGTGACCCAGCGTTCTTGCCAGTGTTTGGTCACGAAATCGAGAAGGGATTCGGGTGTTTGGAAAATGTGTTGGGGCGGCGTGGCACCGGATTTGCCAGCTTGGGAGGCTTGGAGTCGTAAATTATCATCAGGTTCATCGGTGATAGTAGGATGCGATGGCTGACTGGCGAGTTCTAAAAGGCGAAAGCCTTGATGTTCAATAAGGTACTCGGCAATTGCATGCTTGCCGGCACAGATGCCTTTTTGGGAAGGGTTGTTAGTTCGGGCGAAGCGATAGATGTGGCGAAGTGACTGTTCTGCTGACCTCCACACAAGCCGATAAGCATTCTTGCGTCAGTATGAAACTAGGACCTTGGAGGGGGGGGAAGGAAGAGAGATCTGGTGGGGTGGACACAGGGCAGGGCGATCACGCGTCGGCGGCGGCTGATCTCTCCCGCTTTGCTGGTTCGCGCAGCCGCCGATTACATCAACTTCCCCACTTCACCCCTCTCACTCTTATCTACATACATACCCTGGACACATACATACAGCCACCGGTTGTACCAAACCAACTCAAGAAATAAAGGCCACAAGGCGATTTTCCTGCAAGATGCAGTACGCCCCATTTGCCTCCGATATTGACTTGCCGTTTTATACGACGCTTGCTTCTCATAAGATCAACCATGACAAGCTGGACGACTCGGCTCGTCCCGTCCTTGGTCTCTATGAAATCCGCTCTACAGACCCCGATAATGCTTCTTGTCGGATCCAGATCCATGGAAATTCCCTTGCTTGCCATGAGTAGGCTGAGACCTGACCTTCCTGAGCTGGTGATCATCATCGCTGATTAGATCAATAGGGCACCCGCCGGTTACCATCGCGCCGAAGGTATGATCAAAAACGTGAATACCATCGAAGATTATCGCAATATGGACAAGTCACATATGTTGACCCAAGCTGGAAGGACGGTAGGGAGAGCCTGTTTTACTATCTTGGTCGATTTTAACTAATGGTATTACTATAGATCTGGGATGCCATCAATGATGGTACTATATATTCCTGTCCTTCATTGCTTTCGTCTTTTGTCATCCTGTCATTTGCAGACTTGAAAAAGTACAGGTTCTCTTATTGGTTTGCTTTCCCTGCTCTCCATTCCGATCCGCCATGGATTCCCGCGCGATCAGTCGGCTCGCAATCCGACACCAACACCAACCAGGAGGACTTAAGCACCCTCCAAGGGGAGCATCTGTCTTCAACTGAAAGTAACTCTCTCGTTGAAGCGGTGCAAACATGGAGTTACAGCGTCGATGACCGACAACGGGGCTTTTTCTTAGCCCGCAAACAAAAGCCTGATTCGAAAAGCTCTGACCAAAATACCTGGCGGATAGCATCATTATCGGAATACGAGAATGGTTTCTTCAACGGGGCTGCTCGTGAAAACCGCTATGTTTGCTTTGCAGACCCCTCAAATTACGAAAAGGCTCCGGGCTGGATGCTGCGAAACTTACTGGTCCTTGTCAGAAAACGCTGGGGCCTCAGCCAGGTGCAAATTCTCCGATATCGTGATACCCAATCGAAGCGTGACGAAGGTCGAAGTATGGTATTTTCGCTACAATCCAGTTCTGAACCAACCAAGGAGCACCCGCAGCAGGGCCAACTGCCAAAGATTACTGGCTGGGAGCGCAATCCAGCTGGGAAGTTATCCGGGAGGACTGTGAGCTTGGCGGAATATATGGACCCTACAAGGTTCGTTTCACCTGATATACGTAACTCTTACGGAATATTCCCTTGCTGATTTTCTCTCAGACTAGCAGACCAATCAGTCGACCTTAACCTCAAACTAATGAAATGGCGAATAAGTCCCACGCTAAATCTAGAAAAGATCAAGCATACCAAGTGTCTACTGCTGGGCGCAGGGACTCTTGGGAGTTACGTTGCCCGGAACCTATTAGTATGTTATGCCTGGTCCCCTCAAGATCTACAAAAATCTATGGAGTTGAACCTTTTTCTAACGATCTACGAAATTCTAGGGCTGGGGCGTCAAAAAAATCACATTCGTGGATCAAGGCAACGTCTCTTTCTCCAATCCCGTTCGGCAGCCACTCTTCAAATTCACAGACTGCTTGGATGGCGGTGCGCCAAAGGCTTCTCGAGCGTCAGAAGCTCTCACTGAGATCTACCCTGGCGTTGAAACTGCCGGCCACGTACTTTCGGTGCCGATGGCAGGTCATCCGATCATCGATGAAGATGCAACTCGTGCCGATTTCGAGACACTTCGAGCACTCATAGATGAACACGATGCTATCTTCCTTCTCATGGATACGCGCGAGTCTCGCTGGCTTCCTACGGTTATGGGAAAAGCGGCCGGGAAAATTGTGATGAATGCGGCACTCGGGTTTGATTCATTCGTAGTAATGCGTCACGGTGTGGCGGCAACCGATGACAGCCCCGCGGAACTCGGATGCTACTTTTGCAACGATGTTATGGCGCCAGCAAACGTAAGATTTGCTTATAAAAATTCCGGATGCAACGCTAAGCTAAGCTAACCACACAAAACAGTCTGTCAAGGATCAAACACTCGATCAGCAATGCACAGTCACCCGCCCAGGCGTTGCAGCCATAGCCTCCGCACTCTTGGTCGAGTTGCTCGTTTCGGTTCTCCAGCACCCAGATGGAGTCACGGCACCAGCCCCGCTGAAAAAGGACGAAGATCGAGGAGATCACCCTCTAGGACTTGTACCACACCAGGTCCGAGGTTTTCTCGCAACGTTTGAGAATATCGCCGTGACGGGGAAGAGTTACAACTGCTGTAGTGCGTGTTCGGATCGAGTCACGAAAGCGTACAAAGATGAAGGTTGGGACTTTGTTCGCAGGGCCCTTAATGAGCCTGGGTATGTGGAGGAACTGAGTGGACTCAAAGAGGTACAGTAATCCTTTTACTTCCCTTGGTAGAGGTAGACCATGTCTCCAAGATCCTTTCACTAACGCCAAAGCTAGGTTCACGAGAAGGCGGAAGCAGCACTTGCCGATGTCGACTGGGATGAGGGCTCTGAGAATGAAGAAATCGAACTTCTTTAGCAGTGTCTCAATACGAGCAACGGGGCGGGTCAAGTTGCTGTAGATCGGATGTGGATTGCTATGCTCATGATCACGCTTTCCGATCTAGGCCAACGAAAAATGTCTCTTTTGATTCCTGGGAAGGCGTTAGCTGGTGGTTTCTTCAGAGGCCAAATGGAGAGAGAAGTTGAAAGGCCTACGCTTCGGGACGATTCAGGTTTCAGCCGGTGGACTTTGTTGAATATTGCTTTCAGGTTACTTTCCAACTCTTTATCTTCGATTCCTTGGTAGAATTTGCAGACAAAATGTCCTCCGGTTCGGAGAACAATCGAGCTGAAATGTAAAGCCGCATTGCACAAATCCTAACAATATGATTTCATTGTTAGCCCTGAAATAAGCCCTGAAAGTGTCTTAGGAAGAACCCTAAGGTCCAAGATTGTGTGCAGCGCAGCGGCGGGGTGACAGTACCATGCTTCCAGCGTGGTCTCGAAAGGCGTTTCCACTTGTATTCATCATCCTGTTGTAAGGATTACTTAGACTCCGTTTCCAAAAACCAGTAGTTTGTTGCCAGGGAGCGGACATATCACTAAGGACCACATCTACCGTCCTTTCTTTCGCCAGTTTCTCGGGGTCGGTTGTGGTTCCATCTCTCTCGGTATCGGTATCGGTCTCGGTCTCTAGGGCACTAGGTCCAGCCTCGTCAATGGCGCCAGGCGGACGCGGCCTGCCTCTATTGGGATTGCGCAAAAAGTCGAGGATATATGCCTGGATTTCGGGGTCTAGGAAGTTGCCCTGGATGGTCGATACACCCTTTGGGGGTTGTGCTGGGATAAGGTCGACGCCGAGGACTCGGCCGCCGGGTTGGGTGCGGTTCACAGCTACCTAATGATTGCATATGTCAATGAACTTTCCTTTCTAGAAAATCGATAATCCTGTTCATGTTGGATCTGAAGTAGTGATCACATACTTGCGACCAAGATCCTGGCGCATATCCCTAGTCAACGTCAATTGTAAGCTACCCCGAAATATTATGTCCAGCAATTTTGAGAGGAAATCGAACCAGATCAACCACAGTCTGCCCCCGTTTGAAAAGCCGATATTTCTCATCAATCTACACCATAAAACATCGTTAGCTAAATCGCAGCAGCGAGGAGATCAGGGGCGCTGGGGTAGAATACCTGAAGCAACTTAAAAGCCGCTCGGCTTTTCAGGCCTTGGACCGCCGCCTCTCTCGTGAATTGATCCTTCTGCTGACGCGCTTGCCAGCGCTTGGACGATGCCCACCGGATCTGACCCAGCAGAGAAATTTTTGAGGGGCCATTTGGTCGGAGGGCGAAGAGAGAGCACATGTTGCGCGTTGAGTATTAGTTAGGGGGTGGAAGAAGGAAGTTGGGGTTCTGCCGGCAAAATGGATAGCAAGCTCCAGTGGGTCTTTTGATAATGGCTAACGTGCATATCCCTTCCCCTACGAACTAAATATAGTACGATATGAAGCAGTAGCTGAAGGCCCTTCTAATAGTCTCTTGTACCTAGGTGGTTTTCAGGGCTGCAGATCTCTTGTACTTTTTATTTTCTAAACTCACCTTTTCACAAATAAAGAAATACGTTTTATTAGCTTTGATCGATTGAATTATCTATTGAGGCGTCTATTTCTAGCCTATATTAAAGCGACTGACGCACATATCTAATGTTAGACTATATATATAATATAGGGCGGATACTACTTGCCAAGGTCTAGAACACAACTATCCAAGAGTCTGCCTAGGTACTGGGGTCCATCTATAGAAAGAGACCATGAGTCACATGATGTATAACGTCACAATAGGTATTTTGTCATAATTGATCACAGAATATACTATTTCAGCACTTCTCCTCCTGGTTTCAAGTACCGCCATTAACTCGAATATCTTCAAAAACTATTTATTGATGAATATGGCTGAAAATATCCTGAGGGAGGAAGGTCTTCCTGCTACAACACCAAGATACCAATTTCAAGGTAAAATAGATTGTCTTAGGTGCTTTGAACTTGAGTTAGGGCGTTATTATAGGGACGGCCAGCCTAGTGACTATCGCTATGTTATATTTGATCACGTGGATGAGCTTGCCTTCCAGGAGTGTTTTGAGGATGATTCTGCAGAACGCCTTCTTATGCATTCACTGGTGACCTACAACTTCATTTCTCATGTCATTGTCCTCAAAATGATCACACCTATGCATGAAGCCGTCCATCGTGCTTTCAGTGAAATTTTCGGTACTTGGTATCGGGGCCAGGAAGGTCGTCTTATGCCTCAAGGAGGTGCAGGCATCGAGGGCTTTACAAGAAAAAAAAGCCCCGACTCGAGTTGGAATACGACAGTGCTCACGCCTGGGAGAAATCGAAAATGGCCCACAATCATCGTGGAAGCAGGATGGACCGAGTCGATGGGCAAGTTGAAGGAAGATGTTCTGTTCTGGCTCCGTGATTCCGAGCAACAGGTCAAGGTTGCTCTTACAATGAACATTACTCGCCGAGGAAGCATCACTATTCAGCAATGGAGTTCCATTCAAACGGCCCATAAGGCATCTGTCAAGCCTACCCAGACGATGCGGATCACAAGAAACAGAGAAGTCACATCGAGTCAACACAAAATCTCAGGCTCCCTACATATCAAATTCGAAGACTGTTATCTTCGATCAAAAAGGAACAACGAATCAGACTTCACTTTGTCAAGTGAGGACATGTCGGAAATATCAACAGCTGTCTGGATACACCTCCCTGAGTGATCAATTTCGATTCTATGTTTCCAGCCTGTTACTTCCAAGGCTCACACGGTCAATCCAATCGTCTCGGTTCCAACTGGCAGGGCGTCGCTATACTTCTTACAGCTCTGTCTGTGCTATTATGTTTATTATTTGCTTTACGGTATTTATATTTATATCACTGGTTTAATTTCAAATTCTTCCCCATGGTCGGAGGTTGATGATATTGTGTATATCCTTTACACCTGGGCAGCTTCAAGTTCCTTGATTTATATTTTCTGTACTGGGTTGAAGCAATGAGCCAATTGAGCCTTGCATCTGAAGTAATCAAGATAATAAATTCCGTCGAAAGGGTCTTTCCTATGCATTGTATATTCTAAATGATATCATAGGATTAATAAGAGTTTAGACTGATCAAGTATGCTTGCTTTCTGGAGCTAGAGATTATTCCATTTATTCTTTTCCAAAACTAAAACCGCTTCCGATCTTTCTTGAGAGGAGAAAATCCCAGAGGTGCAGCGAAGCCGAGATTTCGAGGAATTCCACTGGCGCCCGACATCTGCGTGGTAGTCGCAAGTATTGAACTTCTCCCACCCCCAAGACCTAACTTGCGCCCGGGTTTTCTTAGGTCGAGTCCCCCCTCGTCCTCATCGTCCTCGAACAATGACCGTTCCCGCTGAGCTCCGAGCTTTCGTCGCTTGGTTTTAGCTTGTCCCTGGTCCAGTGAAGACTCTAGGTCATCGCTGTCTTCTTCTAGAATAGGTTTGGGAGCTGGCCGGCTGGCAGGTTTTCCTTCCTGTGCCCTTGACTTCCCCTTCGCAGTTGTTGAGGGAACACGTGTAGAAGAATTACGGTCCTCGAGTGATGCGCGTTCGGCGGCTGGTTCTTCAGCGATACTGGGTTTGCGAGAGACCGTCTTGATTGCATCCTTTGCCTTTGCCTGTGCTTTTGCCTTTTTCGGTTGCTCCTCTTCCACGTCCGAGCTCGACGGAGAGCCTCTGGAATTTTTAGTACGATTCAGGTACGGCGTTATGGAGAATGCGGATTTATCCCCTGGTAAAGCTGATTGGCGTTTGAGCTTGTCTTGAACCCTGACAGCTCCCGGCGTTGAAATTGTCACACCACCTTGATAATCGGCCCCTCCAGGACCGGGCCGTTGAAGAGGCACAGTTCGGGATCGTGGTTCGGATGTTTCGTTTTCGATTCTCACATTGTTACGCCGGTGCTGTAATTCATTCTGGGCCTCTTGGAGCTTATCTTTCGCGGTCCGTAGTTGTTTCTTAAGGGTCTCGATTTTCGTCTCGAGAGGCTGATCGTTGGCTTTCCCATCCTGAATTTTGCTGTCGGTTGTCGTGCTCGGATTGCTGTTTTGCTCGCAGTTCTCTAGCGAGGTTACTCTCTAGTTCTTCGATTCGCACAGAGAGTCTGCCAATTTCTGCAGCTTGTTGTGAAATCTTGCCTCGCGTGCGATCATGTGAATTCTTCTCGTTCTCAAGCTGAACTTCCAATGAATTCAGCTGTCGTTCCAGCTCCTGTTTCTCTGGTATCAATGCTTGATAGGACGAATCTTGGTTTCGGAGACGGTCGAGTTCATTTTGGTGATTGGTGAGATCCCGAGATAAGCGTAGTTTTTCTGCGAGGAGATTGCTGTAGCTGGTAGATGTGTCGTTCATAGCTGAGAGCTCGTCCTGTCTGTCAATTAGATAATCGCTCTCTCAAAAGGGCGCGCGGAGTCAACACCTACCCTGAGCCTATTCGTCTCGCTAGAAGAAGACTGCACATGGGCATCTAGACGGTCAATCTCTTGAAAAGCTTCCTCCAGCTGTGTGCGCGCGTCCCGCTCGGATTCCGTAGCTCCAAGTAATTGTTCATTGGCTTGGTCGAGTTGCGATCGAAGAGCGTCACGTTCGAATTGAAGAAGTAAATACTCCATGCGCCTCACACGGTCCCTTTCAGTATTTAGGAGGCTCGTGGAATGGGCGCGCACTAATTCATATTCCTTCTCCAAACGCGTTGTTTGGATGGACATTTCGCACTAGAAGAGTAGAGTCAGTATGGTACTTGTAGACTTGCACAAATGTACCTCATTCTCGTACCAAGGACATACCTCTGATATCTGGGCTTCTGCTGAAACTGCCATGGCGCTGGTATACAATCTGGTGCTCATATGTAATTAATCTGATGTCGGTAGGGAAGCTCGAAACGCGCCGACGTTCCGACGCGGCTCCACTTTCTGGGCGGGGAGAGGATTACGTAACGGGCCACCTTGCAACGAAGCTTGGGGCTTCTCCGGTCTGCAACTGGTCCGAGTCGTCTACAACATCAATTCCTCAGCTTCGTGTCATGCCATCATGAAGTTCTGGACTTCGCTCTTTTTGTGTTTCTCGCTTCTCTCCGGCGCTCTCGCCGCGCAATCTTCGCCTTCTCCGGACAGATTTGAGAAGTATCAAGCTCTCTCTCGCTCCAGCCCCGTCGAGTTGGAGAGTTCCTCATTTGTGGAACTCACAACGGCTCCTCGGGATTATTATGCCGTTGTTCTTCTAACGGCGCTGGATGCCCGCTATGGGTGTGTTATGTGCCGGGAGTTCGATCCCGAATGGAACCTTATGGCTCGAAGCTGGAACAAAGGCTCCAAGCCTGATGACTTGAAGGTCGTCTTTGGAACTTTGGATTTCGACAATGGCAAGGCTGTTTTCCAAAAGGTACCAACTTGCCCTACACTAGCCTAATTGAAGCCATTGAATGTGAATTTGAATGGAAACTAACAATCTTGACTTGCAACAGCTCATGCTCCAAACCGCACCCGTGCTTCTCCTGTTTCCTCCCACCATTGGACCGTTTGCTAAGTTGGACGCCGAGCCGGTGAGATACGACTTCACCAGGTAAGAACCAATTCCTCTCGGTCTATTTTGAGAACCTCCTACTTATCTGTTTTTCCCCAATCACAGTCCAATTGGCGCCGAGGCACTGTACGCTTGGATCGGTCGTCACTTGCCTGATGGCCCCAAGCCCCCTCTGGTTCGACCCTTCAATTATATGCGCCTCGTCTCTGCAGTTACAATCTTGATGGGTGCCGTCACCTTGTTCACTGTTCTGTCCCCCTACATTCTGCCCATTATCCAGAACCGAAACCTCTGGGCTGCCGTCAGTCTGATTGCCATCCTCCTGTTCACCAGTGGACAGATGTTCAATCACATCCGGAAGGTTCCTTATGTTGCAGGCGATGGTCAAGGCGGTATCAGCTACTTTGCTGGTGGATTCCAAAACCAATTCGGCATGGAAACCCAGATCATTGCAGCCATCTGTAAGTGGTGATATCATTAAGGCTGCGGCTCTAATTATAACTAACATATCCCAGACGCCGTTCTCTCCTTCGCAACCATTGCTCTTGCAATCAAGGTTCCACGTATGGAGGATGTTAAGGGACAGCAATTGGCCGTGCTTATTTGGGGCGCTGTTCTGTTCATCACTTACAGTTTCCTCCTGAGCGTTTTCAAGGTCAAGAACGGTGGCTACCCGTTCTACCTTCCCCCATTCTAGGCGCGGTGTCTTTGCCTTTGCCGCCTTGCACAATTGAACCAACGAGGCTTAGACCGACGATTTTTGAAACTGAAACTCGTGTTGCCTCGAAGGATCTCAATTTCGATCTTTAGGAGAGCAGCCCCATCCAGGCGCAAGCATACGATCAAGAAACATTGAACTCGTGCGCTGTCGCCGGCGACATCATGTATCCATTGTATACTCGTAGATCAATAAAGAGAAAAGTTTTGTGTAATTTTTCCAATCGGTTTATACTTATTTTTGTAAGCTTGGAAGTTTAATAGAATGACCATGAGTCCGACTACGTAGAATACGTAAGCGTGGTAGTAAGCGGTCAGAGCTCTGGAAATCCAAAGTTGTACTTCGGCTTAGCCATCAACAATTCCTCTTTTGGACACGCGTCAATTACCCCCTCTTAAAATGGGGCGTGCCGGTCAAAAAACAGCCGGCCCTGGCAATCAAAATGAAAAAGAAATTGACAAAACCAGAGGCGATGGTAATCGAAATGTGCTTCGGTCCTCCGCCACTGGTACCACGTTTCTCATCATGATCCAATTGGCGTCGAGAATCTTCACCTTCGCCTCCAACCAACTGATATTACGAACATTGTCACCTATCGTGCTGGGCATATCCGCTCAACTTGAGTTATTCCAAGTGACCATTCTCTATTTCTCTAGGGAAAGCATCCGGATGGCCATTCAAAGACAACCCTTGGCATCCAACCCATCTTCTAGCACCAACGACAACGACAAAGACAACCGAGACACAGATAGTGACAAGCAATCTCTTGCCTCTCAGTCAGTTGTCAATGTGTCTTATCTAAGCCTATTTCTCGGTGTGATCTTTACAGCCGGGCTGACATGGTTTTACAAACATTTCGCTCCCGAGCAAGCTCACAATACCCCCTTTTTCAATCAAAGTGTGACGGTGACGGGTCTCGCTTCTCTATTGGAATTGACCATTGAACCATTCTTTGCGGTCATTCAGCAGCGCATGTGGTATGAGAAACGGGCTGCAGTCGAACTTCCAGCCGCTTTCTTGAAGAGTCTTGTGACTTGTTCTACGTTTTTCTACGCCTCTCGCCAAGGCCATGATGTCGGCCCTTTGCCCTTTGCGCTTGGGTATCTGGCCTACTCAACTGCTCTCATTTTTGGGTACTACTGGTCGTTGCTGTGGACTCCTTTTACACGGCGGTTTTCGTTTCTTCTTTCTCGAGTAGGATCTAGGTATCACATCACATTATCCTAGCCTATTTATCGAGACTCGCATGCTGACCATCTGAATGCAGCAACAATTCAGAATACATCTCCGGTCTATTCTCTCGCCGCTTAACCTTTTTAGCAGCAACTCTCTTTTTCCAATCATTGGTTAAACACCTCCTCACTCAAGGGGACTCGATGATGCTAGCTGCAATGTCCAGCCTAGAGGATCAAGGAATATACTCCCTAGCATCCAACTACGGCGGCTTAATTGCGAGGATTATCTTCCAACCACTGGAGGAAAGCAGTAGAAATTTATTTTCCGCACTGCTGAGTCAAGACGGGCCTAACAGCAAGCGAACCGATGTCCAACTCCGCACTGCGAAAGGTCAACTTGTCACCATTCTAAGAGCCTACCAGCTTCTCTCAGCCCTCGTCTTACCAATCGGACCTATCATGGTTCCGACGGTACTCAACATCCTTGGCGGTCGTCAATGGGCTTCGCCGAAAGTGGCTGATTTGCTATCGCTGTATTGTTACTATATTCCCTTCCTGGCTTTCAACGGCATCACTGAGGCGTTTGTATCATCTGCTGCCAATCCATCTGAGATTCGCACTCAGACGGGTTGGATGGGTGCTTTTTCTGCTTGCTATGCACTGGCTGCGTATCTCTTTCTCGAGGTCGGGTCTTTGGGTGCGTATGGGCTTGTACTTGCGAATATTGTGAACATGGCTGTCCGAACATTATGGAGCTATTGTTTCATTCGGAGCTTTTTTCGCAAAAATGGGAGCAGTCTAGGTATGAGTGAGATAAGTATGAAGCCTGCTGCTTATATCCTCTCTGCTTTGGCTACGGTGGCGAGTCAAATGGTGCCGAGTTTACATACGAAAATCATCCCGGCAATTGCGTTTAGCGGTGTCTACGCACTTCTGATGTGAGTTCAAGTTGGTGCAAAAAGAAATTGAAGCAAAAACAAAAATACATTTTGTGTGTCACGATCTAACTTGCAGCTTTGTCATTAGGCTCTATGTGGAAAGAAAATATATCATGCAACAATTGGCGGAAATTCGTCAAATCGCATCCTCCCGCGCCAAGGGACCCAAAAAACTCGAATAGTCAAAGTCATAGATGGGTATTCTCAATTTCAATTCAAACTTAACTCCTTTAATCATCGAAAGTAATTTTGGTGGCCTTCTTGTCCGAGTCGACGTCCTTGAAGAACGCGCCGTAGGCGTCGTGCTGCTTCTTCTTCACGGTGGTGCCGAACTTCAGAAGGTCCTCGGGCACATTTTGCTTTGCGGCCTTGAGGACGTTGACCAATCTGTAATGACATTGTCAGTATAATTATTCTGAAGCAGTAGCAACTGCAAGAAGCTAGAAAAGGAAACGAGATAAAAGACTTGACTTACCCGCCAGATAGACCCTTGTCTTGTTCAGTAAACATGGTAATAGCATGGCCGTCTTTACCAGCACGCCCAGTTCGCCCAATGCGATGAACGTAGTCCTCAACAGTCAGGGGGAAAGTGACATTAATCACCAACATCACAGCAGGGATATCGAGACCACGGGCTGCGACGTCAGTTGCGACAAGGACAGTCGCAGCTCCAGTCTTGAAAGCGTCAAGGTTACGGAAACGCTCTGACTGGTTCAGATCGCCGTGGATACCAGCAACCTTGAAACCTCTTTGACTGATAAGTCTCTCCACACGCATGGCTTCCTTCTTGTACAAGCAGAATACAAGAACCTTCTCGGGGTTCTTGCCCTTCTGTGACTTTGTCAGGAGCTGGATGAGTCGGTTCTCCTTGTCCCGGCCATCCATGACCTCGACGTCTTGCTTAATTCTGAGATTGGCGCGGGGGTCTGCGGAGGGGTCTCCACCAATGGTGACGGTTACCGGAGAGCTCATGAATGTGTTTGCGAGATCGCGGACGGAGCGGGGCCATGTTGCGGTGAACATAACGGTCTGTCTGCGAGAGACTGGCATCGGCGCGACGATATCCTTGATATCTTGCTCGAATCCTTTGTCCAACATGCGGTCGGCTTCGTCGAGGACGAGGTACTTGACCTTGGAAAGGTCGACGGAGCCGTCTTGTTGTAAGTCCTTCAGACGGCCTGGGGTAGCGACGACAATGGCGGCCGTCTTGAGGGCAGTGCGCTGCTCATCTTTACTGACACCGCCGAAGATACATACCACGCCGACATCGGTCACCGCGGTGTATTTGATGAGCTGGTCGTAGATCTGCATGGCGAGCTCACGGGTGGGGAGAAATGATGACAGCGCTTGGGTGGTAAGGCTTATTGCTCTTCTTGGACTGGGTCAGTTTGCGCAGGCAAGGCAGGCCGAAGGCCAGGGTCTTTCCAGAGCCTGTCTCGGCGATACCGATGACATCGCGACCGGCGAAAAGTAGCGGCCAGGTGCATGCCTGGATTGGTGTGGGTGCTGGGAATGACTTCAGTGGGTCGTACAGGTTGCTGTTGTCGCAGGGAGGCAGATAGTCAAAAGAGGTCAATGGGCGGTAGGCTGGTGCGTCTGCAGAGGGATCGGTGAACTTAATCACATGCTCGCTCATGAAAGTATCGATTTGAGACTGGGGGAGAGCTGTGAGAGCAGATGCTTGGGTGTAGGTGGACGAGTCGCTGGACGAGGTGCCATTTTCCTGTTCCGCAACAACGTTCTCGGTCTTTTCGGTCTTGTCGCTCTTGCTCTTCTTCTCCTTGGGAGGCTTGTCAGACTTGGACTTCTTCTTGGGCTTGAGCTCCGCCGAGTCGTGGCTTCGTTTTCCCATGGCGAATAAATCTGGGGGGGGGCGACAATTATGAAAAACGAATGGGGAGTGATTTGCAAAGCCGCATGCTTAGGGAAAATTTGGGAATTTTTCAAAATATTGCCGGGTGTTTCCGATGTCACCGCCGGAGGTTTGGGGTCGGTCCGCCGATGTGGGGAATGTTTACTGCCCCAGGTAAAAGGTGTATGTAAAGCATAAGATCATAATTTGTAAGAAACTAGGTAGTTGATTGATCTGGAATCAGATTCTCAGTATTGGCACTATTACACTAAAAGACATAACAATGATTTTGCAACCGGGTAACCCGCGCAGGATTGAAGCTGTCAAGGGAGAAGGAACGGAAAAGGCAACACCCCAAACAGTCAATATTCTTGACAGACTTGCTTCTCTGTGTGATACATCTCGTCTAGTTGATATTGTAGGCGCTGATTATATCGGCAAGACGAGAGGCTTCCTCGGAGTAGTTGATGGCTGAGGCGGATGATACTTGGTACCGAACTCTGAGTGATGTTAGCTTTGGGTTTCCTGGTCAAGATACATATCACTATTATAAAAACTTACCGCTGTTGTTCACCATAAGTGTCAATCTTTGCGCGGCAACGGAAATTCCAGGTGCGGCAATTGGCTTCTTGGAACACTTCCCCGAATGCGACAGGGTCATCCTCGTGAAGCTGCATCAAATCATCCGCCGACATACCCATGATCAGTCGCCCAGTGTCATCGAAGCAACTGAGCCAAAGCTGGCCGGTGTGATCGCTCACGCTAAGTGGCATGATGTAACGATACTCTGGCTTGGGGTGTGATTTGTCACACATCTCACAACGCCACTGGCCAGGATCCAGCTCAGTGACCTTCTTGTTGCAGCGTTCAGAGAGACAGGCGGGATAGCACCAGGTAGCATCTTGCTTGATAAAAACAACAGTCGCTTTCAAGGAGAAGTAATCCACCTGATCAGACATGCCCAGTTGTTCTTCAGTAACTTGGGCAACCGTCTTGAATTTATCAGACTTCATGCTCGAGCCGGTAGCACCAGATAGAGACGCATGCGAAGTGAAATTCTCAGTCCGACCCTGAGCATCATACCATCCCTTTAGTTTATGAGCCTCTCCGATGTCAGGATCGACCGTCATTGAGCCAGAGCTCAGCAAGCTGAGACTGCGACCGCCAAAATCGGAAACCTTGACTCCTTTGAAGGCAACAACAGACTCGGGAGCCACGTTGAAATTGACGGCAGTCGCACCCCAAATGGTCAATCGGACCGAGAACCCGGTATTGTCGACGAGGCCGAGCTCTCGTTTATCGTAGGGCTTGCCCGTTCCCTTTGAAACGATCTGCGATATTTCTCCAACTTCTTTCAGGATTCCAATCACATCGGTGGTTGTATCTTTCTCCACAGTTTGCAAGTCCCCGACAGTGGTGAAATTGAAGCGGATTTGGGGCACATCATGTTGATCCTCTGCCTATCAACCAGTATAAGTCAATGATCCCGAGGAGGTCCAGCGGAGGTATGAGATCTACTTACTTTCTCGACCACAGTATCCCGCTCGAATGTAAGCTCGTAATCGTTGTTCAAGTTTGTGAACTGTTTCTTGGCCATTTGCACCCGACAGGGGCTAGAGATGTAGTACACACCCCCTTCTTGGAAAAGGTCGTAAAGCATATCACACTGGTCATTAAATCCAGTCGCGCGGATTTCGCCGCTATCATCCAGCAAATTCACACTGAACAGCTTTCCTTCGCCATTCTTGTTGTGCCAGGTTTTGATGGGTGACTTGTTCGTACAGCGGGCCTTGATCGTCCATTTGTTATTGTAGGGAGAGATGGCCTCGATCGGGTGAATGGATGCATGGGTACCAGCTGAGGGTCCTCTCGTCGGTTGTGCGCGGTTTTGTTGCTGTGCCGGTGCAGCCGGAGGCTTTGAGCCATAGAATCCGTTGCTCGAAATTGCTGTTGGTTGGGGTTTTTCGTCGTCGTCGGCTTTGATTTCCAAAGGCTTCGGCTCGCCAATCTTCTCCGCTTCGCCCAGTTCCTTCATAACCTCCAAATCCAAAATGATCAAGATCCTACCACACATCAGCATAGCACCGTAGTAGCGAATCAGCACCCACTCACTTTTTACCCTTGACAGAGTTGGCTTGGAATGACTTCAGTTTGACAAAACATCCCTTTCGCAGAGATCCGTCTGTAACCACATGGTTGGCCTCTAAGGTGACGATTAGCATCCAGGGAGCGACCGACAGGGGGTGGATTTATATCTCATACGGCTGGCAAGCATAGTCTGGACGTAGTTGGCAATGTCACTGAATACGGCCCGATAACGCTCTTGGTGACCGGGCTGAGGAGGCAGAGGTTTGATTTGCACGCATTGAACAATGGGTTCATGGATCTGAGGCTTGGTTTCGTCGAAAATCGAACTATGTCCAAGGATGTTAGCCCTATATCAAGTTTTCTTCCCAGCTCGGTCGAGTTCTTTCAAGGGTCAAAAAAGCACATACCCCAGAGCCCCAACGGTTACCTGGGATGCCGCATCGGAGGCCATCTTCAATAACTTTGATGAAACAAGACAGAAGAGGCGAGAATAAGACCGAAAATGAAGCGTGAGAAATGAAGAAACCTCAAAGCTCGAGAGGCGATGAGGATGGTGGATAATGACAAAACCCGCGACGCGTAAATCCAGCCAATACGACGCGTAGAGTGCTTTAGATCACGTGGATGACCCCTCCAGCTAGTCTTAGTCTGATGAGGTAATCCATTCTGCCCCACGCCGAGAAGCTCTTCCTGCCTTGCTTTGCTTGACCACATCCTTCATTTGTAATCTTCTTTTGCTCTCTACACCTGCTCAACCTTTCGGCTCAAGTGTTGAGTCATTTTTACCCCTTCCACATCCAGCGAATCCTCTCCCCTTCCGCCTTGTTCCAACCGACCTTTGAACTCTCGGGGCCTCCGCCATCAACCCCGCACCGTTTCTCAAAGATGGCCTGCATCCATTCGGAAGCTTCAGGTTGGTGATATCGTTGGAGACTATCTATGACTTCCCATGATTTTCTGACGGTGAATCGAAATAGATATTAGCCCTCCAGGGCCCTTCCAATCGGTTTATCGAGAAGACTGTACCCAGTGTTTTGATTCTATTGTACGTCCGGGATCATTCAATCTTCTACATATTATAATAACACGACCCGCTTTCAGGATGATGCTTCCGGCCTTAACGTCTGCCTTCATTGCTTCAATGGTGGCTGTGCTGGAGACCGGGATCATGCCCGGCTTCATTTCCGGCGCTTCGGCCACTCTTTGGCGTTGAACATCAAAAGAACCCCAAAGCAGATTCAGGTGAGCATCCACCCTGAGAGGAAAATCCATTTTTGGTTCTGACTCGGATGTATCTAGCGTGACGAACCCCCGCCGAAAATCTCGAAGCTCGCAATCGCCGCCGAAACCGAGGCGGATCGTTACGATATCGTTACATCTGTGATATGCTACTCATGCGCTGAAGACAATGTGGATAAAACACGCGGCAATCTTCCCGCGACGGTTGAAGGTGTTATGAATGCCATGACATTTTCCAAGAAAGAGGAAGTCAAGGCATGGGAACAGGAGTTCATTCCTTGCGAGCATACTTTGTGTTTGGACCAACATGAGATTGAGAATGTGGAGTCCAAAGGTGAGTCATTCAATCGATCGAATTGGATTATGACGAGGCTCATTAAGATCGCAGATTCAAGTCAATGCTCGGCGTGTGATTTAAAGGAAAATCTATGGCTCTGTCTGGAGTGCGGAAATGTCGCTTGTGGACGTAGCCAGTTCGGCGGGAGTAAGGGAAATTCACATGCTGTCGCTCATGCAGACTCGGCATCGCATGGTGTTGCTGTGAAGTTAGGTTCCATCACAGCCGAAGGATCCGCCGATATATATTGCTATAAGTGCAATGAGGAACGGACAGACCCGGAACTTGCCAATCACCTTGCACACTGGGGAATCTATCTGGCCGGGCGTGAGAAGACTGAAAAAAGCTTGATGGAAATGCAAGTCGAGCACAACATGCAGTGGGAGTTCGCCATGACCAACGAGGACGGACGCGAGCTATTACCGGTCTATGGTCCTGGATTTACTGGGCTATCCAACCTTGGCAACAGCTGTTATTTGTCAAGTACCTTACAGTGTATTTTCTCCACTCAAGGGTTCCAGGAGCGATTCTACTACCCTTCTAGCGAACCTCCGCAGACCGATACTCCAGCGCAAGACCTTGAGACACAAATGAGGAAGTTGGCGGATGGCCTGCTTTCGGGTCGTTATTCTCGACCGGATCCACGCATTGCTGCGTCCTCGGGTACACCAGAGAGTTCGCATCAGAAGGGACTGGCCCCGGCAATGTTTAAATACTTGATCGGGCAGGGCCATGAAGAGTTTGCAACTATGAGACAACAAGATGCCTTTGAGTTTCTTCTTCATGTGTTCAAGTCAATCAGCTTATCAAATCACCCCGAGGGTAAAGTGAACCCAGTTCAATATTTCCGATTTCAGGTGGAGCAACGGCTTCAGTGTCTCGGCTGCAAAAAGGTCCGATACAAGGTCGATGAGCAAGACAATATCTCTGTTGCAGTGCCGGCGCGTCGTCTTGAATCAAGCACGGATCGCTTTGAGCCAGTGACATTGACCGAGTGTCTTGACATTTTCACTGCGGATGAAATAGTTGAGCTTAGTTGCCCGGCATGCGAGAGTGGCCTTGGATTTTCCAAACGGTCTTCCTTCAAGACTTTACCGTCCGAACTAGCGGTCAATGCCCGGCGGTTCGAGTTGGTGAACTGGGTTCCCACCAAGCTTGATATTCCCGTGATCGTGGATGACGCACCTCTAGACTTTGGACCCTATCTCAGCAAAGAACATGATGAGTTTGAGGAGCTACTCCCTGAGGAGGTTGCGGAGACAGCTACTTTCACTGCCAATCCTGCCGGCATGGATCTGCTTTTGAGCATGGGTTTCCCTCAACCAAGGTGTGAGAAGGCCCTCCATGCAACTGGGAATGCAGACCCAGAGGCTGCCATGAACTGGTTATTTGCACACATGGAAGATCCCGACATCGATGAGCCTCTGGTCTTAGCTAGCAAATCGGGAGATTCGCCACAGGATGAAGGCAAAGTGGCTCAGTTAGGCGAAATGGGTATTGACGCTGCCAGAGCCCGGAAAGCTTTGGCTGCAACAGATGGCGATGTCAATCGGGCTGTAGACTGGGTCTTCACCCATCCTGATGATGGAATGGGAGACCAGTTCGACACAAATACTAATGATGCTCCAGCCCAGCAAGACACACCTGGCTTTGACAGCTTGCCAGCTTCTTACCAGTTACGATCTATTGTGTGTCATAAGGGCACATCCGTGCATGCAGGGTGAGTCTTTCCTTTCTGAACCAGCATCCTCCAGCGGAATTTGCTAATCCCACTTAGGCATTATGTGGCCCTTGTTCGTAAGATGCTTCCGAACCAAAACCAGCTTTCATGGGTGATGTTTAATGACGAGAAAGTTGTCAAGTTTGACGACATTGAGGGCATAAAAAAGACCGCCTATATGTATTTCTTTACTCGGGTCTAGCCTAGAAGCTTAGAGTCTTATTTTAAGAATAACAAAAAATAACCTACTCTATAAGAATACTCATATACATATAGAGGGACAATAGTGGGTAAACACCCCTAATCTGTATATAAACAACCCCAATACTTAATTAAGAATAGCACAGTATATATAATGCTGAGATAATATATTATGTATTGTAACGGGCCTGGCCCGATTACATTTTGCGGCTTTGCCGCTCCCATTTACTTCATTACATGCTACCCCGCGCCCCCTTATCCTATATCTGTTAGCTAGTCTCTCCTTCTTCCCTAAGCTTAATATAGACAGTTTGTAATATCACCCTGTTGAATCTAAGCTTAGCTATAGCCCTTTATATATATTAAGCTTCTGTCTTGATTCTGTTCTGGTTCTTTTTTAAGTCGTACGTAAACCGCCAGACTAGTATCAGTCTCTTCTGACTATAAACCAGCAACCTAACCAGACTATACTTTTAGTACTTATAATGGTTACTAAGTTGTCAGGCTAGAGACCTATGACTAGGCAAGGATATCAGACAGTAGAGATCAGATTGGGCAGTCGATACAGAGACTGATTCTTAAGAAGATCAAGAATCCAGAATGCTTGTAGGATCTTAAATACATTAGGGTTCAGGTGGATATCAATATACAGATAACTCAAAGGGGATTCGCCTATAAATCAGCCTCAAGAGTCCAGGGTATTGTATACTTCAAATCCTATAATAATTTATCCTTCTCTCTCAGAGATAGTTAACTTAACCATTAACAAAGGTTAGAATTAGGTCAGGCGATCTAAGCCAAATAATATTATCTCATATAAAAGCCTAGGATAGATACTGCTTTAGGTATATTTATATATAGATATAAATAAAGTAATATAATCTCTTTAATATCTTTAAGATAAAAACTTCTATCTTTCTGTCCTTAACTCTTACTTTTCTCTTATCTTTATCTTACCTTATCCCTTTCTTTTATTATTAAATTATAATCCTTTACTATATCTACTACTGCCAGTCCTATAGCTCCTGCTACTGCTAAATTTAGTAGTTCTTCCCCTCTAGATACTATTTATCCTGCTAGTAATTATTAGGGTAGTTAATATATAGCTAAAGATAAAGATTATACTAAAGCTAGGGGTAGAGATAGTAATAATAATAACAATAGTCCTAGAAGTATAGCCAGTACTACCCTTAGTCCTTATCCCCTTTATAACTAAATTATCTATCCTTTATTTACCTTCTATATTAAGTATATAGCTAAAGTAGCCCTTTATCCTTCTACTACTACTATTTCTATAATCTAATATAACTAGAATTATTCTAACTTAATTATCTATACTCTATATAAAAGAGATAGAAAGACTTACTTCTAGGTATAAGACTCTTCTAATTTATATTTAATTTAATACTAATTTATCTTAGATACCCTATAGAATCTATAGTAATTTATACTAGCTCTAGTTAATTCTTAACTAAGTATATAAAGTTTAGAGTAGTAGTACTATTATTATAGTTACTAATAATACTATATCTATTTAGGGTATAGAAAGTAAGACTATAGCTATTAAAGAATCTACTTATCTTTTAGTATTATTTTAAAAGATAATCTTTATCTATCTCTTTTAGTATAAGCTCTATTTTAATATATAGAATATAGATTAAGCTATAGAGGGATATACTATATTTATTATTAAATAATAAAAGAAGTTAAATACTAAAGCTAGCTTATCTTCTGCTTAGCCCTCTAGTTATCCTAATAATCTTCTATAGCTATAGATTAGTAATACTAATTTTAATCTTTAGTAGAGTACTATTTAATTCTTCTTCTTAGAGATTATAGTAGGGTTTAAGTATAATATAACTCTAAATAGTATTATTTTAACTTTAGCTATAGTATAGATTATTAACCAGATTAAGGTACTTTTAAATTTATATAGGCTTCTATAGCAGTCTTTTATTCTTTATCTTACTTATCCTTTTTTTTTTATAGTTAAATAATCTTATTTAGCAGAAGTCTAATAGCTTTTTTTTAGTATTAATTTAGATATAGTTTAAAGAAGTTTTAGAGATACTTTATTATTATTAGGATATAGTTTTTTAAGTTTATTTCTTTCTAAATAAAGATATTATATTTTTTATATTTTTTAAGTACTCTATAGATTTCTATTAGTTATATTCTAAGGACTATCTAGTCTATTATATATAGTAGTATAGTACTTTATTAAAGATTCTTTTATTTTAAATCTTCTTAACTTTTTATTTTTTTTTATCTTTAAGTTTTAGTATTAGTATTAGTAAATTATCTTTATTTTAGCTATTCTATAGCTTAAAAAAAAGATAGAGAAAATATTATATAATTTTAAATATTTTTCTAATAATATAATATAGTATATCTAAGTACTAATCTTTATAAGAATATAGAAAGATCTAATTTACTAAGAAAATAATTTCTTTTCTTTAGCTTTAAAGTAAAGATTTTTTATTAAAAGAAATATAAGGCTTCTAACTTTAAAGTTCTTTAGCTTATAGGTTTTATTATATAACTTCTACTATACTTTCTGTATAATTTAAAGCTTTTTTATAGTTTTTTTATAAATATTTTAAAGGTAAATTATCTATTCTTTAATACTTAAAGCTTCTTTCTTAAGTATTTTTTCTAAAGCTTAGATTTAAAAGTTAGGATTATATTCTAATAGTATATAGAAAGAGATTTTATTAGTAGATATATTAATAATATTATTATATATAAACTATACTATTTTAAAAAGTTAAGCCTAATTTAATTACTCTCTATTAATAAAATACCTAAGATAATCTTCTAAGACCTAGTTAAGTCTTTCTGTCTATCTGTTAGTTTAGGGATAAAATATAGTAGAAAATTATAGCTTAATCTTAGAGTAGTAATAGAGTTATAACTAAAACCTACTTATAAAGATAGATCTTTAATTAGATATAATTTCTTCTAGATTTCTATATTTAAGTTTAATTTAATTAAAGAAAAGTTTAGTAAGGTTTTCTATAAGGTTAATACCTTAGTACTTTAACTCTTTAATATATTAGGTATATTATAATATATTTTTATATATTCTTTAGTAGCTTTTTCTAATAGAATTTCCTTTTTAGAAGCTCTTCTATATATATTCTTTTAAAATATTCTATAAGTTATTTATTATAATAAAGCTTAATTAGTTTTTATCTTAGATTCTCTATAATAAAGATATAGAGATATTCTTTATAATATAGAAGCTTTTTAGAATTAATACTCTAATATTTTCCCTATAGAATATTTTCTAGGGCTATATTAATTTTTTTTCTAAATTATTTTATCCTAATCTTAGAGTTCTTTAATTAATTATTTTAGTTTTTTTAGGGATTTATCTATAAATAGATCTTTATTTATAGTTATAGTAAATACTATTTAATAGAATATAAATTAAAAATAACTTAAAATCTTATAATATATTATATTATAGCCCTAACTTAGAAGAAACTTAGTTATATTATAGTCCTAACTTAGGAAATCTTCTTTATTATCCTCTAAATCTAAATAATTAGCTTTACTAAACTTATCTATAATTTTCTCTACTTTTCTTTTTAGATAGTCTTATATCTATAGAAAACTACTATACTTTTATAAATAATATAGCTATAATTTACTTATAAATTAAGCCTAAAATCTTTTTAGCTAGTAAAGGCTTTTCTTTACTAGAAGTTTAGAATAATCTATCTACTAAATTTATCTTATCTAAATAGTAATAGATTATAAAATTAAAAAATATTAAAGATAAGTATTATTAAGCTTATCTTCTATTAATCTTTAGTTAATCTATAAATAACTTTAAATTATAATAGTTAGTTAAAACTTTAATTTAATACTAGCTTTCCTTAAGATATTAATATTAATATTTAAATAAATAAATAATTATAAATAGCTCTTAATTTAGTATTATATAGTTCTGTTTTATAGATAAAAATTTCTTTAACTAAAAGATAATAAAATATTATATTTCTTAATTATTTAGTTATAAAAAGATTTTAGCTATTCTAAAACCTAATATATTAGTCTTAAGTTAGATAAGTCTCTTTAGATTAAAGTATTATAAAAAAGATATAATTAAAAAAGTATTAATAAAATCTTAAAATATTTTTAATTTATAGTTATCTAGCTTAATATTTCTTAGTTTCTTTCTATTCTTATTTTCTTTAAAGAATTTTATAAGTAGTAATATAATTAAAAAGTATTTTTTAATAAATCTTTAATAAAAGTTATAGAATCCTAGAAAGATTTAGATATCTCTATAGAATATAGGCTATTTTTATTTTTAGATAGCTTAAACCTATTCTAGATCTATAGAGATATTATTTTAACTAATAATAAAGCTAAGAAATTTAACTTTTTTTTTATAGAATTAATATTTAGAGACTTTAATAAATAGCTAAGCTTTTTTTAGCCTTTTAAGTATAAAACTGTCACGGGCATCCTTGGGGGAGGATGACGATGACTAGTTACCGCGCGCTACCTTAGTATATATATTGGTGCCTAGGAATATCAAAGCGAGAGCTTTGATATAGTGGACTTTTTGGTCTATTGGAATTGGCACATGATCCTAGGCATTACCGTTACAATTATATCAAAGCTCTCCGGGCGGCCCCTACCGGATTCGGCGTGCAGATAAGTTACCTGGCGCGGGTTCGATTCTGGCTGCTTGCAAAATCCTCTTTCTAATATGATATATCTCCCTGAACTAGATCACGTGGTACGTGCTAGTTATAGCTCTGTATCTAGATACGATTTTGGGGTTCTACTTTATATATATCTTTGGCTGTTCCTATCTCTCTCCTTATATAAGCAAACGAATACTGGCTAGTTGGCGCTTGAAACCTTAGTAATATGATTCGGGTGTATACAGGCCTTTAGCGCAGAACCTTGGTAATCAGAAGCGATTCAGGTTGGCCAGTTGACGCTACATACCTTGGAAATTTAATCCAGGCCTGAGGTCAGGCCTTATTCGGAGGGGAAGATAGTTGTCACGGGCATCCTTGGGGGAGGATGACGATGACTAGTTACCGTGCGCTACCTTAGTATATATATTGGTGCCTAGGAATATCAAAGCGAGAGCTTTGATATAGTGGACTTTTTGGTCTATTGGAATTGGCATATGATCCTAGGCATTACCGTTACAATTACTAAGGTATTCTATATACTCTTTATAGATCTTAGAGAAGATAAAAATATTATCTAAATATATAATATAAATAATATTAAGAAAACTATAAAGTATAGTATAAATATAGCTTTAGAATATTACTAATATATTAGTAAGGCTAAATAGTATAACTATATATTTAAAATAACTATATCTTATATAGAAAGCTATTTTCTATTTTTTTTCTTTTTAAATATAGATCCTATAGTACAAGTCGCATTTACCAGGAGGGCGCCGTTTCCGGCAACCGCCCACGTTGGGTTTAGCGCCCGCTCGATCCCGGCCCGGTCGGGCTTAGCGCCACCCTCATTTGGTATGGTGTCCTGCGCTATCCCCCAACAGGAACTGCCATCCGTCGCCGCCCGCGACGGCCTCGTCGACTATATAGTCCGGACGGTGCGTCGCTCGACCACTTCTCCTTCTTTTCCCACGGTCATACGCTCATCTTCAGCTCGCGAGCCCGGTCATCACCGCTCCGCTCCCCTGCCTCTCGGAAATGACCGTCTCCACAAGGAGCGCTGCGCCCCCCTCGGCCTCCACTTACGTTCCTATGATGCCTGTGGGCAATCCCCAACAGCGACATCCCAGCGCAAGTCGCTGATCTTTCCAGGATGGAGGCATACGAGATGGCTCGTGAAGTCCCTTCACCTGCCTAATCTGGCCGCCCCAAAATGGTCTTCCGGTCCTGGGAATTGCCTATTGGATCCCTGTCCAGCCTTTTGGGGCATTGCTTCCTATTCGGAGGATTCGAGTGAGCCTATGCCTCATTTGCGAGACGGGACAATGGCCGGTGCATAGGCGTGAGGTATTTTTGTCAGGTCGGCGCAGCACGGCCACCAATGGCAAAAATGCCTCTTCGGTTCCCCTCATGCCTATTATCCTGGGCACGTAAAGACGCTCCGTTTGATCTCCACAGATGACTTTATTGAACTCGCTACGAGCTGCTCTGGTTGGTGAGACTTTCTCGTGGTCACATCCCTGAATGTCACCTGGCGTTCCATATTTCGCACGGGACTACAATAATTCCAACGGAGATCTCGCGGATTTCGGCCTTGCGAGGCTAACGCGGTGTTGTGCGTCACAATCTGCGATAGGGCCCGAGTGATTGACCTAGCGAAGTGGCCTAGGGAAGTTTCGTCATATCTGGATAGTTTGATTGGACTTCGATGCACGCTGATTGCGCAAGAGGGTACGCTTGTCCCTGGAATGAGAGCTATGGTCAAAGGACGAAGGTCTTAGCGTGACGGATTCCGACGTAGAATGAAACGATCTCTTCGTCTGTGGATCCGATGCTTGAGGGATGCCGCTCTGCCTGGAAGGCACGCCGTTTGACCCTCTTTCCAGAAATAACCTTAGATACTTTATAAGATGCCTGCGCTCCTTTTACATTTTGCCATCCATGCACATTTCTTTGGTGATGCCGGCCGCCATGCATATCAACCTTGATAATATTTGCTTCTACGACCATCCCCCTGCGAAGCCTTCCTCGCGTGCCTTGCCTTCTTCTTGGAGGGCCTATAATCCCTCTGTAGGCCCGCAAACTCTTCCGCGTGCACTCTCGCCAAGATCGCATTCTTATGGCAACTTGATATCCGGTGCTGGCGTGGGTGTCTTTTCCCAATCTCAGGCTCCTGCAAGAGAACAAACGGATTTATGTGCCGGCAGTGAATTTGATTTCGAAATACAGAGATCTTTGACCCAAAATAACCAGGTCGCTGATGAGACAGACCTGGGCAGGTACCTCAATCATCCAGGACTCCAAGACGAAGATACTATCGATGTGCATCCAGGGGGCCAAACGTCCCCCGTCAGTGGTATGTTGAGATACCGGCGAGTCACGACCAGCGGGCGTAACTAATATTGTCTATCCATCATATAATCCAGACGATTTCCCTTTAAGAGACACCCTGGGTGACTTAGATATATCTTCGACAAACAAGGATCCTCAATCCTCTCGTCCAGGTAGGCCCGATTGTGAAAAACTTCCTCGACAAAATTCCTAACTCATATCAGGCCAGCCCCTTGCCCTCGATGACTTACTAGGATGGCGAAGAGACAGTATCTCACCGCTAGCAACTCATAATGAGACAGACAAGGGCCCTCTTTCACCAGAAAGCAGCTTAGGTTGCCCACGTATCTTCTCAACGCCTCCACCAGATCTTCCAGTACGCCCTAGCATCGAAACCAGCTTACAAGGCGGCTCCATTGTGGGTGACACCGAACGCGAGGAAAACAGCGGAGATCGAACAGGAAGTCCAGAGGATGAGGTGGTAGCGCCAAGTGCCCAGGTCAATGCACCCTCAACCAGCGAGGCTCTGTCGGAGGAGGATGCTATAGGCAGACTCACCAAAGACAGTCATACGTCTGTCACATTCTGTCTCGCATCTCAAACTCGCTCAACTATCCAATCGCAGGCCACGCTGGTAAAAACGCCTTCCCCTCAACTGCGACGAAACCTAAGATCCACCCGACATGAGCGATTTCCTGCCGTTTCAGTTGTCATACCCACCCGTCGAAACGATGAACTAGTGGCAAGGACCAGGGAGAACCGTCGTACTGCGTCAAAACGACATAGGCATCGGGGCAGCAGCGACAAAGATCGAGAAACACAGAGGCCAATGGATGATGACCATCCACCACGTTCGGACGAGCGCAATTCCAAGACAGGCGGCCGCTCGCCGAAACAGCCGAAGAGGGCAAAGAGGGCAAAGAAAAATCACTTGCCTTCCGGAAATATCGTCGGGGAGAGATGCGCTAATCAGCCTCAAGAGTCTTCGGAGGGTGGTGCAGCTTTCATATTGGGCAAAACAGAAGAAATTTTCGGTCGCGGAGTGCTACGTATCCAGGCTAATGGTCCTCGGTATGCCTATTTTATGACATTCCTGCCAGAAGTTTCTCGCCACCCGTCTATGCCACCTGAAGCATCTCACGGGCAGTCTTCACGCGATGAAAATCTCCCTGAAAATTCCATCACGCGACGAGTGGGGCGTAGGAAACGTACACGAAGTATGTCTACGGGGGTGGGTGAGAAGCGCGATGGAAGGCCAACGGAGATGCTACGAAGCTCTTGGTCTTGCGAAGGCGATAATGAGAACCAGAAGAAGCCTAGAAGGCGCTTGCGATGGTCTTCGGAAGAGGTAGACTATCTCAAGGGACTCAGAAGCGATGGGCGACGGCCGTGGTCGGAAGTGACAAGGTTATTTCTGGTCCGATATCCTGGAAGAAGTCCTGCCGCGATTCAAGTATATTGCAGTACACACAGGCTTTGATTAAGCCACGCCAATCTTTTCAAGCACACCATTTCTCTCAACCTGTGTAGTTTGGCCGTTATGATACACGCTGAAGACTAAAAATCAGAATATTGTATTTGGGCCCACATTTTGCCACATCCTCCCTCCCCCTGTATTTCATAACCTTGGTATGTCTCATGGCGGTTCATTTCACCTCATGACCCATTAGAGCTGAATCTCAACAGGGGAATAGAACTTGTCGTTTTCTCTTTCAACTCTGTGTTAAATCCTCCTCAATTCGGATGACGTGGTGGAAGAAAACGGAAAGTTCTGGCTATTTCTCCAAAGGTTCCCTCCATGGAGGCTATATGTGGATAGCTGGGAAAAGACGCTGTGATCTTGAATTTGCCCGTTGATCTCGAAAGAGGCCCGTAGATAGGTTGAATAGCTTCAAAAACAACATCCCGCTCGGGGATGCCTTCTGACGTTACGTCAAATATCTGAACTCCCTGGATCTTCATCAGGACGTTTCTTTGTTTCAGTGCAAGCGCAATTGGGACGAGGCATCCTTTTTCGCTGTGGTACAAGTCTTCTTGATGAAGCTTTTGCCACATTTGCGAGCAGAGAAGGTATTCCTCCCAGCTGTTTAGAAGAGACCGTTTCCATTTTGCCATCATTGCCACATAGACCTGCGCAGCTTCGAATTTGAAGCCCGTGGTCACGAAGAATTGCTGGCACGCATGTATCAACTTTAATGAGTGCAATGTAACAATTGGTACTCCGCCAACAACCTCAATGGTAAACCTAGGTCCTTTGGGATGGTGAGTATCTTGGAGGGTGCGTTATTGAGGTTTGCGGACCTTGAATGCCAGCGGCGGATGAACCTGCTTCACATAATTGGTCCATATCTCCGCCCAGTACCTCCTCGTTGGATATTATTTGAGGTAAACAAGGCAGCGAGGCGAATTGAGAAGGAAGATATACAGGCTCAAATTACGGAGGCATTCCTCTTATATCGTTTCTCAACTTGGGGGGAAACAGAGCCGAAAAGTAATTGTGACTGCTCCGTTTGTTGGCGCCTTTCATGTGAAAAATTTAATGATAGTTTTCATAAGATTGGCTCTTTCCTCAGGCGGTCCGCGAATGGCTTCTTCAGCATGGAAGTGGATGAAGCGTTCTCTCAAATTCTTTCTTAAATATTGCAGAGTCAAATCAATTTGACGCCGCCAAGACCCTGGTCTTGGCGGTTTACTGAACAGCCAGCAACAAATTGAGGACCGATCAACACGCAGGTTTATGTTGCATTGTACTTTTGAATTATATCAAAATGCATTCCAAGCAATTGTATTCGAATGATGTACTTTGGTGACAATGATCAGATTCAAATCAAAACAATTGATTCTGATGGGCGGCCAAATCTTGATGTTCACTGTAAAATCGTATCCAAAGGCATTTCCACCGCGGCCCTCAATTCACTGCGGCATGCCCAATGGATTTTCTGCGCTAATGTCTTGGCAATGAGGTCCGCAAAGAGTTGGTCATTGCCTAATGGTCAGTGTCTATTGGTCAAGACGATTTCGCGAACAATTGTATTGATTGTTTTGCCAAAAATAAAACTAGCTCTCAGGCGCAAGGGCCGCCTTTGGGAGCAACTCCCACGAGATACGAAGCATATTCTCCTTCCTGACCTTGTCTTTAGTGCTGATTGATTCCCAAGGCACTAGTTCCTTCGCCTGACAAATCTTCAAATGTAGCAGAAAGAGTTCATGGATACATTTCGGCTCCCCATGAAGCCACGAACCACAGCGCAGAATTCCGGTAGATCTATCATGATATTGCACGAAAAATAGCAATTCCGGACTATCGACCGTATTGTGATTATACATCAAGCCCAGGTATTGTTTAAACTCTTTGATCGAGGCTAATCTCTCGATATCTAGATAATTAGGCTTTTCAATTTGATATCAGCTTATAGATTTGGGGAAAGATCGCGCTCTGTGAGAAACTTACAGTGGGCTCCGTTGACTGATCTTCCCTTGGCATACTTGGTGAGAATCTTGACATTTCAGAAATAACATCTATCGCGGTCGGAATAAATATGAATATGTGCAGGTATGCGGGGGAGTACAAGAATCTCATTATCTGTACAGGGACGATCAGGTGCTGCTCATATTCTGTCAGCTCAAGCTACTCGAAAGATGAAGGCCACCAGTGGAGAGAATTTGTCTCACAAGATTGTGTGTCGGGTACTGGATCTGTTGTTTCGGTATTCGTAGTTGAAAACACGGCTAAGATGGTAACAAATCCGGTTCTGATACTTTCAATGAAACTTTGTTGAGCGTTAAAAGTAGGAGAACTTTGGTCCGGATCATTCGATGGAGTGAGATTATCTGTTGTGTCCCACAAAGTAAGATCATCTCCAGCAGAGAAAATGGACTGTAAGCATTTTGGAACGAGTGAGAACTGCAAGCAAGCCATGAGAATTATCTGAAATGGTTGAGGATGCTCATAAAGGGGATTATTATAAAGAGAAATGGCAGCTTCCTAATTATAAAGCCTTTGACCAAATCCCTCGCCAAAACCGAGACTCGAACTCCAGAATCCATTTCAAGAAGAGACAAGATCTTCCAATGGTAAGTCGCCATTATCCGTTACGAGTGCTTCGCCTATTAACATACGAAGGCTATCCCGACATTTTTTCTCCAAGGTGCAGCAGCATCAGCCTTGCAAACAATATTAAAGCTGCGAGTTGAAGGTGTGACAAAATATGGAAAGATATCCGACAAAGAAATCAGCGAGGACGCCACCCTGGTTCTCAAGGCCTGTGAAGCTCTGCAGAAAACTCGCGACCAGGAACACGTCATTCTAGACGAAGGCATTGTGTGTGCATGCACAAAGACGCTTGTACAGACCCTCAGCCATACCACTCTTTTGAAATTGGCTCTCATCACTTGGCATTTCGACGCATCTGGAGAGCCTTCGGAAGGTCTGAGCCGATTTCTCAGACAACCCGGAAATAGTGCAGTCTGGGAAGCAGTCCATTCTGGATACCGGCAGTCAGAGAAAAAGGATGTGTCTCTTCAGAGTTTCAAAATTTCTCATGACTTTTTGCTTTGGCCAGCTCTGTGCTGAGTGGCAATGTGACTGGTGTGAGATCAACAAGAAATGCATAAAGAATTTGTATGCAGTTAAAGCGACTACGACTAGTAAGATTTTTATTTTGGGCTGGGTAAAGACACGTCCGATCTATGAGAGCAGTGCCAACAACTGTTTATCAGCCAGCCTTTGTTTGACAGCGAAAATTCAAAATATTCAATTCATCTTGCAGATTCAATTAGACAATGTTATTGCGAGTCGGACAGTGCGTAAATCTCATAAGCTTACAATATTTGCAAGGTAAAGCTCCAGTGCAGACCTATTCTGTCGTTTACTTGGATGAGCTGGCTGAATCAGTATTGACACATCCCTGTCAGGTGGGCACATTTCTTGATATGTGCCCACCGAACGGGGAAGACATGCTTGCTGCAAGGGGTCTAAGCGTGCGTTGGTTGGCGGAACAAGTTGAGCTGAGAACAACGCCAAGGAATGGCGCAGGTTCCAGGCTCCTCAAGCAAGACTAGTGGCCAATACGAAACAGCGAACGCTGCATGCAACGTTGAATGGATGAGTCTGACCAATAATGGACGCATATGTGCGTCCGATCGACATGCTGATGCGATGTGATTGGCATGTAGTGAGCTGCAGGCTCAAATTCAGCTAGCACAATTTCGAAAGTTGTGCCAGCTCGCGAGAGGGCCTTACCGCCAGAATTTCTTGTATCACCCTGCTGTTCTCTTTCTCGTCTCCTCAAAACCAAGCGATTGACTATGTCTAACATCGAAGATATTCTAAAAGCAACTGACGATTTGACGGCATTGTCATTTATAAACATTCAGGAGCTGCTCCCTCACCGAAATAGACTGGAGAACGCTTTGCGCATTCTTCAAGAAAAGGTCGATGCAACGCGTGCAATTCAGTCCAAGCCCGCCGCATCAAATTCTTCCAGCGCATCGATTGTCGAATCTTCGAACTTAAACGAGGCTCCCTGCCCACTTAACAGCTCCAACTCGCACCATGATGCTGATCAAGGAGTACAAAATGTTTTATCTATTTTGTCGGAAGAGAAGGTATCAAAGAAATTAGAGAACTATTTGTCATCGCCTATTCTCGATTTCACGAAGTCAAACGAACTCGATTGGTTCGAAGAAGACCCCCGTTTGGTAGACATCCGACTTTCGTCTCGTCCAAGCCCAACATCTCATGTGAATCTCCGGCGGGGATTGAGCCAAAGATCGCTAGCTGTCGAGTATGACGAGTGGGAAAAGAATAATTTTCAAACTTCCCGAGTGATAGAGCTTGCACAACATCCCGCGAGTTCTAAATCTCGTCAAAGCCATATCAACCAGTTCGTTGAGGCGAATAAGCATCGTTTCAAAGACAGAAACACAGCTTTGCATGGAATTAAGCACGGAATCAGGCTTCTTGTCTTCGAAAAGATCTATGGATGTGCCGGCACATCGTCAGTGTTCTTCTTCATCTATGGGTATTTTCGGTCCGTGAAATACGAGTTTTATCCGGACCTGGCCAAAAGTCTTAAGCATACTTTTTGGGATCAGGTAGTAAAAGACAAGAGCAGCTGGCTAATTCAATACCAACATCAATATGATGGTAAGTCTTATTTGCTCCTTCTGTATTATCATAAAACTGATTTCACAGACTTCACAACAAATTGGCAACAGCACCAAGCACATTGGCGCAGAAAACGTCGACGAAGTGGCAGCACCGATCTATCAGATCATCATTCACAGGCCGCATGTGCACAAAGACCTCAAGAAAAAGTCACCGGCGATGCGTGTTCTAGGGCCCACAGTCGGCCGAGATTGAGTGGGAGCGAGCAAGTCCATAATCTCAACAGCGGTCGGACTCCTGACAGCCTGACAAATTCATTTTCTCCTCTACAATTTCCATTACCAAGTCTGCCGAGCCGTCAAGCTTTGATGATCGCAACTAATTCAAGCGAACCCCGGCCATCTCAACGACATACGCAAGCTGGAGGGCATTTTTCTTCTCCGAGCAGAGTTGACGTGGACTCCGATACTACAAGTCGCGTTCTAGCCTTTAATACCAGTCTCGGCCCCGGCCAAACATCGTGTGGTAAATCCCCGGCTCGGTTCCGTGAAAAGAGCCCCCTTCATGATACAAATCCCCAGGGGCGTCGACCCAGCGAAGCCAATTTTAGCACGCACATATGGCAGCAACAACATCAAGATCATTTCATGGTCAACCAGGCCCTACAGACCACAGCCAGCGGCAGCGATAACACTCATGATACGCAAGGCTTGCGTTTCTCAAATCATTCTGAGCCTGGTACAATACCCACAATGCATCCTATTCAGTTTCCACAGTTTGTCCTGCCGACATCTATCGATACAGTCGTACCCTCTACTTCACCACAATTCTTCTTGCCCGCGTCGATGGATGCCGAGATTTCAACATATTCTATCTACCGAGAGCCTGCTGTGGATATCATGGTCTCTTCCGAGTTCCCTCAATATGGCCCATACGCGTCCGCGCAACATACAAGTAACAATAATACAGGAACAGGAACACCAGACACTTTCCCATTTCACCATAGCACCAATAGCTTCAATCCCAATGCGGGCGCAGTCGGTATCATGACGACGGGTTGATGTGGCTTTGCGAAATCATTGCGGCTCCGAAGACTGCGGAATTGCCAAAATGAAGTAAAGCGAACCACTCAGAACTACTTCCTCTTCAAATAGTATTGGTTGTGAATCGGGTCTGAGATCCTGCCCACCAACAATAGTGCCTGTCCCGGATATCGGTTGAATAAACCCTTTTGGCTCTACCATCTTCGTCGTACCCGTAATTTTCCATGCCTGTAAGCCGCAACTTCTCAACTGAGCAGGTAGTTGCTCAGCTACACTGACCCATATCGTTTCAAGTTTGGGGTCATCGCAAAAAAAAGTGTTCTGGCCCGTTTGTCGCCAGTTCGCGCCGATGAGGAATTCAGCAAGCTGGTCCATTTGCATATCAAAGATACGAGACAAGTAGTAGGTCGGGTAATGCGGTAACTATTCGTATCTCGCAGTTTCAGTCTCAGCGTTTGGGGCTTCTTGTATTGGCAGTCATTGCTTACCTACGACCGAGATGAAAATTGTCGCATAAGGATGAAATGGCGCTTTGGCTTGAAACTTATTAAGGCCAAAGTTCAACCCGCATTCAACTTCGGAGTGACAGTTGACAGCCTAGGCACAAATTTCAAATGATACGAGGAAACCCAGGTGATGCTTACAAGTCGCAAAGAGAAGACGGAGGGGTATTTCGAAAGTGGTAGTGGGGTAGGCAGAAAATACGTCTACCCAATGTAACCAACCACGCGGTTTTGTCAGGTTTTCGCACCTCTGTTCAAAGACCCAAGGGTCAGATGACCGAATTCACAAGGCAAGATGTATTGTAATGTTCTAAGTAGTCTCCGTCTGCCGAGACACCAAACTCACCGTGATCTCTTCTCCGCCAATGGATGTCAGTCAATCGGGAGTTATGACCCACTGGGTAGGCCGCTGCCCAGTGGGTCTTGAAATAATACGTGTGCTGGTGACCTGCCCGATTACGGAGTGACTGTATGCATGAGAATTGAGTAATCCAGTTGAGGTGTGACGAAGGCTGTCTACATGTTGTGTTCTGCAAACCAGCTTTTTCTCCTTTTTGTTAATAGATATATCTCAGTTAGAGGTATTTGGGAGCATTCAATGGTCTACATTCTGGTGGCCAGTGGGTTTAACATGTCGCCCTTTTTTGGCCCCTCATCCGAAAAATTTTCGCCTGACGAGAGCGGGGCTCTTAAGACTTAAGATTGGCAGCGTTAAGATCTCCACTCTCTGCGTACCAGGAACGACTTTCAAAAGCGGCATAGTTTTATCTACCTCTCACAGAAACCGCAAATTTCCGGTTTCTCGTTGCGCTTTTCCTTGTCCAAATTGAAGTTGGGTTCGGAAGGTCAACTAGATGGTTCGCTTGCAGTTGCTTCGCTATCCTAAACCGGATTAGAAAGTATTGTAATTGTAGAACGAGATATCATCTCCAAGTCCGAAATAATTGTGGGTGGAATCGAGTTTGCATAGCTCAGCGATTATATTTTGAGCAAGGCCTTTAGTGGCAATCCACTGATAGGATTTGGTCCCCTATTCACTGCAATTTAGCCGGAGGCTGAACTACCTCCCGTTTTATTCTAGCGCAGCCAAGGGTAACTGATTTTGTTTGGATTCTGTCGTCTCGCTCGAGGTAGATGCATGCGGAGTTGTAGATTTCCTGCTCTGTAGTTTGCCGGTGCTTAAAGTCGTGTCAGGCAGTGATTTCCTGGGGGGCAGGGGATTGACCCCGTGTTCGATCGAGATGGTGTTTGGACTCTCAACGCTCGGGAGAGGGAAGTGGCGGCAATGGCGTGAGAACTCCAAGAAAGTGGTCAGACGCGTGGACACTTAATCCCGCTTCGACTTCTTTTATTCCTGGTAAAGAGAAACCTTGATCTGGGGAACTGCTGTCGGCTATCGGATGATGCAAAGGGGGGAGAGAATACAGCTGGGAGGAACACTGGTCCAGTGTTTGCTCCAGGAAAGCCGATGTCAGCTGATATTAACTCCGGCAAATGTATTTATCCGGCGGCGACGATATGATTGTGTTAATAGTAGACTGGACCGGCAGCTGCTACTCTGTGCTCCGTATCAGGGTGAATAATAGGCTCACCTTTCTCATCCTCCGCATTTCCTATGGAACACGATTCTGTATGCTCCAAGATCTGCCGATTAGATGTCACGCAGTCACTCGCCAATAGACTTCCTAAAAAGCAGAAAAACGTACGTTTCTTGCCTGAGCACTGAAATCTCTCCGGTGGGATAGGTTCTATGAGCGAGACTAATTAGCTTCCTTCGCCGACAAAACCTGCAACGGTCATGTGCCGGAGAATGCCAGGAGAGCTGACATCTGACGGATTATCTATAGGTAAGGCTATGCGCTCCGTTTGAATTGTCAGTTTTGAGTAGGCATCGATGGAAAAGTGGAGGGGAGATTCAGGCATCCCGCAGGAACAAAAGCGGCCAATGGAGTAATAACTCTAGCAATAAAGCGCGGTTTAATATGTTTTATCTGAAGATAAACCCATCTCAGCTTCTCCACAAACCGGCAACCTCAAAACTTTGAGCTAAGTAGATCCTCATCATATACCTCAAGATTCCCTCTGACGTATTGATCATCTCATTCCACCATTGACTAACGTTTACAAGACTTAAATTAAGCCATGTGCAAGTATTATCAAGTACGGTGGATAATATGCCTCATCTTTGACGTGCTGAGTTCAACGGTCTGTTTCGCCGAAGCATATGTGTTCCGAACTGGTAGCGTCTGAGTTGATCCATGTTAGTGGTGAACATGCGCTATCCAATATAATAATTTTGTAAAAATGGTCGTAATGGTAGACCGTAAAGTCGCCATGTTCAACACATGTCTTAGTCCTTGTGTGTAAATATTCTTGAGGGTTTATGGCCTATTTGGATTGGGAATCCTGAATCTCCACTGACAATCCACAAGGCTGAGTTGCGTCATTGCCCTAGTTCGATCCCGAGCATAGGCTGGGAACTGTTATGGAGGCCCAGGAGCAACAAACTTTGGTCTACTCCTTTGTGCAACGTCCTATATTTGTGTCCCAGATGTCCCAGAACATCACAAATGCATAGCGATTTCACCTAGTTTGATCGGGATCAAGAATTGTGGCGCCGAGGATATTCTGCCCAGCATAATTCTCAACCAATGGGAAGTTATCATGCTTATTCTACCGCGTGAGCATTGCTAACACAAGTCGCTGAATACACAGAAGCAATTTGAGTCTTCTCAACCTCTATGACCATAATTCAAGTCGCAATGATTGCAGCCATGCAGCTTCCGAGACAAATGGCGTCAAAATGGTGTCAATACAAATGGGCCAGTCATCATCCCATCTTAGAGCACAAACAGCCAAACAATATTCCCAATACGCTGGGTACCATCCAGACTTCTCCCAATCAATCAACACAGCCCGTGTTCTTTTATCATCTTGCTGAATCTTCTCCTGAATAATGATATTCTTTCTTTGTAAATCGCCGTGGGTGAAAGTCGCTTTGTGGTCTTGGAAAATGAGAGGAAGGCATTTTCGAAGATATTCCACTCTGTAGTGTGGGCCTCCATTATGGGAGTACTTCCGCAACATCGCTTCGTTGAGGCTTTCTTCAGAATCGAACGGTCCATTCACTAACGGGTCTGGTTCTTCTGTCCAAAATATTCCATCCAGAAGCTTTCTTTTGCCGAAACTTCCAAAGTAGTTTGGAGATGGAAGCTGACGCATTTCATTAAATTGGATCCGCAGGTCGCTCAGTATATCTTGTTTCTCGGTTTGTGTAAGTTGTGGCCAGGCTGCGAGAAGTGTTTGACCGATGATGCGTTCCATGACGATAAAGCTTTTGCCAGTCTTGGTATCCGAGTAAAGAGCGAAGACTCGTGGGACACAGATATTTGTATTTTCCCGGACAAACAACATGTTCTCCCCTTCAGCGAGGTCGACTCCTTGCCCAAATTTCACAACAAAATGCTGGCCTACCCCGACAACTCTTCGCCCTCCATATTCCAAGGATATGTCTGGAGCATTTTCGATTTCGGAATTGGTTGGTAGAGGGTGGGGCAATTCTGCTGCGTAAAACGGAATGCTAAATGATTCCTTCATTATCACCTCAGATCAGTCAGTAGACAGGCTGAAGAGCTGCGAAGAACAGGGCGCCGGCGGCCACTCCTATTTATTAGCCAGTGATGCAAACATCATCGATTTATTATTTGTTTGTTTTTGTTTATTTGTTTGTTTCAATCACGTGATACGAATGATCGATGCCATAAACTCGGACGGGAAATGGTTGTTCCGAAGGCAGAGATCACGTACAAATGTTTGTTTCCTTAGCTTAACTAGCTCTTACAACCGAAGGAATCCCTTCTTGAAAGTCGGACGACTAGGCTACATATAGCGCCAACCAAATAAATTCAGACCATGAAATACAGACTAAGATAAGGAGAATCCGAAATGACGAAGGGGTCATTCATTCAAGCGGCTCATTGACTAAACTACCAAGCACCAAGGACATGGCATCCGATTGTATTCACTGATTTGTATCCAGCTTGTTTGAAAGCTCCAAATATGGCATACAAGGATAGCCAAACACTGACTTCCACTTATTTCTTCAGGATGCCTGCATTGACCAGAGTTTGTATGGCTTCTTGGGTCCATTCCTGACAGCGGCGAAGAGGCTCTTTTGGGTAGAGCCTCCGAGGCCCCTCAAACTGCTTTTTAGGTGGTGGAATGCTTTCGCAAGTTGGCTTGATGCGGGCAAAATCGGCTGCGGTAACATTCCCAATAAGTTCTTTGCTTTGATAGGTTGCTGAATCTTCTGGCTTTTTGGCAGGCTTGTCTTCGTGCTTCATTCCATTCTGTATATCTCCAGTGACCTGAAATACATGACCAGATTGGTCATGGTTCTTTTTTCGACAAAAATGGCGTGATGGTCCCGGGGAAGGCCGGCGTAAGAAACCCGATAGACGTTGAACGACATAACCTAATATTAGAATCAGCATAAGGATAGGAGTAGTATTTATAGGAGGGAAGCATACTCTGTGAATAGCTGAGAGAAGGATGCAGTCTTGATAATGAATTATTCAACTTGGAGTGGTTGTATTGTCAGCCTCTCCGGCCGATTATTTATGTTCTTGCCAGGATGCCCAAGCGAGGTACCGTTACTATTATTGTCTCTTACTCTCAGTATCAACCTATCAAGTTGAACAGCATACTACGCGCTATCAAAAGTGAAACGGACATGCACGACCACCACTCGCGCGCGGCTCCACAACAGGAAATGCCGTTGATATCTAACGACAAATCGTTAGGTGCACAATTTTGTTAGTGTAGAACGGGGTGTACGGATTTCCAATCTTCGCGCGCGGCTAGTCCTGACAATAATAAATAGTAATTAATCAGGTGGAAGACGAGTCTTTTACTTATGCCATAGCTATCAGACCCCTCAAGGGTTCATTCGCATGGGAAGTCTTCTGATTGATAGGATGATTACCTAGATTTCAGTGTATTCTTCATGTGACGAGCGCATGCGCTGCACATTATGCCTGATGTTGCCTTGTGAAAACGACTGAAGGCCAAAAAGTCAATCCCACCTTTGCCGTAATCTCCAATTGGCTGGATATATTTACGCGCCAAGGGCTGAGCTAGACATGCGGAAGTTCGCTCCACCATGCGCGTTACGCCCACGACTTGCGGGGTTTCGACCGCAATTAATTATTTCTCAAGATGGATCTGAAGGATTAGGGCCTTTTCATAACCAGAATTTCTCGTGGCTACTTTTCTTGGTACAGTAAGATCGGCCTTGTCCAAAAGTGACCGGGACGCGGCCATGTGAGATTGCCGTACAAGCACCACATAGGAATTCAATTCCGCTACAGAGCCCCCCCACTGGTCGCCTACTGACCATCCTCCAGTAAGGCTGAGTGACGCCATAGCCCTGGCTCGATCCCGAAAGTACGCTGGGAACTGTCATGGAGGCATCGAAGCCCCCAGGCTGCAGATGGCCCTAGGGATAACTCCCCGGCTCTGGGCACGTGAAAGCTAGCCCTAGCAGCGTTGTTGCTGCCAGAACCGAACTAGAGAATCGGCAAAGGGTGATCTATTACCCATTGGTCCGTTCTAGCCCCAGGGCTCGGAATGGAGCGGAGCGCTGTCATTGCAAGCAGGTTAGAAAAATTTCTTGCCAAAGAGCCGGGGGGGGGGGGGGGTTGCGAGACTAATAGGAAACGCACGGACCTATGGTTGAGGTGGAAAAGGTGTTTTTGTTTAACCAATCCCATTCAATCAATCCTACTTTCCACAGAGAGGACTCACTACTGTCTGCGGCCTCATATTTTAAACTGAAGTCTGGATTTTTCTTTCAACACATCCGTTTCCCCTATTCGTTGAACTCACAATTAGGGTGTTCTTTCCACACCCTGTTCATTCAATCCGATCTACATTTTCGTGTTATCAGTTATTTGAGAATCAACGGTAGTCGTGAACGCATTCTCACAATCAAATGTGGAGATGAAGGGAGGCCGCAGGAAGCTTTGCAAGTGTAGTTGGTTATGTAGCTGTGACTACCGCAACTTTGGGAGGGAGGTCTTGACACCTCAGCGACATTCCAAATATATGTGGCGAAAGTGGGGCGCCCCCCAGCATCGTGGGCGATCGCTAGCCGACACCATAGTGCTTGCTTTGACGTGCGGTCCTACGTAATTCTCAAATGGCCTTCAGTCTTGTAAAGCGCTTGCAATATACATAGCTGGGAGCAATCTCTATGTACTGTAGATAAATGCTACGATTCGCTGCCGAAGGCTTGCTAAAGGTCTTCATGGTAATTATAATTCATGTTATTTATGGTACATATCGCAGGAAGTACATAAACGTATGTATTGGCTCTGCCAGGATTCTTCGCCGTCTATAGGTTCTTCTCGGTTGTCTGAACCGACGTTGGATAATAAGCGCCCTAACAAGGTAAGTATATGTACTGTTTATGATCAAAGCTTCTCGGCACATACCAGATGAGGATAAAGAAAGGACCACAATCCTAATGTATCCGCGGAGAAAATGAACACCTTCCCTGACTCTCGAATCCGAATGCCTAGGCATACATCTGCGCCGCATAAGTTGCTGTACTCGTTCGACTTTTATTCTAGGGATATCTTGCGTCGATCTCTTTTCTGTCCACAAAATTCAAGATATAGGCTAGAGGATCTTGGGAATTAGGGCTTGAGAAACAATCAAAGAGTGCTCTCAATATACCAGGGTGTCCAACAGAAGATCGCGGGATTCTCGATCCGGCTATTGATAAAGATAAGCTTGAGTTGCTATATGGGCAACTAGCGGGTATTCTACTTCAGCTTTCTAAACCGTCTTTGCCTCGTATAGGGTCTCTCGATCAGACTGATGACTTCACCTGGAACGTGACACGCCGGCCTTTGTCTATGAATATGAATGAGCTTGTCCGACTGGGAAGCTTGCCACGGTCTAAACTACCCGATTTACATACTACATTCACCACAACTTCTTCATATCTCGAAGTCCTTGCGAATCTCAATATTGAGCATCTTGTACACCAACGAAACGATTCTGTAGAGTCCGCAGACGACTGTCGGCGAAAATTTGTGGCTCGGCAGCTATTTCGTAAGCTTGCTAAGGACAAGCGACTCTTCAATCCATTACTTGAGAAAGGACCTTTCAAACTTTGGTGTGATGATTTGCGGCCGGCTAATGTGCTCCTTCATAAGGATCTGAAAATCGCAGGTGTGGTCGATTGGGAGTTCACATATGCCGCACCCGCCGAATTTTCGTTTGCGCCGCCTTGGTGGTTACTGATTGAGAAACCCGAGTACTGGGCGGAAGGCCTCGAAGATTGGACAAGAGCTTTTGATTATCGCTTGAAGACATTCCTCAAAGTGATGAAGGATCGGGAGGACATAGCGATCCAACAGAATCGGTTGGAAGAAGACCAGCGGCTCTCCAGTCCTATGTATCAGAGCTGGAGGAGTGGGGAATTCTGGATTGTTTATGCAGTGTTGCATAGCTTTGCATTTGATCTCATCTACTGGGAGAAGATTGACCCACGCTTTTTCGGGCCTAACCGAGGCCCTAATGGAGCATGGAAAGAGAGGCTCAACCTGCTTGATGAGAAAGAAAAAGACGAAATGGAGCAATTAGTTGCAAGGAAGATGAAAGAGATGAGTACCAGGATTCTAGCGTGGGATCCAGATGAGTACACGCTGGCTTCCCACCAACAATTGGAGAGGCAAGCAGGTGAAGCAGAAAACATCCAGAAGAGCAAGAACGAGATGGAGAGTCAAGGCAGTGAGGCAGAAATTCCAAATTCTCGGGGGTACACAAGATAATTGATAAGCTGGCCGCCGCCGATTTATCCAGCTAGTTGCAATCGATTGACCTTTCGGTATTATTCTATACGTCATGAAGGCCGTGGGTGAAGATGGTTCTTACCGCGGGCCTTCCCAGATATCTCTTTTTAGAAATCTTCTTTCCAGGTCTTGGTATTACTCCGCTTGCTGGTAACATATACAATTACAATCCCAGATGTCCACAAAATTTTTGAGGACTAGTGGCACGTGAATTGTGAAGAAACTTAGGTGAAGCGTAATAATGGGCCGCGTCGTGTCATGTGCAGACAGCAAAGGAGTTCAAGAGTGGCCCGGATTTTCTCACCTTTGCGAGATGACCATACCGTGCATTTCCAGGAGTAGGTTCAAGGGCACGAGAGCGTTTCGGCCGTTTCAGGTCTTCCAAGTCAATGACAATCAAACGGCTACCTAGGTCATCCCATAACATGTTGCGCCACTCACTGTCGCCGTGGACCACTCCATGCGAACGAAATACAGCCAAGGCTTTCTCGCGCTCCTGGTGGAAGAAGTCCGTGTTCTCATCATTGATGGCGTGCTGGAGTCTCCTCCTGACCAGCTGAGAATCATCATCTGCTCCATTAGCTCGCCATGGTACCAATATGAAACTCGTGGCGTAAATGTCCCCAGACAGACAGGAATATTTTGACCCTGCATACTCCTGAGGTAGCGATAATTGTCTGCTTCTACTCGAAGGCGATGCTGCTTTTCCATGGTCGTGGCTTTAATCATGACAGTATATCCGCGCGAAAGAAGGGTAGCTTTGATAATATATCCAGTCCGACCACAGACATGGAGCTGTTCGAAACCGAGTTCTCGATCTCGGGCAAGTTGGCGATGAAGCTGACGTACGAACTCTTGCGGTCCCATGGAGTGTCTCTGGCCACCGTGGAGTTTCCAGTTGGGGCATGTCTTATCCAGAGGGCCTCGGTTAACTATGCCATGGATGCAGGCAATGGTACAGTATTCTCGTGTGGAATGTCCGTCTTTTTGAGAAGTCTGTTTGTTGTTCCAGCCAGCTCGCGTCTTTTCGCTCTCCTTGCTTGATTGGCCTTTACTGCCTCGGTCGCGGCTCGATCGGCTGCGCGACGCTGCTGCTGCCGTTGGCGAATGCGATTCCTCCTCACTGCTGTTGCCTTCAGTCGAGGAGTGCTTCGGTGTAGATACGCCTGGTTGACAACGAGTGCGAGAGCGTGTGTTGTGTATTTTCCGATCTCGTTTCCAGTGCGAGGGCCGATAATTAGAGGCCCGCGGGTCTTTGCGAAGGGTTTCGGGGATTTCCCTCAACACGTCCAAATACTCAACTTCCCAGGTTGTCAGCCTGTTGTGTGCCGCATCGTGCCATTCTTGAGAAGGAGCATCGGCGATCAGTGCTTGAAGGGTGAACGCAAGTACCTGGCCGATGGCGGTTCGGTGGAGGCGTAATTCATCGTTCGCCTGTACGTCTTGATTCGGAATACACAAGAAATATTGAACAATGGTGGGATCATCCTTCGGGATGTGGAGGAAGACAAAGGCCTCTCCTGTGCAGATGTAGCCGTATCGAACTCCACTGTCAATCATGTATGAGAATATCTGAGTGACCACGGCGGCAACAAGGCGGGTGGCATAGAATTCAAATGTGTCGCCCTCCTGATCAATGACATCCTGGGCCAGATCTATCTGGTGTAGACCCGCCACTAATTCGGGTATTGTCACTTTATGTGGCGCTTTGAACTCCACAGCGTGCACCGGAATTTGTCGTTCATCGGCTACAATATGCACGCAGAATTGGTCGGCGCGTCGATTACGTCTTCGTGCAGTGCCATCCCTCTTCTGTCTCTGCGCCGCTCCTCTCGCTCTTCCTCTGCCTCTTCCATGCCTAGTGTTCGCCGGCCGTTGGGGTGTCTGCGTATCCTGAAGACTCATTTGCCCCAGGCTGTTCTCTAGCAAATTTTCCGATGAGTTTGCGCGATCATAGAAAGTTACTCGGCCTTGGATCCCAAACTCATGGCAAAGGGATTCATCGTTTCGCAAAGTATTAATAACCTTTTCGACAAAGTTATCGACAGTGTCTCGCTCAAAATTCCGAAGCGACGTTTCTGAATAGATCGGGTTGTTCTGGATATTCGTGGCGACGTAATCGATTTGGGTATCGGAAGGGAATAGTGGGCGCGAGGTAAAGGCAGCGGTGCGGTCGAATTTGCTCCAGACTTGCTCCTGGAGCTGGGGGAAGTCAAGCCAGGGGACTATGCGCTTGGGGTAAAGTCGATTCACTGGGTCGGTCGCGTTGCCCTGAGTCGTGAGGGTCGCATCCGTCTCGACTCGGATCGCTTGGGACAGAGATTCATGGCAGCGATCGAGGAGGCGGAACAGGTTGTTGGGTTGGAGTCGCCGTTCTGCCTCGCCCTGAAGACGCTCTGCCTCGCCCTGGAGACGCTCTGCCTCTTCCCGCGCCAGTCTTTCTTCTTCAAGCTGACGTCGCAGTTCTGCGATAGTTTCTTCCATCGCTTGTTGAAACCAGTAGTCAGCAGATAATGGAATGATGCAAATCGAAGTCTACATCACATGGGTTCGCTGTCGCGGAGGAGTTGCCCGTCAGAGCGGAATGTTTACCTGCTTACTCACCCCCTTGGAGCCGAGTCATGCCTTAGGCACTGACCGCACCAAGCCGCTTTACTCTTTTGACACATGTATGCTGACGTTCTGAGTCCTTGTTTTCTAGAATATACGTCAGTCCAATGGTTTCGGATTACCTAGGGCGACTGTCTCGTCAGTAAATGGATAATTCAGTCCTACTTCAAATTCTCGGCCAGTACAGTCACTGTGGCGAGATTATTATCTCGATTTCACAACGCGCGAGACCACGCTTTCTGTTCTAAAGTAAAAGCCGCCTGCTGCGAAGGACATACAGTATGCTATGGTCTCACTTTGAGTAAATCATTCGATCAAACTAGTACTCAGCTGATATTCTTCCGATAAAGAAAAATTATTAGCTTACGTTTCTCATTCTCTGTCTGATCAACGTAATACTCTTCTGTATACTCTAAACTTGGGTGATAAGACGTCACGCAATCGCTCGCGAAAAACGTTGCTGAAAGCAAAGAGTCCTACCTTCCCTGTCTGAGGACTTGAATCTCTCGCCAGGCACAACTCTATGAGTGAGACATTTCAGTTGCCTTCACCGGCCTGCGACAGCCAGTTGCTGGAGGCTGGAGAGCGCCAGGAGAGCCGACATACAACGGAATATCTACAGCTCAAGGATTTGCTTGACGATTATGGCTTCCGTCTGAATTACCAGTTTCGAGCAGGCGTCGATGGATCGATGGGAGAGTGGCAGAGGGGGGGGAAGTAGATTCAATCATCCCGCCAGAAAAAAGATGCGGTCGACGGGGTAATCACCCAGCCAACAAATGTGGCGTAAAGCATGTCTTAAGATAGAGAAATACCAGGCTCAAAATTTTGAGCGAATTAGCTTCTCTTGTATTTAGTATTTCGTTTCACCGTTGATAAACGTTGAGCTATTTGAATAAAAGCCCCGTTCAGGCAACTCAAGTTCAACAGATTGTATGCCTCATTTTTGGCCGGCGGAATTGACGGTCTGTTTCGTTGAAGCATCTGCGTCCAACTGGTAGCATTTGAGTTGATCCGTGTTGATCGTGAGCATGCGCTATTAACTAAAATATCATCGTTGAAATGGACCTCGATGATAGTAGACCGCAAAATCGCCATGTTCAATAGTAAAGCCCTTGTGTGTACATTTTCTTGAGGGTTTATTTTATGGTCCTGAATCCACAGAGCCCCACCGGTCGCCCACTGGCCATCCTCCACTAAGGCTGAGTGACGCCATTGCCCTGACTCGATCCCGAAAGTACGTGGGAACTGTCATGGAGGCCCCAGGAGCAACAAGGCTCAGGAACACTGCGGACAGATCCTAGGGATAGCTCCCCGGCGTTAAGAATACATTTCTTGCAGTTCGCTTTTGACCCTGGCAAGCATAGACGTGCTGTCGCGACAAAGTCACTGTTACTAGTCGGATACATTGCCTATTACTTGGCAATTAGTAATTAGCCTGCTTACCAAAACAGTAACCTTTGTTAAATAGCTTTTGCCCCTATCTTGGAATAAACCAGACTTTAATGCAAGAGCAATTACCATTACCAAAATGACAACTAGCGGCCTATCGTGGTCGTGAAACGTGCCATTCATGTCAAGAGCGGTGGCCACTTGAAAGACAAGGCAAAAGAGGCGCATTTCAAGAGGGGTCGCCTCATGGGAGGATCCTCTTGAGAGGAAATCCGTCACACCAGGGACACCCGGAGAACACATGGAACACAAACTGGCAGACGTCATAGGAGCTGGATATTCACTCTAAGCCTCTCCTAGTCCAATCATTCTGGGTCTAGACCAGCCTTGAGGTAGGCTGGAGGCGACCAGGGGCTACGGACGGCGGTTCACAGTCAGTCACCCTGCTGTCCCAGTGTGAGGACTTCAGTTGCGCTAGAAGTGTGGTTCCCCGCAGTGGCCATCACTGCGATGGCTGTCCTGTACCTCAGCAGTGTGTGATTTTCCGAGAGAGCCTCGTCGCAGAATCTCCAAAATTGCAACAGCCTCAGTGATGCGACCATAGTCGAAATGACACGTAATGGTTTGGATACTCTGCATCTGCTTGCCATAAGTCGCGTGGTTGACGACCACAGGCTCACTTACACGTCGCAAACTACCCTGCACTTGCATGCATGAACCGCATCACTGCTCCTTCCCCTCACCATGAGGCTCGTTGGCTTCCAAGCTGGTGCCGCAGAGCGAACGTCTTCGCGAGATGACCATGAATATATAAGTACTCTTTTCTGACAGAAAATTGAGGCCACACAGTTTCTCAACGCTTCCGAATCCCACATTTTATCCAAGCAATTCTTTATGATGCCTCCCATCGATTCTTCATCCTTGAACTCAGGAAAGCACGATGATCTACCTCTTGCCAACGCTGGTAGCCTTGAAGGATTTATTAAATATCTGGGTATACTGGCCTCAAGCCCTAAATCTCAGTTTGCATCTGCTGTGCTTGGCGAGATCGCTCAACAGCGTAAGCAGATTCACTTTCAAGAAGAAGATTTGAAGAGACTCCAACAGGATATATTACATATAAAGAAAACAAAGGAAACTACCATCGACGATATGTTTGCTGCCAACGAGAAAGAAAGAGCAAGGCAGAAAGACTCCGCCACGCAGATTGAATCCCTTCGTGCTACTGTTCACGAAAGGGAAATCAAAATCGCTGAATTAACGAGGAATGTAGAGTCTCTGCAAAAGGAAATCGGAGATTTGAAATCGACTTGCGCGCAGGAGACCGCGAAGCTCTCACAGTCTGCTAAAGATATCACTATGCTGCAAAACAATTCGAAGGACAAGGACAAGACTATAGATCAGATGAAGACAGCTGGATCGAAGTTGAAATCAATGTTATCATCGGAGCAGAAAAAGAGCGGAGAGCTAGAAGCTGCTAATGCCTCGATGAGCATAGAGCTGCAGGCGGTCAGGGCCCATGCCCAAAAACTGGACGATTTCACTGTCCAATCCTCGGACATTGATGATGATTTTGTGTAAGTGGTGTCAAAGAACTACAAGAATTTGGGACCTGATTTTCCCGCGCCTTATCATAGGACGACAGAGTACACAAGCCTTTGGACCTTTGCTACAAGCGAGTTGTCCCCATTCATAGAGCAGGATATTCCGGAAAATATTCTGAAGGTCGGTTCCCGGAAGCCTCTTCTCGCGCGTATTACTGATAGATCAAAAAGGAAAAGACTATTTGGGAGAAACTTAGGAAAGGGGACATCATTCTGCCACCGAATTTTCCTCTGATTCCCTCGAATTCCTCGCCCGCCAAGGCAATACGATTTGCAGTGATCCTTGCTGTTCTGTTCAGGGAGATAAATCAACGTATCTTCCAACCCAGCTATTTTCTGTCGGCGAGCAACAACCTCCGTGAAACTCTCGAACATCTTGCAGGTAGTAATGGCGAGAAAGAAGCGTTTTGCCGTCGTGTGCTTCTCTCGATCGATCCGGATGCTGAACGCAACGCTCTTCAAGCCGAGACTGGAGCTGTAATCCAGAGAATGCTCTCTTATGCAGGCGGCCTTTTTTCCGAGTCGCAGCAAGATATGTTTTGTACTAAGATTAAAAGAATAGTTCAGACCGCCGCCGCAGTTTGGCTTCCAATCCAGCGATCGCGACAGAAGTTTGCGACAGACTTCGACGAATCTTTTGATCCCGATGACAGCGAATGGGATCGTTTTCCTTTCGCAGGTGAAAATGCAACACCGGCGGCACGGGACCTTCAAGGCCTTTATATTCTCAATATCTTCCCGTGCATTTCCTCGTTGGGAGATGGCGACTATGACCCCTTGACCAAGATCATCCAACTCCGCAGCTCTCAGGCATCATACATGGCGGCGCAGCAGGAAGCTGCCCAGATAGCAAGCTGTACCCCCACCAGGAGATCTTCCAATCGACCCAGGAGGCAATCGACTGCAGGCTCGAATGGGAATCATTTTTTAGGTGGAAGTTCGGCCAAGGTCTGACCTTTAGGCCGTGGAAAAGGTTTCGGGCACGCTGAAACCCCTAGGGACTGATAGGGAGTATGATACGAGTGGCATCTAAGGGATATCTGCCACGGGACTCTTGAATAGGTTTTTCGAGCATGTACTTCCGCAAGTTTGCATTTCCTTGCACGATATGATACATTACTTTTAACCAGCCGTTTCTTTTCGAGAAAGCCGAAATTATTGTGGCGGACATTAGATTAAGAAAAAAGAAAGCCGTGAGCCTTAGAGCACCAACGGGGTGATACGCCACGTAGCCAGGTGATGCATGTGCTGGTAGGTTCATTCAGATTCAGGTATCTGAAGCTGGGCTCCAGAGTCAAGATAGGCATCATTGGCTGGTTGTACCATTTCTATCCAGTGGATCCCGCAGTGGTTTCTTATTCGACTCCACTAGCTCTACCGAAGGGCTTAGCGGTAGTCTTTACTCTGCTCAGAGTCTCAATCGCAGCCCTTTCAAAATTATTTCTCTAAACAGTAACGCCACAGATTGAGCACGGAGAATTTGGAGTGGTCTTCGTCTTGCCTTTCTATGGCTTTTACCTGCACATCAGACTGACCTAGGTGCTAGTTCGCGAACTGGCCGCGTAATGCGACCGCCGTCACAAAAGCATTGAAGCGCCCAAAATTGGACGCAGGCAAGGATACCGGCAGAGTTGATCTATTTTAAAGCATGTTTGCTAACTAAGAGTAGCGACTTGAAGCTGCCCATTTCTGCCTTCTCAATCTTTCCATCTCATTCTACTGGCCACGGTCTAGACCCCAGATTTCTCAGTCCTGTTTAATGTTACCCATAAGCAACCAAAAAAGGCGACAGTCTGACTTCTCCCCAAGTCTCTTTCTCCTAGCTGGAACTACCATTCACATCAAAGCACACCATGGAGGAAATCCTACAGTCTGTACAACCATGTCACCTCTGAATGCTCTCCAATGAACCACAAGGCCTGGGACGCTTCATCGCGGTTAAAATCCTCGTCGGCGTAGTCCCTGGTGACCAGCGGGACTCCTGGATCTCGGCGAGGACGATGTCCTCGAGGTCAAGGCGAAATTTGGTCATTCTTGGACAAAATTGGCTCCAATTGAGATTGCACATGCATTTGAAGGACTTCGTAGAGAGCTATGCCTTAATGTAGGACTTCCAATTTCTTGGTGACCGCATAAAATATAGTGATACTAGTAACTTGGTCTCATGACCAACTTGAAGTTGCTGTCTTCCACACAGACCTACCAGGTAGAAGTTCAAGCTGGAAGCTTCCGACCTCGGGAGTCATGGATATAAAATGTTCAAATGGCGGTGTATCCTATGTACAGTAACTCCAACAAATACCTCCTTGAACTCATGAAATCATAACTCATCAATGAATGCTTTTTTGAATGGAAGGAATCCCTTTATCCATATACGCTTGTCCATCTAATACTCCAACCAAATTTCATGTTGAGCCTTATTTCCAGATACGTCGTTAGCATCAAGGCAAGGCCCGGGGGTCTCAACGATTCTGGCAGCCATGCTCTGTCCTTCGACCATCTCATGCACAAACTCATCATCCACCACAACCTTGAGCCCAGCTTCGTTGATATGTAGAATCCTAGAGATTTCTAGGCTTGTTTTTACAGAACTCTTCTCCAAGATCTTCGACTTTAGATCTTGGACTGTCCGTGATTTGGGATAAATTGCACGATAATGCTCACTTGGAGACTGGTCATTTATAACTATTCGAATGTAGAAGCATGCGGCTTAATTGTGAGAAAATGGTTAGTTTGACGAGTTTTCAAGTTGTTGGCCATAAAGAAGTTGCTAGACGAGACTTACCTGGCATAGTAGGCAAATTCTCTAAGTTCAATGATGTGGGCGATACTCTATGATTCTCCACGTTATGGAGACTACTCATAGAGCTTGGCGTTTCCCTCTCGTTGAATCCGGCCAAATCCGATTTAACAGATGAAGCGTCGTCAATTGATGAGTCCCTGCGGTCCGTAATTGCCGGTTTCTGCGGGTTATCTGCGTTTAATGAAACAGTTGGATGCAATTCGGGATCATCTTGAGGCCCGGCACGAAGGTTCAGAGCACTTTCAGGACGGCTAGAGTAGAAGCAACGTTCGAGAGCGTCTAGCCTCTTCTGTAGTTGCTGGTGAAAGTTTGCTTGCTGTGGGGCGTTGTCAAGATCTATTGACAGGTCGCCTTGACGTTGTAGGTTGTTCTTCGAGTAACTGTGATCCGGATTGGATTTTGCGGAAACGCTGCCTCGCTTCCTCTTATTTAAACATTCGGGCGGGGCTGAGTCGTTCATTTGAAGCTGTAGCTTTTCCATCCTTTTTCGGATGCTCGCAGCGTCGTTCGATAGTTTCCGCTCGGCGCCATGGTCGCGGAAGAGCTTCACATTACAGAAGCATACTTCTGGTTCTTGGGTATCAAGTTCGCCATGTTGTTTTGTCTTAGCGCAAAGCCTGACCTGAATTCCTTTCACCCCCTTCGAGAGTGTGAAGTCGGTGGATAAGAAGTTGAATCGGACTGGGATACTGCATTGGGGCACTCCGTCGGTTGGATTACCTGTCCAGGTAACACAAAATCCATCGAGAGAGACTTGCTCAACGTGCATGAAGGGGTTATTTTCACCCACATATTCGACAGCTTGAAGTTTCTCGTTGCTCTTGTTCAGTCCTCGCGCTGATTTCCATAACTGCCAATAGGCAGCTGGGTCAGATCGTTGTTGTTCTTCATCGAATGAAATCCGAACGAATGTTCGGTACTGGGTGGATTCGCTAGTATATACCGCGGACGGGGTTGGGTCTACCACCCTGAGATGATACACCTGGCCCTTGTTGAGATACGACACAGGCATCTCACTCGAGTCATTCACTACTGCAGTGGGTGCTCGAAGAGTGGCAGGGTAACGGAACCTGAAGGTACAATGTTAAGGTTTGAACAGAGTTGGTAATGTTGTGGGCGAACTTACCGGTTGCCCTCAGGGTAGGACTTTTTTTGCGAGTGGCGAACATTGTCACCAACTTGTTGGGCCTTTTCCGTTGGATCCCATGACAGCTCGTTTTCTGGAATGTGATTGAAATTAAGCGGCTCAGCTGGAAGTGCCATGCCCCCCCAGTCCAAACTTGGCTGGGGGAACTGATTCGGTGCATATGCATCTTGTGTGGAAAAGGGATCCATGCTGTTCCATGTTACTGCGGGATTGATACCATCCAGCGAGTTTGAGTTGGCCTGATCTTCGAATTGATGTCTAAACGGAAGTTTAAGAATATTTTGAGGAGAAACGTCCTTCGAAGGTTGGTACCCCTCTACCAAGTCATGGAAGGTAGTAGAGGCTTTTAATTGCGATGTATAAAGGTCGAGATTTTGGCTTTGGGGTGCCATGCGCTGTTCAGACATTGTTGAGGTAAATGAATCAGACGGTGCATTCCCGTCGAATGAGAAGGAAGGGTCGGATAGTTGGAGGCTTCCTTTCACCTTCTTACAGGCACTGGGCTAGGCATTAGAATAGTTTTCACCGGGTAGTTGATAGGAAATGAGCTTACCCTTCCGATGGTGTCATCTTGTTGTCTCCCTCAGTAATAAAAGGGTTACCCGGTTCAAGTTTGTTTTTGGAGCCCTCGTTAAAGAATGATTTGCCACAGAGCTTTTGAAAGCGGCCTATAAGCTCGCCATCTGGTCTATGTGATCCCGTTCTGCATGATCCGACCATTCGATATTAGAAATTGAAATTCTAAATTAATACTAGTCTATTGGGTAGTAGACTTACCTGTGACAAAACATTGCTGAGAAGGCAAAAAGAGCACCTTTTGGAAATAATCTCTGTTGGTTTGTCTAGGGTGGAGCCGAAGTAAACAGAGCACGAATTTAAAACATCAATATTAAATTTGGGAAATCAAGCAGATACAACAAAAGGCTTTTTTTTCTGGAAAAATATATGCTGATAGCTAGCTTTCTGCTGGGGGCTAAGCTACTTATAACGGAATTGGGTGCAAATCGAAGAATCGTAGTCCTTCTATCGCGCCCCACATAAACGATGAAATCATAGCTATCATATCCGATAGAGTATTTTGAAAAAGTGGGGATAAAAGGATGAGATACTGCACTGTAGGGGGTACAGCAAACACAACGGGCTACCCCGTACCACACTTGGATCAAGTGGATGAATTTTCCGTTCCTGAAACCAGTTGCGTGACATCTATGGATGGAGCTTTTGTTGGGTTGCCAGTGTTTAGCAAGGGATCATTGATCCGCCCCCTCCTCCAGGGCTTTCTTGCGTCATTGCAGATCCTCGTCTCCTTTGATTCCGATTGATGACTGATGCTTAATAGTTCAGCAAATGAACACTCACCTCCAGAAATTGGGTGATCCATACCAGCTCCTTCCCCATTTCGTTACTACTAGTCCTCGTATGTCCTTTGTTAGTACTGTACAGTACTCCTCGTATGTGGCGCTTTCCCAGAACCAACAGGAGGAATGGTACATAATCGTAGCCACGCATGCGTCAAACCACAGCGGTTGGTTAGATTTCATTGGTCGGCGAAATTTGCCGGAGATGATCGCCTCCCAAATTGTGGAGACTTGGCTCCACTCAATGTGACCAGCAATTTCAAAAAGCTCGTGGCATTCTATAGCTATTGGAGAGACAGCTTCTGACCGGCCCACATTAACGGGAGGGCACGGATTTCTAACTTCATCTTCTCGACTGAAACCTGCCCGCTAACCTCAACAATTACTCCGTACTACTGTAGTACACTCCGTACCGCCCGTAGAATTGAATGGAAGGATCGGCAAAACCCAACGACGCCACCCTCCACCTCTCTCGCTGATGCATTGAAAGGGCCTCGGCTTTTAGTTTCAGCGTTCGATTATTACAAAATCAAGAATATCTCGATAGCTTCTGTCTAGTGCATCATTAGCGCCATGTTCTGAGCCGCACTGACACTGACGAAAGCCGCCGTGTCATGAACAAACACATGGCACAAAAACACACCTGAGTATTTCAGAAGGTACATAAAATAGCCATCCCGTTTTGTATTTGGTTGGCTTGATGAATCCAATTCCCGACTTTATTGTAGTTGGATCCTTGACTCTCGATGCCTCGGAGACTTTTTTACCAGCAAATACCGAAATCTCAAAGCCCGGCATAAAATATTCCAAAATATGTACGAGTATTGAACGGCGACTCTGAAATGTTTCATCACGCGCGATACTCTGAAGACGTAACGTACTTCTACTATTTTAGGTAAACCTAGATCACGTATTTGAGAACATCGCTTCGATGCAAGGGTCACAGACAAATCTTTATCTTAAGAAGACCCACGCAAGTTTAAAACTGGGGTTCACTGTGTCTCTCAGTCAGAATATCAAATGTTCTTTGTGGATATGGGGTATATCCCGGGATCTTTGCCGACCAATACTACTCAACGGAATTATACTACCCTGCACATACTGTACAAGCCATATAAAAGGTACCCAGGTAATTTCCAGGGAACTGACGTCATTTGGCTCTCGGCCAAATTGAAGCTTAGTAATATCCTGCGTTAGTTCTCACTTCTGGGAATAATCTGCGACCGACGCTTCTCTTTTTCCATTAAGCGAGAGGTCCGCGTTAATTGCAAACGCCCCGACAAGATGGCCACGACTTACATTGTAGCTTCTTCCCTTCATCCTCTACGCTTCTCTCTAACGAAGACAGGTAACCTTTCAAGACTTGGCCAGCACGGAGCAGATCAATGCCTACATCCAACAGATTAACGGAGACGGGGGGACTGTAATCAACAGATTCCCAGACATGGTCACTAGAGGCTTCACGTATGTAGTCTTTCCACTATAACGCTTCATCAGATGTATCACTAACGTGCGTTCAGTGCCTGTATAACGGATTCAGTCCTCGAAAAGCTTCAGACAGACCCCTTGATTGATCGTATCACACCTGATAGCTCCTCCTATGCTTGATGTAAGTTCGCCGTTTCAGAGAAGCTTACATAAACTACGAGCAATCTTTGTTTCACTTTCCTGTAATCTGCTTAAATAAGTGATGTTTGGCCACCACAGTACTGACTTTCTTCATATGTAGAGAAAGCTTTTATCAAATGGAATCCAATGGACCCCTTACGCCCAAAATTTCATCTTCCTCGCACCGTATTACCCGATGACCTTTAATTCGAAAAGTACAATGTAATGGGTAAAATAGATGATAAGCCATAAAAGCCCTCCTGGCAGATCCCTGTGTCCCCGTTTCTTATATCTCGAGTGGCTGAATGGATCAGGTAACTATGTGAACACTGACCTGTTGTAACCAAAGGTGGAGCTGGGGCAAAGTCTCCATCTCTTAGTTAATGAGAAATGCCATCCCATTCGCATATACAAAAGTAGTGTCTTTCGTACCGAAGGTTGGAGGATATGATGGTTAGTTCATTGGCTGCGCATAACAATAGCCGTCTAGCCATGATTTGATACATTCCGGACATCGGTGGTGTATCGTCCTGTTTCTTCAATCACGTCCTTACCAAGAACGCTAGGGCTTTGATACCGCAGCCCATGATCGCCTGCGTCGCTGTTGCTTGATCGGTTATATTCGTCTAAACCAACCAGTAATAAAATATGGGACTGGGTATGTTCGGGTATGGCGCCACTGTAATCCTCTAAATATTGATGATAATTGAATGAGCAATTTGTGTCCATGTCGAGCTTGGTGAAAGATTTGCTAGTACAGTATGGATGGATGGATGGATGATTTCATTTACCCTGACCCCTCACCTCAGCGGCGATATGCAGGTTACAACTACTTTCTAAATACATCTTGATTGATCCCTGAGTTTGTTCCAAACTGCCTGAACGGTGATCTTTGTGCCTCACCTGGTAAAGCCTGCCGTGGCCTTGTTGCCATTTGTGGTATTAGGCTGCCCTCGTGGCGCGGCTATGGTGGAATTGCGAATAAGACGGACTGCAAACGTCCGGTTTTGGCTGCATTTCTACTAGGAAACGCGAGAATGCGGGCAAAGCTGAAGCTAAGAATTTGGACAGTGACTGTGTTGCAGATGCAGTTTTGTTTCGAATTCGTTTATTTGCATGTTGACTTGGCCTATTTTTGAGCTGGAACGGTGACGGTTTATTATGAAAACGGCAGTGAAGATCTTCGATTCTGAGTACGGATTTAGTGGGAATGATAGGTTCTCGGGTATTAGGAATCGATTGTGATGAAGTTGTGATGGGGTGTCGGAGGACTGAAGCATAGGTAGGTTGATGGCTTTGTTGTGGGGGAGTGGTGGTTGGTGTCGGACGGGGGAGGCTGAGAGGAGTAGGTTGGTGGGGGTAAATGTGATTCTGGGATAGTTGTAGCGGGTGGCGGGTGAGCACGGGAGTTGAGGTTCTCGTTAGGACATTTCTCTGCTGTGGTAACCATCGTTTGTGTTGAACCAGACTGTGTTTGCGTACGAGCAGCGGCGGTTGTCTTCTCGAGTTGTTCGCTATTCGAAGAAGAATAGGGGCTAGGAGCTGATTGTCGAGGCGGAGGGAATGCGATGGTTGAAGGTGGGAGTATGTCGGCGGATTCGAGGTGCTGTTTCAAGTCACTGTAGATGACCTGGTATATGCAGTCCACCAAGTGTAGTTGTTGCGTCTCTTGGAGAGGGATGCGCAGTGTGCAAACCGTATTTTATCCTCACCGTTAACAATCCGTGCCATGTGACTCACACACATTTGTCGCCACCTTGCTCCCCACCCTTTGTCACCCCTTCCCCCCAACTCATTATTTACTCCACATCCAGCTTCGCACCGACCCATCGATACAAAATGTCGGCATCCCGCTTCAGACCTATTCGACCTCATATTCCAGGTGCTACAGCTTCTGTAGTTGACGAATCAGAAAATGACACAGTAAATAACGTCTCGATAAAGAGACGATCAACCGCTTGCAATGAATGTCAGCGTCGACGAACAAAGGTAAGAAATCTTAAAAATATTGCCTTATTTAGCTGCTAGATATTTGACATGTTGAAAAATAGTGTATTTCTGGAATCCCGTGCTTAGAGTGCACGAAACGCAACTCTCGTTGTATTTTCGAAGAGAGTTCTGACAAGCGACGCAAGAGCTACGAAAGAAAGATAGAAGAACACCTGAGATACTACCGAGGATTATTGGATGACCTTTTGGAAGCAATACGGCATTCAAGTGATGATAACGTCGATCGTATCTTCAATATAGTGCGGTCTGGATCATCAATAAGCGAAATACAGTCCATGGTGAAAGAAGGTCTTTCGGAGAGTGAATCTTTTCGTCCTGCTCCGTGATAAACATGGCCCAGCATCTGTTTAGTGGGATGAGCAATCATGATGCTGTAAATCGTATGTATTGTGCGTGTTCCAAGAATGACAGGTCTGGACGGCATGAAATTACAATGTATGATTGTTTCGCTTGAATACGTGTAATGTCCTCTTTGTAAAGAAAATGAGCTCTTTGCGGCTAAGCCAAGTATGGCTTAATGCAGTTTTCGGTTACCGGCCGAGAAAGAAAGAGTGTGTTTTAGGGGGGTAAACTGTTTTCGAATTCTACTGTACTATTGATGGATCGTAGCTCTCACTATGTTGCGCTAATTTTGATGATTTCGGGAATAGTCCTTTTGCTACCATTGGTAACGCGCGACCTCGGAATATTAAGCAAAGGAATCTAGCCAGCTAAAATATGCATAGTGGCCATTTTCTCGCCCAACTTGAAGCCAGATATATGCATCACCTCTGCTATCTAGATATATGAAACGGTTTCTTACCTTGCTATGGCTTGAATAGAAGAGATACCAGAATCTTGTTGGAGTATGCCGTAGGCGATAACAAGGATAGTCATAAGAGAGGGAAATGGGCATTAGAATCTGATCACCAGACAGATCGAATGACCCACTTTTGGTGCATTTCAGGCTTTGGCCATGAGCGAGAGGGTCCTATCATAATGGAATTTTCAGAGTCCAAAGATTGTAGTTTTTACTTTCGGGTCGGTAATACACTGGCTATATTATTTCCAGGAAATTGCTTCCCGCCCAGTTGTTTCCTGTTACATCTCCGTGAACAGTATCTACGAAGCCATAGGTGCCTTAGGAAGCCATAGGTGTCTTCAACCTCCGCTTCAGGACATTTCGCCGTTGGGTCAATAGCAACAGTGGCATACATAAATGCGATATTTAGATAACTGATGAATCGCCAAAAGGGTTGCAAAATTCCAGCTTGCTCTTCGTATCTCTCTCCTAGTCTATCATAGACCTATACTAGTCTTGAGAACGCCGTGGGGTGGCCTTGCAATCTTATACACACCCATCACCCACGGTGTTTGTGCCTGATCATGACTTGTCTCATTACAACAAGAGCAACCCTTGTCTTCCATCGCCTATAGACTTGTTCGGCAGCGAGGGGGAGGGCGGGAGAGTCTATTAGGCCGTTTGAGGCTCCACCAGCTTATGATTCGTGGATGGGAGGAGTGTATTGATATTCCTGTAGTTAGTCAGTCGATACCTAGTTTAGGTAAAGAACCATGTTTACCAGATTGGAAAGATCTCTAAGCCACTGCCTCTGCATGGATGAATCAAACATATATTTGTGCTCATTTTTTCGAATTCGGACGGCCTCAAAAACATTGAATTCACATTCTTCGGAAAATCCCTTCGCTTTTTGAACAAATTTCGCTTAAGCCTATATCCTTGCTGGGATTTGACTTTTAATCTCCCTGACTGACGTTTGGCGACCATGGTTTCTCAGAATTACGTACACACCGACGAGAAAGTAACGTTTGGTTCGGGCTAGACCAGCCCATTATATACTTCCAACTGGTGGCTACAGTACATGTACATCCCATACACGCAGATTGCATCTAGTCTGGCAGGTAGCAAGCTCTTCTTTCGACCAGCACTAATAAGACGGAAATGGTGAGCGCTGCCGAAGAGCAGCTCGATGATGTCCCTGAAGATAATATCATAGATAAGGGCTACGTGTGTCAAATCTTCCACTGATTTTATCCTTGTCACTGACGGGAGATTACACTAGATACTCAGTATATCCATTTACGTAGAGCACGGCCTTGCAAACAGCAGAACACCTGTTGGAAAACATGAAAGAATCTGCTACTACCAGGGCTTACCTGACTATCGCAAAATAATCTCAACCGAAGCATGTGGGAGTCAGATAGAGAGACTGTCGAACACCCTTGATGAGCCAGGTCGAACTCTTGTAATGGATAAGCAGATTTCCACCAAGTCATGAAAAAACCACCTCTGATGATCACATAGTCTCCGCAAGCGATGGCCTGAGAGATCGCTTACGCGGGTAAGTAATTACAAATTTCAGCGAAAGGGTGATCGATGTTCCGAATAGTATATAGTCTAGAAACGAGTTTTACTACTAAAGTGTCTTCCGCCTGACATTCCTTCTCTTGGAGGCAGAAACATTGCCAAGCCTCCAGCTCTCACAGTGTAGCCATTTTTGGCTGCGTTCCATTTTTGGCCGCGTTCCATTTTTGGCCGCGTTCCATTTTTGGCAACGTTCCGTTTCTGGCCATTTCTGCCACCGCGTTTCTCATACGATGGTGTGCCAGATGTTAGGGCACAGTTCAGACGAGTAAATAGAAAGAAATCGTTCAATCTTCTGTTTCAAACAGTTGATACGGTACAGGTTGAAAAAGGCTCTTGGAAGTACCTTGCCATCGTACAGGTCAAAAATGCCAGGCACGTGAGGTTACCGTAGCGCGACCTGCGATCATATTTCGCTCACTCGAGAGATTACTGTGTTATGTAGTCATCTTTTCCCCCATCACCCAACTCTCACCCTGCTCTCACCCTATACCCTCTTTTGGTGTGAGAATCTCTTGCTCGTTCCGCAAATGCTTTACTTTTGCGTGAATCAGAGTTTCTAGGCGCGTACATCATAAGCCTTACTTGCGGCGACCCAGTGCTTGCACCCCTATTCTGTCTGGCGAACCACGATCGTGCCGATTTCAACGATTTCACGATGGTGTTTCTTGGGACCCTCCCTTTACGAAGGGTCTACGAAGGGCCCCTTCCCTCCCCCCTTCTTTCAGACAGAGTCTCCAAAATTGCAACAGCCTCAGTGATGCTACCATAGTCGAAATGACACGTAGTGGCTTGGATATTCTGTATCTGCTTGCCATAAGTCGCGTGGTTGACGACCACAGGCTCACTCACACGTCGCAAACTACCCTGCACTTGCATGCATGAACCGCACCACCACTGCTGTACTTTAGTACTGTACAGTACTTTTCGAAATCAGCTATACCAACTCACTCTTTTGTCTTGAATTCGGGAAAAAAATCAGAGGTAAGCTAAGCCAATTTAGGTCACCGCATTGAAGTTGCGGCAGAATTGTATTGGTAATAGCGTACAGCCATCGCGCAAGCCAAAGCCAAACCACCCTAGAGTGCGTCATCACTTATTTACAGCAAAAGAGCCCCTATTCATCTTGTATTTCTCCTCAGAAGGGCCACCTGAGTTTCATCAGGATTAGGGACCAGAGCCAAACCTAAGACATCATTTCACTTGACATGGATATTCCCATCGATTCTCCGCCTGAATATCGGGCCCAAGACCCTCTCATAACTGCAGCGCTGTCGGAGGGCAACGAGCCAGTGATCATGGATATATTCCGTTGCGCAGACCACCAATACCGCATCTTTTCAGGGGATCACTCCTTGAAATTCCATGCTCAATCCCATCCTCGGAGTCTTACAAAGCCAAGCTTGATTGTTTATGAAAGTGGGACTAATGCGCCCAATGAAGCATTGGCCCATTGTCAATTCATCGAAAAAAACGGTCTCAATGACATTGGTTATGCAAAAAGCCCTAGTGGCAAATCATCTATTTCGTGTGGTGGTCTGATATGCATCAAAATACACCAATGTCTATCCAATACCGATTTACAACGTTGGTGCATTTCCCACCACAGGCAAGTGGTAATTTGTCCAATGCAAGCGGACCGCGACTCTTCATCTGGAAACGTAAATCTAGGCTGATGCTAGTGGATGAAGAGACAGATACAGTGGTTGCCATAGTCCACGATATTACGACCGTCCCAACTAAATGCGGGACACTACAAATTATAGTACCCTTCGGTGATAATTTTAGCCTCACGGCTTTGACTACTTTTCTTACAATTTGTGAGAAGCTACGGAACGATTCTAAGCGTTGATTGATCATCCAAACTGTTACATCCACTATATGAATCGTGCCTTTTTTCGCGAGACCCTCTGATGAATCCCACAATTTGTGTATAAGGCGAATGAGCCAAAGGAGGCATTACTATTTGTTGTAGTCCAGAGGTATGTGTTTTAGTTCAGAGGTATGTGTTGTAGTTCAGAGGTATAAACCGGGATTAATTCCGATGGTTCGGCTTAGTTCCTGATCTACACCAGTCTCATATCACAACACTATTGGATGGAAAGTTTTACAGATTTAGCAGATACGACATGAGATGCAAGATGAGTGGGTGAGGGTCCGGAGGAAAGTTTGATCCAGGAAAGAAGGAAAAGGCACTGAGATAGCGTGTCTACAGTACTGTAATAGTCCGGTGGTTGAAACACTTTCAACCACCGGGTGTTGGCGCTGAATGGCTGTGCCGCGCATATTCAGGCTGACCTAGGTGCCGGTTCGCCGAAATGCCCGCATAATGCGACCGCCTTCACAAAAACAATGCCCCGCCCATAACTGCATTCAGGCAAGCGACCGGCTGAGTTGATATATTTTAAAGCATGTTTGCTCACCAAGAGAGTGAGTTGAAGCTGCATATTTCTGCCTTCTCAATCTTTCCATCTCATTCTTCTGGCCACGGTCTAGACCCTAGATTTCCCAATCCAGATTAGTGTTCCATGCAACTGAAAATAGCGGCAGCCTGACTTCTCCCCCCCTTCTCTTTCTCCTGGCTGGAACTACCTTCCACAACAAAGCACATCATGGAGGAAGTCCTCCAGTCTTTGATAGCAGGGAAAATACAGGAGCTTTTAGTAAGCTGCGGTATTGGTGACTGCAGCGATGAGCCTATCAAGCAACACATCCTTGGCATTTCTGACTTTGGTGAGCCCCAGACTGCGATTCGAGCGACTATCTCCGCTGACACACATAGTCCGCGAAACGCGGCTGCAGGTAGGAATTACAGATCCACCACATCTTCCTACCCCAAGAGCTAGTCCGAATCCTGAGGCAAAGCGCGGCTCTTACCGGTTCTTTCCCGCGTATGATAAGCGAGGCAGAGTGGACTACTCTGGGCTAGATGCGCCTTCACCTAAGAAAAAAAGAAAGAGCAAAGACAAGGCGAAAGACAATACTATTCTCAAAGACAAGTCGCAAGGGATGAACGGCGTTGTGTCGCCCCTAGGGGGGGAACAGACCGATTCTCCGGATGAAGAGAGCACCGCGATGAATCTACCTCGGGCCGGGACACCCCTGACCCACACGAGCACCCCTCGGTATAAAGAATCATGCCACAGTATTGTCGAAAACATACTTGTCAATTGTATAAAACTCAACGATCCTCTTGGAAGGTACGGACGCCGTTCAAAGCAGGCAAATATTACAACGAAGATGGAGGAGATCCAGAGCTTTGTGGATGGCATAGTCAAGCTGCAATACCCCGATGCAGTCCAGCTGATCAAGCAGGAGAATGCGTTTACCGCAAGCCAAGGTATCCAGTCTCGATTTAACGAGACCGTGTATTGGGAAATAATCAAGAAAGGCGCGGATCTCCTTGATCCAAAGGATTTGCCAACCTCTCGAGGCCCTCTCGATGAATTCACGATGGCAGAAAAGGTCGCCACTGAGCGGTTCATGAGGGAAGCGGGCTATGGGCTTAGCCTCGCTAACCAACGGCAGTGCCGTCTTTTCTGGAAACGATTGTTCCAGATGCGTAACGCGGGTGCTGACAAGATCCTCTTGTACCGCACAAAAGAATTCGACCGCTTCTGTAAAAGCTACTCATCAGAATCTGGGGCTGCTTTGGTGGAGATGGTCCGACTCTGGGAAGAAAAGTATGGCGTTCATATTAAACAACTGGAAGAGCGGGTGGCCGAAGAGAGCAAGGGCGATTTGACAGGAAGGCTGTGGCTGAGCCAGCCATTCGTAGCGGACAGGCTCAATGTTCCAGAAGTTGAATGGAACAGCGCTATCAACCGGTGGTCCTCCAGCGTAGAGGAGACAATCTTTCAATCGACCGGGTCATACGAGCCATCATCTACACCGCTCGGTGGGTTCTTTGACTTGCAGCCAAATGCAGCAACAACGCGGAACAAATCTATTTTTGTCACCATGCAACCTAAAGATGATGATTTTCTCATGGTTTGTCCTATCATTACCGTCCAGGAGGGAGACATTCTTGGGGTATTTGCTGGAGAAGTTCGGTACTCCTCTGATTGTAACCCCGTCTACGGTATACCTGGTCCTGAAGAAAGTCTTTGGTTGGACTACTCCATGGTGACGGGAGTACTCAACTTTATGAAGGTATCAGCTCCCGGAGGTGACTCTAACGTTTGTCTTCAGTGGGATCTCATCGATGAACACAACGAAGGAAACGTACATCTCATGTGGAGAGTCTCGGTTATTGCTTCTCGTGCAATTCAACCATTTGAAGAACTAATTCGCGTTGCTCATCATAAAGTACAATATCTTCTACATCAGAAGCGAGCCTGTGCCAGGCGAGGATATACAAAGACTCGAAATTCCTGAGTCGTGGTTCTCTTTTTAGATTTGGTTACAAATTCAATAGAATGATCGTCAATGATGATGAACTATGATTCTGTGTATACTGTAAGGAGAGACGAATGTTGTTTGACGGGAATTTGTGTTTTTCTGAACAATGTGGTGAGACGCACTAGCTATTTATAGCTTGAGTCTACATAATGTGAATGTTACGCGGAGCTAGGTGGTCACGGTGAGTGGTTAGATCGTTGGTAAACAACTTACCAGTTGTTCTCTGTGTCGTTGGTCGTGCGTGATATCTATCACTCGTGATCCTCAAGTATCGACTCGCAATCGTACCGTTGCTGTGCTAAGCCTTACACGGACTCGGATACTGTAGAGTAACTTCGAAGGATGCGCCAGGTAGTGCGCCAAGTAGGTCAGTCCGGATAGCTCCCCTACTTGTAGTATGTTTGCCACAAGAGATGAAACTGAATGAAGAACAATCCGAAAGGTATACTGATCGCGAAGAACTTAATACATGTGCGTCAAGAGGCGTCCTTATATATATCTAATTCTTCCTTTCCTGTTGAGAGGATTCCCTTCCGCTCGCGAGGCCAGGTCCGCCCCGTCCGGCATAGGGATATCGACTCCCCGTGAATGGGATTGGCAGAGAGGTTTTCATCCGTGTATTTTCCTTTGGGCCCGTATCAGAGCCAACCCACCAACTGCATTATTGTTTGTGGAGAATGCAGAGTCTCTTTCTTTACCCAAGTTTATCCAGATCGAATCATTTTGTCTGGGTCTTGCCTTTCATACGATTGGCTCGATGCTATTCCATTCCCCACCTTACATCTACGGTACGATACTGACTAGCTAGTTACCTAAAGTGGTTAGCGTTTATCTTTACTCTGCTCAGAGTCTCCATCCCAGATTATCTTTATTGTACAGAATTGTTGTGTCTCCTGGAATGGTTATTTTCGTGCCTGGAAAGGTGCAAGAGAGCATGCGGTAGATGACACACCCAGGAACTATCCAAACCAGTACGATATCTGTCAAGGAAAACAAGCAGACATCGAAGTAAATAATACGACCCATGATTACTATATCCTCTGGACTGTAAAAGGATACTAAGGTACAATGAGACTTAGAAGAGCCTGATCAATGTAAATTCGGGTTCTCCGGTTTATCCCGAGAGGTCGGAACGTAGAGGCGGCCAGGGGTGAAATATTTTCTTACAGAGACCTGGGGCATGCGAGGGTATAAGGTAATGCACGGACCTCTTATTACGGTGGAGAATTGTCTTTCGGATGGCCAATCTCTTCCTACCATACATACACTAATTTTGCGCAATTTTCCTACAAACGAGCAATCGTTGAATGTTCTGTTAGGTCACCAACGGCCATCTTTTTTTGCTCGCGTTGATCATTAGCTGAACCCCCAGGCATTTCTGTTGTTGTAATTTGGCAACAGCGCTGCACTGGGGTATTTCATGCATTGAATCAATTCGTGCGTTGAACCAATCCGTGCGTTGAACCAATCCGTGCGTTGAACCAATCCGTGCGTTGAACCAATTCGTGCATTGAATCAATCCGTGCGTTGAACCAATTCGTGCATTGAATCAATTCGTGCGTTGAACCAATCCGTGCATTGAATCAATTCGTGCATTGAATCAATCCGTGCGTTGAATCAATTCGTGCGTTGAACCAATCCGTGAATCCGTGCATTAGATCAATTGGTGCGTTGAACCAATTCGTGCGTTAAATCAATTCGTGCGTTGAACCAATTCGTGCGGTGATTGAGTAAATTTGTGTGTTGAGTGAATTCGTGCATTGAGTGATTCGTGTACTGGGTGGTTCGTATACCCAGAGCGCAGGCCGCAGATACAGTATGGCGAAGAGGCACTCCGATGGCTTATTTTTGACCTGAGCATGGGTAAAGTATGTATGCAAGTGGGCTCCCAGTGAAGTTCACAAGTGTATTGGGCACACTTGAACGCTGACATCAATCTGATGAAAATAGCTGACTGGCGTAATTACACTATTTTCTTGGGGTTTTAAGTAAGGGGAGAATTGCTGTTGGCCACATTCGATTTATTTCAGCGGAACCATAATATGATGCTTGAGTTTAAGAGCTGCGAGCCCTCAGTAGGAGTAGCTGTCACAAGGCGGCAAAGACCATGACCAGAGTAAGCGTGGATATTTTGATTGACAACAGCTTTGACATATGCTGCCATTTGCGCTTTGAGGGGAGAGCAAAGAAAGAAAATGAGTTTTGATTCCGCTTTGAACATGAGAGGAAGGCACAGGTGAATGAGTTCTGTACAATTTTCATACATACACATCTTGCTTGATGATTCAAAGTCAATTGGTAAATGGGATGTGGGGCATAATTGGCCGAAAGAGGTTAGTGCTTCTCTTTACGCTGCTCAGAGACGCATGTTTAGCTATGCATGTTCCTCATGTGTCCCTAAATCATACGGCAACTCTCTCCCTCAGCTTTACCAACAAGCATAGATCCCTACTTTTGTAATACGTTACCATCAGAAATTATTTTCTGATTGATAATTTTGGTTGTTTCTATTTATACATGTGAAAATGAGCTCAACATTTTGTTCCTTGGCTTTCTATCTTTAAGAATCTCTCGCATTTCTGTTCACTAATTCAATTCCAATGTATGATTCTTTTGTGAAAAGTCGGAGTGAGGACAGAGTAAAAAGCACGGAGCGGTTTCTGCGAGTCACTACTTTAAATAACCATCACCTTAGGGGTGCTTGACTTCATTTTTTACTAGTGAGTTTTTTGACGGCATTTTTTTTTCTCGTCGATTTCTAGGAGCTAACCATAGAGCGAGCTACATCGGGCAAATGAATTCATCATCATTTCTAGGAGCTACATAATCGAAGACAAATGTTGCACCGCAGTTATTGCGAGCTGTTGCTTTGCTCTCTGGAAATGGTGAAGATCGGCATGTAGCTGCGGTGAAAGCTTAGGTATACAGATAGGATAGATCAATTATAGAATAAAAATAAATATGACTAACTGAAAATATTTTGACAAAAGTGACCCCGTAGGTGCTGCGGTCATCGTTCAAAAACAGACAATAGTGATTATTTGCGGACCAGTGAGTGCGACGACGGTGGGTGCGGGAACGGGGAACGGTGGATAGTCTCGGCGGTCTTGCAATGCCTCTCGGGTTGGATATTGACGTACACGCCGTCTGTCTTCAACGTTTAACAGCCTCTTCGCGAGTAGAACTTCTTAGTATGAACATTCGACGAGGTTTTCTCCAAAGTATCACCGGTCATTTTGTCTTTCCACGTTCAACTTCTTACAACTCGGACATGACGAGATTGGAAAATGACTCGGTGATCGGAAACGACCAGATGCCAAAATTAGTATCACTAGAAATAAAACCCAGTTTTACAAGGTACATAAGCGATGAAGTTACATAGATCATCAAGTACGTAAGTATCGCCTGGATCGGCCCGAACCGGTTCCGATTGTTCTCGCCAAAAAGCTAAGGCACCGAAAAAGTTGAAATATTTCCAGGGCACTGACCAGGGGCCACCCAGACTAAGAGGAAACGCACGTGAGGAAGGCTCGAGGAAACAACCTTACCCCTCTTAGTCGTTGAACTAGAGCCTTTCACCATGGTCTATTTTTGAATCGTCCTTCACCACCGCCCGCAAAAAAAAAGTAAGAAAATAAAATAAAACTAAAAAAACTTGAAAACCGAAAACAATAACTTCTGGGAATGGTGCGCAGATCTACCATTATTTCGAACCTCAAGCCGTGGTCCGGCGCGTCATGCGTTGAGCAGCATCAAGCTGATTCGAACGTGCGTTGGGTTTTTTCTTTTTTTTCCTTTTTTTGAACAGAATTGACCGAAACATCTCATTTTGTAACAGCGTGTATGAAGTCGTTCAAAAACTATTTGCTAAGACCTGAAGTATTGTTATGTTTGTTTTCGTTCCATGCCTTTTGGTTATTCAGAACAAGTTGAGGCAAAAGTATCAGCTCATAGCGGTCGCCAATTCACCGTCCTCTTTTTGTGAGCATGCTTGCTCCCGAAGACATTTGACTGCTCCTAGAGCGACCGTACCCTCCAGGGTATTACTGTACAACCTGCTCCAGAAGCTAACTAATGACCCAAAGATAACGTCAGGATTTTAGACCAATTCTCAAAGGGCAGCCTGCTATGTAGCGAGTAATACGATAGACTTGAAGTCACCTAAAGCTTTCCTCAATATCCTGAGGCCATACAGCATATGCTACAATATGGTTGTTACGCACAGCATAAACTCCTTGGTGTTTCTGAGTCAAGTGCGAACCCATCTGGGAGGATTTTTCTGCGGGTGGGCCGCTCTGAGGATACTTGTGTCGCAGGTCAACTTGGGTTACTAGGGAAAACATAGACCCCAAGCAATGTCAACAAGCACCTCGTGAGCCTCTCTAGATTCAATGCCATAATAGTATACTTTACGTTCAATTCGCACTCTATGTAGCTGGTGTTTCTGCCTTTCCACATAATCAGCTCAAAGATCAATGGGCCACGTAATGGAGGTCGCTGCTGTGAAGACTAGAAACAGACACGCATGCACTGCAGCAAAGTAATTCGCCATCCACCGCCTTCCTTATTAGTCATCTGAACCAGTTGAGAGAAAACAGCTGATAGTCTCTGGGGGCTCAGGGAGTATTAGGAAACGCACGAGCCTCTAGCCAGGTAGTATGGTAATAATAACGTTGGAGGCCGGCAATTAGCCGCCTCTTGTGTAGATTAATAGAGGATCCGTGCATACAGTAAAGTCGATCAACGATTAGCATTTGCAGCCCGCAGATATCTGATCTATACGTTAATCCTCGACCTAAAGGCATTTTTTAAATGGTTGTCGCAATTATGCCGTGACTCTCACCGTTGTTACACCTACCAGTGTCTGCGAATGATCACTATCGTTCATGTTCCATTAATGAACACAGCACGTACGAAGGCCAAATTTTCACTTAATATTTTCAGAAATTCCAAATTTTCTTTTATTTCATATTTGATACACCATGTTCATATGTATTTATAAAAAAGAGCGCCCATTCGTGAAGCCTTCCTTTACTACGCACGTGCTCGACTCTCGATTGTGTTCAGGGAGCAATACAACAGCTTGCAATGGCTGGTTATAATTCCATTGCCTTAAACAAGGCGAGAAAATCGAAGAGACAGAGAAAATGTCGTCGCAAAACAACCTTAATGAAAAAGGCTTCCGAATATAGCAAGATGTGTGACGCAGATGTATGCGTAGGCATTCGTTTGCGAGAGACGGGCCAGGTATACGTTTTGACGGTAGATAATTCCGGGGTATGGGCTTTTCTTGCCTCACATTTGGTATGTCACAAGCTCCGCCACTCACAGAAAAGGTCGCTAATTTTTAGAGCGCTTATTATCCCACGCCAAGGTTCATGACAGACCAAGACTTGGAGAAGGCCATTGAGGGGTCTGCCGCTGCCAAGTAATGGTAGGTGTGCTGTGTGCTATTGTCATCAAGTACTTCGCCGGTGTTCGTCATCTATTTAGATTATAGCCGCCTTGGCTTCTGGTGGTTCAGAATTGCGATCGGAAGAGACCCACAGAAGTACCTACAAGTGGTTTCAGGCGAGAGAACCTTCAAGCTTTCTACATCGTCCTCTTTTCATAACTTCACATATTCGGGTTGCATTAGCGAGAAGCAATGAAACTGTTGATTCAGCCACACGAGAGCTTTTCTCGAGATATTTTAGGCAAATGCGGCGTCACCGTTAAGACTGATGAAAATTGAGTGTTGCCACAGTTCAACAAAATCGTCCCAATCTTAGCATTCCACTGGACCCGAGAGATACAGTAAGCCTAGTAACACCTAATCAACAATAACACACTGACTAGGAGTCAAGTTCTAATAGCCAGGCAAGTTTTGGAATATGAGCGAATAATCCGGATATAGGACCAAATCTGGCAATTACTAGTTTACGACAAGCCACGCATAATTGGTATTAAGGGCTCAAGTTCGAAGCGAAAGGAACCTGAGTTTTGTTGGGTTGTGAGACTTCGTCTCTAGCATCCTCCGTGGCCACAAAGCCCGGACGGCCACAAGCTGTCATGTGGGAGGTAATCTCGAACATAGCGCTTCAATGCGAAAGTTGATTTCATGACTTCAGTCTGAGATAGGAAATTTGAGCGTGGGAAAACAAGAATCGGCCGCGGAAAACGTGTGAATATTGGAAAGGTCATTGATGATACCATATGTCAAAACCGGCGGGCGCGAGGCGGAGCGCAGGTACAGTAGAAGTCGAGAAGAGATTCCCCTTCAGACACAGAGGCTTTCCTTCCCAGCTCCCCACTCTAAATCAGCGAAGCTTAACTAGGCTAGAGAAAACCCCTTGTTGGGGACCTGCTGCATTGTGATTGGCTGAAAGAGCAAGCTAAAACTAGGCGATCCAGAGTTGGCTCTCTAGTGGGTCACCGTGAAAAAGAGCGTGTGTCTTGAGGGGAATCTGTTTTTGAATCCACTGTAGCTTTTCAATATTTACTGATGGAGTGGCTATCAAGGACGAATGGCTAGGTAAAATCGTATTCCCTGATGCAATATCACGTGGTGCCCTGCGCGCAAGAGCGGCAGACCATCAGACTAGACTATATGCACCAAAACACACCTGGGAGGATTCGGGAGGCCTTGAATCAAGGCTCTATGCATTGGATTGACGTTGGGAGATTTCTGCCATTATTTTGTTCTGTTCGTAAGAGAAGCTAGACTAATGGTATCCTTTGACGAGGTCCTGCTGGTGACCATTTCTTCTGGCGGCTTCTCCTAAAAGCTCACTAGTCTTGTCGGGCGCAGTGTCGTTGGGCTGAGTCAGCTGGCTGGAGAGGAAAATATTATTTCGGACGCATGGGTTTCTTCAGGGCCTCGGAATATTCCACGTAGTTAGCTCCCAGGGAGATTAGGTAAGCTTACTGGTCAATTTAATGGTAAGGTATAAATCTTCATACAAAGTAGCATGGCAATCCTCTGGTATAAGCACTTGAGAATCAGAGAGTTATGGATTTTCTGATCTTCTATGCCATTGCGGCAGGGAGCTTGTTGACATTGCTTTTTCTCATCCAGATCACTCCATCCTTGCTAAAAGTATTGGGATTCTTATCATTCACAATTACAAAGCATCTGAAATACCCCTACTTATGGGGTCGCCATAAGCTGGTTGCTCCTTGCACCCGAGCTGATGCCTTGTTATATGTCGCCTACACAGTACTGAACGTATTCTTCATTGCCTTCAAACTCCCATCAGCAACAGCAGCGAGAGACCGTGCCGGAACACTTTCAGTCATAAATATTGGATTTCTCTTCTCAACGCATCATCTTGGGTTCCTTGCGACTGCTTTAGGTCTTTCATTGGCAACGTGCAAACGAATTCATCGGGCCGTAGGCTGGATGACTGGCATTCTTCTTTTGATACATGTGGTAATGGCCATTATTGTGAGACAGAATGAATGGAGCCTTGATCAGAAACGCAATCTCTTCGCGCTCATTGTTTGTCCTTTCCACTCAAAATAATGATCAAATTTTGACTTTCCTCTTAGGGAGCCGTGGCAATGACGGCAGTTTTACTGTTGTCTCTTCCAGCCATACGTCGTTTCCTCTACGAACCATTCCTTCGATTACACCAAACTCTGGCAGCAGCTTGCCTATATTCCACATGGCGCCATTTGCCATCTGACTCTCTACTGCCCCGACTATACCTTTATATTCCTCTTGGCATAATGCTACTTGGCTTCCTGATCGAACTATCGCTATTTCTCATAAGGAATGGAGTGCTGCCGCCTCGTCCTTACACTCGTGCTTCTATCAAGTGTGACATATTGCAGCAGACGCCTACACAAGACAGAGAGAACACACCGTTGAAATTCAGAGTGGCACTTCCGAGATCTCTGGACGTGCAAGCCGGCCAATACATATGTATCTGGATACCAGCGGCGAGTCTCTTCTCCTGGACTCAGATACATCCGTTCATGGTAACATCTTGGTCTCCGGAGAAGCAGGATGTTCTTGAGCTTTTTGTTCAATCCAAAAAGGGTCTCACCCAGAAAATCCGCCATTGGGCAGCTCTAGAGGGCTATACGTCCTTGACAGCGTTCATTAGCGGCCCGTACGGAGTCAGCAAATCTGTCGACCAGTATGAATGTATCCTAGCAATCGCGACCGATTTTGGCATAGCAGGAGTCATCTCCTATCTTAAAAAGCTTCTCTACGGGTATAATACCTCCACCTCACATGTCCGCCGGGTGCATTTTGTGTGGCAGGTTCAAACACTAGGTGAGTTTAAATCGCACTTTGTGGTATTAGCATGAGGCAATGCAATGCTAATGTCTTAGATATTGCGGTAGCCGCCCAACCGTTACTTAATAGTTTACTGAGTGACGATGTCTTGGATGATGGCTATGTGAGTGACTCCCCTTCACCAAGCCACACTCCTCTGACCAACTGCGAAAGATTCTCGAAATGTCCTTTTACGTCGCATCAAATGAGATGATAGAGCATGGCAAGCCTTTCGGCCAGCATCGCCGAGCAACAGTCTTCAATGGAACGCCGGATTACGAGAAAATAATTGCACAAGAGGCCTCCGGTCGGAATATCAAAAGACTGGCAAACACACATGAAGATCGTGGTGAGGTACTTGTACTTGGTACGTCCTTCTTCTCTGACCGCAAAGCATACACTTACTCCTTAGTATCTGCATCGCCCGAAGTGCGAGATCATTCAAGAGGAGTAGTTCTAAAACACCTCGAAGAGCGAGTACGGCTACACGAAACAGAATTTCAACCTTCGTAGCAAAAACGGAACACTTGTCAAAACGGTTCATTTTACTAGCTAGAGGATGAGAAAGTGGTGGTGGGTTGCGCAATGGCCTAGCGCTTGTGGTCACCGCCCTCAATAATGAATAGATTGTTTGCCAACTCAACGTTGGAACATCGAACTGGTCCTGCCCCTGGTTATCCCAAATTTAGATCACCAAATAATTGCGACTGGAGATATCTCTCGGTCATACAGATGTGGCGATTAGGATCCGGGCCTAAGGGACGATCAGGGACATGCAAAAAACCGCATCAACGAAAACCGTGTCAACGAAAACCGTTTTCAACGCAGACCTTGTTAGTGCCAAAACCGTTTCAAAGTCAAAACCGTGCCGCTGATAAAACCTTTACCGTTGATAAATCGTAAATTTGCGAGGGACTGTGGGGCACACAGCGACCAAAGTGGATCAATTGCATGGATTAATTGAATTAATTGAATGATCTGCGCGCCGCTTTGGCTGCGACAGCATTCTGGTGCCAGAGCAGAACAGCGCGCAAAGCTCATCCTTTTGGTTGCGACACCCAAAATGGTGTCGCAACAGAATGGAGCGCAGTTGCCACCCATTTGAGATGTATTAGTTGAGGGCGCTCAAACATCGCCTACAAATTAATATAAATTCTACTCTTGTAACTCTTTTGACTTCTGACGTCTTTCTTCCCAGCTATCGCAAATTCGAAGTGCGCATCCTGGTTTAATCTGAATATCTTGCGACTATTTTGCAAGACATTCACTTTATCTTGACTCCTATTTATCTCTCTTCTCTGTTATTGCCGACCGCTGTCTGAGTTATGCCGCCTCTATGCACAGATAATTTGAGTTCCCTATGGGAAGATGAAGATCCTATAGAATGGAATATCTGGCTTACTACAGAGGCGCTCCAGGATAATGAAAGCCTGGAACCCTCATATTACAACTCAAACAACCCTGAATATAGCAGTAAGGTTCATATTCCAGAAGAAAATACTCCTTGGGTTCTTGCGAAGCAGCCAGAAGCCTCCCCCCCCGGTTACATCTAAAGTCATGGCTAAGTGTAAAGCCCCGAGCCCATCACGATTTGGCCCTCCATTACACTTGCTAATTATACAAATCTGATCAATAAAGCTTCATCGACTGTGCATCTCTCTCAAGAGCCAAATTATCTTCCCGCGCCATGCTTTTCGGACCGGACCACACACCTTAATCGGTCCACAGATGGAGAGGGTGGCTTGATGAAGGAACCGCCCACGTCGAGCACATGGGAAACTTTGTTGGATCAACATGCCTTTTTCCAGCTCGAAAATGGAAGCCAGCGAAATGCTCGATCCCCAGAAGAAGCCAATTCGCAATTTACTGAGGTGGGCACATCGAATTCACCGAAACAGCCAGTCCTGATTTCAGCGCGGACGCATGGGTACGCTGGCTGCATAAAGATGATATGTGATATCACAACTGGCAAAACCTTGACTGATAGCCAAGCTCGAAACATCAAGAATTGTGGCGATGATCTGGTAAAAAGTATGCGATCAGAGGAAGCGGTTACAAACTTGAAACTTCTTTTGGTCGAATGTCACCAGCATGCGTTACTTAGTGTCGACTCAGATAGCTTCGATTCTTCACTGACAGCGTGTGTGGCCTATTTGGGGTATATCAATTCTATGACTGGTTCGAGTTCGAACTTGAACGAAGTGCGTCGCCGCCTTGCCCAAGTTTGGCTTCATATTCATTTCGAAAACCTGATCAATTATTTGGCGATTTGTGAAAAGCACGGGTTTCCCATGAGGCGTAATGGTCGCTCGATTTCCACAATTGCCAGAGATTCTATTCTACAGGCCATCCATGGCCATCAATTCTCTCCACGGAAAACAGATCGGGATCTACTGAGTGACCAATGCCGCTGGGGTGAGCGTTGGTGGAAAGTTGCTACTTGCATAGGTCTTGGTGTTCTATTACTAGCCAACGAAGACTTGGCAAATCAAATGTATACTCACACAGGCCCCGTGGTGTCTCCAAGTACTTGACTTGCTGACTTTATGACAGAGGCAAAAGAACGGCATTCCAGAATAAAATGGTAGATACATTAGCCATTTATATCTTTAACCGCTACCCATCTCTTGCTGTTCTCTACCAATTGTTTGAGCCTTTGGTTGTTGGACTTATGCTAAGCGGTGATAAAGCTTGTTCTCGCAATGAACAGAATTATTTCCTAGAAGCACTTATGGAGAGTGGAACACATAAGCCAAACAAGCTGGAAAAATGGCATTTGCTGAACCCCAAACCCCAATCTCAGCTTGCGGCTTCTCGTCTGATCTCATTACAGAGGCCCCAGGCTATGACTACCATCAGAAGATGCTGATTCGGGAAATATGTACACTTTAATGTCACGCAATGATTTGACATTGAAATAGAGGCTGACTGGTCCTTCGTCCGGATGTATTAGTTGCTGAATAATTGTGGATATTTGGATGAGTCATATGTCTAGATACTTGTGCTCTGCTGCTTTTACTTTCGCCGTGTCTGGAAACTATAGAATCTGTGATGAAAATTCTCAAATCACGAAGCATCATGTAAGTGAGTAAAATAGCTAGCCACAATATGAAAGGCAATTGGATACTCCAAGTGCTGGTCTTCTTTATCTGCGTCCGGGCCTATCGCATGGGTGAAGATGGAGCATAAGATATCGATGGGAAAACATTGATGCATCACGGAGCGATTCATGGTGTTTTCACCGAGGGTCTGATGAACCTTATTCGCCACTCAGGCCCTGTACTAGGCAAGGTCTTAAAATGCGATAAAACAGGATTTTGAAGCACATGTCCACCAGTCGACAAAGTGCAGTAGAATAAAGAAACTTGACGTCCCGCCATGAAGCGAGAGACAAGTTACCAACACAATCTGCCAGTAAACATCCATAGGTAGCATCATCAATATGCCAGCTTCGCATAACAATGGTCGTATCTAAGCTTAGGTACATTCTGTGCCGTTGGCAGCTTGTCATGCGGCTTCTTTAGTCTCAGCTGCAATGGGAGGATCGGGGCCTTGGGATAGCACACTGATCGTGGGAACATCATCAGAGACACTGGCGCTGATGTCTTGAATTTCGTTTATGCCAAGAGACGATAGAGACGATATCTGGGAAAGGGTATAAGCCAGCATGGCGTGAGTATAGGCTTCCATGGCACTTTGGGTCAGAGAGTTGCTAGCACTAGGGTCGAAAATCGATATGGGCGTGAAGGTCTGGAACGATTGTTGCCTTGCGTATTTCGTTCACTGGGGAGCATCTATTTTGTCGTAATATCAGCGGGGCCAACTGAACAGCGAAGTAGCGGTCACCAAGCTGGGAAGAACGGAAACATCGTTATTAGGTGTTGTATCCCGTGAACGCAAGAAACAAAGTCTGTCTCAACAAGGCATGGTAATAATTTCGTGCTTACCTTCCATACAGAGTCTAGTCTCAGCGAGAAGCCTTGTTCAAGAGACAGAAGAAGTAGTCTTTGATTTAAAATAGGTTTCGCATAGACAAAAGGTACGCGTACAAAGATATGGTTCGGCGAAATAGTTGTAGAAGCAAGTCGGATACAGTTGTACCAATGTTAGGAATAGAAGTTGTTGGATGACAATTCACCTAAGGTAGAGAGAGGGTGTCGTGTTGTCAGCAGCAAAAACCAGAGGTTTCAGATGGGGCGGGAACCCCAGGTCCACGGCGAATCAGGTACCATGACGTAAGTGGCTCTCCATGCGGACGCGAGGGAACCAATTGGGAAGGATATCGATGGGCACGGAGGATCAGACTACCCGGGAAGTGGGGAAATAACTTGTCTGGTCGCAATCGCCCGGAGAACGCAGCCGTCCACTCGGATGAACTGTGGCTTTGGCCAACGAATTTTTTATGGGGATACCGAACGTGTCTAGCCCATTAGTCTGGCGGCTGGCATGAGTAAGATTATATAATCCTTAATGATTAGTTTTGCCCATTACCGTGTTATGATACTCCTCATTTCTCTCAACAAAATTTAGGTCGCCTTTTGTACGATTTACAGTCTTGGGAGAGCATTCGAAATCACATAGAGGTCAGGGCTGCCCAAGAGGATTTTCTTCTCATTTTGCACATAAAAAATCATTTGCACATAAAAATCACACAATAACCTTGCCTGAAATCTAGATATACTAAGCTAGACCCATTGAATGCTGGTGTCTCTGGGCTAGTATGGTTGGTGTTTCAATCCTCAAGCGTGAAGAAGCATGATGATTTGATATTGGCTGACAGGCTATGCACGGTTCAGCTCTGCAAGGGACCAGATCGACTGTCATCCTGTTGCGATATAACTACAACCCTAAGTCAAGACGGTCTAGTCCGAAGTAAGGGAATATAATGCAGCAATCCGATTCCCAGGAAGGTGCCATCCACAGATCTGCGATCCACGACTGCTGAGCATCCACAGCCCTTCAAAACCGGACTCTCTGGTGGCCAGCTACGAGCTATTATGGTAGCTGTTGAACGCCCTGTATGAGACGGGGCTTTCAGAACCATCGTTGCGTTCGCGGGCACCCTCTTCTTTTTTTGTCGATCTTGGAATTGTGATTCCCTTGATTCCCTCCAGCTTCTTGTCTATGACGTAATTAGAGTGAGTGGACACGCTAACGATACACTGAGCAATATAATTGGATGATAACCTGCTTAGGCTGTGGAAAACCAGATAAGCCCACTTCCCAATGCTTCTTTATACCCCTGCGTCGCTATGTAAGATAGCTTCCGCGCAAAAACGCACTGCTCTGATATTATTGTCGCCGGAATGGCTGCTATCATAGGTCTCGACACGCACTCGCGCTATAGACTGGCACAAGAGCGAGAATTTCACAAGTACGATATCATTCCTCAAGCTATCTTTTTGAGACTGGCAATGATATGTTCGTCTGGATTTACTTTCGCTAACTGATCGCCGATCGCCGATAGATACATTCCGAGCGAACAATCCTTATCGTGTTATGCCCCCTTTGACCGTGCCAGTGGCGATGACTTCATTCCACAGGCCTCTTCAGACCCTGCGCTGACTTCATACGCCCAGTTAGCAGCGAATCGACTGGGAGCTGAGCGAGCCTTAATTTCTTTCTTTGACTCCACACACCAACACATACTGGCAGAGTCTACTCCAACCTTGAGTCTCATTGGGGGTCACACCACACACGACAATGAGCGATTAATCTTAGGGTGTTGTATATTGCCTAAAGAGAGAGGCATATGTCACTATGTCGGGTCATCCCCGCGCCGTGGGCATCATAGTGAGGATATGGGCGGCCATGACGGTATCTTGGTTGTTCTGGATGTGATGCAGGATGAGCGCTTTGAACCTTCGGGGTTGCAAGCCGGGCTATCAGAAGTGCGCTTTTGTCTGGCGGTTCCAATAATCAGCCCACGAGGATATAAGATTGGTGCGCTCAGCGTAATGGACAGCAAGGCCAGATCATCAGGTCCCGATCAACACTCTCGTCAGTTGATGAAGGACATGGCTGCGACTGTGATGGAACACTTGGTAATGAAAGAAGCGGCAGTCAGCAGCCGCCGAGCAGAACATATGATTGTTGGACTTGGCAGTTTTGTGGAAGGGAAGACCACACTTCGCGATTCTTGGCCAGAGGCCCATGCGCAGTACCTTGCCGCAGAGAAATCCGGGGATTCTACAGAGGGCCGGCTGAATATTGAGCAGCAAGATTTACAAGAGCTTGCAAAGGAAACGGACACGAAAACACTCACCATTCGAGAACCATCCAACAAAGCCAGTCGTTCTTGTACCAAGAGTTATGACCCAGACAGCTCTAACCAGAAAATGCAAGTCAGCCAGGCAGGCAATGATCAGAAACCTGGGATAGAATTTTCTCAAGACAACAACTCTGCGCGAGCCACACTCACAGGTAGTGGCCTGATGGAAGACGCCCTCCCATCCAGCATCCGAAACGTTTTCTCGCGCGCAGCAAATTTACTCAGGGAGGCAATCGGGGCGGAAGGGGTGATGTTTCTTAAGGCGAACAGCCAGCGCTTCGGAAACCTAGTTGATACATCCAAGCGCAGGGTGTCTGGCTCCTATTCCGATGATGTCAAGTCAAGCGGCGACGATAGCACGGGATCAGACCGATCACTTCGCCGACCTATTTCCGACACTGATCAGGATTCTGATAGCCATAGTCCGAGAGTGTCCGAATGCTTAGGGTTTTCCAGCTCAAGGGCGTCGAGCATCAATGAGGAGGCAAGAGCTGGTCAAGCAGTGATGGTGCCAGAACCACTATTTACTTCCCTAGTTCACCGATACCCTCACGGTAAGATCTTTTCTTACAATGCTCAGGGATCGGTTTCAGAGGACAGTGATCGTCGATCCCAGAAGGATTCCGGGTCCGAAAATGATATCGCGGAGCATGGACCAGCGAGCAAACGGAGACGAAGACCAGCCTTTCAGCGTCATGCCGATGATTTGATCAAAATATTTCCCGGTGCCAGGAATATCCTCGTTTTACCTATCTGGGACTCGGACCGAAAAATATGGTTTGCCGGAGCACTGATCTGGACAAATGACTCACGCCGGATTTTCACATTGGAAAACGAACTCGTATACACATTAGCCTTCACTAATAGTGTAATGGCTGAAATTCGTCGGATTGATGTGGAAGTAGCAGAGAAGGCCAAAACCAACCTCATCAGCAGCATCACACACGAACTCCGAAATCCACTGCACGGAATCCTGGGTACGGCCGATATTCTGAGTGATACAGCCATGAATGCACTTCAGCATGGGATGGTTCATACGGTCGAGTCGTGTGGTCGTACTCTGCTGGATACTATCAACAGCCTGCTTGATCTGACATTTATCGATCAATACAGGAAAGGTGATACCTCTCGAAGCAGAAAAAATAGAAGAAAGTCAACTGTACCACGGAACATGCCCCTTGGTGAGAACCCATCATCCTCTCATGTTGAGCTGGATGCTGTTCTCGAAGAAGTCACAGACTGTGTGTTTGCCGGATACTGCTTCTACAATAACCCACAAGCACCTCCCCCCGCCCTGACAGAGTCTTCATCGCGGTCTGCCGGCCATACTCACCAGGCAGACCCTGTTGGTCCCCGAGCCTGTCAGGTTACGGTCATATTTGACATTGAGCCCGGCACAGAGTGGGACTTTGACACCCATACTGGTGCCTGGAGACGCATTCTTATGAATATCCTTGGGAATGCGCTCAAGTACACACCTTCCGGATATATTTATCTCGGATTTAAATCAACTTCAAGCACCAGTGCTACCTCAAAAAGGCCTCCTAGCAAGCAAAAACAAGGTTTCGATGTGACTATCACCGTAAAGGACACTGGAAAGGGTATCGGGCCGAAATTTCTGCAAAACGATCTGTTCAGCCCATTCGAGCAGGAGGATCCTCTTGCCCCCGGCAGTGGGTTAGGATTGAGCATTGTTCGCCAGGCTGTTGGTCTTCTTGGTGGTTTTGTTGAAATTGAATCCACCGTTGGACAGGGCACTCAAATCTCAATCCACGCACCACTGACCAAGTCAACTGCAGTATCAGAATCTTCATATAGGCCCTTCCTTTCCTTGAAGAACCTTACTGAAGGCAAGAGAATCGGGATCCTAGGATTCGGACAGTCCCTTCGTTCACAACGCGATACGGCCTTATATTCGTCATTGGAACGAATGTGCCGTGATTGGTTTGGTCTTGAAGTGACCAACCTATCGCCATCAGAAGGAAAAAACTTTTGTTTTGACTTCTACCTGGCCCTCCAGACAGAGCTGGACTGCGAGGACGTTGAAGGAAGAGACCTATTCGGTCTTGCCCGCCGTTTCAATATTGGTGATATACATAATTCACCAGTTATCGTCATCTGCCAGTCACCGGAGGAAGCTCATCGCATGTTTGTTGCTTCTAGGAATCAGAGCCAAACAACATCCTTCGAGTTTTTGAGCCAGCCTTGTGGACCTCGAAAGCTAGCTAGGGCAATGAAAATGTGCATAAATCGACAACGTGATCAGCAAAAAGGTCGCCGCGGCAGTGACGAGCCAACTCATTGGGTAGAGGTGCCTGAATCCTCCCATTTGCCAGTTAACATTGAAGCTAGTGATCCTCCCCAAGATAGGATGAAGATTAGCAAGCGACCAACCGCAGATACAATGGGAAGCCAGGGGGATGGAAGTTCCCCAGAAACTGAAGGCCCAAGGGTTGATCATCATCAAACCTCTCTGTCAAAGTTATCTCCTCAGCGTGAGGAAGGGGCACCGGGTGAAGGAAAACAGGATCCACAAAAGCAATCTGTATTGCTTGTAGATGACAATGATGTCAATCTCCAGTTACTTTGTGTCTACGTTCAGAAAGATGGTTTCACATACAAGACCGCTAAGGATGGAGCCCAGGCTGTTGACATATATAAGGCCAATCCTGGATCATTCCAAGTCATCATCATCGGTATGTTTCTCTAGAAATTTCCAGTTCTCTTTCCCTCAATCTCTATTGTTCGAACAGTCATCCAATTTGTCTTTCTTTTGACCACTCAAGCTGATAATGTCAGATATCTCAATGCCCGTAATGGATGGTTTCAAAGCATCAAGGGAAATTCGACGCATAGAGAACGAGTATCGTGCCAGGTTGGCCGAATCGGATCGACAAAACCTTCCACCTACGGTCATAGCCGCTTTGACTGGGCTTGATACTGCTGGTGCTCAAAAGGAAGCGTTGGGCTCGGGCATTAACACTTTTTTGGTGAAGCCTCTTAAGCGAAAGCATTTGCAAGCTATCCTGCGACGCGAGATTTGGCCGGATTCCCCATGACGTTTTGCCAATAGATGGAGCAGTGGTCATGCGCAAGCGATATCAATGAATGCCCCCAATACCTGCGAGTTAAGTCTTCGGTATGAGCAATATATATGTATCTCCATTAACAAGATCTCTTACAAATGGGTGAGATGGTCCTGAGCGGCAAAGCCTTCACTGAATCCAGCGACGAAGAGCGACGGGCCATTTGGTCTTGAATGCAGGATCCTGATGGCCTGATCCCGTCGTTGACTGTATTTATAATTGATCGACTTCATTCGTCTGGAGCGTTTCATCGGTTGACTGATCTGGTTGAAACAAGGCGTTCATTAAATGACCACTCGACAGTCATATCAATTCGAAACCCCATAACCCGAAGATGGTAAGACCATAGTTTCCTTTTTAAAAAAAGCCTGCTATTGTTTTACCAGGACTTGGCAAGTGGGCGTGCTATCAGTTTTCTTAGAATCAACGGTAGTCGTGACAGCATTTACTCACAAATAAATGGGGTAGTGATGAAGAGAAGCCGCATGAAGTTTGCAAGTCTGTAGCCGGTTAGACGTGTCTACGGTAAATACTGAGTACCGGGAGCTTTTACGAGGGGGGTCTTTTCGGTGTCTTCATGACCTACGAGGTCAGCTGAAAAATTAGAAGATATGTCCAAGCGGGCTACAGCAGGACACAAGAAGGTCTTGAGTCCTGATGATATCTTTACTATGAATACAGTCAACAACCTTGATGCTCTATACAGTATAGTGCTTTTAAGAAGCTTGAAAAGCGTATAAATTCTATAGCCGGGCGGCCCAGGGTTACGAGAAGCATTTAGGGCGCCATCATTCCAAGGCTCAGCAAAAGCCGAATTTGGCTTACCGCTCTCGTCTGCAGATCGGCCACGGGATCTTGGAATTCACTTGAGGAAAGAGAAAAAGGGTAGCTCCGTAAACAGATATAGTTAATAATCAATAGGAATTGCAATTTGCTTGTTACTATAGTCAAATTCTAACATCCCAATCTTCAATGATCCCCTTGTTGCTTTTAGCCATCCTGGACGTTTGCTCATTATAATCTTGGGAGCCATATGGATAGATGAGAGGCATCTCGAGACGATTTCCTGCTATTTCTCATAGGAATAGAACATCCTTGCAGAGAGTAAAACCGACCGAGCAAGAAGAGCCAACTCCCCGAGCAATCGATCTTTCTTACGAACAAGCGGTTGCTAGATAGGCCTTAGTGCTATATTTTTATACGTGTGTAGTAGTGATAGCCGTACCTCTTTCAAGGACTCAATGGACTTTGCTGTCGAGAGTGCGGAGAGAAATTCAAAGGCATCGGAGTCAACAGGCCAACGATCCACATCATCTACCCCCACTACCCCATCATCTTTTACATATTTTTGCATGGTTTCCATAGTAATTGAGGAAAGGGCTTTGATGTACACTCTTTGTATCTCACCTGGCTGACTTTCCATGCACATTTCCAAGCTAGCTAAAAAGAAATCAGCCAATGGATGTTAACAGGGAATCTCAAGATACCTACCGATTTTGACGACACCATCAAGGCCAAGAAGTATATTTCGACATGTCAGAGATTGATGCTCTAGTGATTTACTACTGAGGTAACAAAGCCCATTCAGAATCTAAGTTTGTGAGTAGTCTGACAGCTGAAACTCGAAGAACTGCATACCTGCCAAACCATGGACGCCAATTCCGCCTCGGTGGGAAACATAGTGCGACATCCCACGAGTTGCTCCAAAGTGAGCGGGAGATCATCAACAAGAGCAAACATAGACCCTCCATCCACGAAGCATTCCCTGGCAGATAACAAATTATCATGATCAAGGATTTCATACCACCGGAGCATTTTATTTACATCCCCTTGGGTGTACTCCCGAATGGCAACCACTTGGGACGGGCGGGAACGGCGAGCGACAATGAATACATCACCTGCCAGGTTACAACGAAGGGTGCGACGGAATGTGTCCCAAGGCGATTCCTTTCTCACGATCAACCGACGATATTCACTTTCCTCACATAGTTGAGGTAGGCCGAAGTCCTTCGGGCCCCCGCTCACAACTTTTCGTGAATGCTCGCCCCGGGACGGCAGCGGTTTGCTTACTTGGGGGCTCGAATTTGCACCCGGTTGAACGGGTTTATCAAGCCGCTCTGGTTGCCCGCTTAAAGGGGTCTGTCGTGGTCGGTTCGCAATTAGTTCTTTGTAGCTCGCGAAGTCGATTGCCGTACAATGTTTATCTTCTTTCGACATAATGAGATCAGTTTAGTGCAATAGGAAAGAAGAATAAGGTAGACTGATACAGTAGCTAGAAGGTTGGAGGGGTCGTTTTTATAGCTGAAAAGCAGATTCTATTTCTGAACGCCCTCAACTTGTTTTAGCAATAAAGGCCACCAGGCCGCTGAATAAGCAGCGAGTAAGTGGGGCTGTGTTCTGTGGAGCGTACTTACCCAGAAAACATAAATAACTGATCTTTTGTATTGCATGAAATCTAGATTATCCCTTCATTCACAGAAATGGATGAGACTTTGTACACGGAAAGTGAACTTCGGCTTGTGACAGAAAGACATCGAAAGTATCAAGGGACCGCCAAAATTAATATTAGTCAAATTGTCCCTCACCCGTCTGTCTCTCATCATCTGAACGCGACAAATGTGCGAAGGCTCTGTGAAGTATTTGACAAAGAAGGTTGCCGACGACTTGATGTCTACAACCATGTTAGTGCCGTGGTGTCGAGCCAGCATCTTCATGATGCTCTTCGATCCGCACAAGTGAGTGCCGCCGAGATGATGACTGACCAACCGAATCGATACCCACACCTGCATTTCAACTCCGATCAGGTAAAGTGCCTACATGGTCAACATCGATTAAAAGCTGGAGAGGAACATTTGTCACCCATCGACCAATGGTGGACTGTCAATTTGTACTTGGATGGTAAGCTAGAATTCTGGAGATTGCCCCACAAAGCCTTTCTAACAGCCTCAAGATATCAGCCCCGGCCTGCAAACAACCATAATTGAAGAATACTCAAATGAGAAAGTCCCGACTGACGGTGAGATTTACCGCAAAGTACGACAATATCGATATGAGGCAAATGCACACTTTGAGAATCGGTGGCTGGCACGGTTGTCAGAGAACAAGGCCAGAAGACTTCGGGGGCTGGAGTCTCATCCAACTGTCAGAGCTGCTTTTGATTCCTTGCTTGTCCTACCATCTCTAGTAGTACATGGTATGCAGATTGGTTCCTTTCCGCAGGCCCTGGCTATCTGCTGTGATGAGGTAAGATGGTTTACCTTGAAATTCGGGAGTTACTGATTTATCCTCCCAGGAGATAGTGCATGCGCTGAATAGACTTCTACAATTCTGGTCATCACTTCTAGGAAACGATCGTATCAAAATGCTTAAGGTCGATCCACATACAGTGGAAACCTTACAACTTTTGGCACCTGGTGTTTCTTCGAGAGACAGAACCACTGTGAAAGGGCTTGTGCACAGTGGTGGAGTATTTCCTAAATTCACTGCATCGGAAAGATCATCGATCTGGAAACGATTGAGGAAGACGGAAGGAATCATACCGTCTCTACATACATTTTCAAAAATCTGTGGTACCTGGAGTCCTGCGCGAACTGCATGAAACGACTGATCACACCAAACAAATCTTTCCCGACGATCAGAAGCGCCATGCGTGCCGCGTTCTTGCCGTTCGACCCTGACAGTGCGCGTTGCTGTATACAGATATCCGAATCAGAGTTTCGAGAATATGCACGCCCTCAGGCTGATCATGCAGAGCTTGGATACAGACAGCTTTGGCTCTATGCTATGCGCCATTACCCAAGGTTATCCAAAAAGCAGCAAAAGAAGGGCCATATCGCAAAACCTCAACGTGAGACGGTGGATGATATGATCCTGTACGACATGGCGGTACTTGCAAAGAGGCTTGGATTTCAATCACCAGAAATCGAGCAGCTCATCCAGCAATCGCCGGATCGTCAAATCGCGCGAGATGCTCTTTTGAAGGCTCGCCGACCAGATCGTTACCGGTATGACGAGGGGGAAGTTGAGACACTCATCAGCAAAGTCATCGATTGTTTCTTGCGGGCCACCACTCTTGACCATCAGCCACCAATGAAATACACCGGGGGAAGAGAAGTCAAGAAAGAGTCTCGACAGGGACACCCGCAAGCCAGAGAGCAATTGCAAGATCGTCAGTTTCTTTTCATTGACCAAATACATGATGGGTTCACTCCAGACTTGCAGAAGGCCACTTCCTTTTTCGTGAGGCGCAACGTCTATTTTACCTTTTTCAGCGATCTGAGAATACCAGATATGGACCGGGAGATGGGAGATGCACCTCCGGACCCTGACTTACCTACGTCTCCACTTTTCGTTCCGAGAGATCATTCACCTCCGGATTTAGGAACAGCTCCCATAGACACATCAAGCCACCATGATGCCAGTCCAGACCGTGAGCGACAGAAAGAGATACGTCGGGAGAGACGCCAAGAGAAGCGAGATAGAAAGTTGCAGAAGCAACAGAAACGAGAATATCAGCTGGCTCGCTCGGAAAACCATCCAAGGTCCAATCCTGGCAACCTATCCACATCACGTTCTGCATCTGAAATGGAGCTCACTCGCAATGATACAATGGAAGTCGGAGAATCGGAGCAGAGACTAGAGATAATGACCAATAGTGAGGCTGGATTGGCTGCTAGAAGTGGAAGTTCGGCAGACGAATCTGAGATTATTCCCCGGGGACTCGCTATGCCCGATGAACCAGAACAAGGGTCACATATCGAATTGGGTCGGATGCTCAGCGTGGAAGAGGAATCAAGAATCGACATCGATAATGCTGAGTTGGACACAGAAAGTCAGCAGCTGCAAGTGATTGAAGAAGAAAGCACATCTGGGAGAGTATCCCCGCATGATGATCACATGGAGGAGCCCGCAGACGCACAGAATGGCGAAGCGGTAGAGACAACAGAGTCACCATGGCCGATGGGCGAAAATGAAAGCACGCTAAGAATGTTGGAAGGACGTGAGGCACCGGATGAAGCACAGGGCCCGTCTAGGTCTATGAGCAGAAAAAGTCACATAAGGGAAAGCCAGAGGAGGAAACCATATGACCGGACACAGCGGCGGCGCCAGCGAGCACCTGAGCTGCTCAGCTCAACACCACAGGATGCTTTGGAGCAGGAAATAAACACACTATTGCAGCCGACACATATGGGTGTTCAAGTTCCAACGGCAAGGCCTCTCACCACAATCGATTTTCTCGAAGAACACCGTCGACCACAAGCTAGAGCAGATGTAGAGCTTAGTCGCCCGGAAGTCACAGAAGCGAGAGATGCCCTGACCGGTGCAGATAAGACAACAGAAAACCCGGGATCAATTGATCAGGAGCGCGAATATCATGTAGCGGTGGGTTCTGGGGCAGAGCCATCTAGACAATCGTCAGGGATTGTACCTGTGGGTGACTCGCCGCAAGTTCATGGAGGGGTACAGCAAGAACCCGTGGCGGAAGCCACTCCTCACATCTCGCCGCGTGCAAGTGTCGAGGCGGCAGAGGCTCCCAGTCAACCAGAAACAACCCCGCACGCGGATGAAGGAAGAACAGGATATCAAGTAGAGGAACAGGGCGGTATCCAAGGCCGAGAGGAGGCTGCTGAGTCTGACTCAGAGGCTCTAGACAAAGCTTCAAAAGTGACGATAATATTCCGTGCACGTGATAAGAACGGCGAATGGAACCATATGGTCCATCAAATGGTGGTCGACCGATCCGATCCGTCTCCTGTGGAAAGAATGGCGGCAAAGAATGCGCGCGAGCGACATGCTACTTATTATGATAAAAATCTGCGTCAGGTGGCCCCTGCACTGTGCTTCAATGCAGCGGTCGAAGATGGTACAAATACTGTCTTCATGACATTGGGTGACGATCTAGTTCACAGTGAAGAAACGATGGATTCAATCACGCGGGCACTACAAGATGACAGCGACCGGGATCGAGCGGCGAAACGCCGGCAGTAGTGATTATAGGGACAGAAATCAAAAGATTTAAAACAGACACCGAAGTAAAACTAGAGACCTCAGGCAGCCATGGCTGCAAAGCTACCTTGGACGCCAGTTGGCAGACTGAAAGCCAAGCTCGACCGAGAGCTGTAGACGTAGGTCCACATTGGACCTACGTCTACAGCCAGAAGGATCCGGCCCCAGATCACCTGCTCTAAAGCTTGGTGCCTAAGGCTGCAGCCATTCCACCACGGCTTCCCGGCCATGGACACCTGCCAGTTGAGCTAGAGCCATCACGGACGTTAATCACTGGATTACCATCACAACTAGCTTTACAACAAGCAACATAGATCCAATATAGACATTTGGCCACGTAGGTTCGAAATCTTTATCTTTAAATCCGCGCAGGCCTCTCATCCAAGTGTAGGTGGGAGTGAGTACCTTTGCCGGTTTTGCTGGTATGGTAGAAGAATGTTACGTTGGCGAATGAGACAGAAGCCTTCTTGGAGAAAGCAAATGTATACTATGGTATTTAATTATGAAAAGAGAATGCATTTTCTAGCAGACCGTCCCTGGCAACTCTACTCATTCACTGCTCGCACTCCGTGAAAAAGTCTGCGTGTCTGGTGTGCGCGCCGGTTTCAGAGTGAAGCCTCGCCCATATCGTTCCTTAAATTCGGCAGTCATTTCGCCTTCTATCACATCTTCTGGGTTTGGCGTGGTGCCATCGTTTGAGATAGATATCTCACCCCTCAGGTGACTAGTATGAATAGTAGCGAGGTCTCGCGATAATTGCTGGATCGATTCGTCGCTCATGTAGCCTCCCACTTGCCTGCTCCTCCAACCCAAGCCCCGGTTCTTCCCGTGGAGAACCTTTCCATTTGTGGACACCATAAACTGCAGGGCATCGCCAGTGCCGTGGTTTTCAATGATGCTGACGTTATCCTTTAAATGATTATCGGCTCGTGAGCAGATATCCAAGCACTGCCGAGCTGTTTCCCACTCGTCGCGCAGCCTCGATAAATCTTGAGTATCTTCATCAGAGGAGGTCGTAGTCTTTGATTTGGCGAGCAGCCTATCCATGACATCTCGCATATGCTTTTCCAACTTAATAGTCGTCGCAGTCAAGCTAGTTTTGCATTCACGTAGACCTTCATTTGTGACCGATTCGGGTGAGGCTTCAGCTCCACCTGGTCCCCGGGGTGAACCCGCCTCGTCGGACATCAGCTGGATCTGATCGATGTGCCTCGACAACTGGGCGCAGATCTGAAGACACTTCTCTGTGCTCAGGCGCTCTTCTCTTAGCGAGCGCATCTCTGCTGCATCTGCCCCAGGCTGAGTGGTATTCTTCTCAACCAGTTCTGCCAGCTTCCTATCGATCCCTTCGAGTCGAGCTCCTAGGTCCTCTTTCGCATCTTGAATAAGACTCTCGTACTCCTCGATATTCTCAACAGCAGCCGCTGATAGACGCCTTGCGAATAATGAGCCAAAAGTCCGAAAGGGGCCCAGAAAAACTGAAAAGAACGCTGTAACACCTAGGAGTGACTTACAAGTTTGCATCGGTTAAGGCAATATTAATCGTGGCTTTATATCCTGCCAACAAGTCGCGGAAATCGTCAATATTATTACCCATGAACGTCAGCCTAGCCCAGTCACGGAAGCTTGTCCGACTACTATTTGACCGCGATGCGCATTGAAGGACCTCCTGCTGAAACTCTTTGCAAACATTACCACATCGCAATAGCGGCAGGTCCAAAATTGAGAGATCGGCACCACAGTTCGATTTGAGCAGGTCAACGAGACCTGTCAGCACATCACTAAGGGCCCCCAGCTCAGCAAGAAGGTCACGCACACGCTTTGGATGTGAACGGAAGCTGTCCACTGTCTCATAAAGTGAAACACTGCATCGAAATGCAAAAGTCGCTATAGCAAGGATTCCAGAGGCCAGTCCGATTGGTTCAGCCATGTTTTTGTTCGTTTAGAGTAGAAGAGGAAGAGTAGACCAAGAGAACTTTCGGAGCAGAGGAGGGGTATCAGTATTTTAGAAAAGAGCACCAAGTGGCGTTGAGTTGTAAGCGCTGGGTTCATCTTACATTGTTCTGTGATGAAGATTCCAAGGCGGTGGGGTCAGATGGGGCGGCGGCTGCCCAAACAGGGGTGGCGGGCGGGGTAGTTCATGATACGAGAAAGCGGTGGGGTGGCGGCTGTTCAAGTACAAAGCGCGTATTTCTTGGAAGACAAGGCCTTCGTTTTGAGGTCAGGCTAATTAAAGTGATGGCAGTTCCTCATTTAAACTAACAGTTATCGAGAAGTTCGCTGATGAGTCACTCGATCAGTTAATAGCGGAGAAAGGTATGACGAGGATCTGCACATGCACAGACAACCTTGCTGAAGAGCAAGCGTGTTGGCGGTGTGGCGTTGGCCAGGCTGTGTCGGTTTGTGCAGCTTCTGCCTGATTCTTGACTCACGGACGCAAAGATGGGCGACATGCTCAGCTTATCTGAGCTTAGCTCAGCTAATGGGGCAACGAATCGGAGATCGAAGGAATGACCATGATGTATTTCCTTCCAGCTGGTCACGCAGATGTGCGGCTTTTTGTGAGTTGGTTTGAAGGCTAGAAATGCGGAGCCTAAAGCCAATTGTGAATTTCAGCCTTTTTAGCCCAGGTTAACCCCGCCCAGGCTTAATGAGTCACTTGCCTAAATCGCCCAACCGTTCCTTAAAGTCGCCTTGTGACTGGAGTATCACAAAGTAAGCATTCAACGAGGCGCAATTAACGCGCACTCTGTCACTGATCTGGCTGGGTCCATATTCAATAAGCCTGCAGTTTTCAAATTCCTATTCCATGCATGATCTCAGACACTATGAAATGTGCCTTGGATTTTGGTGGCCTTAGCGTTTAATTCTATAGCATCTACTGATATTTGGGTCGTGGCCATTAGCAAACATACTGTGAACCACTAGTACCTGGTTGACTTCGGGATCTTTAAAGTTCAATCTAGTTCAAGCAGAGTTGATACCTGATAAGCTTCCCACTACGGGGAACATAAATACCAATTAGATTACCCTGAAAAGAGTAGTATTATTTTAATGTTGGCCGATGATAATTTATTGATTAAGGATAAATTTGGGAAATAAATGTCTACAACTATTTTTTATTCACGTCCGTGGATGTTATAGTTTACTTTAAGTAACTTCCAGCTCTTGATGAAGATAAACTGTATAATAACTGAATACGCCATGCACTAAAATTACTATTCTGATCAGCCACATTGCATAATGATTGACATTTTCGAATAAGCCTTTAATAATACTAGATCACAATACTTTATTCCAACATCCAGTAGATCATACAAGCAGAGATCTATTATGACATAAATAGTAAGGTTTTGTGGCTACAAACAATACCGAAAGCTTCAAACCAAAGCATAAAAGGGTTGTGAGTTACATAAGGTAATTTTTAAATATCTTCGGCCCAAATCTAATTCATACGGCCGTCCGACAAGGCTTTCGCATTAGGAGGATGATGATATGATGACAATGGTCTAGTAAACAGGGCGGCCAGGCGAGTTTAGATCGTTCTTCGTGCCGCTGCACGGCAACTATCGTACCTGAATTCATCAAGGCAGCTCGTGCCACAAGAAAGCGTTACGAAGAATGGAAGTCCCTTAAAGCGATTTGTATTAGCAATACTGCTCATGCCCCCAGGATCGCATTCATAATTCCTAGGAGAGCCAAGTTCTGGGGAGTTCCGTATACGCTAGTACTAAGGGAACCAATTGTCATGAATTTCTTGATTGATTGAACTATCTGAAAGACTGTTGGTGAAGTATCTCTAGACCTCAGGGGCTACGGTTTTCTTGAAACGTGATCCCGAGTTGATCTGGTATACGACTAAACATGCAGGGAATTGGTGGTGGCTGAATCATTCAATCTCTAGTGGTAAAGTACCGCCTGTTAGATCGACAGAAGTTACTTAGCCATCTTTGCAGGGTTCTTTCTTGACACTGTAAACCCGATTATATATAAATAGAAACAAAGAATAAAGCAGAGGCATAAGCCAGAAGCGACAGTACGCTAGGGGATTCCCTGTTGCTCGATCCATTGCTCTTTCCAGGACCAAACCCAATGGTTCTTACCCAAGTCGGAGTCGAGCTATCATTTTTAAGAAGATCTGAACGATAAGCGTCGTTCACCCCCAAAAATGTTACTTTGATCTTTGCTTCGATTTTAGTATCGGCTCCATATAAGTTAGGAGAGCGAGCTGAAATGTATCCATCCAAAGTAAGGTTTGCGTTCCTGCTGTCAAACTGGATATCAAGACTAGGATCTGGATAGGAAATGTTAGAAGCCATTTTGCTCCACCAGTTGTCAGAAATCAGGCCGCTAGTCCAGGTAACCTCTCTAGAAGAATTACAGGCGGTCATATTGAAATCCAAGGATTTATCTCCATCGAACAGGTCAAGCCTTCCATGTTCACGAATTGTTGCTGAGAGATTGTAGGGCGCGCTGTCGGTTTTCTCAAGTGTGAAGTTGAAGTAGGACTTCGTTTTAGTTTCCTCCAATGTATAATATTCGAACACTGGACTAGGCAAGTATCAGAAGATGTCCCGGTAGATACTGCACCTTTACTCACTTAGAAGAAAACAGTCCCCATTCCCAAGGAAACTCGAAAAGCGCATCATAATCCTCCACAGAAAAGTCATAGTCATAGTCCCAAAGGGTGAAAAAGGCATTTACAGGAATGTTGGGGGCATTGTATTTGCTAGGCTCGGTGAGAGCAAGAAGTGTAGCGAATGTGGTGTTAAAGCTTTTGCCTTGCAGATTCGGGCACCAAGCTCCATCATGCTGCTCTTTCTCCTTCGCTGCAAATCCGGAAAAGGGCGTGATCTCAACCCGCGTGGTTCCATTGTAATATCTATTTGATAAGAATGAGATTTGACATGAAAGTGGAGATTAACTAATGCTTACGACCCAACCCAGTGGTATAGCCCATTTAAAGTCACATTGTCCGGTCGGAAGTTGAGCGAGGAGTCATAAGCTATCACTGCAATTGCGAAAGCCAGGCTGGATAGCAAATATTGAGCGATCTGATTGCGATGCATCTTCTGAACCCTCTTTGGGAGGAATGCCAAAATCGAGGAATGTCAAAATCAAAAGGTACCTGAAAATCAGTCCTCGCGTGCCCATGTTGTTGTATTTAAGCAGGGGGCACAGAAGATGTGGGTAAGCAGTCTTACCCCTTTAACGCGATGTTACAGAAAAGAAACGCCTAGCTTATTCCGACCTAGTGCAGCGCGATTGGGGCCAATCTCCCACGTTAATAGACTTTGCCAAACCCTCTAAGCTAGTGGCGAGAGCGCTAGCGCAGAACTAAAAACGAGGCTGAGTCTCAGAACCCAAGTAACTATTGGCTAAACGACCTGGGGTGCAAGCTGCTTCCAAATTGGCCTAAGTCTCTACTGATCGTAAGCCGTTTGCTCAGTGAGAGGGGGGATGAGCAGGGGTGCTGGTGTATTCGCTCTCTACCAGCCATTTGCGACTAACCAGGCAGACATGCTCCTGTTTGATAAGTTTGCCCAAAAAGAGGAGTCCAGGCACCTGACAGACCATACAGACTCAAAACGGGGGCTATAATTATCGTGTTATTTACGATTGTATTGGATTACTGCCAAGACAAGGGTTCAGGGGAAGACCAACTAGTTTAGGTACGTATAGCGTGTTTTGGAATAGGGTTCGAGAAAGATTTTACGTGAGCGAAGTGGTGAAACTGATTTCGATCCATGCTATACATAAAATATCGAGACTAAATGAGTATTTTCGTTGCAAGTCGCTTCTTTGCATCGTTTCACCCAAAGGCCGATGTCACGAACGAACCGCCGGGCGGCACCTACTTTCACACCGTGCTTAACAAAGAAACCTGGGTCTTGATCCTCATAAATCTGCATGAGGTCGAGACAGTTTTCGAGAGTCACATCGCGTGCTTTATTGATGTTCTTCCTGAAAGCCTCGTTGCTCACCCACGATTGCTGCCATTCAGTATACTCGTCCACAGCGACATCTAGCAGGTCGTCAATTATGATTGATTCAATACAGCCCGGACCGGTAGCCATGGCATCATTAGCAGGAGACTGTGTCGATTATTGAGATGATCCGGCTGGAAGGACATTGATATTTATCGGAGGACACACTGAACCCGTTGTAGAATTCTCCGCAGCTTTCTTTTCTTTGTCCAGTCGCTGGTTCTCCTCGGCATAGAGCTGCTCGCGAACACTATCAGAGACATCAGCGTAGGTCTCAAGAACCCCACCTTGCTCCACATATTTGACGAGGGCCTTCAGATAGTGAGTCTTCAATCTATGGTGGATCTTGCCAGCAGTATTGTCCTTCGTGGCGACATGGAGGCCCGGGACATCGCACAACACGATACACATCGCGCCAGACGGAATATTGGCCGGACACCTGCTCGGCGTCAATCTGAGCGTCTCGGTCAGTAAGCATCCGTGTAGTCACCGATGACTTTCCTCGCTTGTCCGTTCTAGAAGGAAGAGATCCACTGTCTTCTATATAATTGATCGATATCTAGAGCTAGATCTTCTTACCACAACGGAAAAGATAGGCCCACGCTAGCAGCAGTTTCTCCACCGCTATCCAAAACACTGGTACCTTCAAAGTATTTGTCAATTTTCCGTTGAGAGTTCACCGATAACACCAAGTCAGTATCATCTAGTCTCACCCGTCGGCCACAGGCTGTCTTCCGCCCAAAAATATTACGAGCATCCTCTTTTATCTTTTCCCAGTAGGATCTAGGTGGCTAAATAAGGTCTTCTTTTGTATCCTTCACCACAACTCGATTGTTCAATTTAACCCTCCACTCGATCTGGCAGTGGATACAGTCCGGAGATTATTCATCCCATGCACTTCCATCTGTACATTCAACCACAATATCACAACTCTGCTGGTCTGATAGATGTTGATGTAAGGAAGGTAAACATTCACCAACTACGTCCTCAGAATCGGGTGAAGGGCAGATTATTGATAGCGTCCATTCGCGGTCTGGGTAACCAGGGGTGGGGGCATACGAAGGAGTCCGTTCTCATAGATTAGGCAGTTCAGGTCGGTAAGCATCATCGTCAGCATCATCGTTGAAAGGAGTGTGAGTCATACCCCCAAGGCAGAAGATACCACAGAGGAGTCTATTAACATAGTTGTGTGTTAGCTTCCACCAAGTATGTTCCGGAGCGTGAAGAAGAGAGGACTGTGGCTAACAGACTGAGTATTATAATAAGCGGGTTCATAGGTAGTCTGTAAGGACAGTATGCAAGTCACTATCTACAGGTCGGATGCCGAGTAAGCCCCCCCAAACCGACTTGGACAAAGCAGCAGAAGGGAAGTGACAGATCGCCAGATTCTCGAGGGACTCCCCAAGCTCTAGTGTTTGATTTGTTTGCATGTTCATGGAAAATTCTAGTTCCCTTGGATTGCCAATACAGTTACAAGACGAGGTACCGTATTTTAATGAAAGTAAATCACGGTATCAAGACTGCTACAGGAATATTGTTATTCCGAATTACTTCCTAATATGGTCTAGTGTCTCTTGGCAGTGGGGCTAAATAGTCACTTAAAGAGTGTAAACAGTTGCACCAGTTTCGGGACGTACTGTACTGATTGATCCTTAGATTCGAACAATGAGATGCGATCTAGATTACCAGCAAGTTCTGTGATATCGGATTCTGACTCTTGTTGCTCGACTGAACACCATGAAGAAGCTGATGCGGTTGGCTTCGAAACAAATAGCAGACATTCCAGATCATCTAGCCCGGATTTACCAGAGAAACCCACCTTAGATGGTTATGTGCCGGAGTTTCTTACAGGGGGGGAGGAGCTGCCGCTGGCTCCTACTATAAGTAAGGTTTTCAGGAAGAAGAAAAAGGGGGAAAAAGTCCGAGCCCCTATCGAGCCCGCTGGTGATACTTCCGTTGAATAATGAGGGTGGTTCGGTCGTATTCTTGTTTTGCACCAAAATGGCTTTCCTGTTCTTTTATATTTAAGATGTTATTATCAAATAGGATCAGTGTTTCATATAATTCATGCTCCGGTTATTGGCTTCGCTCATTTTCTATTTATTGCTGTGTCTTTTCATTGTCTTGTTAGGAGATTCATACTATCACCTGTATAGTCAATTGTGCTAGCTTCGACCTAAACAGAAGCACCCTTCTACTCAACTCTTGGAATGGGATGTGATCATAGGTAATGGACTCAGATTTGCCTTCGCTTATAGGAGATTCTCTTGGTTATCGCAACTAGTATGTATTAGTATAGTGATATTCTGACACTAGTTTTCGTGGCCGAGAACTAAATGTCAATCAAGCCTAGTTAAGTGTGACCAGCGCTCTTAGTCAGCCTCCTGGCCAGATTATGTCGACCGCCGCAAGGACCCGGCTGTATCTGGTATTCTATCATTTGGTACATTTCCTACAGTAAACGTGGCATCTTCTTAGGCAATTTAAAGTGATGACAAATATTGCTGCTGCATAGTGTTGATCATCATAAATATCGCACCCCGTGCCTTGACCACATTTCTTGATTTCACGTCACGCTGACTTGTTCGACGAAAACAAAACTAATGACACCTCTTCGAGAACCTCATATGGAGCCGAGGTAAGTGCACCATGTACCACACAAATTGCTCTGAATAATTTAATCTCATGGAAAAGTGACATTGTTTCTCCCATTGTATACTTCGACGTTGGTCCAAATCGAGAAAGCTTCACTGCGTATACCGCAATCGTCCAAAGCATCATTCGCCCTGACAGTCGATCAAATGAAAACACCTTTACCATATACGATGATGTAGCTGATATATTTGGCCAGGTACTGCAGTTTCTTTACAGTGGAGAGTACTCGGTCCCTGCTTTAGCTTCCGATGGCTTAAATCACGTTGCATGCGAAGATGTATTCGATGCTAGAGTACAAAAACTTCTTCCTCTTCGGAATAACTATTTCCTAGACCATGAAGATTTTCAAGTGCAGCCAGATCACTCGATAGCCATGCCCTGTTGTGGAGAAGGTGACTACTTGTGCAAATATCCTGGGACATTGCTCATGCATGCCCGCCTGTACGCTTTTGCCCCTAGCCATGGTCTGAATTAGCTTCAGCATATAAGCATCCACAAACTTTACTGGACACTTTCAGAACTCCCGTTGGATGTTAAACGTATGAAGGGAGTCTTTGAGCTTCTAGGGTTTTCTAGGGCAGTAGGTGCTGTCGGTTTCTTGCCTAAATTGATGCTTCATTACGTCTCTTCGCACCTGAATCTTCTCTTGTGTTTTCCCAACTTCATCTGCCTTTTGCAAGAACAGCCTGATTTCAGCAGTTGTCTAAGTGTTAAAATATGTGATTCTCTATGAAGCATGGGGATTTCATAGACACGTTCTATCCTCTCATTCTATGTGTTTCTGCATCTAGAAATTAGTACATCAATATTTTGATGCTGTGGAAGCCCCACCATTTACTCCCTTGGAGTGTCTCCTGAAATTACGCTTCGCATGCTCGCTTCAAAAACACGCTCGGTACCTGCCACCGACGGCTTCCAGCATGAATCGCCTAGAATGAGCTAGTATCTTCCATTCCAATAAAAAAAAAGGATCATTTGCCTGCCAATTCAGCTTTGTGAGGTTTATGGTATTGGGCATTGACCTTCACAATTACGTCAGGGGTGTTGCACCAGTTTGTTTAGTCAGCTTCCTGGAAGCCAAACCATTGGCCCGCCATAGATCCTAAGGCAATAAATAGGACCTACCCCCCGACAGTGATATTCTGGCATGACTCTTTTATCATCTTCCGAGGTGTCTAATATGAAGAAGAAAACTTCTGAGCGGAAAGGCTTCGAGCTAATGCCTACTGAAATTCTCTTCTGCGTTGTCAATTGTCTTCAGAAAAGGGACATCAAAGAGTTTTCCTGTGTCAGCAAGCGAGCGAGGGATGTCTGCTTGCCATTTCTGTTCCGCGAAGTCAGCATTGACTTTTCCAGTGCGGGATTTAGAAAATTGGATAAGATGCTTCACTCGCATATATGTCGGTATATCGTTTCTTTCCAATACATCGTCCAGGACTTAGTGAAACCTGGTAAGATCCCTTTACGAAAACAATACGCGCAGAAGGCTAATCTCAAGCCAGCGATATACAATTATGAAAGATTCAAAACGGATTTCTTGACCCCGGAATATTATGTCGAGATGTGCGAAGGGTACGACAATGTTGACTGCTACGAAGATATTGACAGCAATGAGGATTGGGAAGAAATGGAATATCCCGGAGGCGACCACCCTTCATACACGCGTATTTATAAGACAATGAGACGGAGATGTGTTGAGCAACGAAGCCTTATAGACACTGGGAGAGACTCAAAGTTTTTAAAAAAGGCTTTTAAGAAATTCTTGAACCTGAAAGAACTGGAACTGGTTTTTCGTGGAATACAAGGCGCAAGCTGGGAGAAAGATTACCAAGAGACGTGCGATATGATGGCGCAGGATTCTAATGTACACCATCTGAAAGTGGTGCTGGCCGCTTTGGTCTCTGCAGAGCGCCGCGGCTTATCTCTCCAGAAGATCCAGCTCACCTGTTTGACACACCGTGACGATCCTTCGCCAGGAAGCCCAGATTGGCAGCGATTGACGACTCTTCTCACTGAGCTAGTGGGACATGCCCCGGTCCTACGGCTTTTCGGAAGTGATTTAGCATTGGCTCTGTTGTCTCGCGCCAGCCTGAACTTACGTGAATTAGACTTGGGCTTCATTCATACGAAGCGAACTTTTGTAGAGACTTTTCTACAAAACAACGTCAAGTCCCTACGCTTTCTCAAATTTGACGATATCGTGGTTGAAGACTGTGATCGGAGAGATTCTACTCATGTAACCCTTACAGACGTTCGTGATATGACCGATCTGGTACCCGAAAAAGAGATAAATTTCAACATACCCTCATGTTCGCACTTAGTCCAGGAGGGACGGAAATTTATTTTTATCTATGCTAGCCGTGTGCCTGCTTCAAGGACCTGGAAAAGAAAATGGAACGATTCTATATAACTCATTTTTTCTAGGCTTAACTCTGCCTTAGTAGTTTTCTGCAATGATACCAGTCTCGTTCTTTAGTAGTTTTCTGCAATGATACCAGTTTCGTTCTTTAGTGATGATTCTGTTGTCCGAAGATTTCTTCGACCCAATCAAGGCATTGCTCAATACCTCACGAATGTGGTTTAGTAGGTTTTCCATTTCTGGCCCCTGTTCCACTTCTGGTAAAATAAACATCTTTTCAACTAGCTCCTCGTGCATTTATGTAGAATGCCATGTCGCTTATTTACAACAAGTGCGGCATCAAAATGTCTGAATACGATCCAAGGTATAATCTTCAACAGCGATCACTCCTTGTGTACGTATTATTAGAGGTTAAACGAAGGAGAGAATGCAGTACATTCTTGGCTACTCTTCCCTTGACTCACATCCTTGGCAGTATATCTGTACTGTAATGAAAAATGGTGTAAGATGCTTCAGAAGGCTGAAAGACATGTAAGTTGATTTACTGGAGGCTTCATTCTATACGGTGAGTGACTATTGATCTTTGAACCCCCGATTGCTGTGAGATACATCTTTTCCCCAACCACACTTCCGGCACCTTACTTGTAAAGCCGACATTGGTTTCCTTTGGCCACAATTTTCACAGTCTACCAATAACGCAGCATCGAAAAAGGTGTCGAGCACTTCTTTCACAAATTCCGGCACTTGGGCGGTGATTGAATCGTATTTTGTGCGGACGGATGTATTTCGCAAATGAAACCCAAGATTGTCCCTCGATAAGGGAATGGCGAGCTGTCTGAGCTCGTTGTTGTTGCTCAGTGGTGAGAAAAAGACGTCAGGTATCGAATCAAGATATTCGAACGGGTCGAAGTGACTCATAATTCTGTTCAAATATTTCCCCACGGCCGCGTCACAAAGCTCAGGAATACAATGTTTATCGCCCAAAGTAAACACCTTTGTATGTAGTTGAAGGGCAGATATTGAAACCGGCACCTTATGCAAAGCATCAGTCGGGCAATCATCAATGAGCTCTGAGTAATCACCCGTATATAAGTAGTCCAGCATTTTTTCGACGACGGAAAATGTTTTATTTGTCATCTCGAATATACTGTAAAATCTGTCGCTTCCTGTATTGAAAGTATGTGAGATATGAGAGAAAGGATGGCTTAAGAGACAACTTGCCCTGAAAGTCCCCGTGCAAGCGGCCCGGAAAACAGGAGATTGCGAACATAGTATGACTTTATGAACGCCAAGATCGACTCCATCACATACGGCAGGATTTTCTTCGCAGACCCGGTCAAAACAGGAAATTGCAGATCGAGGTGGCCAAACGAGGGGATTCTTTCTAGAGCCTGATTTGACCATCTTCCGGTAAGTATGTTAAGATTTCTCGCTGTATCCTGTTGGCTGGGTGGTAGATATGGCATCCTGAATTATTGGCGCCAAACCATCTAGTCGCACCGGTTTCGTCAGGAACAAATCCATACCAGAACGTATCGCATCGCGTTGTGTATCGGCTTGCGCTACACCAGTCAGAGCAACAATAGTAACACGGCCCTGACTTTTCAAAGTCTTCTCGAACTTGCGGATTCGCCTGGTGGATTCGAGGCCGTCCATGACCGGCATGGAAATATCTATTGAGAATGTAAGATACCTTGTCGTGAATATCGACGTGGATTGGAACTTGAACTTACCCATGAGGATTATTTTGATGCTGGACGAATTTGCCTTGAAGGCCTCGAGGGCTTCTTCTCCGTTGTGTGCAAGTAGAAAGTGGTGTTTCATTTTTTTCATGAACGCAACCAGTAGTTTGAGATTGATATCATTGTCATCCACGAGGAGGACACTCATGGGCGGTATCAGTCCGGCTTCAGTTTGAAGGTGGGGCTGGTTTTCAGAGGATTGATCTTCTGGCGGAGCCGCCGACGCGTTTACCGGATTTCTAGAATTATCGAGATCCTGACGTGATCGGCTCCTTTCAGATGAATTTCTCGGACCATGGTTGGAAATTGACGGTCGATTGTGTGTCAATTCGGCTTTGAGTTTCTCACCGACTCCTAACTCCGGCACATTGAGAAGCGAGTATCTCTTGCGTTCCTCGGAGTTGTCTTTGTTCCCAGATTGTGAAGGAATGTCATCTTCCTCAAGCCTTCCTCGGGCCAAATCGAGTCGCTGCTGCTGGCGTTTCATACAAACATCCAATGCTTTAGCGAGCTTGCGTGGGCCGCATGGCTGGCTAATGAACTCGAGAACCTCTTCATCTCCTCGCTTTCGAGCCGCTGCGAACATTGAATGCACGATCCTCGGAGATGAACATATGATTATGACAGGGGAGGAAAAATGTTCTGATTCACCTGGGGCAATGGACTTGATTTCCATGTTCCCCATATCCAAGTATTCATGGAGCGAAATGTAAAAGTCACAATGAGCAAAACGGGTCTGCGTCGGTATGACCAAACAGACGTCCATTTTGAGCCAGTCATGGCATAGTTTCCCTAACGACGCAGATAGGGCCATATCCAGGGTGGTATTCCCTAAGCCCAACAACCCAACCGTCTTTCCATGGACAAGTGCTCTCACCGGAGGGACAGGGGACTGGCTGATCTCACCCTCGGGGGTGTTTAGCTCGGACATATGATCGAGGATCACGGTTATCACAACCTCAGTGCCAACATCCTTTTCAGAATTGACCCGGATATCACCTCCAAGAGAGGATACTATCCGGTGAGTAATGTTGAGCCCTAGACCGTTCCCTATTGACATCCTATCTTCCTGCTCAAAGGCAGTGAACAGGCCACTTTTCATGTATTCAGGATCAATACCGCAGCCGGTGTCTTTGATAGTGATGGTGACCTTTGACCGCTTGGCCGCACCATCCTTGTCGAATCTAGTCGGTGTGGATTTCAGAGACACAAGGATGTGGCCGCGCTGGGTAAACTTAAGCGCATTGCCAAATATATTTGTGAGAATCACATGCCAGGCCCCTGGTCGTGTTGAGAACTTCCAGCTCTGGGAGCGGTCGATATCGAAGATTACTTTGACTCCGCCTTGGGAGTCAAATGGTCTGCCCCCGAGATCTGCTAAGCCAGCTACTCCGCGGAGTGGAGAGCGTGTACTGTTGAAAAAGGCATAGCCTGCGAAGACTGTTTCGATCGCGTCCTCCACAGCAGCATCAAGTTCGACATAGGATTCTATATCCACATTTCCAGATTTCGAACGCGAGCGGACTCCTGGTCGATTATCTTTTGATGGAGAGCTTTGTTCAGTATTACCACTGCCATAGGGGGTAGTGGCTGAGTTCGGTTGAACATCATTGATGCTGGCATATTCAAGAAGTTGGTTGATAGAGCCAAGAAGTGTGAAAGCACAAGAGGAAATCGTATGAACAAAACCCCGTTGTAGGGCGTCCATTACAGTATCGTTAAGAAGCTCCGCTGTGCCAAAGATCCCATGAAGGGGTGACCTAAGTTCATGGCTAAGTCCTGCGAGCAAGTCTCCTTTTGCCCGGTCGGTAAATTGAGCGTTTAGCCTGTGCACTTCCGCCATGAGACTGTGTCCGAACGTCAACACGAAGGCCAACTCATCGTCTGAGGTAAAAACCCGGTGCTTGGCTTTTGTCCATGTAAGGCTACCGGAGTACCATCTTCCCTTATGTGAATCCCACTGTGGTGAGAAGATGATACTTCGAGAATCAGGAGCAAGTCGCAAAAGTGTCTCAGCATCCTGCCGTAACACTGATCTCTGCGTTCTTTTATATTTCCTGCCTCTGGGGCGCCGGAGAAATTTCTTGAACACACCATCGCTAGTGTCATCAGATGATAAAGCTCCGTCCTGGCCGTAATTGAATATTTTCCCTCGAGGATACCGGTGTAAAAGCCCGCCGAGGAATGACTCGGATAACACGATTCTATTATCGTCTGCTAACTGGTCGTTCACACTAGACGCACTTGAAGTTGCAAACGCAATTATTTTGCATGGATCCAACGTATCTTTACCTCCATCATCGGCCTGTTCGGCGATTAGATCTTCCCGGCGCCTGGCGGCTTCGCGAGACAGGGCTTCTTCGTCTCCTGAAGAAAGGCCTTCTATGGTGCTGGTCTCAGAGTCAGAATTATTTTGCTCTGGAGCCATTTGGGAGCGAAAACTGGCATCAAAAAAGACGACTGCTTCGACTTCGATGCTCTCGCGAATGATATTGGCGCCTCGCGAAAAGACCTCCCCAAGTTGAGAAGAAAGGCTATCCCTTAGAGGCTGCTTTGTTGGCTGGTCGTTAACTGTAGATGTCGCCTGAGGGGCGTTGTTCGGCTTTGTCTGGGCCTTCGAATCTATTTTGCCTTGCTGTCCATGTTTCTGGGAACCGAATTTCCCAGGCAGATGAAGATTGCCAGGGCGGAAAGGCAGTTGATTTGGTGTCCCATTTGGTGCCATGGATTTAGCGACGTCCTCAGAGATCTGCTTGTCTTGTTGCTTTTGATTAACACGGCCCTCATGATTGCTGTTTTCCTCGATCGGGGATTGAGCAACCTCGGTCTCGGTGAGCCAAGAATTCCGTAGACTACCTTTGCCCTCGAGAAAGCTCCCGATACCAACCATCATGCGCTCGCCTCGGTGTTTCTGGGCTTTCGACCGGCTGGTGTCCAGATAATCCATCACGGTGGTTGAGATATCGACCAAAAACTCGAGTATGTCGGTGTCCAGCGGATCACGGGGTTTATTATCTAGGATTGTATAGGCGCCAATCACGATCCCCTTGGGACTGATAATGGGGCTGGAAGCCAAAAAGCGAATATTCGGCAAGGAAGTCACATCTGAATGATCTTTGAAGGTATCGTCCCGTAGTAGGTCTGTCGAAACGAATATCCGGTCACTAGCCTTCGGCACGTCTTTCGGTGGGTTCATAACCACTTTGCAGAAACTGCGACTATAGGAGAGGGTACAACGCCCAATCCAAAGCTCGTCACGAAGGTTGTGATGGACATCATCCTGAAGGCTGAGGGTCCGAGTGGCCTCGGTGAGAACGTGCTGCGCTTGTCGACCAAATAGCGAGATGATCACACGTTGGGCATCTAGTCGCAGAGCACCCAGTTGCGCAAACGCCGTCAGAGCAGGGTCTGGAGACGATCGGGCGACGATTTCATTTGCTGGGGTGGTGGCACTGATATGTTCTAGAGTATCTGAATCCAAAGAGTACCTCGGTAAGTACCTAAGTCGGCCGCATGGTTAGCTTATGGACTTTGGAGGATTTCTAAGGATTGCACCGCTAATGGGGATAACCGAGCAGATACGAATTACTATGGTGGGATTTACTTATAGAATTCTCGCTCCCTGCTTGTGCCAACACTGACTTGGTGTTGGTCAACCTGTGGCAATGCGACCGAGGGTCGAAGTGACATAGTAGTGGCAGCTCTGCAGTAAAGGAAAGAAGGCTATACGAGTAGAGAGATGCCACGCTCTCTCTCTCTCCAACAAAGGTGTGTACAGCAGCAGCAGGAGCAGGGCACAGCAAAGTCATCGGAATAAAACTCGTTGAGTCGAAATACTAGAATCATGCGTGAATTGGAAGTTCAACAAAAAGGCGGGGGGGGGGGGCCATTGGCGGTGGCGGGGAGAAAATTGGCAATGGCTAAATTACCACCCAAATAGCAACCAATTAAAGTTGAAGGAGAATATACGCATCTGAGAAAGTGCTGTGAATTGTTAAATGTAGAAAGGGGTGCGGGGCTTACAAACAGGTTTTTATTTCTTTTCTTCTCTCTTTTTCTTCTCTCCATTCGCCATACCCGCGATCGATCAAATCGGAACCGGCTGCTTTTTGGGAATGCGACTTCGTCCTCGTCTTTTATGCACGTCGAAAATTAATTTTAGCTTGTATCATTTTTGGTATCCATGCAAGTATTTCAACCCTTTTGTGTGAGCAGATGAAAGTTTTCAACAGGCAGACAAGGAAATATGAAATATTAACGTGGACACTGGTACTTATTCTCTCGTGTATCTTTGGTTATATCACAGTAAAGCTATATTGAATCCCTTGATTCAATATGATCTAGATATGTATTGTATTGTAAAAGGCAGGGCGGTGAGGCGTGACAAAGTACCGGCGTGTTAATATTTCCTTGTCCGCACTGAATACTCTAGTAATATCCCTCAAATTCTGCTACTCGGAACGCAAAGCAGTGATGCCCCCTACAGAAGTGAATTTGAGAGATGGACCAGATAAGAGGTTCGATTGTAGCCCAGCACTGAAAATTTTGGAATTAGCATTACTGTAGTCAATACTTCATGGAAACATGCGAGATGGTTTATCAAAGACAAAATTAATTCCAGACCAAGTCATTTAGCCCGCAATCGCTTTGACCGTCGCGGCAGCGGCAATCTAGCGGAGGCTCTTGTTGTTCTTCCTGATCGCCGCGTCTCCATCTGTTTCTCCTGAGGCGGCTCTCTTGCGTCAACACATTTTCGAGGCGAGTAGATCATATGCTGCGACTGGCACTCCGAGTCAAGCCTGAGAGCTAGATAGGCTGCCTTTGTCGACCTCTTCGCTGACAGGGTGTAAAACTCCCCCGAGCCTGAATCAGTTTTTGCTACCACAGGCTGAGCAGGAGAGACAGAGATATCAGCGCCTGATCGACCAGTCGAAGGCTTGTGACGGCGATAGAGCGGGGTTCCATCAAGCGTGGGTCAATATTCTCCGTCCATTTTAGGACGGAGAGGGCGGAAGTTTCCGTGCTTCGCAGACTATCTGATTCTGAAGACACTAAACTTCTACGGGTGATGTGTCGCTAGGATTAAGCAGTTGCCTATTTGGAAGATGACACAATTCAATTGACAACGTATGCATGCACCTCTGCAGCGCGGGCCAAGAATTCAGTGATTTGGGCGAATCTAGGAACATTGCTGCGAACTTATCCCGTCGTGCGCGTGGACCAGATGGAGGTCGTTGAGACGGCGACTAAGAGAATCATTTCGAAAATAAGCTCGAAACCTGCCACTGACGGTCAGCAAGAACCACCAGGACTGGGCCTGGATCTTCCATTCCAAATACAAGTAGGTATGCTTGCTTCTCAAGTCAGCTTTGTGAGGTGCGTGGCATTGAGCATTGACCTTTACAACTACGTCACTGGGGCACCAGTTTTCTTAGTCAGCTTCCTGGAAGCACAACTATTGGCCTATGGTAGAATCCAAGACAATAAATAGGACCTACTCCAGGACTCAATTATTTGGGGTATTCTGGCATGACTATTACTATGCCTTGGGGAATCGAATATGAAGAAATTTTACGAGCGGAATATTTTTGGGCTCATGCCCAATGAAATTCTCTTCTGCGTTGTGAATTGTCTTCATGCAAGGGACATCAGACAGTTTTCCTGTGTCAACAAGCGAGCGAGGGATGTCTGCTTGCCATTTCTATTTTATAAGATTCGAATTGACTTCTCGAATGTGGGTTTCGACATATTGGCTGAGATTCTTCATTCGCAATTACGTCAGTACATACGTTCTTTCCAATACACTATCCCGCAGTTGCTGAAACCTGGTAAGAGCCCTTACGGAAACATTCTGCGGACAAGACTAACATTAAGCCAGAGATACGCAATTATGAGAGGTTCAAAAATGATTTCCTGAATCCTCAGGTTTATGTTGAGTTATGTGGAGGCTCCGACTATGTCGATGGTAATGAGAATTGGCAAGACCATGAATATCTCGGATGCAATCATCCTTCATACACGGATGTCTATGAAACAATACGACGAAGATATGCTGAGCAACAAAGCATTATAGACACCGGCAGAGACGCAGAGTTGTTAAATCTCGCGTTCAAACAGTTCTTCAATTTAAAAGAATTAGTGCTGGTGTTTTGTGAGTTTTAAGGCGAGAGTTGGGAGGAAGAATACCAAGAAATATGCGATATGATAGAGCAGAATGCTTATACACATTATGTCCAACTAGTGGTGAATGCTCTTGTCTCTGCCGGCTCACCTTTTCAGGAAATCTAGCTCACCTCGTTGACACACCGCGACGATCCTTCACTGGGAAGCCCACAGTGGAACTCTTTGACGACTCTTCTCACCGCACTAGTGGGACATGCTCCGGTTCTACGGCTTGTCAGAAGTGATCTAGCATTGGCTTTGTTGTCTCACACAAATCTGAGTCTACGAGAGTTAGATTTGTGCTTAATTTATACGACGCGGGCTTTTGTAGAAAGTTTTCTACAAAACAACGTCAAGTCCCTGCGCTCTCTCAAATTTCATAATATCATGGTCGAGGACCCCGACCGGCTAGATTTGACTCCTAGGGATGTCCATAACATGATCAATCTGGTACACGAAGAAGTACCGAAAATTGACAGATTCTCATGTTCGCGCTCATTTCGGGAGGGATGGAAGTTTTACTTTACCTACGTTGGCGCCGCGACCGCATCAAAAGCCGGGAAAAGAAAATGGAATGACTGTACATAACTTGTTCTTTTCTAAGCTGCGATCAACCTTAATAGTATTCTGAAAGAGCTCCAGATTGCCCTTGTTTGTAATTCTTAGCGCTCCCGTTACAAGTTTAAAGTAATTTCGAATTTTCCATTCTAGGCAATCTTGTTGTGATTGTCGGAGGTATTTTGCTATACATGGTATGCGCATCAGTTGTCACGCTCCTAGAAATAAGCACAAGCGGGTCTCGAGACAACAGGCTTCGCATCGCCATGGTCGGCCTATGTTTGCTTCCGAAGTTCCTCCATTGGATATGGGCAACGCCAGCGACTCCGCACACGATGTACATCAAAGGCATGACGCTGGAATGCCATTCGATGTAACAGGCCGACTTCGCACCAATTGCACTTGAGTGGCTCTTCTTTGAGATGAATGGCATCAAAGTGGCGTGTAACACATCCAGGATCATGGAACATCTGAAAACGAACCTTGTCCGGACGCCCTTCACTCGCGAAGCACTGAAAACAAGCCTCTGGCTGCTTAGCGGTTTCAAGGTATTCCTTGGTAGCACGCAAGGGCTTGCCGTATACGGAAATATCCTTGCATGAGTCAGTATCATTTTGGGCATGCTGTAAATCCTTCGGTTGGGCTATCGGTCCAGCAAGCAGGGCAGGTTTAGAAACTTTCTGTTTAGGCCGGCCCCTCAACGGGCCCCCTTCAAGGACATCACAGTACTGAACAACAGCTGCGGTACCCGTATCACGCCGGTACCATTCATCCTCCAACGAGTTCGAAACAGGGTAGGAAAGGAGATTCTGCACGAGATACAACTGAAGGGGATGCATAGTGTCCTCCAAGGATGAAGTGTCGTCGCTCTCTTCCTTGACCGCGGTTCCTGACAGCTGCGCCTCAATGTCCAGAAATGCTTGCTCCTCATCAAATTTCTCTCGGATCTGATGCCGTAAGCTTCGGTGCAACCTTTTTCGCGTGTTTCTCACTTCCTTCTCCCGTTGCTGGAGCCGCAGAAGCAGGCCGGGTTGTTGGGTCTCTTCGTATTGTGCGCGGATCTTGTCGAGGTTGCGCCGGGCCTCTTCCATTTCGGGGTGATCTTCAACTTGTGCCCGCTGTTGATCAGTCAAGTAGCGTGGGCGTCGCGTGTCTCGCCAACGGCTTTGCCGTGTGATGGCTCGCATCAGTTCGACATCCGGGTCGAGCCCACAGATAACCCGGATCATGTCGGTGTCGAGTTGCAGGGGATGATAATGATTGAGAAAGGTACGCGGGCTGGCGTGCTTCATAATCAACATATGCTGCTCCTTGCTCACCCAACCTGTGCATAAGGTCAGTCACCAAGCCTTTGAATGAAATGCACATTCTACACAGAAGAACCTACCACTCTCGTTGAGCACTTTGCCACTTCCATACCGGAATTGATGGGCGTGGAATGCCCCTTTCCACCCACGGATCTCGCCAAATGTGACCAGCAACGCGGACATCGTAGACTTCGGCATCTGCGTAGTCCGTTGAATGGTTGGAACCCCCTTGACCAACTCCGTTTTGCAAAACACATACCAGTGGGACTTTTCTGGGTCCAATGGCACCAGAAGCTGTTCACATCCTTTGCTGATAAAGAGATTCCGTAGCTGAGCCTTCGAAGTCAGCCCCTGATTCCGAAATGCCTTCGCATGAAACAGGATGCCAAAAAGCAACGTATGCGGGCAAATCACCAGAGAGGGCCCGTAAACGATCTCGGGAAGTGCAAAAGTAGTTCTGTTGATTGGTTAGCCGCGTGACCCAATCTTGAAATGCTGGAGTTCCGAAGAAGCATCCCCAGAGGACATTTATGCATAAAAAAGCAGCCGAGGATTTGAGAAAGGGATAGAGGAATTGCATAACCATACAATTTGGTGATTCCGAGGAATTTCTTAGTCCCTTCGGGAGTAAGCTCGATCAAAGGGACGGGCGGGCCTCCACGCGGGTCCTTCTGGAGGGAGATGACCAGGTCCTTGAACTGAAGACTCAACAAGGCACTCCTCCGGTGCACGGTGAAGATGCCGAGCGAGTTGAACAGACACACTTGGATACGTTGGAAGCCCAAATGGAACTTCTTCTCCTGTGTCGATAGAATAGTTTCATTGAAGGGGCCGATATCCTCGATATAAACCGGCGTCTTCCTTCCAGGTTGCGTATCCAAACCAAACTCCTGGACCAAATACTTCATACCCTGGATTCGAAAACGGTAAGTCACGGTATTCAAGCGGGATTGGAAACTTTCGAGGTATACCGACTCTTCGTATCTCGGAGCCATCGTCATCGTTAATTACAATCTTAGTGAGTCTCTGATAGTACAAACGAAGATTTTTCCAATCTGTCTCAAATGTACTAGCTTTGTTGATTCCTGGAATATGTCGGCCGTCTTCGCCTCGCTCGAGCTGGAGACACCAACGTAGGAACCGATACATATCATTGTTCGATGCCTGGCGAAGCGCCTCCTCGACCTCACGCCATTTTGGCTCGTTGGGCTTATTGCGCACTTGGCTGGTGCAGTACCTATGCCTGTATTAGGAGAGCATTAAGTGTTATGAATCTCAATGGCTCACTCACCTTTTCCACCGGCTCTCAATCCGCTCTCGTCGTTCAATGGTACCCGGTGCTTTATCAAAATCCTCGGGGATCTCAGAGAGATCGACTCCGCCTTCATCCAGTGGATCCTGGTAGATATCCTCAGCATCGTAGGAGGGCTCTGGCTCATGGACAAGGTTCTGATTCGCTCGGAGGCGTTTTCGCGGGCTTGGGAAGTCCTCCAGCTCCGTCAGATCCGTCTCGTACGTAGCATCGCCCTGATCTGAGTCGCTGGAGTTAGTCGTACTTATGTCTTCCTCGCAAAGGTCGCTCTCCGGCTTTCTATTCCGCTGGCGTCGAGAACGCTTCATCGTTGGACTTGGCGGAAGTGACGGGACTGCCAGGATGAGGGCAAGGGAACGATACTCGAAGACCGAGGTATGACGAAGCGGTCGTTGGCTCACGAGTGGCCTAGCTGGCGACGGGCATTGGGGACGATGCACTAGGAGCTGAGCGAGCAGAAACGAGCGAGGAAGGAAGCACGAGGAATGGAAGAGGGAAGGCCGCGGTGAGAGACTGCAGGCAGAGAAGCACTCTCAGTCGAGAGGGCGAACAAGGAGGGAGAGTAGAGAAAACATAAGGAGGAGGGAGGGCACATGGTGGGCAGGCACCATCTTGACAAGGTGCAGTGACAGAGAGGCCATTTTTGGCGCCCTCAGTGAGCCTAGCCACCGCAGACCGTTTCGCCGAGATGCTCCAAAACAACTCAGGAACAGAACTTGCGAGGGGGGTGTGGGGAAAGGGCTTGCGGGTGGGGTCTGACTGGTGCGTGGCGGTAGAAGGCCGGAGGTCGTGTCGGGACGGGTTACCAGATGACGGCCGAAAAAGGCGTCACTGGAGGCCGAAAATGGCTGCCATTTGGTAAGACCAAGTTGTTGTAGAGTATATATCTTATATATTAATTTTACTAAGATACCTAGCCCTAGAAAGATAGTTAAAAATCTCTAATATAAGGGATAGAGAATACTAGTTTTTAATAGAAACTTTATTTAATCTTTAATAATTAATATAGAGATATAGTCCTCTGTTCTTTTTAGATATAAATAGGATAGATATACTAACTAAGCTCTTTAATAGTCTAATTTAACTATTTAATAAATTTTTATTAAAATATTTCTATAACTCTATAAGTTTAGCTTATAAGAAAGAGTAAATTAGGCTATATAGGGATAATATATTTTCTTTAAACTTAATTAAATAGTTAGTCTTCTTTTATAGTAGTAGAATCTTAGAGTTTTTTATCTTAAATATATTTTTAAATACTAATAATTTAGAGAGAATTTAGTCTTAACTTATTATTAAATTTTTTTTTTCTTCTAGAGAAAGCTAGACTTTTTTAGGTATTTTAATAATTATAAAGATATAAGCTTAGTTTCTATATACTTTTATAAACTAGTAAGACTTTAACTATTCTATTATCTTCTTTTTATATTTAAACTACTATTATTTCTGCTATAGGGCTAATATAATTTATATTTCTTAAATAGTTATATTTAATAATAATACTAAAGATCCTAATAAACAGAGATCTTTATTAATAATAATATAAAGATATAAAAATTCTTACTTAGTTCCTTAAGAATTATATATAGTAATTAGGATAGTCTATATACTATAGATAGGGGTATTTTATTAGCCTACTATTTCTAAAAAAAGAATATTATACTTAGCTTAATAAAAGTAATATTTCTAAATAAATTTATAACTAATAAGGTCTATCTCTATATAGATATTAATATCTATATATATTTTAATATTATTTTAGATATAAATTAGAATATAGAGATAGATAACTATTTCTACTTAAGGCTAAGAGTTAGAACTTATAGAAGCTAGTTTAACTTTAGTACTTTTTCTAAGTTTTTTAACTAAATATTATTATAGTAATACTAGGGTTTTAAATAAACTTATTAGATCTTTACCCCTAGGGCTCTTAGTAGTAGATAATATTTACTTATCTAATAGTCTAGCTTACTATAGTTAAAATAATTATTTAAAGAGATTCTGATAGATTAGTTAATCTCTCTAATAGATATATTATTTAGATTATTATTATTTTAAAGAAAAAATAGATAAGGATTACTACTAAAATAAGAGGGATTTAGGTATAAGTTAGAGTTATTTTAATTTAGGTTAGTTCTAGGACTATAAGGATCCTTTAAGTATAGATTTCTAGAACTTTTTTAATCTTATTCTTTACTATTAGACTAGTTTAGAAATAAGTTATTAAGTTATAGGTATTTTAAGCTTAAATTAGAATTATTATTATAAGACTGTTGAGGTCTTACTAGGCTTAGGGGAATATAGATATAAGAGGAATAATTATAGATAGGTGATTACTGAGTAATCAATAAGATTAAGGATCTGGTTGCTTGATTATAGAGGTTTCTGATTATTATGTTAATCGTTATATTATTTTCTTCTTATTCTGTATATTATATCTAGCTAAGAGGGTCTTATATCTAATAGTATTTTTATAATAGGACCTTATTTATTTTACTACCTATACCTCTCTAATTTAGAGAGTAGGTTTAGGCGATTAAAACTATTTTAGTATAGGTTTAGGCGACCTTGGGGTTCTAGGATTATTTACCTAAAATAGGTAAATTTATCCTTGGTTATAGTATATTTATCTTTAGTTATACCTTAACTAGATCTTAACTAGATCTTAGCTAGATCTTAACTAGATCTTAACTAGATCTTAGTTAGATCTTAACTAGATCTTAGTTAGATCTTAACTAGATCTTAGTTAGAGTATTATAGGATAATATTCATATCCTCCCTTAATCTTTATATATATATATGTATATATAAGGATTAGTCTTGAATATTAGTTATTATTTTTGGTATATGGCTATCAAATATATTTTTTATTATATTTTTAGTAAGTATATCAGCAATATTATCTTTTGAGGGTATAGGTACTAGTTTTATTTGATTATTTTGTATAGCATTCCTAGTAAAATGATATATTATATCAATATACTTTGATCTTTTATGAAATTCAGAATTTTCAGCTAATTTTTTAGCTCCTTTATTATCTATTAATATTATTGGTATAGTATTAGTATAACCTAAATTTAGGTAATTATTTATATATATAAGTATATTATTTAAATATATTGCTTCTTTTGTAGCCTCTTTTAGTGCCATATATCCAGCCTTATAGCTTGATAAAGCTACAGTTTTTTAAAGCTGACTATTCCAGGATATAGGATTAGTCAGGCCTAGATTATTACCTAGACTAAATATATAGCCAGTAGTAGATCTTCTATTATTAATATCATTTGCCTAGTCACTATCACAATAGCCTTTTATATATAGATTACTACCAGAGTAATTATATATTAGGCCTTTCTTATTATATTTGAGTATATAACACTATATATAGTGTATAGCCTTAAAATGTTCTTTACTAGGGTTTGATATAAACCTAGCACAATATGATACAGAGAAGGCTATATCAGGCCTTGTTTTTAAGGCTAAATATAGTAGAGAGCCTATTTCCTTTTAATATTGTTTTATATTAGTATTACTAGCAGTAGTAGTATTTTTTATTAATTTTATTCCTGCTTCTCCAGGTATATCCTTTGGTTTATATGTATTATTATTATATATATTAAATTTTGATAATAATTTATCAATATATTTTGTTTGATATATATATAGCTTTTTAGCTTGATAGTCAATATATATATCATTACCTAGAAAGGTAGTAATTTGACCTATTTCGTCTAACTTAATAGATTTATTTATATTATTTTTTAGGGCTTTTATATAGGATAGATCTTTATATAATACTAATATATCATCAACATAACAAATTAGTATATAACTATCCTTTTTGTTTATATATATTCCTTTATCATATAGAAATACCTCAAAATCGAGTGTTTCTAGTATTGATTTTAGGTATTGATACTATAGTCTAGGGGATTGTTTTAATCTATATAATGCTTTATTAAGCTTAGCATATTTATTATTATATTTAGGATTATTATATAATCCTATTGGTAATATCGTATATATATCTGTATCAATATCAGTATGACAAAAGGCATTTTTAACGTCATATTGCCATATATATAGGCCTTTATTAACAGCTATTAATAGTAGCATATACCATGATTCTGTTCGATATGTTGTTGAGAAGGTCTCTAGGAAGTCTATTCCTAATCTTTGATTAAAACCTTGTATAACCTATCTAGCTTTATATCTAATAGTATTATTACTATTAGTAATATGACCAGTATTATTGGCTGTTCCGCTTATAGTAGGTTTCATCTTAAAGACCCAACGGCCATTGATAGGGGTTACATTATTAGGTATATCAACAATATCCCAAGTTTTTTTGACTGACTAAGGCAGTATTTTCAGCTATACAGGCTTTCTGCCAATATAGGCTATCAGGGCCTTCTAGGGCCTGTTTTAGTGTATTAGGTTCCTTAGTAGTAGTTATAGTTAAAACAAAGTTTAATAGACTACTATATATAGGCCTATATATAGCTTCTACTGCTGTATCAGACAGTGTATATAGTATATTATTATTATTATTATTATTATTATTATTATTATAGTATGTAGTATTTTTTATTGGTATTTGGACTTTAATTTTATGAGAGGGATCCTCTGAAATTTTTGCATATTCTTTTGCTCTTGTATTTATTTTATATATTAAGGGTTTAGGGTTTAGGGTTCTCTGGGTAACCCTTTTATTATTATTTGGATATATATTTATTATATCACCCTTAATACTATCAAAATTATAGTATTTGCCTTCTAGGATTATAATATCTCTTGATATTATTGTAGTTCTTTTATTAGGTATATAAAGCTTATAGTGGCCATAATCAGTATAGCCTACTAATATAGCTTTTTCTTGTCTAGGCTCTAGCTTAGTTATTTGCTTATTGATAGTATAATAAGCAGTAGAACCCCATATTTTTAATTAGTCATATATATCAATAGAGGGCTTTGTTTTATTATATAACTCATATGGTGTTTTAAACCCTAGAGCACTATGTGGTGTCCTATTATATAAATAGGTAGCTGCCATTAGGGCTTCACCCTATAGATATTTAGGGTAATTACTATTAGCTAGCATTGCCCTTACCTTATTTAATAAGGTAAGATTTATCCGCTCTATTAGACCATTAGGCTCTTTTATATAAGCAGGGCTAGTATTATGTATAATACCATATTTATTAGTTATATTTTTTATTGGTCTATTTATATATTCTTTACCGTTATCAGTAAATAATTGTTTTATATTGATACCAATTTAATTATATATTAAAGCTTTTATCTTCTTTAAGGCTATTATAGCTTGGCTTTTATTCTTTAATAATATAGTAAATAGATAGCGGGTTTGCTTATCTAGAAACGTTATATAATATATATAGTTATTATACGTTTTTGGTGTTATAGGACCGCCTATATCACTGTATATTCTTTCTCCTCTTCTATAGAGAGTAATATTCTTAGACTTTTTATTTATATATCTTTTTGCTTTAGATTTTAGGCATATATCACAGTTTTTAACTATGTTATATAGGTATTCGTCTGATATTTTAATATTTTTAATATCGCTTAGTATATATTTAAGAGCCTTAGGTCCAATATGGCCTAGTCTCTTATGCTAGTT